TACATGTAGCACGTAGGCAAAACCTCTTTTCTTTTTCCTTTTTTTTTTCTCCTTTTTCTGTCAAAACTGGTGCTATAAAATCGTTCGATTACACAATTTGATTGGTAAACTTAAACTACTAAATGAAAATTCCTAATTGGCCTTCACTGTGAGCTGGTCTTGGCAATCATTCGTCTACTACTTTACTTATTGAACCGACAATGAGTAGTGAAACTAAAGAATATACACCGTACGTATGTGAAGGTAATATTTACTAATCACTCAAAAAATAAACTGATCAGACAATTAAAATATACCCCTCTGTTCCAAAAAAAAAAAAGAAGTCCACCTTGAATTTTGAAATTTGTATTTTATTAGTACAAATTTTAAAATTCAATGTTAATTTATTTTTCAAAACAAAAGGAATACTATTTTATTTGTTTCAAAGTTACTATACAATTTAAAGTATCACTTTTCGTATGTGTTGTGTTACAAGTAAAAATTTAAAACGTAATCATTTCAATACGGAGGGACTATTAAAAGTAAATGAGTATCAAATGTAGTAGATACGGCTTTTTGATCCAGAAAGCGAAACAATTTCTGACTTTACTTGTCTAAGTTGTCTTTAATAGTCTTTACTAGATTATTATTCTTCTGTGACCTGGCCAATCTGTAATAAAGGGGTTAAGGAGACGACAACAACGTAGAAATTCTAAAATAAATCTCTATAAATTAATATATACTTAGATACTTAACATTTTATTAATTTAGAGAGTTAAATTTATAATTATTAGTGACGATGCGTGGATTTGTACGGTGCTTAGGACAGGCGGCGATGATGACCTAGGCGGCGGCGAATGGCCTAAAACCTGCAAGACAGAGCCTCGGGTGTCTCCCGAGGGTAGACTCTCCGATGATTAAGTCAATAAGGGAATAGAGATAATAGAGAGAGAGTGATGTGTATCATGTGTAGAAGGTGTAGAAGATAGGTAGAAGATATATCTTATGGGAGAGGCACCACCTCTTTATATAGAGGTGGTGTTACATGTTTCCTGAAACCTAGTTGTATTCGGTTTAGGCGGTAACTTAACCTCCAAGATAGCCGGCCCTAACCCATTAGGGTTACGGTTAATTTTATGACTCGTCAAGTGCCCCTAGCAAGCCATATTCTCGAGACTTGATGAGAAGGATATGGGTTACTACGAATGTTGATGTCTTCTCGAGTTTCGTGGTGTTGCCCCAGTTCTCGAACTCTTTCGTTCTCGAGTGTCACCTATACAAGATAGAAAGAGTAGAATGCCTCGGGGAGGTCTTTGTGTTAGTAAGTTTCTTATTAGCAGGGGGAAGCCTGTTTATGCCGAACTAGGAGGATGGCGCCTAGATTCTCTTATTTGAAGGTGAGAAGCCTGTAGTTGCCTGTCGTGTAGGTCCTCTGGCTTTGCCCGACTAGCAGGTCTTATTTGGCTTTTGCCCGACTAGCAGGTCTTTATGGGTCGTGCCCGACTAGCAGGTCTTATTTAAATCCGGTGCCCGACTAGCAGGTCTTTGTGGGTCGTGCCCGACTGGCAGGTCTTATTTAAACCCGGTGCCCGACTAGCAGATCTTTCGTTGATATACAATTTCGCTCAAAAGAAGCAATATAATAATATGTTTATTGAAGATAAGTCAAAGCTTAATAGTAAAAGATCCTTAACAACATTCTAAATCAAAGCATCGATGTGCTAATTTATTAAACAGAATATGAAAGCAAGAGGCATACTTGTTGGATGGAACCTCGAGGAGTTCTTATGGTATCTTGTGTGAAACATGAGGCTCACCTGGAATTTCCCTCGAGGGGTTGTCTTGATTAGTCACATATTCTCGGAATTTTCCTTTCTCAAGCCCTTCCTCGATTTGCTCATTTAATTCGTGGCAATTCTCGGTATCGTGCCCATGATCTCTATGGAAAGAACACCATAAGTGTTTCGGGCGCTTACTTGGATCGGTTGACATGGGACGTGGTACTTTGAACTCATGCTTATGAACCTCTAGGATTTCAGCTCGAGGACGAGTTAAAGGCGTATAACCATCTGCCTTTTGCTTTGCTCGGTCATGGCCTCTTTTTCGATCGCGATTGTGTTCTCGATCTCGATTACGGTCTAGTTCTTGGTCACGATCTGCGCCTAGGCCTTTAGCTTTGTACTCGAGTGACCTCTTCTCATAAGGGTATAAGCTTTCTCGTGCTCGACGTAAATCTTCTTTTGCGCGAACTTCAGTTTCGACCACCGAGAAGAGTTGTTGCAACGTTTGTGGCGGCTCTTTTTTCAGCTTTTGTCGCAAAGTAGCAGACTGCCCATATAGATAAAGACCATTAGTGAAGGTTCCAACAATCGTTTCTTCAGAGACTCCTTCGACGTGAAGTTGTTCTTTGGTGAAGCGGCTATAATAAGCCCCAATAGATTCGTCTCGATCTTTCTTGAGGGACATTAGCTCGGTAATCGTCTTATGAATCTTCTTTCCTTGGAAGAACCTTGTGTGAAACAAAGTTCCCAGCTCATGAAACGTTCGTATACTTTCCGGAGACAAGGTTCCGAACCAGAGTTGTGCTTGACCCGTGAGATAGGTTGGGAACGCCTTGCACATCAAATCATTGGGGGCATTCCTCAACCTCATAACACTCTTATAGACTTGCAAGAACACCATGGGGTCGGTATCTCCTCCATAAAGCTTCAAATCTGGAAGTTCGAACTTCTCAGGCATGGGCTTTTCTCGGATATGTTGGATGAATGGACTATCGTCTCCCTCCTCGTCTCCTTCAGATCCGAGAACCTTGCGTAATTGCTCCTCGATGGTTGAAGGTACTCGAGGTGGAGGTACGTTCACTCGAGGGGGACGAATTTCTTCTCGAGTTACAAGGTGATGTCTTCGAGAGATGCCCCTAGGGTTTGGCTCGCCTTCTTTCGAGAAGGTACCCAGATTGTCAACCACGAGTTGTCGCTGGTTACTGTCGAGTTCATGAAAACTCTTCACAAATTCTTGGAACTTGTTGAACAGGGTAGGTTGAGATTTGAAAAAAGCCTCCATGAGGTTTTGATCCAGCAAACCACCAGACGGCCCGCTAGGGGATGGTCCCGTTGGAGTCTCTTGTTTATCTTTTTCAGCTGCAGTAGCAGGTATTTGTTGTTTTTCTTGCGCCATGATGCTGGTGATGTTGCGCAGCGTAAAGCACCAAAAAATTCCAACTTCGCTTCAAGAAATTAATTTGGTTGTGAAGACCAAACAAATCGGTCCCACTAGGCGTGCCACTTGACGATGCGTGGATTTGTACGGTGCTTAGGACAGGTGGCGATGATGACCTAGGCGGCGGCGAATGGCCTAAAACCTGCAAGACAGAGCCTCGGGTGTCTCCCGAGGGTAGACTCTCCGATGATTAAGTCAATAAGGGAATAGAGATAATAGAGAGAGAGTGATGTGTATCGTGTGTAGAAGGTGTAGAAGATAGGTAGAAAATATATCTTATGGGAGAGGCACCACCTCTTTATATAGAGGTGGTGTTACCTGTTTCCTGAAACCTAGTTGTATTAGGTTTAGGCGGTGACTTAACCTCCAAGATAGCCGGCCCTAACCCATTAGGGTTAGGGTTACTTTTATGACTCGTCAATTAGTTTATCGATAAATTAAAATTTTATTAATTTGACAAGTCTTTATCCATCCCTTTAATTAAAAAATAACTAAAAATTTTTCATTTTCACAAAGACAAAAATAGACTAGTACCAAGTAAAAAAAATGATGATAAATACCACTAGGTGCTTGTAATTGTGTTTAAAAAAGAAATGATGATATGTAAGCGTCCAGTCATTTTCTCCATTAGAATGCATTTATCATTTAATTGGAGTTACATTATTGGTTCGAGTTTAGGAATATTTATTATTCTTAATAACCCTGAGGTGAAACACTAAATTAGGGCTTGGCCAACTCAATCTGAGTCAGACGATGCTATTGAACATGTGCACATTCATTTTCTTTCAAACAAAGTTTGCTTAATTTATCATTCCTAAATTAAGGCTGAAATCATTCTGTTTTGAATTATGATGAATTTGGCATGGATGTGTATATAATCATAAAAAAAGGAATGGGAAGTTTTTTTTTCCCCCGTCATTTGAGATTTTGAGAAGATACTTGTGCACTGAAACCATATATCACTATCATCCTAGCTCGGAGTTTGGGTACAGCTAGAATGCTACATGAAATAGTCAGGTTGACATCCTACATTTGCTATTTGGTGTAGGTTTTATTTCCATTGTAATTTCTTTCAAACGAGACAAGGCACACAGTGTTCAATAATTGAAATTTATGTATGTTTAGACTTTTTTTTTCTTTTTTCTCCGCTTTTTTTTTCAGTATTGGTTTCTCATTTATTTCAACGTCTTAGCTCTAGCTTGTACCTTATTGTCAGTGACAGAACTAAGGGGTGGTTAAGGTGGTCGATCGACCCTCCTGCCAACTGGATTTGGCCGGATTTTTCCTATAGCGTGTCTGTCAGCTGAAATTTTTTCAATTAGACCTCTAGGTGATAATTGAATAATTTTATTTTCTAACTCGCGATTTGAAAGTTCTCATTCCGTCACTATTTATTGTGACACATTTCTTTTAAATAAAGGAAAAAAACAAAGTAGATTCTTTCTGGTATCAGTACTCTTGCTCATCTATACAAAAGAGGATGCGGATCATTTATTAAGTCACTCGTGTTTTTTTGAAGTTAAGAGTTTACTCCTTGCGGCATTAATAGAGGGATAGGATGGGAACTCGTCTCAAACCGAGTCGTTCTAACAACCAGGCAAACATAGCGGTTGAACCGGGAATTGTCAGTACCGGATCAGCCCCGGTTTTATTTTATTTTATTTTATTTTATTTTTTTTGCCTGCAACTTTAAAGAGAAGCAGAAGAAGAGGAAGAAGAATCATTTTAAATTCGTTCAGGCCACTATATAATGTCCACATAGAGAGGGCTACCCAAAAGGCATCAAAGAGTTTTATCTAAAGTTAAGAAACACTGCAGTTTAGTTAGGGTAGATTAATTGAGGTTACAGATGGCAAACATAGAGATTCCCACGGTTGATCTCTCTCACTTCTTAAGTAATAGTCAGGGAGATGAGATTATAGACGCAAGAAAGAGAGCTATAGGTATAATGAGCAAAGCCTGCTCTGACTATGGCTTCTTTTATGTTATTAACCATGGTGTGTCTCAAAAACACCTAAACCGAGCCTTGCAGCTCTCAAAAATCTTTTTTGAATACCCACAAGAGGAGAAGCTCAAGTGCAAACCTAAACCTGAAGCACCATTTCCGGCAGGTTACAGTCAAGCTAAAACCTCTGTTGAGAACAACGCTTATTTTCTCATGTTTCATCCCAGATGTGGCTTCAATGTATTTCCCACCAATCCACCTGAGTTAAAGTGAGTAATGTGCAATACTCCCTCCGCCCCGAAAGTATTGTCCAGTTTGGATTTTCATTTCTAACTGGACAATAATTTCGGGACAGATGGAGTATTCCCTTAAATTGATTATATACCTACCACTTAGTTTAGAGCCTTCTTCGTCCATCATTATTCAGCTGATCAACTTTCTTTCTTTATTTATTTTATTTTGTTCCTTTGTTTTGCGGTGCATGTTACATGAACATTATTTTTCACTTGTGCTTTTTAATTTGGTAATAAGGGAAACACAGGAAGAGATGTTCAGCCAGTTTTCCAAGCTTTCTGAACTCATAGCTGAGATAATAAATGATGACTGCTTGGGCCTTCCTCACAACCTCCTCAAAGAGTACATTGATGATAGCAGCTGGAATCTCCTTTTGACAAATTATTATCCGTCTGTTTCTGATGCTCAGAATGTGGGAATGCTTCAACATAAAGATTGCAACTGCCTGAGTCTTGTTGTTCAAGATGATGCCGGTGGCCTGGAATACTTGATTAATGGAGAATGGATTCCTATCATCCCTCCTAAATCTGGAGAAATACTCGTCAATGTGGGGGATATCCTTCAGGTAAATTTAACAATAATATGAATTCACAAAAATACTCCTGCACATAAGTGCCAAAAAAAAAATATAAAATAAAATTACTCCATTTGTCCCAAAATTATTGGTCAATTTTCACTTTTAATACTCCCTCTGTCCCATAATTATTGTCCACTTTGCCCAAAAAATTTTATCCCAAAATTATTGTCCAATTTGACTTTTTATGGATCAAGTTACACATTTGTCCTTAGTAAAAAACATTATCCATAAAATCTTAGTGGTTAAACAATTACTTATGTAGGGGCATATCCGGTTGTTTAAGGTAAAATATAGTTAAGTTTGACCAAAAATAAAATCTTTCATTTTGGGCAAAATGAACAATAATTATGAGTCGGAGAGAGTATAATTTTAACTAAAAATAAAAATTCAGACTTTGATAATTAATTATTTCAAGACGAAATTATTATTTCACCTACTGCAATAAATCTGACTCTAGTTTTGGGATTGGAAGGAATATATTCAAGTTTCAGATGGGGGTTATTGTACCAATTGCAAAATAGGGCTCCCGAGGAAAGTGGAAACCGAGGGATCCAATATTAGAATTATTAGTAAAATGGGCTCAAAATTAAGTTATCAGAAATTCTTTAGTGTGGACTGTGGAGTTTGAATGGTCCAATTAATGATCCAATCAATTGGATCCGTAACAAAATCTCTATAGCACTTGTTGCTACGATTTCTTTCTCTTAAACTGCATATAAATAAATATTACTCCTACGTACTTATTTATCATTTGATTAGGATGGTTAGTATTAATAAAGAAAAATTGTCGATTTAGTCTAAACGTTTGTTCTGAGATTTAGTCCTTTAGAAGAAACAAACTCCTAAAACTGATCGAAATTAACCCCAATAGTATAAAATTCTTTAAAATTTGCAAAAAAAAAAAATTACAAAAAATTTTATTTCATTTTTTTTGTTAGTTGTTTTTTTCTTTTTTGGTATTTAACAAAATGATATTTCTCAATTTATTTATTAATTTTTATATAAATTATCACTTGATAACAATTATTTTTATTTTTATTAGTTTGAAATATTAACTTCAATTTTTTTTCCCTATATGTTATAACTACATGAGAATTCATATTACAACTTTTTTTTAGACATCATTTTATCTATATGTTATAAATATATACAAAACTATGTTACAGCTTCGATTTTTTATTATTTCTTTTTTTCCTTTATATTAATTAAAAAGTTAAATTTTCATTTTTTTTCCCCTCGATCTATTTTAATATTTTTTTCTTCATATTCCATACTACTATCTATAAAAAAAAATTCTTTGGTGCTAACATTGACGCATAAGAAATTAATACACGTGTTTCTATCACTTTATACATAAAATTTTATATTTTAGTGTTTATTTCTATTAAACTCGTAAAAAAATTGATCTAGTTTAGGAGGTAGGAGTCGTGACGAGTAACTTCTACGAAAAAAACCTAGTGTACCATAAAATATATTTATCTGTTATATATGTATGTATATTTCTAAAATAAAAGAAAAATTTTGAAAAAAGAAGGGTGAATTTGTAGCATAACTTTATATATTTATAATTATTTCATATAGAAAAATAAAAAAAAAAGTAAAAGTAAACATTTCAAACGAAAAAGAAATTAAAAATATGTTTTTAAGAGGGTTTTTAGATGATTACATAAGTAAATTGAGAACCACCATTTCGGCGCATACCCAAAAAAAAAAAACAATAGACAAAAAAAATTAAAATAAAATACTTTTTGTAATTTTTTATACCATAAGGGGCATTTTTCAAAAATTTCTAAGCATTTTGGTCTAATTTTTGTTAGTTTGAGGGGTTTTTCATCTAAAGAATTAACACGACGACAAAAATCATACCTTTGAATGAATTCGACCACTACAACAAACAGTTGGATGGATTAAATCGAGGATCAAAACAAATGTTTAGACTAATCGACACATTTCTCATATTAATAATAATGACATGGTTCAACTAGTACTAACACAGAGCCTATGATATTACTCCCTCCATTCCAAAATAAGTGTCGTTTTAGCAAAATGGAGAAATTCCAAAATAAGTGTCGTTCTCATATTTCAATGCACTTTTTGTCAAAAGTTTTCAAAATTACCCTCAAAAGAGTTGATGCTATTGGTGGACAATTTTATAATGGGGTTGGTTGAGGATATTCAAGTAATTTTATTACCCTATTTAAGAGTTTCTTAAACTATGTGCAAAGTGTAGGACGACACTTATTTTCGAATGAAGGGAGTACAAAATTAGAGTTCATACGTACGTAGTATCATATTTGTTGCGGTCCTTCTTTTCTTAGTTCACCACTACTCAAGCTAAATACATAAGCTCACTCTAAAATCAATTAGTAATAGAGGGAATAACACATTAGACTTATATACTGAGCTTGGAACTCTTCCATCACCGATGTGGGATTGAGTTTGCACACCCAACAATATTATAGTTATTACTTTCATCCAGTACTTATAATGATCTCATTCTTCAGGTGTTCACGAATGACAAGTACAAAAGTACACTGCACCGGGTTGTTAGTCCAGAAGGGAGAAGCCGAAATTCCTTTGTGTATTCCTATAATGTGCATGGAGATAAATGGATAGAGCCACTCCCTCAATTCACAACAGAAATTCAAGAACTACCAAAATACAGACGGTTTACGTACAAGGAATACCTATCCTTGAGACTCAGTAACAAGCAAAACCCTTCACAGACACCCGAGGACGCCGTTACTATTGCTTACTACGAAATTTAAATATTTTGTAAACCGCAATCGGCCACTTCTCATCTCTCTCCCTTTTTTCCCGTCGTCAAAGGATGGAAGGAGTAACTTTATTTACTTTTTCTTGTTCTTCTTTCCCTTAATGTCATTCAATAAGTGGAATATTTCCCAAAAGTTATTTCAAATCGGGTCCTTTAAAGTGATCTACCAAAAGGATAGGATCTGTTGATTGTATGTTTTTTTTAAGTAATGAAGAGAGAGAGGGTGTGTTTGGCTTTGTGGCGTTGATTGCAATGTTCATAGTTTTGTTGATGATATCTATTGGTTCATTGCATTTCTATAGTTCGACAATATTCAATGATTACGAGGCTTTAGTTGGATGATTACCCAAAATTTTGTAAAAATAACAAAATAATCCCATTTCACTTTTTATTTAATTTTTTCTGTTTTTTATTTCTTTTTACTATTTTTCATAACTATAAAAATATAGTATATGTTCTTTTTTTAAAAAAATTATTTTTAAAAACTACTATACAAATTTATAGATATACATATTTATAACTCATAGTTGATTTACATAAACATATTAATGTTTTTTAATAATATGGCTAGAAAATAGTGATATTATTTTTTTTGATCCATTTTTTTTTTAATTTAAAGAATAAGATTTTTTCGACTAAATCTATTTTTACAAAAATTGAAACATTTATCATATATTAAAAAAGTAATATATTAGTATATTTTAATTTATTACAAATTAACTAAACAGACTATAGATTGTGTTATCTAATTAAAAAATAATTAAACTAAAATATAGGGTACAATCTAGTATTTAGTGTGTTGAGTTTCATAAAATATAAGATTAATTCTCACCAAAGGATTTCTAACCGGGAGACTGATTTTATCCATATTTAAGTGGGGTCACTAAAGGTGAGAGGGTTAAGTTTGATGGTCAGGTAATTTAAGATGTGAGATGATTATTAGTGTGTTCGAGATCTCGATTCTCATTGGGGCAATCTAATTTTTTTTAAAAAAAAAAAAAAGTGGAATCCAATAATGGAGTATATTTCTTTTTTTTTAAAAAAAAAAAAAGACTTCCTGCTAAAGTTAGATATATTAATATCTCAAGAACTTATCACAAAATGTTAAACCCTCACAATGATAATTATACATATTTTTTATAAAATATTTTGTACCATTTTTGTAAATGCCACGACACTATATTCTTGTGTTGGGCTAATGTAGAAACGAAATAAGTGTTTTTTTTTTACTTTCTGTTCGTACTTTTCTTTTTAAAGAAAATTTATATTTTAGTTTTAATTACTTTTTTAATTTATAATACAATCTAAAGTCTGTTGAATTAAATTATAATACATTAAAGTATACTAATAAATTCTTTTCTTAATATATGCTAAAAATTTTATTTTTTTGTGTAAAATTAGTTTTAGTTAAATAATCTTATTCTTTAGATTAAAAAAATAGATTAAAAAAATAATATCATTATTGTTAAATCATATTATTCAAAAATTAATATGTTTATGTAAATCAAACATGACTTACGAATATGTAATTATAAATTTGTACATTAGAGTTTAAAAATAAATAGTTTTTTTAAAAATCATATAGTATATTTTTATAATTATGAAAAATAGTAAGAAGAAATTTAAAAAAATAGAAAAAATAAAATAAAAACTGAAAAGAGACTGTTTTGTTATTTTTGCAAATTTTTAGGGTGGCCTAACGTGGTCGATTTCTTCCCCGCCCTCAAGAAGATTGATCCTTAGGATATGAGAGGTTGTATGAGTGATCATTTTGGTAAGATTTTTGGCATGTTCAAAGGTCTCATCAGTGCAAGATTAAGAGAGGAATTCGGTGAAAGAGACGTGTTGGATAACTTGGTTGCTTTGAGTAAGGAATCTCCAGAGGAGATGGATAGAAATTTAATCGAGCATGTCTTCTTGGTACGTACCTAAAAACGTGACTGACAGGTACGTACCCATGGATGGGTATTATATATCCATGAGTATCCATGAGTACCCATGTATATCCATGAATACATAGCAGTGTATATCCATAAATACATTTATTGCACTTTTTAACATAAATTCAAATGTTACCACTTTAATAAATACAAGTATAAGGTTTATTTGAAGAAAAAAATCGACCCGTTTATCGTGATCCAATTATTGGATTGACCCAACTTGATTTATGGGTCGAACCAGTTTGATCCATAGGTCGACCCGTTAAAACTTGGTAGAAAACAAAAAAATTATTAGTCTCCTAAATTAAAGTATATGGTTGTACTTTATTTTTTTAATAAATTAAAATTCGATACATGTATCGTGGTCCGATTACTGGGTCGACCCAACATGACTTGAATCAACCCAGTTTATTATGGGTCGAAAATTTGAACTGTAATGAGTTAGAAAATACAAGTGTAAAGGTTTATTTGAACACAAAAAAAAATCGACTCGCGTATTGTGACCCGGTTATTAGGTCGATCCAGTTCGGTTCATGGGTCGATGCAGTTCGATCCATGGGTCGACCCGGTAAAACTTTGTAGAAAATATAAAAATTATTAGTCTCTTAAATTAAAATCCATGGTTGTAATTTATTTTAAAAAAAATCAAAATTCGATCCATGTGTCACAGGCTGCTCTTTTTAATAGCAATCCGTGTGGCACTAACTCACTCAAATATATAAAGTGATGCTAGCTCAGCATATCTAAAGCAAAATCTGCAAGTTTGAAATGAGAAATTTATGGGAAAAAAAAAAGTTCTTGACCTAACTCAAAGAAGACCTCTCAAGTTGTTTAGAACCCTTTCAATTCTACATATTTCCACAATATTCTACACATGTCTAGAATAATCTATAATACTCTAGAACTTTCTAAATATTTCTAGAAATGTCACGACCGTGACACATGTACCGTGGTTCAGTTACTAGGTTGACCCAACACGACCCATGAATCGACCCAGTTTAATATGGCTCAAAACGTGAAAATTGAACTTCAATGAGCTAGAAATTACAAGTGTAAGGTTTATTTAACAAAAAATAAAAATTCGACCTGTGTATCGTGATTCGGTTACTGGGTCGGTCCAACTCAATCCATGGGCCAACCCAGCTCGATCCATACGCCGACCCAGCTCGATCCATGGACTGACACAGTTAAACGTGACATAAAATATAAAACTTTCAAGTCCATTAAGTCATAAAATATACTGTTGTTAAAAAATAATTTTATGTATGAGTCAACCCACGGGTAAAAATTTTATACTAAACTAGTTCACCCATAACCCTTGCCAACCCATTATGACCCAACTCGTGTAAAACCCTTCCTTAAATGGGTTGGGTTGGGTCATGACCTCCTCCTCACTAACTTTTATTAATGGCTTTATTTTTTCTTTTTCATCCCATTGAAAAAAATAAATAAATGATGATTATATAGTTTAAAAATCTAATAGACTACCTGATGGATAATCGTGGACTACCCATACTCGTTTAAACAACTTTTTATCCAGATCCATTCAAGCCTAACATTTTAAATGGATGGGATTTTGTTGGATAAAAGTCCATTGGATTTGTATAGATAGTAAGCCCGTGGATTTTCTTGCCAGCTTTAAGTTTTTTTAACATCATGATTTTAATTAAGTGACGTATGATGATTTTAAATGGGATCGCAAAGAGTGAAATTAACTTGGGAAGCATCTTACAAATATCAAGTTCACTTGGGAGAGTAGCAACGGAGATATTGAAGTTCACTCCAGATGTTTTAGTTACTTATGGAAGTTGACTGCATTTGTCAATAATTCACAGCAGCATCAATGATTCCCCAAAAGGATGTGCATTGAATGGAAGCTTGTTCAAAATAGATACGACTTACATAAATAGGGACATCTATTAAGTCCAGTTTTGAAGAATCAGAATGTGAAATTTGGACTATGTCAATTGGAGGGGAAGCAATATTAAGAACAGAAAACAAAAAATACGGAATCTCAGTAATTTGTCCAAACACTCTTACACAATGTTGGAAAAGTTGCCATAGGTATCGATGTGAACATGTATGGCTACAATTTTATCTGGACAGTATGAATCATAGTCCTAATTACTACCGAAATTCGAAAACAGAAACGTCAAAAGTGGCAGCTCTTCTAACACTTTATTGGTCGAGGAAAAGAAGAGGAACTAGCAACACAGTCGAACACGGCATCATTCTTGACCCGACTGCGAAAATGAGCTAATTTAAATAATGAACTGTTGTCCATATTAGCATTTCTGCTTCGTTTGAAGAATCCATTTGATTAGTTGATTTCCGCTGTTGGTGTAGGATTTAAGGAAGCATGACGGAGAACTTGCCGTATCCATCGGTTAGACAAATATTGTTTGGTCAATCATTCAAGCTGGGCTCTTATGATAGCCGTAAGGCTGGAAATGATTCGCAGATGAAGTCCCCTGTTTTTCTGATTCCAGCTCCAAATGAAAAGGGCTCTTTTTATAGTTTCATGGTGGATTTCCTTATGGGAGGAGTTTCTGCTGCTGTTTCGAAATCTGCCGCGGCGCCAATTGAGCGAGTCAAGCTTTTGATTCAGAACCAAGACGAGATGATCAAAGCCGGTCGGCTATCGAAACCATACCGCGGAATTGTTGATTGCTTTGGCCGCACTGTTGGAGAGGAAGGTGTCCTTTCACTTTGGAGAGGAAACTCTGCCAATGTGATCAGATATTTTCCTACCCAGGTTATTTAACTTATTTTGATCCTACCCCTTGTATTCTTTTTTTTATTTAGTTGTTTAATTGAAGGGCAAATCCTCTTGTGTTTTTTGTGTTTCTGTCCAGGCTCTGAACTTTGCTTTTAAAGATTACTTTAAGAGCCTATTTAACTTCAAGAAGGACAAAGATGGATATTGGGTTTGCTTTGCTGGTAATTTGGCATCCGGGGGTTTGGCCGGTGCCTCGTCTTCACTATTTGTGTACCACATCGATTATGCCAGAACCCGGCTGGCTGCCGATGCTAAGGCCACTACCAAGGGCGGCGAGCGGCAGTTTAACGGTATGGTTGATGTTTATAAGAAAACCTTCCAAAGTGATGGTATCGCCGGACTTTATCGTGGTTTCAACGTCTCTTTAGTCGGTATCACCATTTACCGTGGTCTTTATTTCGGCCTCTACGATTCTCTAAAACCTGTCATCCTCGTTGGTGATTTGCAGGCAAGTATGAATTCATATATGTATATATTTCCCCTTCCGTCCCAAAATTATTATCTAGTATGAATTTTTATTTTTAGTACAATTAATTTTGGGACGGAGGGAAAAACTACATGTATGCCATGGCTAGACATTTTGAGATTGGTGAACATGCTTGATCGGATATATTTTTCTTTTTTTTTGTGTGTGTTTGAAGTCAAATTTGATGCATCTTCATTGTATATGGATTGTTTTGTTTAGTGCATAGTTTTAAATATCATTCTATTGGAAGTATGAAAAAAGATACAGTGAGATGTAACATTTTATTATTAAAAAATTCTAAAAAGACCTAGTAAAAAAGAACCAAACACAGCAAAATAAGACTAGCTTGACGACATTTTCAACTTAATGGAAAAAGTCGAAACACAAAGTATAACATTGATCATCATTGTCCTAACTTTGACTTGGTTATACAAATTGAAATCTTTTTTTTTTTTTTTTGGTCAACAGGATAGCTTCCTAGGTAGTTTCTTTCTGGGATGGGGTGTCACCATTGGTGCTGGATTGTCTTCCTATCCATTTGATACTGTGCGGAGAAGAATGATGATGAAATCTGGAGAGGCTACCAAGTACACCAGCTCATTCAACGCTTTCTCTGAGATCATTAAAAATGAGGGCCCTAAATCCCTTTTCAAAGGTGCCGGAGCCAACATCCTCCGAGCCGTTGCCGGCGCCGGTGTATTAGCCGGTTATGACAAACTGCAGCTGATTATGTTTGGCAAGAAGTATGGTTCTGGCGGTGGTTCTTAAAATTAAAGCTTTTTGCAATCAAGATGATGATGACGAAATGGATATTCAAGGAAATAGTTCTCAGCATTCATAAAAACTGTAATGGAACTTTTGCTTGTTTCAGGCAGCTTTGAGCGTTCGAGGTTTGACCAATTTGTTTTGTTTAGTACTGGAATTTGAAATGATTTGAATAATATCGAACCGAGGCAATGATATGCAATTGATTTTAATGGTGAATGTTGCGGGATTGTTTTTAGGGAAGGATTGTTCGACGCACTTGACCATAAAAATACTAGTGAAATGGAGATTGTTCTTCCTAACCCGTGCCAAAAAAATATTCCATATTAAGTTTTCAAATTTATACTAAAAACAATACAAAATTTAAAACTCAATGTGGACTATTTTTTGTGGGACGAAGAGAGTATTACGAAATTAAAGTTTAAAAACGCTCTAATGTTGCTTGGGATATCGGCAGCAGTAAGGTTTTGGCGGAAATTGATAATGAAAGTGTCATCACTTTGGTTATGGGGAGATTTATTAAGTCGTGATTGGGAGGTTGAGCTGAAGCATGAGCGTCGGGAAGCAAACTTTATAGCTGATTATTTAATGTCTTTAGGTCCATGAGGTCTATATCGACTACAAATTCTACCGCTAGAGTCAGACCATAGCTGAAACCTGATATTATAAGCATTGCTTGTCTCTGTATTGTCTCTTTAATTATTAGATTTTTGCCTCATTTGTTGTACGCAAACAAAAAAAGTCTAATATTGTATTTCATTACTAACTTTTCTTCTCCCAAACAATAGCAAAAGCCGAATATAAAACATCATAAATAAGCAAATACTTTTGCACAAATTCTCCCTAAACTAAAATTATATTCATTCCGTTATATTTTTACTCCTTTATCTATTTTTAAGTTATTAATCTGACGGACTGATTGAATAAAAGTCGTAAAATCCTATTTTACCTTATTATATATAGTCAGAAGATTACATTCAATGATTTCTTGAAATTATTATAGTACAAAATAAATTAATTTCTCCTAGAAAAAAAGGTTAACACCAAAAACACCCTACGGTTTAATTCATTTTCTAAGATACCCTTATTTTTTTTAAAAAAGAAAAATATCTTTTAACCGACAAATCCATTATAAAAAGGGTCTTCTAGCTAATGAAAATTAATGCATACATATGAAGTCATCCAAAAAAGTGTCATAAAAGATGTTTTTTACTCCAAGAAACCCTCTGTGACTATTTTTTATAACCTCAAGTAATCAAATATGTGCTTTTAAATTTAAAATTCAGTTTTCACAAACCTAAAAAAGTATGAATTTTGAATTTAGAAGTGAACAACTGAATATTGGGATTCATGGAGGGTTTCTTGGAGGTACGAACACTTTTCGGCAATTTTTTGGCTGACTTCATACGCATATATCAATTTTCACTCATTGAAGGACCTTTTCGATAATTGACTCGCCAGTCAATGAATGTTTTTAATATTTTCTCAAAAGGTTAGGGTAGTTTAGATAATTAACTAAAATTTTGGGGATTTTTTAATATTAACCGAAATAAAAATTGCCAAATATCGAATCCACCAATTACCACGTCTATTGTCATTTTACATCACCTCTCATCCCGTGATTGGACACCAAAACCCAAAAACATCAATGATTGGTTCGTGACACTCACATCTTCAAAATTCGCGTGGCGTTATAATAACAAAGCCAAAATCCCATCCCAAGAAGATCAGAACACAAACACAGCTCGTATTTTTCGAATTTAATACAGTGCCTGATTTTATTGTCCCGTCACCAAACTAGTTACCCAACTAATTTTCTTCGTACGTATTTATTCTCGTATTCTGTAAAAACCATCTCGTTGTGTTTGATAGAATACAAAAGTACTTTCAGGCCTCCAGCTGAGAGTTGGGGCATATTCGATTGATTTTGTGAAACAAAGGGGTCATAAAGTGTTTGATAGTGGGAAAGATTAAAACTTTGGAGGAAAAAAAAATGGCGCAAGCAGTTGAAGAATGGTATAAACAGATGCCAATCATCACCCGATCATACCTCACCGCTGCAATTGTTACCACCATCGGTTGTTCCCTTGATGTATGTTTTTTTCTTTCCTTTGCTTTGGTTGAATTATTAAATGTGACTTGATTTGTTGCAATGGATTTTTTATGGGTTTCTTGTTTTGGGATGAAAAATGAATTTTGTGGCTGTGGGGTTTTTGTTTAGTATGGTGGAAAAATTGGGGCTTTGTGATTCCTTGGCGAATAAGGTTTACTAGGTTGAATTTGGGAAGGAGGTATTAGGGATGTTCTCAGAAGATGCCATTTGGGGCAAATTCTCAATTTTGATTCCTTGGTTCGATTGATGAAGAATAGAGACTTTTAAAAAGCAGAATTTTTTTTTCTCTTTTTTTTTTGGTGTACTCTGATTGATCATTTGTATTGGATTATGTTGGTTTTGCAGATAATTTCACCTTATAACTTGTACTTGAATCCCAAGCTGGTGGTTAAGCATTATCAATTCTGGCGCCTGATTACCAATTTCCTCTACTTCCGCAAGATGGGTAATTTTTTAATACTTAGCAGCTCTGTGTTTTGAAGGATTCATTGGTTTGGTCTTTTCACCTTTGAAAGGAGTTTGCCGCATATATTTTAGAAACTATGGGTATTTCTTCTTGGTGTGAAAGAGACACTGATGTCATATTGAATGAATTCTGCTGTGTACTATGGGTAATTCTGCTGTGTAAAAGTTGAGTGCCACATTTTGGAATGTGCTATCCTTTTTTTGGAATCTTTAGATTCGTTAATATGTACATTTTGTTGGATGTAATTTCTAAGCCACTGCAACCTTCAAGAAACCTTTTTGGAATTTTTTTAATAATTATTTTTATCTCAACTTTTTTGCCTTTTCGTAGCTGAAAAACTGATCTTCTATTGCAAAAACCTTAAATGGCCTTGCAAGAAAGCTTATCAGATGTTATTTTGCTTGTATAATTGGGAATAACCGCTCTTCTTGCATAGTTTTGACCGTTATCTTGTATTAACTGTTAGTTTCTGGTTGACAGTGTTTTTTCTTTTGGTTGCTTAACTCTATCTCCTCTGCCTGGCATTTCCAGATTTGGACTTCCTGTTTCACATGTTTTTCCTTGCTCGCTACTGCAAGCTTCTTGAAGAAAACTCATTTAGGGGAAGAACTGCCGATTTCTTTTACATGCTGTTGTTTGGTGCCACTGTTTTGACTGGAATTGTACTTTTTGGTGGGATGATACCTTTTGTTTCAGAATCATTCGCGAAGATAATTTTCCTAAGCAATTCACTGACGTTTATGATGGTTAGTTTATACAAGTTTTGGCTCCAACTGCATTACTTTAGTTCCAAGGGTTCTTTGGTTAACTAAATTCTAATGTCGCAGGTTTATGTTTGGAGCAAACAAAACCCATTCATCCACATGAGCTTTTTGGGTCTTTTTACTTTCACAGCAGCTTACCTTCCCTGGGTTAGTACATTTATGAAGTGGTCTTGGATAGAAATGTGTGACATTTTATTTTCCATGTACTCTCTATATATGTCTATTACGAGATGAATTGATTGTTGAGGTTGGTCTTTCCTTGAAAAATTCGTATCAGGGTCTTCGTCACTGAGCTAAATTTTTGTAAGATATTCCAAACTGTTTTCAACCATTTGATATCCTGGCCAGGTGCATGAATGAGGCTTTGGCCTTATCTGTGAAAGGGGAAAGTTTTTAAAAGTGTAACTATTATATCTTATAATATCCTGGTGGAACTTCTCCAGACATTAGTGACTATGGTGCTGTACCCTGTCCTGCGCACCAAATGTGATATAACAAGTGTATTGCAGTTTATACATTAAAAATAGTTTGCTGTTCTCAGAAGGCCTTTTCGGGATTTTCCTTCTGTCAGCTCAATTTTCCAAGGAAAATAATGATTTTTTTTTTGTTTTGGGGGTGAAGTGATTCCGTTATAATTATTTGTTCGCTAGCTCTGAAGATTTTAGAAGTTTATCACGAATTTCAATGTCAAGATTGATTGCTGATTTTTTTGGAAAAAAATATCTGCACTTCTTTTGCTCATCCAAGATCTCTTATGTACATGTTTTTGTTCCCAAAATGATATATTTTTTTTCTTATGTACCTTTTCTTCTTGCAGGTTCTTTTGGGCTTTTCAGTCCTTGTTGGCGCTAGTCCCTGGGTGGATCTTTTGGTGCGTTTTCTTTTTCCTTCCCTTGTTTGTTATTGCATTTAGTCTAGTTTTATCTTCCTGAGTTTCAACCTGCTTCTTCTGGGAGAGATGCATTAAGTTTCAGCCACCTTTCCTGCATTCCACTAGGATAAGCTTGGTTTATTCCGCATATAGAAGATTTTTGGTTATGTCCATCTTAAGAATGTGCATTGTCATCTTCACGCATCAAGTGTTCCCCTTTTATCGTAAATCTTTTTATCGCGTGTTCTTTCCTGCTTAACTGTCTAGTAAGTAGGTGTTCTACTCCCTTGAGGTGTAGTTTATTCTTCCGTGTTATGCAATTGACATTGTTGGTATATTTTTCCTTATGATATGGTTTATCTCTCCAGGGTATGATAGCGGGTCATGCCTACTACTTTCTTGAAGATGTGTACCCGCGAATGACTGGCCGGCGGCCTCTGAGGACTCCGGGTTTAATAAAGTCTTTGTTTGCTGATGAGCCAGTAGTGATGGCAAGACCTGCGAATGTCAGATTTGCTGCGCCACCTGTAGATGAGATTCCTCAGAACTGACGATGTTAAAGCAAGTTTGGTTAAGCCAATGTGTGTGTTCTTGTTGATCATCTCTTAGGATACTTTGTCGAAAGCCCCATTGAAAAAGTGTTCAATCTGGTTTTCAGTGACAACTTTTACTTTTTCCTTTTGGCTTTTTTCAGTCTTCAATCCCTCTGAATTGTTGCATGCTTGGGTGTTAGCTGCAAAAGTTAAGATGAGGTTTGAAGGCTAATTTTGTAATTTAGAACATGACAGGTTTATCTTATACACTGGTACAGGGCACCTGATGTGTCTATTTCAACCGAATAGGCTTTGGTATAGATTGTTGTAGTCATTGTTGAAGAACCAAATATCTTAGTGGCATCTGTTTTTATCGCCTTGATGTTTTGGTTTATAAGTTTGAACTTAACTGATGCGATTTAGTGGTTAAAGTATATTAGTTTTCATCACAAATAGGACTGGACAGACAATTTTTTGTGGTTAATTCCATGATTGAGTACAGCAATTTTTTGTTTAAAGAAAAATATGAAAACACAAGCTCACTTAAATTATCCTCATATAAATCTTGGGTTGTTACACCAATATAGAGAAACAACAGCAGATCATTCTCACGTGGAAACCACAAAAAAATATGAAACGAAAAATAAATTACATGCTACGATTTACCTATTTTTTTTAACTCAAATCAAAAGAACAAATTAATAACTCCAAATAACAAACAAGTGGTCATTTTTCACAATACTCCTCCAACTCCAATCATGCAAAAAAAGAATTGGTTGAAATCAGTTTGGCATTGCACGCTGCTAACTTGCCACAATTCTTTTTCCCGCTCAGCTACGCTCCTTCAGCTCTTATATAGCTTACTTAGCCTACTTTCCAGCCACAGCAAGGTGATATGAGGAAGATCATCAGCCATGTAAAGTCAAATTGGCTAACGGATAGGGTGATATTGTGCTGATACTCTTTTAGGTGGTAGCTTGCGAAGAATGTAGAGCACAAGAGCTGAAGGAAGAATCTCAACCAGCTGTTTTTTTTCCCGCAACAAAATTGAAGAACGATTAAGATAAACAGAAGCAAAACACAAAAACAGAACCTAGAAGGCACGTGCAAATGCAGAGCCACACAGATAAGAAAACGATATAAAGTGGGGAAATCATGTGTACCATGTAGTATATCAGGTTTAAAAGAGGATGATCAAGCACGTCCAGCGAAGCATCCGCATCAAAAGCCGATAGCACAACCTGCATATACACTAGGTAGATGTCTTAATGAAGTTTCAAACACTTTACTGAACAAGTTGCCAACCCTAAAATATGCTGGAGATGAGCAAAAAGACTTCTCATTACAGCCCCACAAAAACCACACACGTCGAAACTTAAAAAAGGCACCAGATGCAATTTTCAGTTTGCTTACCACAAAGCACCTAATAAGGAAACAACTGAAACATATCGCTGTTACAGATCCAACCTGCAAATCAAAACAACCAAGTCACATATTATTAGCCAGCTGTGTTGCCTTTTATAACGGTACATGAAAGTTGCACATGATGCTGCTTTGACAACTACAAATGTGTCTATGGCAAATTCAAGGTTTGGACAGTCATAAAACTACCATCACCCATAGCAAAAAGCAATGGGTATAACTTAAGAATAAACAATTCCTCATATGGTTCAAGTAAAAGAAAAAAAAAATTATCACTAGCCTCATGTAGCTTCTTTCGCCTCCCTTTCGATTCAATAGGAAACCGTCTTAGCATGAAAAATAACCTGGATGAAGTAACCGATAGAATGGACTAATCAGTAAAGTTGTAAACTATACACAAATATTGATAATCATTTGTTTCTATGGTATGACAAACAAGTTTAATAAGAATAAATTCTTAAGGAAAGAGTTCAGACAATTCACCTTCCTCCATAGAATAGGAAACCTAAGGCTGCAATAAATGATACCACTGCACAAATGTGAAGGAGATTAGCAAAGCAATAGAAGAAAACAACAGGCAACACCGAAAATCCCTTATACGCATACAATCGGTCAGAATGGGGTTTACCAGCAATAAATATCTTCCCAATGAACTCAAAAACACTATTATCATGAACCCACAGGTCAACCCAGATGCAAACCTGATTCACAAAACCTCACATCAATTAAAAACAAGCATTAAAGAAAATTACATAATCTATACAGCAAACTAGAGATAGCAAGTGCAGCTGGATGGATTTTTTCTTCTCTTTATCCACGGCAAGCTCCATTAGAAGAGAATGCAATTATCATGTCTCCGTAAAGGATGTACAGTATCAGTTTAGGCCAAAAAGGGACAAGAAAAGAAGCAATATGGAGAGGAAAAAATAATGTAGCATTTTGGTACAAAGCAGAAAGCCTGTAAAACTGCAATCATTTTGCAAGCGTTCATGTAAGAAATAAAACTTGGCGTTGACGATTCAGACTCTGAAATTAAAGATAAATGCAAACCCTTTCAGCCCGTAAAATGCATTACGCTTTCAGCCAAGACTGGTAACAAAATGAAAGATAAATAAACAAGACAACTGCGCGTTAACAGACACAACACAAAATAAATAAGTAAAGAAAACTTCAAGACGGAGTAAAACATGCAAAGGAAGCATAACAGATGATAGTCACACATGGTTATGAAAAATACAGTTTGATAGAAACAACTTCATACTACAAACCTGGAAGAAATATATGGCACAGTTGATTGCTATATAATATATTCGGAGTTTATCAGTTGGCAGACTTCTAGCCTGTCATACAAAAACCTAAAAGTCAGAATATCCTCTGACATATAAACTGGCATCAAGCGGTACTTGAATTAGGATGGTATCAAAAACTTCACTCACTTGGTGATATATCTCAGCCCAAAATAGCACGAGAAGGGTATAAGTTGAGAAAAAGAGTAACCCGGGAAGATCCAACAATGTGAAAGTCAGCACCTGGTCCAGAATCAAACAACGAATTTGGTGGTCAGAAATCAGAACAGCCAAATCAGATCTCCAAGACCTTGAAAGGCCCTCAATGGTGGTAATGATGATTATTGGGTCCAAAAAGACTATAACTTAGGATGTTGAAGAATCACTTGTAAACAGAGTGGTTAGAGAGCAATAAAAACTAAATCCATGTAGGCGAGTAAAAAAAGTTGCATTTCCTTTTCAACCTGTTACAATTGCAAATGCGTGCAATATGGCTATATTACCAAGAAAAAAATTGAAAGAAGAAGATAAAACAATCAGCTCTTTTAAAATTTAAGCAGCATAAGAAATGAGAACATTCCATTTTAAACCTTCTCTAGGGAGTGGGACGAATAATGAATTCAACAACCAGCAAGTTTGAACTGCTTTATCATCTTCTAACACTAGTGTTCGCTATAATTACTAAATGTTGTTCTAATATGATCATGAATCCAAAAGGAATTTCAAAACTTCCCATTATTAGTTGGATTAAACAATTACATGAAATTATAGGTTCCATGACGACAAATTTAAAAGAAAATTGGCCACAATAATTGTTTGTCTATAATTCTGATAAATGTGAACACTAACCTTGGGATGCAAAAGAAAAATGTGTGTATGGAATCCAAATACAACAGCCCGTACTGAGAAAAAGAAGATAATGATCAATAATCAACATATATCAAAAGGAATATGGCAAAGTAATCATCTCATTACCTCCATTTACAATAAAGTTCATGAGATGGAAGACCTTTTGTGTGGTCCAACCATATTCTGGAACTCTAAGTTCTATCCTTATTAGTTGAATCTGCGAATGTACATTGAAAAGTCAAAAAAAACAACAATAAAAGTAAAGGGGTCTGAACTAACTAATCCCAGTAATCACCTGAATTGCCAAACGTCACAAGGATCACTTACTTTGCTAAATAAAAAAATAAAAAAAAAAAGAAGAAGAAGAAAGACATACATAAAGGAAACAAACAAACAGCATTCACCATCAGTAAAACAATAACTGTACATTCGGGCTTTTCCAAAAAGAAAAGAACATGTGTTAGTAGCAATGTCAATCATTCAAATAGGAGGAAATTAAGATAAATAACAAAGTTATCCATAGAAATTTAAGAAATTATTCAACAGATATTTAAACTTAACGGATAATTTAACTGTCACATCTGAACATCGGTAACACACTGGTTTGCTTCATGATTTTGATATAGCTATACCATAAAAAACGATAATGAACCTTGATTAACAACCTAAACATGTATTCCCTCCAGTTTTAATAATACGGCACAAATTTCACACTTTAGTGCCTTATATGACTTGGACCAGAGAGTGTAGATGATTGATTCTTAACTGTCTGATCAAAGCACCAAGGAAGGCATTAAAAGGAAACAAGTAAAGCTATTGACGGAAAGACACTTCTACCACATCATACTTCAATAACAAGGAAACTTCTACAGGTACAATTAATCACGTAAAATCACTTTCCAGAACAGAAGACTTGAGCTAAGCATAAAAAAGTGATCTTTAACTCAGAAAACGAAAATCCCAGAGAAAATTGACCCGTTGTAGCTTAAATTAAGCTAGAAAGAATAAATTATTTTATGGCAGGGATAATTCCAACACCCAAAGTTTGCGTTGGAATGCAACATCCGAGCTAAAACAAATACAAGGTTTCAAGATTACTAAAAATTAACTCATAATCATCGAAGTCACAAACTAAAATCCAGAAAATCAAAATAAAAAAAGAAAAGGAAAGGAATTATTACAAGGGCAACTGAAGAAACGAGCGCATAAGCAGCACAAAGACTGTAAAAGATCCCATCCTGCCATTCAGCAGACTCGTTGATCCGGTCCCACCAATCCTTGGAAAGTCCTGTACCCCCGGCGACGGCGGAGGTGAGGTTGGTCGCCGGAAAGTTAAGTGGCAGTCTCGTCATTTCAGGAATCCAGCCCCCCCGCGACAGAAGCTCGTTTGCCCTTCCTTTCCCCAACTGGCCGAAGTCAAACTCAGGTGGAGGGGAAAAAGAAAAGGTGAAGAAAAAGAACAGTAATACAGTACGTAATAATGATTTTTTTATTTTTAAAAAAAAAAAGAAAGATAAAAAGGCGAGTAAATTAATTAATGATCACTTAGAATTTTTCAAATTAGTACAACTAGCCACGTTTTTTTCAATCTTCATTTGGATTAGTAAACTGAGTAATTGAGGAATCATTTTGGAAAGCATTGAAAGTAAGAATATATGTACTGAACATGTTTTTGATGAGTTTGATAACATTTTTTTAAAAGAAAAGAAATACGTGGAAAATAGTACGAGGATAACATTAGAAAAGTTACAATCATTTATCAGGGTGGTAATTGACACCATGTAAAATAAGTTCATTGTTGATATACTTTGTTTAGTAAAATGTAAATTTTTATGCATTTGTTGGTTTTTTTATTGTTAAATGTTGAACAAGGTAATAATAGACACTGCTTGAGTGTGAAAAATATAAATTTCTTCCATCCGGAATAATTTTCCAGTTTGAATTTTCATTTTTAGTACAAATTGAACTAAAAGTAAAAAAAAAATTGAAATTGAACAATAATTTTGAAACAAAGGAAGTATTTAATATACCTTTTTGTTTTTAGATAGAATGGGTACAATTATGTATATGGTGAAGGTAATTGAATATAATGCTTTGATATTTGTCCATATGGAGTATGATTACAATGTGATTGAATCACGTCCTTATATTTGATCATTTTCCATTTTCTGTATGGAGGAAAAAACAGGAATTCAAAACATATACATTCTCTTTGTTTAAACTAAAAATCATATATAGTTGTAACTTGTACGTATTATTTTGATCCTGCAAATGAAATTCATATTTTTCATTGAGAGATTAGCATATAGATAAGATAAGTTTTATCTAGTCACACATTTAGGACTTAGGGTTAAAAATGTGTACCTCAAAATCCTAGAATACCATGGCTTTTCAACCTAAATGGAATAACTATAAGCATCCTTAAGTCCTCATATAGCCTAGGGTTCCAAACTCGTCCTATTCTTTTTTGAGTTTTTCTTTTTTCGTGAACGATAAATTTCATTTGACAAGAAACTACCTGACGGTCTACGGAGGAGATGGGTCCACCTAAGGAAGGTCTCGAGAAATCCAGTTGGGTTGGGCTGGGCCATACTAGCGGGACCAGTCTTGGAGTCACTATCTATACCTAAACGTCCACGCCATCCGCGTTAACCGTATGAATTTTGAAGCTTTGGACTCGTGGCCCAATGGAGGTTGCCTGCTAGCTTCTTAAAATTGAAGTAACAATAAAATTTGTTGAAACTGGTGGGTTAAGGCTACATTTTCTGTCCAAATTCTATACAATCATTTGGAGATAACTATATAATTGTGAGTCTGAATCAGTGTACTGGTTCATCAACAATTTGAATTAATTATTTAAATATAAGGAGACCGAAGAGTAAGTAGGAGATAGAAAGGGACATTGTAGTATGACTGTATGAGTATCAATCAAAGAACATTATCTTTGATTGCAATTATGAAAAACTAATGTTATCATCCTATGCACTTCATGTTATATGTTTGTTTAAGTTTTTCTAGTATATTTGTAGGTTGTTTTGTGGTTCTACCTCTGTCCCGTTTTAATTAGGACAGGTGTTTCTTGCACCCATCAGAAGAAAAAGATGAAAGATCCTAGCTACAATTTGGCAAGTTTTTCGTAACATTGTTCAAGAGATGAAATTTGTCCGAACATATATATTATACTTAAGTAATAATGTTGGCATGAAAAAACAATCCATTTACTATCTTGAGGACGTATGTGTCAGCTCTCTCTCTCTCTCTCTCTCTCTCTCTCTCTATTTATAGATCAATAACAGATGGCGAAAATAGTCCAACTAAGAAAATAAATAATTATTTGGGCCCAATTTGTTTTGGCAATCCTTGATTAAAGACTGGCAATGGGTCTCTACTCTACCAAATGAATCATCTTTTCAATCCGAGCAAATTCATTCCCAGGACAACTTCTGCTTGTCCCTTCTTCAAACCGTGAGGGATCAAACTTTGATGGATTAGGGTATATTTTCTCATCCATTTGTGTCATGCATGCTGCCCAAACAACCCATAATAAATTAAGTGGCACAAAATTAATTCAGAGCACCCGTATTTGAATTTAACCTTTTTTTTCGAGGATTATTCAGATATTTTTATTAAACAAAATGAGTTTAATTTTTAGATTTCAGTGTTAAATGTTCATACTTCAAACTTCAGTAATTATCAAACAAACCAAATAGTACCAATGAAAAAAAAAAGACCATGCAGAAAGGACATTTTAAAACTTCATATTTCTCCTCTTTTGGCATGAGAAAAGATTTGTAATTATGATGAATAGAATGAAGATTTCATATTCCTCATAAAGACATACCTGCCAACCCTTTGGAATTACATAACCTCTAAACTCAATATCTTTGAGAGTCTGTCTGAAGGAGCAGAATATTGGAGGATGCATTCTTAAAGTCTCTCTTGCTACCCTCCATGTGTATTTCATTCTGGCCAGATCATCCCACGTTAAAAACTCCTGAATTCCTTGGATTTTGCAATTTCCTCTTGCTCTACACAAGGTTAGATCTTACACAAATTAATTACTTCAACTAGTTAAGAGTTCAATATCCCCATGCATCCGACTTTTCCAAATATAAATTTGCCATTTCATCTTATGAATTTCCGTAAACTCGAAATGTGTTAACTAAGACAAGCATGTATAGCACGATATGTTCTAAACCTTGGATGATTTTGGCTTCAAGAACGTCATAAGTGCATCTCTATATACAACGAATAAGACTATAAACGGTCAACTCTTTAAGGCTTTTTGTGTATGATTAAGTTGACTCCTAGTTCATCCTTGAGATTATTGTGGTGCAAGCTGCAGAATGTACAGCAATCTATGCTTTCAATTCATAGAAAAAGACACCAATACAAATACGAACATATATATAGTTGTACTACATGAACCATTACTTTTATTACGTACTATTCCTTCCGTCCCAAACAAATTAAATCAAAGGAGATTTGTTTATCGAATCAAAATACAGTGGTAAACACGATGATGTGTCATGATGGCCTTGTAGACTTGTTCCACCCTTTAGCTTGAAACATTTTAACAACATCTACGAGCTGATCAGGGCCTAATAACACATCCTTAACCGCTTCATGTGAGAAAAACCTCGGACCCCATCTGCATAGGTTGGGTGTTTTTGTGTCATCAACCAATCTAGTTTCGGTCAACGTCTCCACGGCAGGCAGCCATGACCAAAAGGGTCCCAAGGCAATGTCAAGGTACCCAATATTATCTCCACCAAAGAAAGCTTTTCTTTTGCTACATTTCACAAATGCCTCCTCTAACAGCAAAAACCCTTCATTAATCTTGTCTAGGTATCCTCTTTTGGCCTCCTCTTCAGTTGGGGGATCTTCTCTGAACTTTTTAATTAGCGGAAGCCACTGCAAATTCATCACCATAAAACAAAGTTTCAAACTTTGACCAAATTCTTAGAAACACCAATACTATCTTATGACAAATAAATTGTGTTCAAAATAATACAATCCACAAATTGTACTGTATCTCAAGAATTCAAGGTGGTTAGAGTTGTTTTTGACGAAAGAGGAAGAAGAATTTAGAAGATCTGTTTGGTAAAAATTGTGTATCCATCCATTTGCAGATCGGGATTCTGCTCATTAAATACCCGGAAATTAACACTTGTCTGGCTAACTAATCTATTTACAGACTAAAGCCCATATTTATAAATATTACAAAACAGTCTATGTGATCAATCAAACTTCTACCAAGACATATGTACATAAAATCCTGTACAATCCGCACATATTATGTACACTGTAAACTTTTTTTTTTTAATTTTAGGACGGAAAGAGTATATTGAATCTCACCACATTATCAAGATAGGACGCCCAAAAGCGTGCTAAGGATCGATCGAAGGGATCGACAGGTAAGATAAATGATTGATGATGAGTACTCCAGACCTCGTCAATGTACTCCACTATGGTGAGCGATTCGGAAATAGGATTACTTTCATGGATGAGAACTGGGATTCTCTTGTAAACCGGGTTGGATGCAAGAAGTAGCTCGCTTTTGTTGAAGAGATCTTCCTCGGATAACTCGTAAGGAATGCCTTTCAGGTTGAGTGCTATTTGAACCCGGTTTGTGTTTGGACTGGCTTTTAATCCTAGGAGCTTGATCACATTTAATCCTGTACGTGAGGCCATTGTCTCTATCAAGACTCAAGAACGAAGATATGATGAAAGCGGAACCCGTCGTATGGAAACCTACAAAATGAGGGCTCGCAGATATTTTTGAAAGTTGACGATTATGGCAGTAAGATAATTGAGAGAGAGAGAGCGAGCGTATGTGATTACGAAAGTATTAAGTAAACTTATGAAAGGACTTCCATTTATATATTGTTCATGACTTTAATTTGTTATCAAGACAAATGTACACTACCCCATATAGTAATCATCTTCTGCTTCTCTTATTCGCAGTTTATTAATTCGATTCCCCTTTTGGCCTTATTCCCACTATTCATTCATGCACCTTAAATTTAAATTAGCTGGGATAGTTGGTTTCAAAAATAAATTAGCTAGGTGGTTGTGGCCAATAATTGCATTTGTTTTTTTAGCGGGGTGGTTTTTGACTTTTTGGTGGGTTATTTGATATGAAGTAGACTTTTTTCTTTTATGATGATTATTAATTTGTTTGTGCTACATTTGTTTCAAATTTCTTTCCGGTAAGTTGGCTTTATTAATTGGGATGTTTTATATAAGATAATGATTTGTGTTGGAAAATTTTAACAGAAAATGCAGTATAACTCTCCATACTTGTAGTTTACCTTCAGGAATTTATTCATTTAAGGATTAGGGGATAATTAAAATTAATCACATTATTCTTGACAAATTTTTCCTGTATGTATTATCTCTCTTTTATGAGACTGAGATTTTTGTTCCTAATGTTTATCTCATTCACATTTTAATTGGACCAAGTGGTTGGCCCCGGTACCTTAATTTAGTGGCAAGTTCATATTCATCCCATATCCATTTTAAACATTTTGAGATTGGATGTTCAGAAATTATGGGTGCATAATAATACTTGTACATGCACATTGCTGTAGAGGAGCAGCCAGCAGAGGTGTTATCAGGTTTCAGTTGCTACAACAGGAGCATCCTTTTGCACTGTTTCTAACTACATTTCTTTTTATTCATTACAAATTCAAAATGCAATCTACGTTAAAAATTAAACAAAGTAACTTCCTTAACTAAAATGATTATTTAGTTTGAATTATTTTATTTTAAAACCAAGAATATTATTTCGCGATGAAATATATATTATATGTACTACAAAGGCTACGTAAGAGTGGAAATGAAGTTACAGAACCCCTTTCTTTTCTTTACTATATATACGTAGATTATTAATTTGATCCGCAATTGTCCAAATCGAACACAAGATGACTTGGGGACGATTCTATGGGTATAGTCCTTGATTGAAGATTCGAAATGGATCTCTGCTGAAGGAATCATGATCTTCACAAGAGAGCTTCCATTGAACACGTAAGACAAGTAATGCATCATAACTAGGGTCTCCATCCTTGCAAATTCATTCCCAGGACAACTTCTGGCTCCTCCTCCAAACGCCACAAAACTGAAAGGTGTTCTTTGTTCCTTCCTCGAATCACGACGGATCAAATCTTGACGGATCCGGGTAGACAGTGACGGAACCAGCCCTTGACATTTGAGGGGCTGGATGTCGAAAAAAATACTTTTGTGTATTTGTAAGCATTTATAATTAATTTACATGTTATTTTTACCTAAAACTAGTGTTTTAAGGTGTTGGTTCACCATAAGCTAGTATTTTATGGTGCCCTTTTAGATTCGTACTTGATCACTTAATAATAACATAATATTTTAGTAAAATTTACTTTGGAAATAACTAAACAAATGCACAAAATAAATTAACACCAAAATACACAAAACCTTGGACGTGAGGCAATTTTTATAGTTTTTGTAAAATTAAGGGCCAAAACTCCTCCAGCTGGGAGGGTTTCAACTTTTAAGAAAAGTGACAAGGGAAAAATGAGGGATTAATTGAAATTTATAAAACTTTGAAATGGTCTTCTTCTTCTTCATTGAACGCCGGCACTGCAAGTCAGCAACCAACGGCGACCGTCGACAATTTCCATTATAATAATAACCCCACCCCTTAAGGGCTGGGATTATGTCTTCCTCAGGACCCTCCACAGCCTCCATCCCATATTGGGGGGCTGAGTGATCAAATCAGAATCACTTGGGCTTTGGCCGGGGAAAAATCTATAGGTTTCTCCGGCCGCGGGGGGGCTCGAAACCCCCCAGGGCCCAAGCTGGTTCCGCCGCTGCGGTTAGATTCCGTTGTCCATCTGTACGTCATGCATGCGCCCAAAACCATCGGTTTTTCCAAATCGGCTAAGTTTTGAAACCGGACCATATTTCCTTACTCTCCCTTGAAGCCATTCTTCTCCCTTTGTTGGCTCTCATGGCTTTTAAAAGGTCTAGACTTTGACCTATAAAAGGTAATCCCATTGAAGCGGGAGGAAGCCTTTTGTGATTTCCATTTTTCCTACTAAGGAAAAGAGGCATCATTATCAACAATATGAAGAGGGTTAAGTAAAAAGTAGATTCCATAACCATGTATATGGATATTTTGGAATGGGAAAGAAAGTATTCTGGATTTGATATTTAAACTATTTCATGCAGATGCTTGTTATATATTGTGTTACCGACGTAGATCGAATCGTTTGATTCTGGCTAAAATTTGATTCGGAAATAATAACGCCATGCTGTCCGGTAGTGCCTAATTTTTGGTTTTGAGAAATGAGTTAGTCAATGTCATTCCTTTGATGACGTCTTTAGTACAAAGAATGAGGCCAAAAATGCATAAATAGGGCATGCCCATTGATTGGTATGTGCAAGATGCCAGATCGATTAAGTTTACTTTTAATTTGTGACGTAGTATACTTATTAATGATTAGGTAACATATCTTCTTGTTTCAAAATTCAAGGTCCCATAGTAATAACAATAGTTATCATCTTAATGACGTTACAAAATAAGACTATTCATACAATTATCAGTACTGCAAGAAATTGGACCGCAAGTATTACAATTGCTGGCTGAAGGGCCAGAATCATAGAAGGGATAATTTGGATTCAAGTTTTATTGGTAGTCCTTGATTGAAGACTGGCAATGGATCTCTCCTAAAGGATTCATCTTCACAACAAAGCTTCCATTTAAAACCAGTGACTAAGTAATGTATCATACTTAGTGTTTCCATCCGAGCCAGTTCGTTTCCAGGACAACTTCTTGCTCCTCCTCCAAATGCCACAAAACTGAATGGCGTTTTTGTTCCTTCCTCATACCGAGAAGTATCGAACTTTTTGGGATCATGGTAGATTTTCTCATCCATTTGTGTCATGCAGGCTGCCCAAAACACCTGTTACAAAAATTTATAGATAGAGTAGTAAATGAGCTATAATAATTTGCTCTTGCAGAAGACTAAAGGAATTGATAGATTAATTCAAAGAGCTTATTAAATATTAGTTCTACATACTTGCCAACCCTTTGGAATTATGTATCCTTCATACTCAATATCCTCAAGAGCTTGTCTGAATGAACAAAATACTGGAGGATACATTCTTAAGGACTCTGTTGCTACCCTCCATGTGTATTTCATTTTGGCAAGATCATCCCACGTTAATGGCTCTTCATTTGCCTTGGATTTTGCAATTTCTTCTTGCTCTACAAAGTTAGATGATGATGATTTTGTATAAGCATATATGTGTAACTAATCATGAATATATAATTTGGTTGAAACTATTAGGCCATGCGTACGTACCTTGAAGAACTTTAGCATAAATTGAAGGATCTTTGGCTAAAATCCTAACCAAGAATGTTAAAAGAATAGAGGTAGTATCATGTCCTGCTATCATTACAATGACTGTATTGTCCACAATCTCTTCATCAGACAGAACCGGCAGATCATTTTCGTCGCGGATGCTAAGTAAACTAGTGATTAAATCCTTCTTAGGTGAGATGATATTTTTCGCCAAATCTTGCCTCTTTTCATGTACAAGTTCCATGATGATGGATTTGGCTTTTGCGCTTGCCTGGAGGCTGCGACGAAAGGGAGTAAAGGGCAAGTTTATAGGAACTGATAACATACCTTCCATAACACTCTCAAAGATTTTTACTAAGGAATCCCTTCTATTTCCTTGTTCTATTCCAAATATAATGGAGGAAATCACGTTGAAAGTTAAGGTCTTCATCAGCGGCTCTACCTGCATAATGTAAATTTTAAATATTTAATTCCCCTGTTATTGTCAGAAACACTTGGATTAACTTTGATTCACAGGCTAAATAAACACATACCACAGTCTCTTGCTTTCCCTCCCAATGTTTCTTGAGATGCATTCTGATCTCTTCATCAATAGTACCAACATATTGCTTAAGTGCTTCTGGCTTCAAGAAGGTCATGAGCGCGCCTCTTACGCGCTTGTGATCTTCCGGCCTCATTTCAAATAAATTCTTTTCTCCAATGATCCTTCGAATGGATGCCGGTTGGTGATTAGCGAGCTTGTTCCCATCACAAGTGTACACAAACTTGTTTGCTTGTGGACCGTGGATGAAAACAGTTGGTTTTCCAAATAAGCCAAGTTTCGAAATTGGACCATATTTTTCCACTCTCTCCTTGAGCCATTCTTCTCCTTTGTTGGCTCTCATAGCCTTCAATAACTCGAGACTTTGCCCTATAATCGGCATTCCCATCGAACCCGGTGGGAGCCTTTTCGAAGCCCCTTTGGCTAGCAAAACATAAAGAGGTATCACAAGTAAACAAACAATGAAGTAGAGAGTATTGGACTCCATGGTGAAAAGAAGAGGAGGAGAAACAAGCATGATTTTGTTGATGACAATTTGGATGGTTAAGTGCATGTTGTGGTGTTTAATTTATTATATATGGGGTTCCCCTTAATTATTCCATTAGTTTGATTCGGCCACTAACCGATGGATCTCATTGTGTAATTTAGTGTTTGGAAATTTGGAAAATGTCGCTACCTAATGTCGTCATCCTTTCTACTTAGAGCTCCCAAACTATGAGAGAATGGCGTCTTCATTGGCGGGCAACAAGAAAAGAACAATAATTATATCGAGTTTTCTGAGGGTAAATGGGGAATTTGGGGAATAAATGTTAAGAAAATAAATAGGGAATTGGGGAATGTTTTTGAAGTCCAGGAGAAAAAATGTCGTTTCTACCTAAAACTTTACCATCATCGTTAATTATATCCAATAAATTTTCAGTTAGCCAATTTTACCTTAATGTTTGAAATTTTTCTCAATTTCGTCCAATCGACCCATTTTCCTTATAAATTGACGGATCTCCGTTATTTTTTTAATAAAATAATAAATTTAATTACAAAAATATCCTAGTAATTTTTAAAAAATTTTAAAATAACCCCTAAAATATATAAAAATAACAAAACAGTCCTTTTTTACTTTTTTATTTTATTTTTCTCTATCTTGTTCCATTTCTCTTTACTACTTTTAATGACCATAAAAGTCTATTATATGAGTTTTTAAAAAAATATTTATTTATTTTCAAACTCTGCTGTAAAAACTAATCTTTGTATAGTTGTAACCCATGATTGTATTTATACAAGTATGTTAATTTTTTTAATAATATAGTTTAGCAACAAAGACACTATTTTTCTGATTTATTTTATTCTTCCTAGTATAAAGATTAAAAATATTTAAATGAAACTAATATTCCACATAAAAATAAAATATTAGCTCAAATAAAAAAAATATTAATATATTTTAGTGTATTACAATTTCACTCAAGAGACTATAACTTGCATTAATATAATTCATAAAAAAATAACTAAAATATAAAATAATTAAGACACTATTTTTCTGATTTATTTTATTCTTCCCAACATAAAGATTAAAAACATTTAAATGAAACTAATATTTCACATAAAAATAAAATATTAGCTCAAATAAAAAAATATTAATATATTTTAGTGTATTACAATTTAACTCAAGAGACTCTAACTTGTATTAATATAATTCATTAAAAAATAACTAAAATATAAAATAATTAAAACCTTAAAAAATCCTCCAAACATAAATTTTCCTTCTTGAATATAAAACCTATTTTCTATCACAACAACTTATTACTATATTGTTACCTACATTCATTTATTTTAAATTAAAATCATATAAAATAAGCTAGTAAGACTTCCTCAATAGTAAGATATATTAATATCTCAAATAATTATTACAAAATGTTAAATTCTCGCATTGATAAGTATAAACATATTTTTTATAAATTATATTATGCCATGTAGTCTCTCTAGTTAAATTGTAATACACTAAACTATACTAATATATTATTTTTTATTTGAGCTAATATTTTATTTTTATGTAGAATATTAGTTTCACTTAAATGTTTTTAATCTTTATGTTAGGAAGAATAAAATAAATCAGAAAAATAGTGTCTTTATTGCTAAATCATATTATTAAAAAGATTAACATGCTTATATAAATGCAATCATGTGTTACAACTATACAAAGATTAATTTTTACGGTAGAGTTTGAAAATAAATAAATATTTTTTTAAAACCCATATAATATACTTTTATGGTCATTAAAAGTAGTTGAGAGAAATGGAACAAAATAGAAAAAAATGAAATAAAAAAGTAAGAAGGGACTACTTTGTTATTTTTATATAATGTAGGGGTTATTTTAAAATTTTTAAAAATTACTGGATTGTTTTTGTATTTAAATTTATTATTTTATTAAAAAACTAACGGAAATCCGTTAATCTGGACGGAAAATGGGTCGATTGGACGAAATTGGTGAAAATTTCAAACATTAAGGTAAAGTTGGCTAACCGAAAATCTATTGGGTATGATTGACGACGAGAGCAAAATTTTGAGTAGGAACGATATTTTTTCCAAGTCCAGGTGTTACTTTCATTGGTGATGTTAAGCATATAACACAATTTGTCCGCAAGAAAACTCTCATGCCCTTCTAAAATTAGTTGTTTATTTTTGCCCCCCTCCACTTTTGGCTGCTAACTCAACACACCATTGTCGAAAACAATTCATTATCGACAGCAGAAGATGGAGGATATTTTCAATGTATCGAAAAGGATAGTGGTTACATTTAGCTTGACATTTATAAATGTCTGTGTCCAGAATTTGATTAAAACATTCACAATGCAATTCAAACGCCAACTCCAAACACTAACTTCTGCTTCCGCATAATGACATTTTTTTCCCCTTCACGAACTATAACGGACACATACTACATTCACACTAACAAGAACAACCATTCAACATCCGAACTCTTTTCATAATTTGCCAGTCGTTTTTATTTAATTGTATTTTCACGGTAAGAAAAAAAAAAAAAATTACTCCCTCAGTTCCATAATTATTGTCCAGTTTGAGTTTTTACTTTTAGTTCAAATTATACTAAAAGTAAAAACTCAAATTGGACAATAATTTTGGAACAGATGAAGTACAATAAAACTATTCTCCGTTCCAAAATAATTTCAGGACAGAGTGAGTAGTTTGAAGAGTCTTTTTCCTTGGACTTTGGAGAGGCTTTGGCCCAAGACGTTGCAGTATAGCCATATAGGCCCACTAAACAAGAGCATAGCCGAGATCGAAGCGCCATTTTTCATTTTCAAATTCAAAAACCAAAACGGTCGAATCTCGCTCCTTCCGACATTTCGTAATTTCATCAAACAGTTTCCGACCATATAGATTCCATCGGATTCCTCTAGCCATTTCTCAGACATTTATCAGCATTCTGCTATTTTTCTTGACAAAAAGTTCGCAAAATTGGGACGCGAATCTGAAAAACAAAAATGGAACCTAGAGATGATCCTAGACGACAAGTACAACCACCGTCTCCATTGCCGTCTAGTTCTTCTTCCTATTTACTGAAAGATATCTCGAATTTCAAAACCCCAAAAAACCCTTCCAAAATTCCCCGTACGCCGAGTACCAAATCCGATGCCAAATTCTTCACCGCTCAGAAAGCAACTCCATCTTCGATGGCATCTCGGCGTAAAATGTCGGCGGCGGCTCCCACCAGGAGTAAAGCCGCCCGGAGACTGAAAGATTTTGAACTCGAGCAATCCAAGTCTGCTCGGAGGAATCAGGTTACGAAGGAGAAATCATTAAAGTCGCTGTCGAAATCTCTCTCAGTTTGGCTGAATTTTTTGTTTGAGAATCCTAAATCCTGCGGGTGTGACGTATCGAGATTCACCGGAGAATTTGACCGGGATGGGAGTCATTCTAGTCAAGGAGACAAAGAGTGTTCGGCAAAAGGGAAGAGGGAGGCTGGCCCCGGCAGGGGAGTTAAAGTTGGCGTGGATGGGCCGTGGCGAGGTCCCAAGAGGCAGAGGGATATGAAATGGAAGGGAAATTCTGAAAGTAGAGATCCATTGCATCTAGGTTTGAAGACTTCATTGAAGGATATTTGCAGTTTCGACGATCTCAAGGAGCGAATGAGGGCTTACTTGAGCTTGGACAGTTGCAATGAGATATTTGATACAATGACACAAGTGGCAAAGGTCTGTAAATTCTTTGACTTAATATTTTGATATAAATTCGGAATATTGAGTGTTTGATTATCACTTATTTGTGGAAATAAAGTACTTATTGCCAAGCTTCTATTGTCGAATTGTTTTAGGGGGTCTGTTAATGAGTGAACTTACGATCAGTTGGAAAGCAGTGTTTTGGAGTTTAAATTTCTATTTGAGTTGCTTGCTATCTTGAATGTTATAAGTTATGAAGCACTAGAATGAAATGGTACATTTTGATACCCTAGTGAGTCAGAATATCAAAAATGTAAACATGAACTCAAATTAAAAGAGGCTCAATGAATAGAGAGAAGCAACTGTAAAAGACTATAAGGAAACCTAAAAGAGAATATACTTATTTGCAAAGCATGGTGATGTCATGATCTCTTTGCCAATCCCCTCTAGTGAAATAATTGATTACAGGTTCATGGCTTATGTTTGAGGCTCTCTTTGCTGATGCATGTTTGTTCACTAAAATCAAAGTGGCCAAACCCATACTCATAATTTTGCAATTTTCATTTGACATCTTTCAGAATATTGATGATGGGCGGTTAAATATGAGGGCACATTGTCCAATAGTCACAGATGTTGGAATGAAAGAGAGATCGTTGGGAATCCTTATGAGTTACAACCCTGTATGGTTACGGATTGGACTTTTTGTTATATTAGGAGGAGATTTGCTACTGCCAACTGCACAGGTTAACTCTGAACAAGAAATGACTTTCTTGAGGATGGTTATTGAGAAGCATTTCTTCTCACATGCTGAGCTCGCAAAGATCTTTGCTTATAACAAAATGGTCGATGGGTTGTATAGACCTGGATACTTTGAGAAACTGGGAAGTGTAATTTTGAAGCGTTTTTTGCTGCTTGTACTTGTACTTGATCGGGCCAAATCCCAAAGTAGCTTACCCCTTAAATATGGAATAGATGGACGTGATGGGGGTTCGCCGCTATTATTCTCCTCGCAGTCTAATATCAAGTCAAGCCGTCAAGTGATATCTGGTACTTACTCTAACGTATAAAATCGATCTCATGCTATTTTGTGGCGCTCTTTAACTGATAAAGATTTTTACTTTTCTTTCTCTTGGAACATCAGAGTTCTTAACTTCTGATATAATGCATGGGGAAGGCAATCTCCTGGCACATCTAACCATTGTAGGTTATAAAGTGACTTACCAACAGGTAAGCATCTTAAACTTTCAGAAAACTACTTTACCGTCTGTTCAATCACTTCATTTCTGGTTTTGTTGAGAACTTTTTGAATTTGTTTTCTTGGAAGAACTTTCACCTTTATCCGGATTAGAGTCTCTGGTCTATGAGATTTGTTCAACTTCGGTTTCTGATTGCTCTTACAAAACCCTGTTTATCATTACGCAGAGTCCTCTAGTTGAGTATAGCTTTAAGGTGACGGAACTATATGAAGATCTTCAAGATGGTATTCGGTTATGCAGGGCGATACAGCTTCTGCAGCATGATTCTTCCATTCTCTTGGTAAGATTCAAGGGCGAAAACTTTGCTGTTATATTCATCTGGTCTCTACAAAATTGTTATAGTTCCTTACCATTTATACTTTTCTGGGTACAGAAATTAGTAGTCCCATCGGATACTCACAAGAAGAGCCTAGTTAACTGTGGTGTTGCCATCCAATACTTGAAGCAGGCTGGAGTGCCTCTTCATGATGAGGATGGCACGTTGATTACTGAAGAAGATATTGCTAATGGAGAAAAGGAGTTGGTGCTTTCCTTGCTTTGGAATATGTTTGTTCACTTGCAGGTGTGTGGATTTTTTATGAAGCCTATCACCTGATTTCAAAATAAGTACGGCTAGTGACATGCAGTGCCTTTATACTTAAGCACAATATGTCTGTGTCACATCCATTTGGTTAGACTTTTTTCAAGATATGCTGCTTAGAGGAACGGCTGATGGTTTTTCCATTCTTCTTCCGCTGATGCATTCTGTTGCTTTTTTTTAACTTTTACTTAATAGCAACATTTTGCTGCTATTATAATTATGTCTGTCTGTTTAATTTCGTACTTCTATTGATGGATATTATGTTGATCTGCAGTTGCCTCTCTTAATCAATAAAAAGCTATTGTCAATGGAGATATCCAAAATCAGAGGAGTCATTGTGGTATGCTTCAATTAGGATTCTACTCTTATTTCTGCATGCCAGAGAAGATATAATAACAATGGCTTTGAGTTTTACAAATCAGTTGAGCATGTAAATCTGAGAAATTCATTAACAACAATGAAATGTAGTTATTCATTTGGATATATTCATACTAAAAACAGTTTCTTTGAGTCTTTACCTATTGGACTAATTTGCATCCTCACTCTTGTAGGAACATTCTAGCTCTTGCACTACACTGGAAATGCTTCTTAACTGGATCCAGGTATTCTTTCTTTGTAGCTGAACTAAAATAACCATATGAACAGATTTTCATGACTTTTCTGTCTTGGTAAATAGAACATTGAGGGTCTGACGACAGACGTTACAAGCTTCTTTTCCGTAATCAAGGAGATAAAGCTGGGGTTACATCAAAAAAATATTCATGCTTTCATGTTGATAATTGTCCCCTGAAGTCTCTCTTTGTTATCTAAAATTGTTAACGAACCGGATGTGAAGTTTACTGTACTTCTCTTCTTTTTTATTATTTTTTTAGATGTTAACTTAGTTCTTTCTGAATCATAGAGGTTTTTGTTTAGGGACCTCACATCAAAAGCTTTTCCTTTGGCAGGCAGTTGGTGAAAGCTATGAGCTAAAAGTTGAGAACTTTTCTTCATTGGTTGATGGAAAAGCCATGTGGTGTTTATTGGATTATTATTTTCGAAAAGAACATAGTTCCTCATTTTCTTCAAAGGTACTAAACACGCATTCAGTTTGTTGCCTATTTGGTTTCTGGTTTCCTAGTTATAGGATCCACCTATCTTAAGAAACTGAATTGTGTGGTTGCAGGATCCAGATGAGACAAATAAAGTAATTTCCTTAGTGTCAACAAGTGAATATGCAGATGCCGTGCACAACTTCATATTATCTCAGAAACTGACGTTGCTACTTGGCAACTTCCCGGAGGTAAATACTTCTGCTATTCCACCATTGAATGGATTATGATATGGAGTTTCATGGAGTGAAATTTCATCAGTTCTTCTAGCCTATTCATAGAAACTCCTACGCATTGTGTACGAAGAAGTTTTTGTCTAGTGTTACAGATCCAACATTTTCAGCTTTGTGACTCAGAAAAAATAAAATGCAAATTATTTCCAAATTAGTTTCGGTAATGAGCTTCACCATCCATCTTATAGGTTTTACAAGTCAGTGACCTACTCGAATACAACAGTGCATGTAATGATCGAAGTGTCATTATTCTCCTGGTGTTTTTGTCCTTTCAACTGCTGGTGAAACGAAATATGGTACTTTCTATAATCTGTGCTATTTTTATGATCTTTTGATTGTGTTTCTCATAGCTTTTGAGACTGTCCTTATTTGTGTCTTTGGTCAGGACCAACTAAATTTTCACAAATTGCTGGGGCCGGACATTCAAACTCCTGAAAGGAAGCATCCAAGTACTCAACTTTCATTTCTGCATTCTCCAACAGTCTTAAATCCTGAAGGTATGGCGAAGGTCTTTTGTACTACTAATGTTTAACAACCATATGCATGTATGAAAAAACATTCATCCCCTTTGTTTTCTTTAATTTGTCTTGGTGAACTTCAATAACCAGCATTCACTATTGCAGTCTACATGGCACATTTGTTTTTGACACAGCACACTCATGGCGATAGCTTTCATTGTTAATAACCGTGTTTCATCATGTTCTTTTGTTCATAAATTCCATCTACAAGGTTCATTTTTCATTTTTCTTATCTTGTCCTAGAGAATAAATGGTGTACTAGAGATCCATTGATAGTTGATTTCAACTGTAAAATAGAGAAGATATCGTGGTTGGTGAATTATTTTGATAATACATTTCCCCATTTGTTTCTTAAATATCTGCTTCGATTTTCTGAATTCCTGTCTTTTTCAGTCCTTAGCCATTAGCAGCTAAATTGTTGCAGATACTAACTAGATGTTTTCGGGTTCCATTTCTGATTATGCTCCTCTGTTCTGTTACCTTATTGCATAATATATGGAGAGAGAAAATGTTACTGTAGTGAAGGACATGATTTGATACTTGAATCTTGATTTTTTGATGCGACACATTGCAGACCACAAACGCTGTGGTTCCTTTCATTCTGTTTATTGTGTGAACTTTATAGGTAATAGCAGAGATGAAATGAAAATTTTCTAACTTTCCGAATTTTTGTGTCATGCATGGGATATCACAAGCAGCTCTACATTTTCTACTCGTCTTCATGATAATGATTCTATCTTCTTCTTATTGGGATATCACTGATCTTTTCCTTCATGCAGATGCTTCAAGGAGTTTTAAGGCCATAATGACTTGGTGGCAAGATATGGCCCAGATGAATAACCGATGTAATCCCAAAACTGCTACTGCTATTCAACAGTGTTCGTTGATTACTAGAAAGGCCAGCAACATCGAAAGAGGTAATGGCCTTGGGAGATGGTTTCATCCTTTTGATTTTAGTGATTTTTTTATTTTTTTTTGAAGTTTCTGTTCAACAACTCTATTTCTATTCTTGACTAAAAGACTTCAAAGACCTCCCACTGGAATCTGAACTTTGAAAGTGAACTTCACATAATCTTGTTAATTCGAAGCACTGATCTAATGACTCGTCTAATGCTTCATCAAGATGTGGTTGGTAGAGTCCTTAACATTTTGTTTCATAGAGACGGTTGGCGAATTATAGGGTTTTATTTATTTATTTTTTTATAGCTTTGGTGAATGAGAAATATGATATAGTGTAACTGAAATTTGGCTCTTTGGATGTCAAGAATTGTTTCTGAACCTTCCCCCATGGTTGTTTCAGAAAATGCTGCGAAAATGATACAGTCTCATTTCAGACGGTTACTGGAATTTCGGAAATACATGAAGATGAGAAAGGCAACTTACTTACTACAAGTTGCTGTACGGGCTTGGCTAGCTGCGAAATTAAGATCATCCAAACATTTCTCTGGACCGAATTCTCAGACATCATTCTTTTGTATGCACTCTTCTTGAGAAACAATTAAGGTGTCTTTTTGTAGGTATGATTTACGCTTACATGTTTGAAAACTCCATTCAGGTACAGTAAAGAATCCTGAGAATTGCAGGGGTTACATGGCACTTATGGTTGATAGGCATGATTTCGTCAACTTGAGAACATCTGTTTTAGTAATCCAGCATGCTGTAAGAATGTGGATATCCCGTAGAAGACAGAAAGAAAGTAGGTTATTGCAAGATCTAACCATGGCTGCAACTGTTATTCAAGCATGCATTCGTGGAACAAATGTAAGGTCTCAGTATACCCAAATGGTTGCCAATTTCCATCAAGACGTTTTATATTCTCTCCATTCACAAGCAGCATTGATTATTCAAAGTTCTTGGAGAAAGTTTATTGTCCGGAAGTCTCTTCAAGAGAAACACTTCGCTGCAACTAAGATTCAGAGCCAGTTTCGTGGCTTTCAGATGAGGAAAAGTTTGGAGGAGCAGAAAGAAGCTGTATTGAAAATTCAAAGTATATTTAGATGCTTAAGATGTAAAAAAGATTTCCAGCGCTACATGAGGATACATTCATCAGTGATTGTCATTCAGTCCCACTTCCGAAGATGGGATGCACAGAGGAGATACCATGTCCTTAGATGTCATGCGGTGATGATTCAGGTATGCCATTCTTTTGATATTAATGGATGTAGTTCTATGAACTTTTGTCCCTAGTCACAGGTTGTCATATTGGGTTCAACCAGTTCAAGGCAGGTTTCTTGAAGAGGCATGATGCACTTGTTTATCTTTAGCATTTCTTCATGTGCATACAAACCCAAAACTAAATTTTACCTTGAATTACCACTCACATGACTTCTTGAATCTCTTCCTTAGCAGTTGTCATGACTCAGAATAAATCTTAAGATTTAGAAGATTGTATATTGACTTATCCGCTTTAGGCTGTTGCACATCATGACCATGTTACCATTGATATTAAAATAGACCGGCAACAGAATGTTCTAAAAGGAGCATTAGACATGGACTCTATCTGCAGTCTTGTAAATTTCCTGGTCCATCTCTTTTCTTAATAGTCAATTTTCTGTTAGTGAAATAAGTAGTTTATTTCCAAACAAATACTGATCCATCTGAACTCTTCAGAGACATAATGAGGCTGCTATTAGGATTCAAACTGATTTTCGGTGCATGAAACAATGCAAGGCATATTCTTCCCAGAGATTTGCCGCCATACAAATCCAAAGTTTTGTTAGAGGCTACATCACGAGAAAAAGGCTTCTTGGTAACTTCTGTTTTCTTTCCTAGACAGCCTGTTTTGGGAGTTTTTTTAATCTTTTTACCATTTATATTTATGGTAATATTAAATTTATGCTTTCAGGGTCTTCCTTTTGCCACAAGATCTCGAACAATGATTTCAGTAACAGAAATTTCAAAGGAAAAAGGATTGTTCAATCTGTTTTGAAGTTGCAACAGTGGTGGAGGAAAGTTTTGTTACTGAAGATGACTAAGTCGGCAATAACTATCCAGTCATATTACAGGCAGTGGATGGCACGTAAAAGGGCCTCAAGAGAAAGGCAACGCATTGTTGTCATCCAAGTTAGTTATCTTCACTTCATTTGTTTCTGTAATCTCTCGAATCAGTTTTAATGACCCAATCACGCATGGAAGTTTTCACTATTTAAACAGCATTCTTAACCATTCCATTGTGATGATCTTTGCAAAGGACTTTTTTAGTCAAATTTGTTTTTTTTTTCCTACTCACTATGCATGAAGGTCAATGACATTCAGCTTGTTCATTACCCCCCCCCCCCCATTCTCACAAATCATTATTATGTAGTAATAGAAAACTTTTGCATTCTTTTTTAGGCCACTATTAGATATTTTATTGAGTATCGGTGGACCAGGATCCCTGCTGTATGAGATCTAAGAAAAATTTAGCCCTAGTACAGTTAATTCCTTCTATCTCTGCAGTAGATTCTCCAAAATGATAGTAAGCTGTATAACTGAAAGTTAGCCTTTTTGAATGCTGAGCTAATACTTCTACGTTTTCTATTCTTAAGCTTATGTCAAATCAAAAGGAAGGAGAGAGGTATTGGAACCTAGTTATTCTTAAAACTGAACTTTGTAGTAAAGTTCACTTATCTTCAGCACTGGTGTGAAAATGAATTTTGACCTTTCAGATGAAATTTTGTTGACATATCTTCTCGTAGTATTTGATAATGAACCAAAAGTTAGTTGTGCATAATAGCTATAGCAGCAATATCCTTCATTAAGATTTTATCGATTGGTTTCTATTGCAGTCTTACTGGAAAGGTTACCTTGCTAGAAAAGATTCCAAGGGGCAGCTTAAAGACTTGCGCGTGAAAGTTCAAAAAACTGCTGCAAACATAGATAATAGCATGCGTTTGATAAACAGACTTCTCGCTGCTCTTGCTGAACTCCTGAGTATGAGAAGCATTAGCGGGATCCTTCACACTTGTGCCACATTAGGTAAATACAAGTTTGTTGTTATATATGGCAAAACCTAAAGTTCCAAATTCATAATTCCATTTTTTTGTTGCAGATGTGACTACTGAACATTCACAGAGATGTTGCGAAGAACTTGTTGCGGCAGGAGCTGTTGGCACCTTGCTGAAGCTTATCCAATCTGTTAGCCGGAGTATACCTGATCAGGAAGTTCTAAAGCATGCATTGTCTACTCTAAGAAACCTGGCCAGATACCCTCACTTGACAGAAGTGCTAATCGATACTCATGGATTTGTTCAAACAATTTTATGGGAGTTGATACGGTTTGTTACACTCAAGATCTTCTCAATATAAGTTCTCTCCACATGTTTTAAAATGAATTATTCACATTTGTTTCTGCAAATTACCTCAGTAACAAAGAGGAAGGGTATTTTATTGCGTGCGACCTGCTGAAGAAGATATGTTCAAACAAAAAAGGCTCAGAGGCTATGCAAAGTTATCCACCCCTGATAAAAAGACTACACACCCTTGTGGATGATCTCAAAAAGAAGGCAGGAAATGATAAGAGGTTAGTATTCTTGTTCTTACTCAAAACGTTCCTGCATTTTGCATTGTTTTTTGTGTTATTACTAGCGAGAGAAATGACACTGTTTTGTAAGACTCGCAACACGGGTTTTTGTCGAGCATTGTAATATTTTTAACTAAGGTACAGAAATGAGGCAGAGGATTCCATCCAACCTCAGGCATTATCCTAATTGTCTGATGTATAACTTCATCTTGCAGGAACGTTCGCAGTTCAGTATCTAGAGAACACGCTGATAGAAGGCTGAAGGAAGCTGTAGAGCTGATTGAATTGATTAGAAAAAGATGAAACTTTCTGTCTGCATGATGGTTTGCAGGAGTCCATTGACCAATTATATGTACAAAAACGAGCTCTAATTCTTTGCTAATTCGTCGATCATATTGTTGTGAACAATTTAAACTGCCTATTTTGCGAAGCAGATTCCGCACGATAGCTAATATGCTAAAGTAATTCATACGGGATAGAATGCTTTTCAAGTTTTTGTTTTTTTCCAATGGAGAAATGAAAGTATGTAACTGAGAAATCCCACATCGGCTAACGGATAGTACTTGTATATAATAGTAGACTTAAAATGTTACGGTGCTGAGCTTAGTTACGTGAGCTTGTAACCCAAGTGGGAGCAAGAAAGTGGTTGGACTTTGCGGGCTGATGATGACCTACCTATTCTTTTCGAAGTACTTGTCTCCACAACGTGGGAGAGGATTGAATAACCTTCAATAGATAATGGGGCTACGGAGGACAGAGCCCCCACCCCACATGTAGTTGGATGATTCAACGTACATCGGTGCTACGAATCGGCTCGGCCCATTACTGAGTTGGTGGTAGATTGATTGGAATCTTTCAGCCCTAAAAGGACTATCACTCTTTCTTTTCTTTTTTTATTTTATTTATCTTGACGAGTAATCATTTTATTGTAGTGATGTAGTCATATTTTAATTATGTGCCTTATTACTAATTTTGTCGAAATTTTATTTGTTGAAAGAAAAAAAAGGAACACAAATTAGGTACTTACTTTTAAGCAGGATTATGACTAGTTTGATTTCTTTCTTTCTTTTTTTTTTTTGGTTTAGCTAGTAACTTATGGCATGTTTGATAAAAATTAGTGTTTAATTCTGAATGTTTAATACTGAATTCATTAAACAGTTAAAGTAATAAGCAATAAGCTAACTTTTATTGCGTATATTTGTAGCAGTTTCAGCACCACTTAATTCATTAAGAGATTCAATTTTTGTTATCAATTATATTGAAATAAAAAATGTTTAATCCATTAATTTTAGCCATTAAGTATATTTATCAAAGCCCTTACTGTCATCAACAGAATTGCTCCAATGGAGCAGACATTTTGGAATTTTGAAATCGTTTTTGCCAAACCTTAATGGCCCGGCGGTTAAGGCTGCTAATTCAGACGGTTCGACTCGGTTCGATCGAGTTCGGTTCGGATAATTCGAATTTTTTTCTCCTCATAACACCCGACCGAAATCGAACCGATAATATTATAAAACCAAACTGAACCGACCGAATAAATTGTCGAGTTAATCGGTTCGGGGTCGGTTCACCCGCATAACAACCACCAACTCTGGGCACTTTTTTTTTTCCCAAAACAAAACAGGCAAAAAAAAAACACCTCTGACGGTTTGTTCTCCGTCAACGTCGTTGCTCTAATTTCCCAACGGATTCATCGCCCACCTCAATAACCATTGTATCCACACAATTCATCTCATATTTAAATTCAAAACACAATATTCAAAGCAATCAGAAATAGATCTATTAAATTTGTTAGAAATCAAAAATCAATTGGGCTGCAGAGGAGGAGGCCCTTGATATTTTAGATGTGAAGAAAACTAGAGGAGGAGATGCGGTTCGATTGTGCGGCGTTGGCGTGATTAGAATAGAGTTGAGATTGATGAATGGAGGAGGTTGATGGCGCTGCAACTGTTTTGGTGAAGAAACTGGACGACAAATACGCCGGACAAAATGGACGGCCAATTCTTTTGAGATAGTCAAATTGGTGGTGGTGGAATTAGTGGATTGTGGAGGTGGTCAGGACTCAGGTGGGAGATGTAGCCATGGAGGTGGTGGAGGTGGGAAGTGGGAGGAGAAACGGTGGAGGTGGGATTGGGAAGGGTGGCGGCTAGGAAAGAAGAAAAAAGAAAGGCAACCCTAATATATCTATTACATACATTATATAGTATTAATATTTTTAAATAATAAATTTAATATAATTTCGGCGCCCGAACAATTTATTTTTTCCCCGCACATGAACCGCTTAACTATGCGGGTTATTCAGTTGAAACCGACCGAAATTAACCCGCTTACCCGAACCGTTTGGTCCGAAATGGATTCGGGTCGGGCATGTTCTCGGGTTGGGCCGAATAACTGTCAGCCCTATCGGCGGTCCAATAAAAAGAATTTAAAAACTAAATAAAAAGTGACACAAATTATAGGGGCGGTCAGTGCTCACTGGTCAGCATCATAAGGCTGCTCCGCCCGCCGGCCGCCAAAATATCTTTGGACAAATCAGATTAAACAATACTGGAGATTCAGATCATGGATTCCTAGGCCCCAAATTAGATTAAAAAATAATAAACCCAGTCTCTATTTCCTTCAATAATTTATTGCTGCAAGTGCAAAATCAAAAAAATCTTCAGCAACTTGCGTTTAAAAAAAATTGTGCAACCAGTGGAGGATAAGATGCTTTTTCTGTATATACAGATTCCTTGAACCAACAACCATTTAAGAATGGACTGATTACCCTCAAAAAAAAAAAAAAGGAATGGACTGATAAAAACAGCCGAATAAATCATCAATCTAATCATAGAGATTGAACCTAATTCAAGGCTTCATTTCTTCAAGATAGAAAACGGGATTTTTTAACATGAACAAACTAAGCACCACAACCGTCATCATCATGAATCATAATCAAACCATATTTCTAGAAAGATATGGAGGAACAATTTTGAGCAGCAAATTTTATTTTTTTTTTTTAAGCAGCCCTGGCAAGAATAGGCATCCTTTCTGGGATATCACCAGCTTGAATGAAGAATCCTCTCCTAACCAAAGATCTTGGCACTTTCACAGTCAAAACTCCATCCTCATAACCTGCAGAAATCCCATTAATATCAACTCTATCTGGCAGCCTGAATTTTCTCATGAAACTCCTGGCTGGTGGTTCTGTTGATGATTCTTCATTTGCACCACCAATTGCTTCAGTTCTGATTATCAAGTACTTGGAATCCTCAACTTCCACTCTGATCTCCTCTTTCTTAACCCCTGAAACCATTTAATCAGTTGGAAGAATACATAAATAACCAATTACAAAGCTTGAAAAACAGCAAAGCAAGAAGCTTTCTGGTATAATTAATGTGTTTTACAAGAAAAAAACAGCTCTGATGCCATTTCCAAGAATTTCCCATGTTACAAACCTGGAAGATCAGCAGAGTAAATGTGAGATTCAGGGGTTTCAGTCCAGTGGACATAGTTTTCGGGGATGAAATGATAGGGAAAAAGCAGGGGAGATGTGAAGTAGGAGTTCCAGGTAGAGGGATGAACTGTGGAGTACTCCATTTTGTTTTGATTTTTGCTGGAAAGAAAAGAAAAGGTGGGAAGAAATCTTGATGACTAGAGTAGTTAGCTACTTTCTTGGATGTCCTTACAATTGAATTGTCTTTTTTTTTTTTTTTTCCTTCAAAGGGACTTTTTATAGGGAGAAAGGGGTGGTGGGAATTGAAGTTTGATCTTGCAATTTGCAACATACCATGTGAGGTTCAGTTAATTTGCTTGTTTTATTTAAACCAAATGTGAAAGGACAAAAGTGAATGAAGATTTCAAGCAGGTGTGTAACTTGTGCTTAGAACCAATAGGAAAATTTGTTGCTTGCCTTTCATTAACTTAAGCCATCATTGTCCCCAAAAGGGAAAGGGAAAAGGAAAAGAACACTTTTTTTTAATTTTTATTTTTATTTTGAAAGCAGGAAAAGAATTCCATCTAGTATCAAGATCAACTTGTGCAAGTGGATGGTAATATTGCAGAAATGAGTTCAGCGATACACAAGTTGGTAATATAATTCCTCATTTCAACTAGTAAAACAGAACGATTAGACCGCTCTTCCCACCCGTTCCCCCTTTCTGTCCACATGTCCTTCTGTTGTTCATTCCATTCCCAATTATAATATAGAGCTCTTAGGTACACTTTGAAAGTTTGTTAAACATACACTCAAAAATAGGAGAGCTTCCAATATTTACATCAATGTCATTTAAGTATATGCACGCGCCCATTAAAGCTCCCTTTCTACAGGATTTTTTTGATTTTCAAATTCTCATAATCTTCATTTTCTCCTAATTTTCAGCCATTAACTTATCCATCTTCCTATTCCATTCAACAAAACCTCTTGTCGGTGGTATTTTTGAAGACGGGGCCAGATTTTGCATCTAATTCCGTGAGTTTGGTTGCAATATACTCCGCTGAACGTGAGAATTAAGGTAATACATGATTTTATTCATCGATTTTGCGTGTTTCCTTCATGTATGAAGTTTTAATAATGCTATTTTTTTCGAAATATTCATGTAGAGGGCTACGATTGTATATTTTGATTCGAATAAGAGCAACTCGATGATTGAATAGAGAAAGAGGTAATATCATTAGTCTATTCAACGATTGATGAGTTTTTTTCTTGTGTTATGTAGATTTAAGGATTATGCATTCGAATATAAGGTATGTTCATTCGATTATAGATTTTTGTTCATCAATTTTTAAGTTTTTTTCATCATTTTGTTGTTAGTTTTGGAAAAGACTAATAGATTTGGACATTATTCATTAGTTCGCATTCAATATTCATCCTTAAAACTAGCATATTTATCATAATAATTGTGTTATTAGCTAGTTATTCATATTTAGTTTTTTAGTTGGATTATGTAGATATTAGATCTGTGCATTCGATTATAAATGTTTGTTCACCAATTTGTTAAATTTGTTCATCCATTGGTTGTTGTCTTGTTCATCTTGGAAGGATTTTCCAGATTTGTTCATTATTCAACAGTTACCCAGCCATTATTCATCGATAATAAAGGATTATTCATCATAATAATTGTGTTATGCGATTGTTATTCATTTTTTGTTAATTGTTATTCATTTGAGTGAATAAATAAAATATGTATATTTTGGTCATATTCATCCGTAATATGTGGTTATGCATCTATTTGTATGTTTAACATATTGTTCGAATGACCTATGCATACACATAGGTATAGTTATTCATCATGAGAGTAATAAGTATTCACCTGACGAATTCATCATACCTGTCAAGTAATTCATCATTTGTGAAATAGTTATTCATTTAGTATGTAATAGTTATTCATCATACTAACCTGACAGGTTATATAGTTTTAATGGTTATTCATCATTTTAAGATGATTATTCATCTTCAATAGCATTGTTATTGATGATTAACAGAGTTTTGATTGAATGTGAAATCTCACATATTGTTATGTTTTTTTTTGTTTGATCAGCGGCAAAGAAATGCTCATCAAAATGAACTTGATCGGTCGCGAATCAAATATTTGGCAGAGTTGCTGAAATCAAAGAATCAACATAAACGTATCGAGTATCGGCGGATCCTTCAAGACCTTATATGCTAAAAACAATGACTAGTTTTCCTGTTCAATTTTGATATAGTATAATAAATAATTAGAATTTTGTTAGCTTAGTTGCTGACATTAGCACATTGTAAAATATACTCTTGTTAATTTTCTTTATCAACTTTATTCATTCTGTTGCGCATTATTCATCCACTAGCGCTATATTATTCATTTATTAAAGTATAATTTTTCATCTTGCAAAAAATATATATTCTTCATTTTATTATTGTTCTTAATCTAAGATGGGATCATTATTGATCAAGATTTGCATTGTTATTCATTTTTGTGAATATCATTATTCATTTCAATCACCCCGCTTTCGATACAGACATGTTCAAACAAATGTGTAATGTGTTGGAAAAAAATATATACGATTGATCACAATTGGAAAAATGTCATTAACATAGACACGTTCAAATAACAATAGTGTAATGTGAAAGAATATATTAATATTCATCACCGTGGGAAAAATGTCATCAAAGGAGATTCGTAGAGGGAAACATTGAGAGGAATAAGAATGAAGACTTTTATTTGAAAATTTTTTCAAAATTAAATATTAGATGTTTTTATGATAACGGCACTGGTATTTATATTCCAAATTTCTTTCCTATTCATTTAGTTATAACAATTTCTATTTTTTTCCTTTTAATTTGAAACTACAATACCTTAACAAACAGGAACTTAGTATAAGTGGTGTACGTAAAAGAGTTTACCTGACTCAAATTTGAATTAGTCGCAACAATAATTTTGAATACGTGTAAATAATATACCAAACATGAATACCAGTTTTTTTTTTTCAGGTTTATACAACAATTATTTTTTTATCAATTACGCTGGTCGGACATAAAAAAAAATTAGTGGAAAGCCCGTGATTACACAGGTTATATCTAGTTGACTAAACTATAATCACTGTTAATGAACTGATTATATCATAATAAGGGGGGCAAGTTGGCGAAATATCCCTATTTATTTTTTTGTTAGTTCGTAATCTTCGGTTGTTTCGTGCTATTTAAATTCCCAGTTGTAACACTATTTAAATTTTGTTAGAAATCCAAAGTTGAACTTAAATCATCATTAAGAAAACTAACTAAATAACCCTAGAATAAAATGGTTACAAACGATATAATGAAGATAAGATTTTGGACATTTATTGAAACTAATATTAGGTTCAAGCGTAAGTAGTCAAATTGACCGGTCTAACATGCTTGAGTTGTGTTGGACCGATTTTGATAAATCTGGTCCACATGAATTGGGCCGATCACATCAACAATAATTGGAGGACATAAAATTATTCAGCCCGCAACGAGATTATTAAGCTCAAAGAAGAAGCGGCGGGCGACAATTCGAATTGAATAAGGAATCGTCGACATCACAGTCCTTATCGGAGAAGGATTTCAACCCCAACAGAAGTCCTTACTGGGTTCGACTTCTGTTGTATTTCTATTAGGGTTGGCGAGCCATCTATAAAAGCTGTAAACAGGGAAGACGACAACATACACAATTCATCATACAACAAATCATATTTTCTAGTTTTTCTTTATAGCTTCTCAATATTTATTAACTTTCGTGTATTCATTTACTATTCAGTGTTGATTTTTATAGATCTTTCGACGTTTCTGGCTTTCCATAGCCGATTCATTTCCATCAAATTAGTAGAACTGGCCTTGAGTGGTCGTTTTATTCATTTTCTCGAAATTATTCATTATTTCATCATCATACACTTAACATTTAACCTCATTGCGAGTCAAAGACGTTGATATCTCTAGACAATTTTAACGGTTGAATTCCAGATTTCAAAAATATCACACAATCGTTTGAAATTAGTTTGAGCAGAGTTGGTCTTCACTTTCAAATACAATTTTGACTCAAACAAGTTGGTAGCAATCCATCAGCCTTTCATTAAAAATCCTTCTCTTAGACAAGTCTAAAATGCTTGACACAATCCTGCAACTTTTTTACTTCATAATAAGTTGGAATCCCCTCAGTTGGTAGAATAATGATCATATGGTACAACTAAAAGTTGAAAAAAAGAACACACATTGATGTACCATTTATAAGATTATCCAATCGGCAGTTCATACCATAGGAAACAACTACGAGACCAATATTTTTTTGCACTTTTTTTTTTTTAATTATAGAAGTGTATGAGCAATGCAAGGCCAACTTGAAATAATTGTCACAAGTGCCTATATTCTTCTAAAATATAAATTTATTACTCCCTTCGTTCCAAAAAAATAGTTCACATTGAATTTTGAGTACAAATTTGAAAACTCAATGTGAACTATTTTTTTGGAACGGAGGTAATAAAAGAAGTGGTTCGAACAAGTAAAAAAAATGTTCTCTCACTAGATTCAAGAAAGAGCTTGTGATGAGTTCAAAATAGCATACCAAATAACAGGTGAAGAAGAGTGGTCTAGATGACTTTAGTTGCAAAGGAAGCAAAACCTAACGCTTGTGTTCAAGAATTTAATTAGTCAGTTAATCTTTTTATTTATTTGTTATTTTGGACAAAAACAAAAGACCAGACTCATTGATTGGATAGATTCTATAGATCGGTACTATACAGGGCCCAAGAAGCTATATACAATTTATCCAGTACATGGTGGATCCATGCTAGCCACTTTCAGAACAAATCCCAGCAGCTCAGGATCCAGCCCCAAACTTGGTGATACCGGCCTAAAAAATTTCATCAAGTCCACTTCCATATTATTCTTTCTTTCGTTCCCCGCCCCCCCACACACTTTTTTTTCTTTTTTTCTCTCCTTGAAAATCAGCCCAGCCCAAATATTGTTCCTACAAAACTAGCAAGAAAATTGGCTTAAATTCTTCTTCTAAACTAAGTACTGTAAATTTGTAAAGTTGATGGTTCCACATTTGGATGTCGTCATATCGGGAAAGAAAATTGTGGCAATAATATTTTAGCTCTTGCAAATATAAAGTTAGTTTAGTGGCAAAATCGTGATTGCACTCCAGAGGAGCGCTTACTCTCTTTCTAACAAACACGAAAAGTATTAGAAGCATCGGTGACAGATTTATTGTTTATAGGGAAAATACAAAACACAACACCTTTAACTTTGCAAAACTTCATTTTTAGGCTTTAAATCATGTGCCTATCACTGATAAAATGAAGGATGTGCCAAAACCACACTTGGAAAACAGAATCTATATTGCAATTCTTGCTTGATTTCTCAAGTTCAGAACTATCAGATTTGGCTATTTGAGTGTTTTTTGTACATATATATATATATATATATATATATATCAGAATATTTAGGGTCAATAGGAGTGACAAACTTTGGATGGATGAGGGAAAGGATAAGATAAATCATAAATACAGAGGGTGAGGTAGAGACGTTGACAGATTTCTGTCTAGTTTTTCAGTCCAAGTCCAACCAAGAGTTAGCTATAACTAAAGAAAGACCACAACAAACCCCAAACCAAACCAACAAACAACAAAACTGAGGCGACCGATGAGAAAAAAAAGAACAAATCCCCGAAACGGACCATAGAACAAAAACAAATACCACGTGCTGCCACATAGATTAGCTGACGCCAAGGGTGGCGTAACCCACCATTTTTGCCAGATCATTTTCATCACCAACTAGCTCCTCTAAAACAATGTTTACTTTCGCCTTATCCGCTAACTTTGACCCCGGATCCGCCACGTGTCGCACTCGTTTTTCCTCGCCCCCACCAAACTTCCCCAAAACCTCCATCATAACGGAGCAGTCCTTTTCTCCACCTTTTTACCACAACATCATCGTACGTGTCAAGATCTCATTGGACTCACGCGTGGTCCACTGCGATTAAAATCTATGACTTTATTAGCCGATCACAGCCGATGTTGGAACCACGTGTGAGCCTTGGCTGCCGACACGTAAGAACGTACCGTTCAAAAAAAATAGCGCGTGACAGAAATAGCACAAGTGTGCCAGTTGGCACCACAAAGTGTACGCTGGCCGACCTTATCCTCTTTCTCTATTTTCCCATTTTTATATTACTTTTTTTCTTTTCTTTTTTTTTTTGGGCAAAGGAAAGCGTGTTGCTGTATTTTAATTTCTTTTTTCTTTTTTCTTTTTTTTTACTATTTGTTTGAAAATGAGGAAAGAAGACCACTAATGGAGTAATGAGCAGAGAAGGCAACAAATAAAGAGAAAGTGAAAAAAATTTCGTCAGCAGAAAGATAGAGAAAGAAGAAGCTAAACCCTAGATTTGTTTTCTGACTCAAAGTAGAGATTTTTTTTTTTTTTTTTTAGATTTGACAAATCAGATCTTTCAAGGGAAAGAAAGAAAGAAAGAGAGAAATTTCATCATTTATTTGGACGGGTCAGTCTTATTAAGTTTCATTTTGTTTTGCTTTCACTAATTTCTTTTTTTAGTTTTGGGTCTATTTATGTGATTGGGGGGAATTCATAAGGATGAGCCAGAGTTTCATTTCGTTTTTTTTTGTGATTTGTTAGCTATGCCATGCACGTGCTGCTTTGGTCAAATGGAATGATGATAATCAATTTCTGTTTAATTCAAGATTAGATTTTTATTACCGCATTTGAAGAAAAGGGTTTCTCTTTGTTTGTTTGTATGGATCTAATTTTATCTGTTGTTTTTGAATTTTTCTTCAAGGAATGACTTTCCTTTTTTTGTTCTGTTCTTCTATGTGATGCACATATACAGAGCCTGGTGAATTGTTATTGGTTTGGTTGTGAATATCAATCTGCTGTTCGAGCTTTAGTGATTCGGCCGAGGATTTTGTCGCTTTGTCGTTGAGAAATTTGTTGAATTAAATTCCCACCTGTAAAGATGATATCCAGATCATATACGAATTTATTAGATCTAGCCTCCGGGAATTTTCCGGTAATGAGCCGTGAAAGGGGTGAAAGAAAGCGTCTTCCACGCGTAATGACTGTTCCAGGGGTTATATCTGAGCTTGATGATGATCAAGCGAATAGTGTTACCTCGGATGTTCCTTCCTCTATTGCCGTCGATCGTGTAATTATAGTGGCTAATCAGCTTCCTGTAAAAGCCAAGCGCAGACCGGATAATGTTGGTTGGAGTTTTAGCTGGGATGAAGATTCATTGTTGCTAAACATAAAGCACGGCTTACCGGAGGACATGGAGGTTATATATGTAGGTTCTTTAAGAGTGGAGGTGGACTCTAGTGAACAGGATGATGTTTCACAGTTGCTATTGGATAAATTTAAGTGTGTACCAGCATTCTTACCTGCAGACATCTTGGCCAAATACTACCATGGATTCTGTAAGCAGCATCTATGGCCACTTTTCCATTACATGCTGCCTTTTTCTGCTAGTCATGGGTGTCGATTTGATCGCTCTTGGTGGGAGGCATATGTGGCAGCAAACAAAATCTTCTCACAGAAAGTTATTGAAGTGATAAATCCTGATGATGATTACGTTTGGATTCATGATTATCATCTCATGGTTCTCCCCACCTTCCTGCGAAGGCGTTTTAATCGGTTACGAATGGGCTTTTTCCTGCACAGCCCCTTCCCCTCATCAGAGATTTACCGAACTCTACCAGTAAGAGAGGAGATTCTAAAGGCATTGTTGAATGCCGATCTTATTGGCTTTCACACCTTTGACTATGCCCGGCATTTCCTTTCTTGCTGTAGTCGTATGCTTGGTTTGGAATATCAGTCAAAGAGAGGCTATATTGGGTTAGAATACTATGGAAGGACAGTGGGGATAAAGATAATGCCTGTTGGGATTCACATGGGACAGATTGAATCTGTGCTGAAGCTTGCTGATAAAGAGTGGAGAGTTGAAGAGCTCAAGCAACAATTTGCAGGAAAAACTGTGCTTCTTGGAGTTGATGACATGGACATCTTCAAAGGCGTAAATTTGAAGCTTTTGGCCATGGAACAAATGCTCAACCAGCATCCTAAGTGGCGTGGAAGGGCAGTGCTAATTCAGATTGCTAATCCTGCCCGTGGGAAAGGAAAGGATCTTGAGGAGATACAAGAAGAAATAAAAGAAAGCTGTAAGAGAATAAATGATAACTTCAGGCAGCCGGGTTATGAACCCATTGTCTTCATTGATAGGCCGGTTTCTCTCACTGAAAGAGCTGCCTATTACACAGTTGCAGAATGCGTTGTTGTCACTGCAGTACGAGATGGAATGAACTTGACTCCATATGAGTACATAATATGCAGGCAAGGAATCCCAGGCTCCGAGTCAAGTTCCGGATCCAATGCTCCCAGGAAAAGCATGCTAGTGGTATCTGAGTTCATTGGGTGTTCTCCTTCGCTGAGTGGAGCTATTCGCGTCAACCCTTGGAATGTGGAAGCAACAGCTGAAGCACTGCATGAAGCTATCTCAATGAATGATGCTGAGAAGCAATTGCGCCATGAGAAGCATTATAAGTATGTTAGCACCCATGATGTAGCATATTGGTCGCGGAGCTTCTTCCAAGACTTGGAAAGAACTTGCAAGGATCATTTTAGAAGGCGCTGTTGGGGAATTGGTCTGAGCTTTGGTTTTAGGGTTGTTGCACTTGATCCGAATTTCAGAAAGTTGTCAATTGACACAATTGTATCTGCCTATGCAAGATCTAAAAATCGGGCGATACTGATGGATTATGATGGGACTGTGATGCCGCAAACAACAATTAATAAAGTTCCAAGTCAGGAAGTTATTTCAATTATTAACAAACTCTGTAGCGATACAAGAAATACTGTGTTTCTAGTTAGCGGGCGTGGGAGGGACAGCTTAGGCAAATGGTTTTCTCCCTGCAAGAACCTTGGCATTGCCGCTGAACATGGATACTATTTGAGGTCTATAATCTGCTTTGATTTACTTCTATGTTCTATGTTTCTGTCCAAGGTTGTTAACATCTTATTGTTTATATCTTTTTAGGTGGTCATCGGAGGGAGAGTGGGAAACATGTGGCCAGAGCAATGATTTTGCCTGGATGCAATTAGCTGAGCCTGTGATGAACTTGTATACTGAATCTACTGATGGATCTTATATAGAAAAGAAAGAAAGTGCAATTGTTTGGCACCATAGGGATGCAGATCCAGATTTTGGTTCGGGTCAGGCAAAGGAAATGTTAGACCATCTTGAAAGCGTGCTGGCAAATGAGCCTGTTGCTGTGAAAAGTGGTCAGTTTATTGTAGAAGTGAAACCCCAGGTATGCCATCTTTAAAATTGAAGCCTCATCTCCCATGAAATGTGTTCTTTCTTGTCCTTTAGTTCTGTACCTAGAATATTATAGCGGCTGTTGTCATGGTATATATATTTTATTTTAGTAGTACACGACTCAAAAATTTTGATATTTAAGATATGTGGGAAAAATTGCATTGAGGTGACAAGTGATAGTTCATGTTGATTGTTGATAATGGAAACTGATATGATTTTGTTGTGACTGATTAAGTGAATTGTATGAATGATTGAGTTCATAGTTAAGCCTTTGTCCTGATCTACATTTGAGTACATTGAGGTGTGTGCATTGGTGTCCATGCCAAATCAGCAGCTTTTGCATCTCATATCTCCAGGCTCTTGGACACAATTTTGAAAGTTCCTTTTTTGTTAGTGACTGTACAGAGTAATTGATATAACTATCTAATAATTATATGATCTCTCCGACTTTGAGTGCAAAAGGCGGATCATCACTAGGTATTCCTACAGATTAAGTAAAAGAATTAAAGACCCAGTCCCATTACTTTGAGGTTTAATTTGAGGTTCTCTTTCTTATGTAACCGTCACACCAAACCCCCCAAAATCTCTTTTGTATATCTGTTGTTTTTCCCTTGTGGGTAGAAGTCATTTTCTCTTGCTATGGCTTGATAATTTAATTTAGCTTCCTTTTTTTATATTATATCTTCTCTTGTTGGTTATGTTTGTAACTGGATGATGTCTTAGTGAACAAGGTTCTCTTGTTGGTCCTTTTTCTATCTGTACGTTCTTGTCTGCTTCCTTTGCTTGTCAGCTTAGCTGTTTTGATTGGCAACAACTTAAGGTGTTGTATCATAAACATATTGATTATACTTATGAGTGTGTTTAATCGGGTTGCTGTTATCACAGGGAGTCAGCAAAGGTATAGTAGCTGAGAAGATCTTTGCATCAATGGCTGACATGGGACGGCAAGCTGATTTTGTACTGTGCATTGGCGATGATAGATCTGATGAAGACATGTTTGAAATAATCGGTGATGCCATGAGTAGAGGCATCCTTTCCGCTTCCACATCAGTATATGCCTGCACAGTTGGCCAGAAACCAAGTAAAGCCAAATATTATTTAGATGACACCACCGAGGTTGTAATGATGCTTGAATCCCTTGCTGATGCTTCAGATTCTCAACCGCCCTTATTGAGTATATCAGGCAGCTCTGTTTAAAGATGACCGTCAGGCTTCCATAACATTTTGAGTGGCCTGTCCTCAGACTGTAAAGTGTTCTAGCTGTTCATATGAAAAATGAGTGAATGATGACGCGATGCTCGATGTGATTTCTTGGCGGCACACTTTTAACTTTGAAGAAGTCATTGGTGACAGGAGGCAATGGGTTTATTCAAACCATGAGAAAATTGGGGAAGAGTGTCACAACTCACAAGAGTTTGCAGGATTGATTCATTGATGAGAAAAATACACAAATAAAGAAGCACTCCCCGATTTGTTCGATAGTCCATTCAGCTGTATAATTCATTCTTACATGGGCTGATGCTCTATGTGGTTTAGTTTCTTCTGCATCAGGCATTCTTTTCAGGTACTTACCATGTAGATGGTAACATGAAGCTCTGGCAGGCGGTGATTGATCGAGATTCTTGGCTTTGGGGATACAGACTTACATAACATTGTATACAGATCTTTCCTTTCTTTTCTTTTTTCCTCATTGTTTTTGGGTGACATACTCAATTGACAGCAAAAATGACTGGATCCCAAATAGATGTAAATGTTAATAGAAAAATTTTGGCTCACCGTTCTCCTATTTATCTTGTAATTGCATTCGGAAGTTTGGTATCCAAATCGTGATTGTAGCGGGAAACTACTAATTGTGAGTTGAGTTCTGCTCTATTATAATTGCCGGTGCATATGAAAATATAGTCTGCAAAACAAAAAGCCCAGTTTCGTATAATTCGGGCCCATGAGTCAGATGGGCATCCCAGAAAATTTCTGAAACCTGCAAATCACTGTGCCATTTCAGAGCCTTTCCTTCACAATGTAGGATAAAACCCTAGAAAGATTTTTGGATTTTTGAAAGGGAAAGTGCTTTTTATTTACTTCTCTTTTTCTGGTATAATAAATTGAACAAGTATTTTAGGGCGTGAAGACTAAGCCCAAATGTCAAACTTATTCAGACATCTTTATCACTAAGCATGAGATAAAATGGAAGTATAAAATAAAGAGTAGAAAAATGTAAAATGAGAAAAAATAATAAAAATAAAAGCATGCATTGTGTCATCTTTAACCGGCAAAAGCATGTATACTGTGATTAGAAAGTGTACAATTTATTCATCTTCAACTAGGGAGAAGTGTTCATGATATACTTGTAGTAAAAATCATTCTTGTTTGAGTTGGTAAAATCGTAAGGGTAGACACATATGTCTCACAAGTAACATAGGAATGGACAAATTTTTCGTAATGAGAGGGCTCTATTGGTCCAGCTTGAAAAGGGAAAAACGACTATCATTATGACATAAACAAGATTATAAATAGAGTTTTAAATTCAGAATGGAGTAATTCGGAGGTCAGCATGTTACCTTTGAAGAAAAGGAAACAAAATGATATTCCCCATGTCCCATAATTATTATCCAGTTTGGGTTTTCATTTTTATTTCAAATTGTACTAAACGTGAAATCTCAAACTGGACAATAATTTTGGGACAGAAAGAGTAATAAACAAAGATTATATGCAAAACCCTTCACGAAAGATGTCACGGTCTTCCTCTATAAATTAGATGAATTAGCTTGCATAAATAAAAATAATAATAATAATATAAAAAAGCAAATCGAATATTTTATCTATTTACTCATTTTATAATAATACTTAGAGAATAATCTAATTTTGAGAATTATTAGAACTATCTTTTATTTTCCCGGATCGAAAGAATAGTCTCTCACTATCTCTGGTCCCTATGGCATGTGGTTAAATAACAAAAAAATTATCAAATCTGGGTCTCTAATACTGCTTTGAATGTCCAAATAAAAGTTTCCCAAAAAAAAATAAAAAAATCCAAAAGAATAAATATTAATATAGAAGGGTCCATATTTTCTGCGCACCAAAAAAATTACGAAAGACAAAACGCCTACTTTGTCCCCACAACCTGACCGCCTCTCTTGCCTTTTGTCACCGTCTTCCTCCCTTTAGTCTCCATCACTCAATTGTACTACTCGTATTTGTTACTCGTACTTTTTCAAAAGATTATTGGACAATAAAGTGTTTTAAGCAACTTGTCCAATACTTACATTAACTCTCACTCGATTTCTACATAAAATCTGCTCGAAATGTTCGATTCATTCACAATCCTCGAACTCAAGACTTTGAACTAAGATTACAAAATTTATTAGGACAAATAATTTTACATTAACTATGAAAAAGACCTGAAACACTTGTTTATAAACTCATTGCGTCGTCTCACTCGTTATCAATTAGTTTTGGATGGAAGTCCATTAATCAATACTTCCAAGGGAGACCTTGAAACAGTTCAATGTGTTGTTCATGATTTAGTAGAATTAGGGTGGGTCCAAAACCCACTTCTGGAGCTTCTCTTGGTGTTTGGCCAATGTTAGTGTGTTACAATATCATGAGACATTATGATACAGAAGCTTGCACTCTTAGTTCCCCACGCGCCTCCATCATTCACCCCTCTGCCCATTCCCCATCATTTACACAGATAGCCACATTCTTTGAATTGAATTTGAATTTTCCACTTCATTTACTTAAAACCACTAGCTGGTCTCTTGAAAAACAGCCAGCAATCTTATCTCAAATTAAAATAAAATAAGATCATAATTTTGAAACGGTACAAGATCATAGCTTCTCTTTTATTTGTGCCTAAAAGAGCAAAAAAAAAAAAAAAAAAAGGTTTCCGCTGCTATATTCTGATTTAAAGTACATACCGAGTGTCACATGCAACTTTTTTTTTTGCATGTTGCACTCGGAATATCAGGTTGAGGATCCCAATTCAACTTTGTGCATATTTGGAGGTCGTCCACAAATCACTAGCAAAATGGTGCACTGACCCTTTTTACTTTTTTACTCTGTGTTCTTACCTGCTCAAATGCCTAGCTAGCTATACTACTAGTATTACAACTACATGGCATTCCAGATTTTGCCTATTTTGATGCCTTCATACTATAATTCTACTGTACATACGGTGAGGAAAGCTGTCTAACCTTGATTCCGTAGAGTCACCGAATTCAAACCTTTCTTGATCATTCGCTTTTACTTGTATAACTTCTCCATTAATAACAGAGTTAAATTGAACTCAAATTGCTCCCTCTAGCATTTAATTCTTTTTGACAACACATTTGGCATTACATAAATATACCTGGCTCTGAACCACCAGTTTTCCGACCTTAAACCCTGGAACCACCGTAAACGCCACCCGAAAATCACCATCCGCCGATGCGAAAATGTCATCCGTCGCGCTCTCCATGTACATTTCTGAAAACCTACAGTTCTTCCTCACTTGAAATATGCTGACTTCCTGACCGAATGACAGACCCAAGCAATGCAACAGCCAAACTCTCCTCCCCATTTCAGCAAATGCCTTGAAGAATTCTGTTTCTGGATACTCTCCGGAATTCACAGTTTTCCTCTGATTCAAATTCCCACAAAATGAGAATTCCATCTTGGGATGTACTAACTGAAGGTATTTGGCCTTCAAGAATTTCCCAAGAAAGGAATTTGGATTCTGCTTCAGGAAATGAATCACATTGACTGACTTAACTTTCTTGAACTGATCAAAGAAGAAAAGCCTTTTCTGATAACTCCCATTAGGCCAAGACAAATTCTGATCACCCTGTAACGAAAAGCCCGGATCATTAAAACCGCTGAAAATCTCCCTGCAGACGAATGATTCAAAGGCGAAAGCTCTGTGGTCCCTTTTCCGGAAATTGACATCAGGATGGATTGAATTTGCAGCTGATTCAATATCCCAATTGGCAGCCTCCATCTCTTTGATCAACAACTTCACAAAGTTTCTTATAGATCTCAATGCATAATGCAAAACCAAGATGAAATCTTTTGGATTAGCATCCTCTGAGAACTTCACATTGTCAAGCACAGAGAAAGATCCACTCGCATTCAGCTTCTTCTCAAGGGATCTGTTGTTCTGAACAACCTCTCTCAACACTTCTTGAAGTGAAGAAATATGACCCTCTTTCACTTGGATTTCATTCTGCATTTTCTTCATGGTGATCTCGTAAGTCTTCATCAGAGATTGTTGTTCTTGAATCTCGGCCAGCATTAAGGTCACATGGGGCGGTGAAAAATCTATTCTTTTCTTCAGAAAACTCTGTTTCAGCTCAGACAGAGCTTTCAGTTCATCCACCACAGCTTGATCTGCGGACTGAATGGCTTCACAGTTGTAAGGAAACTGAGCCATTTGTAGCTCCGCATAAGCTGCTTTGACCGAAGAAATCGTGGCGAAAAGCTTGGCGATGAAGGCTTCCATGGCCGCTCTGTTTTTAGTCTCTTTAGCTGCATCCTCAATCTCTTCTCTCTCAAACTGTTGGGATTCACAACATTTCAGCTTTTCTTGAGGTATCATCAGACAAAACCCATTGTTGGAGAGGTTCTTCTTTGTTGCTGTCTTGAGATGAATCACTTTCTGGAATTTCCTCGAAAGTTTGCTCCTTGATGAAGCCGGATTAGGCCTAACTGATTCCATGAATTCTTATTAAAAAAAAAAGAAAAAAGAAAAGAAAGAAACAGGGACCAAAAATGGGAAAGCTAATCTATGAAATACATGTAATGAGGAATATGGTTTGAAGTTTGAACTGAGGTAAGGAAAAATGAAGGAATTTCTTGACTTTTGATAGGAAAGGGGGAAAAAAGAAGAGCGGCAATGAATATGAAAGTATTCGAGGAGGCAAAAAAGAAAAGAAAAGAAAGAGCGTAAAATAGAAAAAGCAGGGCATTTCTTTGACTCCAGGGGCTCAAACTAGAGGAATAGAGAGGGTGGCTAACCGGCTAAAGTATGATTTAAAGCGCGGGAACGAGAAAAGATAAAATATTAACCTTTGGCTTAATTTTGGTCGCATTGAGAATATTTAAAGCACATTGGTATGCATTGGATCATATCGGAGCTTTCAATACATACATTTTCTAATTCTGTATCCTAGTTTGTATGGATGAGAAGGTGTATATTGTATCTATATGTTGTTACACATATAATTCTCTCTGTATCAATTACTTAAGGAACGAAATTTATCTCCCAAAAGTTAAGAGTTTAATTGTTAACTTCCGATCAGTTATTTCAACCATCAGAATTCTTATACTCTTTCTGTTTTAAAAAAAAAAAACTCTTACATAAAATGTAATAATAGGCAAATGTGGAAACAATTATACGATATATATATTGAGTGTGATGGGGCCGGTTGATTTCCTACAATCTCTCTATCTTTTCTTTGAAGGGGTGTGATGAATACAACATGAATGTACTGTAAATTGGTTGGTGTCAACTATTGAGTAATGTGGGGTCATATAGTAGTAAAGAAAATTGTGAAGCTAACAAACTTCCCACCAGTGCCTCAAAAAATAAACAATAGAAACCCATTTTTAGTATGTATTCTGTTAGAGTTTTATCCTACTCCCTTTGTTTCAAAATTATTGTTCAATTTGAGATTTCACTTTTAGTACAATTTAAACTAAAAATAAAAATTCAAACTGGACAATAATTATGGAACAAAGAGAGTATAATATTTGCAAACGGGCAACAATTCTATCTTCATTTAGTTGTTGAAAGAGGGGGCAAAAAATTGTACGCATCATGTAGTCAACACTAAATTGTAGTAACAATCTTGGATGGACGGTTGCCGAGCCACACAATTGGAGCATTGCACGATTAATTGTGGAGTTGAGAGTTTAATATCCCATCTCTCTTATAAAAAATAGTCCACATTAAATTTTAAGATTTGTATTAAAATTGAGAATTTAATACTCCTTTTATCCCTGAAAAATAGTTTACAATGAATTTTTAGATTTGTATTAAAATTAATAAAAATCTTGAAACTCAATGTGAGCTATTTTGTTGAGACATAGGGAGCACTTATCGTTGTCACATAACTAGATCAAAAACACTCTGTAGACCTTATTATTATTATTTGGTAAGTATGCATTAAAAAATTTTCTGGGGACAAATTATAGTTAGAAACTAAATTGACCACCAAGAAACAACATAAATGAACACAAGAAGGTAGTCACTCACTCAAAAGTCATCCTCAATTGCATAGCCTTGCGAGAACACTAGTTTCTTGGTGACAGTCTATTATAAGTAAACTATTTTTTTGATCGAAGAAATGAGGAACGAATAAAAAATAAATAACACACATTAATGTTGAAAGAAGTAGTACTGATTTGGAGTGAAATCCAATTTCTCAAACTTCCAGAATGTCTTGTGCTCCACAAGTATACTCCGACACATACAAATTCCCACAGACCAAGAACACCATGATTTTCTTTGTTGTTGTTTTTTTTTTAAAAAAAAATATACTCCCTCCGTCCCATAATTATTGTCCACTTTGACAAAAAAAATTTGTCCCAAAATTATTATCCAATTTGACTTTTTATGTATCAAGTTACACATTTGTCCTTAGTAAAAAATATTATCCATAAAATCTTAGTGGTTAAACAATTACTTATGTCGGGATATATCCGGTTGTTTAAGGTAAAATATAGTTAAATTTGACAAAAAATAAAATCTTTCATTTTAGTAAAACTAGACAATAATTATAGGACGAAGGGAGTACTAATTTATCGGCTTTCGGTTTTAAAAATATTCAATAAATTATCTTGGCTTGAATAATAACAATAACTGCATTCATGCATTGAATTTCAACACCAACTTCATAACGATAATGTTAAAAACTGCAATCGGTTTTCTCCTTTTTCTCCATTCTTTCAAACTTTCACACAATGACACAATGTTGGCTCAGTAGGATGCAACTGCATTAAGTTTGCATCTAAACAGTCAACAAAAGTTTTGCAAGATTTGGAGACCCCCAGATTCCTTAAATAGGAATAACATGAAACTGATTTTGTTTTTATTCATATTCATTCCAAAGTCTTGTAGTTGTCAGGTCCAGTGCACGTTATGCATATTAAATTTATGCACCAATGAATATTCATACCTGTGTACCAATTTCACATTAAATAGCCTTGAACTAAATCGTTCTTACAAATGTGACGTATACAAAGGGGAAAGAAATAACAAAAACTGAGCATGTAGCTCAACAAATCGAAAGTTCCTTAACTATAGTACTATGCTATTGCTTCTTCTTGTTCCTTGAGATTATATTTTTGTTTTGATGGTCCGCAAAAATATGACATACGGCACTACTCCCTCCGTTTCATAATTATTGTCCAGTTTGGAGTTTTATTTTTAGTTCAAATTGTATTAGAAGTGAAATTTCAAACTGGATAATAATTTTGGGACAAATGGAGTATTATTTTGGGACGATATATATATATATATATATATATATATATATATTTATTAATATATGCAAGTACGTCGCTGTCACCGAAAATTTTTTGGTGCAAGCTGCAAAGCAGCTGAGGCCTTGAGTGTGATTGAGTTATCAAACAGTTTGGAATTGCAGTTTGATGGTCCACACCAATCTATCTCTATGCATCACCATGCACGTTTTTGTTTCGTTGAATTTCTGGTGGAAAGCTGTAATTCAACAAAATTAATTTCATTCAACTCTTTCTGGAGATAGTTACCCAAATGTACTAGGAGCTCAAAGTTTGTTTGTCGTGGATTACTGAATTATTGGTGGTATTATTTTTTCAGCCTTTTTTTATCTTCAAACGAGAAAGAGAAAATCTTCACTATAGCTGTTTTTATCGCGTTAAATATTGGTCCACAAAATGCAAAACAAAGTAAAGAAATGGTTAACTTCAAGATTGTTGGTCTTCATCAGAAAGCATGCAAAAGGATAATCATTTGAGGTCCATAAATACATGCAATTAATTAACAAAACAATGCGTGCTAATTATTAAAAAACTCAAAGTACAAAGATGATGATGTAGGTGTGGTGGATAACATAACGCCACACTATGCTTATAGGGGAAGCAGGCATTCCATGTTCATTTTAATAATTAAGTAGCATAGTATAGAAAGTACTCCCTCCGTCCCATAATTATTGTCCACTTTGCCCAAAAAATTTTGTCCCAAAATTATTGTCCAATTTGACTTTTTATGGATCAAGTTACACATTTGTCCTTAGTAAAAAACATTATCCATAAAATCTTAGTGGTTAAACAATTACTTATGTAGGGGTATATCCAGTTGTTTAAGGTAAAATATAATTAAGTTTGACCAAAAATAAAATTTTTCATTTTAGTAAAAATGGACAATAATTATGGGACGGAGGGAGTAATTATCATTATTATTGATACAACCCACGACAAGGCTCTCTCGCACCATTACTTATTAATCTAATTGATTGCTTATTTGCTTTGGTGGCACATAGAAAACAAGATATCATTTTCAAAATAATACCAATAAATTTTTTAGTAAATTGTTTTATTAAATAGAATTTTGTCTGCCATAATAATGTAATGTCTTAATTTTGCCATGTACTCCATGCTTGTTACAGTAATCGAGAGAAGTTACAGTAATTTTCTACTCTCTCTCTCTTTTTTTTTTCACTTTAATCTATTTTCGGTGGGGGTGCAGTACACATTGAATGGGAAGAATCATGCATAGAATTATTAGGTTAATCACATGCATGCTACGTAGCTAGGAAGTTGATCAGATGAATTAGATTCAATCTACAATTTTTTTTACCAAACTAATTGACCTTAAATTACATGTGATTGACGCGTATCTTTACCGTTAATACTAGCACCTTAATGGTATGATAGGGTAATCAAGCATGTATCAAATGTTTAACTAGTATCCTAAGATCAAAGATACAAAAATGTGGAGCGTACGTAACGTTTAACCATGGCAAGACGGTTTGAAGTTGAATCTTCCACAAAGAATGTGTTATGCGTCATTATGAAAACAGTAATCTACGGGATATTCTAAAAAAAAATTTACTGCTAAGTTACTCATGCATCCATTTCAGTGCCCCTTTTCCAAATTATGATGTTCCCTGATCATTAGTCCTGATTTTAGTAACATCTTGGTCAAGCCACACACACCAAAATGTAAAGGTTTTTTTTTTTTTTTTTTTTCTAGGGATCAATAATAATTCTTACTTACCTCTAGCGTGACTCGAACCCGTGACTTATTGGTCAATAGGTGAGGCGTTTTATCACTAAACTGCACACGTTAATGATCCAAACAATGGATAAAAACTAATGAGTTTCAAATAATTTTTTCTCTAGTCTTAATGTCTTATATATAAAACACAACTAGTTTAACATTTGTTGGAAGCTGTGATATATATGTTGCAACTTGCAAATTCCAGGAGCTTCGATGGGATTGACGACTATGCATTTCAGAATAAGTGTTTGATGAGAGAGTTGAAGAGGAAAAGGTTGTAATACTGGAGAGTTTGCAGAAGAAGCAGATCACGAGGGAGGTGTCGTCTCATGGATTTCAGCCTTTTGTGAAGCCACCAGCGTCAAATCACATCAACAGGGGAATCTGGGATCCAACACTAAAGTATCCGACATAAACCATATATATGCTTGTTACTATGTACCAACAACACCTTGTGCCCCCGGCCCGAGCGGGCCAATCTCGTCCTCATGTATATCTCCCGAAATTTTAGTTCAGTCTGCGAGTTTTTATTTCTAGTTTAAATTGTATTAAAAGTAACATCTCAAACTAGACAATAATTTTAAGACGGAAGGTTTCACACTTTCCAATAGCCGCATTGTTATAATATTTTCATCTACCAAGTAAAATTATGAGAAAGTTGACGCAAGTGAAAATCAATTCTTTTGGAAGCGCACACGCACAATATTTACGGTTGTTATTCAATATCAACAGTACGCAAGCAAAATATTTCATTGTTCTTCAATATTGGATACCACCACAAATGTGTTTCCTGTTAAGGCGTGAAACTATCCATTAACACTTTTTCGACTTCTTACGAATAATAACATGCCACTTGCAGTTACGATCAGTATCTCTACACACTGTGTGACACCTGACTTTATCATCCTTCTTGAAACGTATCTGTTTCCCCAGTTTCACAACTTGATGCTTGCGCAAATCTTTGAACTCTTCCTTCGTAGAAAACCTCATCCCAATTTCCCACTTTGGGTATCATATTCTATATTTTTGTCGTACCTTCTAAATAGTGGTTTTCGTATTCCATCAGCTTTACACTCAGTTTCTTCACCACTGAGAAGTTCTTCAGACTCACCAGAACTCTCCAACTCTTCATCATATGCTTCAATTTCGGGTTGTAGTTTGAACTCAGGTTCCTTTAAAATCTCATCCCAAACTTTTGTCCTCTTTTTAATGATACTTTCTTCATCTTTTGTATCCATGTCATAGTCACTGTCGTGGAATTCAGCATTTTCATTTGGCTCTATCTCTTTTGCCCCGATCTTCTCTAGCATTTCAGCAAGGTTATCATCATCAGAATTATAATATGTACTTGTTCTGACCACTTTCTTCTACTTCTTCTTTTCTTCCCTTTTCTCTTTCCTCCTTTACTGTTGTAGTCTTTTACTGAACCAGCTGCTGTCTATACTGCTTCTTCAGAACCACCGGTGACCTCAGCAGCTGCTTCAAGTCCTTCACTGTTCCACTTTTTATCTGAACCAGGTTCTGCCTGCTCTACTGCTATTGCATCACCTTCACTGTTGTATGTTTTTTCTGAAACAATGTCCACCTCATCCGTTTTTTCATCACCAGCACAATTGAACTCTTTTTCCGATCCAATTTCTTCTTCGCCTCCTCATTCATCACAACCTGCAACCGCACCAGTATTTGGCTTATCTGTTCTTCCCAGAATCTGTACATCTTCTTCATCAGAATCTTTACTCTCTAGAATTTGTACATCAGGGCCAGAACTAATATTTTTCTTCTTTTTTGCACTCAGTTTCTTGTTTTTCTTCCTCTTAACAGCAGCCATCTTTTGTCTTGGTTTTGGCAATGGACCATTTAGACGCTTATTTGCCATATGTCTGTAAGGTGACTATCAACCGGGTCATCTTTATCATCAGAAAGTTCACCGTCTTCATTTGGGTGCACCACAAACAGATCAACCAAACCATGCTCTAATCCAAGTGCAGCCATGGTATTTGTAGAATCATTGAAAGATAGCAGTACCAATCCTTCGTCCATGTCCTTTCCATGTTCCTGGAAATAATAACTTAGGTCACCAGAAATTTTCATATTCTCATCAAGAAAAGCATCCACTTTTATTTTTGACTAGTAATCTGCGTTGCATTTCGTCATGGCGGTCACATATCCACCTTTGTACAATCTTTTAGTTCCCTTTATTAGAAATCCATAATAATCGACCCGCACACTAAAGAAACCATATGCACAAAACCCACACAAATGTCAGCAACTATTTTGGTCCAATACTTTTTAGGAGTAACTATTTTGGTCCTATACATTTTTGCAGTAACTATTATGATCCTATACAAATTTAGTAGAAACTATTTTAGTTTTGTTCAACTATTGAATCCATTTTGACACTGCACTTTCATCAATGCACGAATAAGAAAAATTGACAGTACACATCAACTTAAATGCACAAATTCAAAGATAGAAAAAAAAAGTTTAAGAGGAAATCGATTGACTTGTTGTAATTTAAAAATCTATTTCCCCTTCTCCAACAAGTACAGCGTCAAACATAAGAACAAAAAAAATATTGCAAATTACATTTGCAGCATGAAGTTCGAAAACGACTAAAAAATGCAAAAGGGACATGCTTTTGTGAAAAAAACAATGAAACATTCATGTCCCACTAAAAATCCTTTCTAAATTTCAGACAAGGACCCCATTTAATAAACAGAGATAGCAAAAAGTTTTAACTTTTAATCTATTCATGCGACCAATATAGGACCCATACAATAAACAACTCTTCTGCTTCTCTTTCGACGAACATAAAGACAAAGAACAAATAATTGACAAATACCATACAAAAATCGAGTTTTACACCCTAAACTCACTTGTATTATAGTCTGGTTGAATGCTTCGGATATTAGATCTCGTTTGCCACATGTTTTCACCGGATGAACTCCAATTATCCTCGATTTGTAGAAACCCAAATTTAATCGACCACTCACACTTCGATTCTAGTCCATCCCACTATGTTTTAGGGTTCGGATTTGGTTCTTTCTTCAGATCTGATGAAATGGAGTTTTTATTTTCGCAAAAGTGATGAAAATGAAAGGGATGAAATGTAAGTTCGAAAATTCCAAAGCTTGGCTGCAAAAAAGAGCCAAAAATTATGTTAAGTATTTCCAAAAAAAAAAAATTTTTTTTTAACATTCCACGGTTATTGTAGCAACGCAGTAAAAAATAATTACGCAGCCTTTGCTAGTTTACTTCAGTCAATTTACTTTCTTTTTCTGATTTTTTTTGAATTTTGAAAATTTTTAATATTTTATTATTTTTACTGTTCACTGTGATAAATAATAAAAAATTAATTACTGCGGCCCCACCGGGTAAAAGTGATGAAAGTTTTATTTTTGATTTTTTTATTTTTTCAAATTTATAAATATTTTTTGATTATTTTTATTATTATTTAAATATTATTTTATTCCTTAAATACTGACAATCCAAAAGACGAGCGAAAAGACAATAATACCCTCTATTTTCAGGGTCAAATGGACGGAAACTTAAATTAGAACGTAAATAGTCGAAAAATGGCCCTTTTTGGACAAAATGAAACGTAAATGAGCATTTTCAATATACAGAACGAAAATGATTATTCGACCAAATGTACTCGACGTTTTATACGGTTTAGTCCTTTTATTTTATTTCCCATTTCTAATAAGAAATTACTGTTACAACGGTGCTGCGCACGCTTCGTGACTGTCAAAACTTTTCTATGCTACAAACTTACAATCCTTTGCTCACTCTCTATCAATGGAACTCTCATCCTACTACAACAACACGTGACCGGTGACCGTTGACCCCTTTGTATTCCGGTCAACTATATAATCAGAAACCTACTTTTCCAAGTGAAAATTAAGGTCTTAACTAGCTTCTCTTCTTAGAAACCAAAGAAACCTAGCTCGGCAGCTTTCTCTTTCTCGAACGTCTCAAAGTACTGATAGATGATGGTAACGGCGAGAAGAATTCCAGTCCCAGAACCTATGGCTCCCGTAAAATCTGCCAATACAGTTAAGGCACCGATGCACATACCCCAAAGGCCGCTGCAGTGGGTATGTCACGATTCAATTCTTTCTGTAAGTTGGTTTCACGATGTCCAGGCATCACCATTTGTTGCTCCTGCAAAAGCCAATAAACGTTAAAGTTGGTGACCACCACATTTCGACCACCAAATGCTTATTGATAAATAAACAAGAGTGAACAGAACAGCAGTTAACTATGGCACCAGAGCAGTAAATGTAGGATCATTTGCTCGTTTTGAATGTTTTGCGTGAGTCACATCCTTATTAACTGGTACTCCCTCCCTCCCGAAACGATTGTCTAGTTTGGAATTTCATTTTCAATACAAATTTAACTAAAAGTAAAAAATCCAAACTGGAAAATATTTTGGGACAGAGAGAACAAGAGGCAAAAATTTCTTGAGCACATCAGCAGTCCAACTTTTCTAAATATTCAATAAAGCTTATAAATGTGACAACTCACAGATTGTCGCAGAGTACACATATCAATTCACATTATTTACTAGTACAAAGGGTAGGAGAAACAAGGTTGCACAGATACAATCAACACCAGAAAAATAACAAGTGGTAATCACATAATAGTAAGTAGCTAGTGAGCCTTTAATCAAGCAAGAGATGTTGCAACAAAAGCACACTCACTCTTCCAAGAACTACGGTCGCATGAAATGCAGAAGGGAAGAAGATGACAATGAAGAAAGTCGGATCCATGCATTACGATTGAATGCTGTAGCCAATCATTTCACTAAGAAAGAACCAGAAAATCAGGACACATTTTCCAAAACAAAGAGAACAAAATAAGAGTCTCGAAGTGGAACCTTTAGCTGTTTGGTCACATCTCTAGCAGAAGATCCAGAAACTTCAATCCCGGTTTGTGAGAATAGTGCACAGGCTGTGAGCATGAAGAGCAAGTAAAATAGAGCATGGAAGGGATGTCCATACATGTCTGCCAAGCTGAAATAAGATAGAACCAGGCCAAAAAAAAAAAAAAGAGCGTCAGCTATGTCGGAGAAATGAGAAACGTAACTGTTAAACAACGTTAAATAATCTAGTAAAATTGCAAGCAAAGACACGATTAAAAAGCAATCATGTTCTTAACTTGATGGTGCAGTCACGTAATAAGCCAGACCACCAACAGAAATTGATTGACTGAATATTCAGATTTTTTCCACTTGCCCAATAAACTAACCAAGTAAAGAAATTTCCACTAAACTTTCTGTGAAGCAACTGGAGATAGAGAAAATGATGTCAAACTCTGTTATGGGAAGAACATGACTTAGAGAGTGCTTCAAATTATAAACCTGGAAAGAGTAAGTACCTGGGAGATGAAATACAGGTTTGATACAAGTGCAGATTGAAGAATGATGGGCATGTTTGAGGTATAAAACAGCTTGATAGGGTATGAACCCTGTTGTCCACGTGCATTTTTTGATCGCACAGGCAAAACCACACGGAACCCTTGGAAATATATAACTATAAGGAAAATCAAAACTGTTGCAAGAAGATCTGTGACATTTGGAAGATTCTGCCGATAAAAAGCCTCTCAAAGAGCACGAACTTTGTCTGTCCTGGTTATTAGCAGATGGAACAAAGCAATAACAGCACCTTCGAATTCAGCGCCACACCACTATTAATAGTTGTGGGGCTAAATGCTTTACAGATGATATTTTCACTAAAAAAATAACAACAATGTTTATAAGAATTTAATCCAGAAAAAAACTATATATATAAAAAAGGAAAGAACAATAACCTAGTGGGAACTCTCAATTATGACATACCATATGTTGGTTGCTACACATAATGATATTCCAGAGCCAAGGCCATAACCCTTCTGAAGAAGCTCATCTAAGCATATTACAATGATTCTGGCAAAGCAGAGTTGAACAATAATCAGAATAGCATTGCCAACACCAAGTTGACCAATGCTGCCATACATTCCTGACAGCACATAAGCAACAGCTTCTCCAATAGCAATCAAGATGCCTGGCAGCTTCTGGGCGCCATTTCTGCAACATAGATAGGATAAGTTTGCCAAATGGGTGGCACAAAGCTGACTGCTAAGGTAAAGCTCACAATGTGACAAGGGTTTCACGTTAAGAACCAATGCAGTGGCCCTACGAAGAGATAAAAGTGGCAACCGACTCTGAGTTTTATATCTAAGAACTTTGAGATTGAAAAGAGACTAAAAGCAGGAAGCAGTAGGTACTAAAAGTAATACAGTACACTACAAAATCAACCCCCAGCAGGTTTATAAGTGATTTCGTATTTGAGGATATCCAATCATGAGAAGAACTCAAAAGAATATTCCTTTTGAAGAAAATCAATGACAGCATATGAGAAAATGAAGAAGTTAAAAATGAGAATGAAATGCTGAACTCACACTAGGAAGATACTAATGAATACACAGTTAACAGCTACTAGAAGAGGAAGGAGATCTAAAAAAGAAAAAGAATTTCTTCACTTGTACTGTGAGATGGTGAACGCACTAAAGCAAATCACCTAATTAGACAAGATCATGGCAGAGAACTCCAGAACATACTTAAGCTAGAGTTTGAAACACTTACAAAAGCGCCCGGTCCTCACGGACATTGTTGTCAACTTCAATGATTTTTTATCCAGCTAAAAGTTGCATCACAAGTCCTGAAGTCACAATGGGCGTAACTCCCAGCTCCATTATAGTCCCACGACTTGAGGCAAGAATAGCGCGCATCCAATAGAAAGGGTCGGCGCCCGTGTTAGTGTGTATCCCATAAAGAGGGAGTTGACTACAGACCAGAAAGATAAAAAGAGATACCACAGTATAAATCACACTTCTCTCTGAAGGGAATCCTCCTATCAGCACTCGGAACCTCAGGGAGAAACGAAAGAAAGGAACGGTCATACCAAGTGCAGCACTCAAAACCCACCACCCATTTCCACAAATTATTGAATCACTATCCAACCTGGAATTTGCACATCAAACACAGAATTCATAAGAATTGAAGCAAATGGGGGAACATTTTAACATCCAAGCAAGAGCTCTTGTAACTACAGTAATGAAGAAATCAACGTCTTGAATAAGGAAGGCCTGAATTTAGCTCTTTTAGTGTTCTTGTCCCGTTTCTGATATATTAAAACATATGATTTCAACTCTGGAATAATCATTACTCAACCTGCCACTTACACTGAATAAATAATAATACCCAGGCAAAGGCAACTCTAAGCCAATTCTTGGAAGAATTCAATACACCGCAAGCTTCAAAAGTCTCAATAAATAGCTCAAATCAAAAAGGTAAATAAAAATAAAACTAGAAGAATCATGCTTTGAGCAACCCGAATGATCAAACACGTATCAAGTTACAAACATGCATCAAACTCAAAGCTTTTTCAATTGCCAATATAACTTGTTAACCTAAGCTTCATCAAATACTTCGATGGCCAGAAATAAAAATTCCATAATTCTATGTTACCAGCAAAAGATAGTAGAGTTCTAAGCAAAGTAAATACAACCGATGAAGAAAGGGAATCCTCTGGGTCTGGGCCAATTTTAAGTCATATTATCAAAGGGGGAAATAAAATCCTTCTATAATCAGTAGGAATTCATGTACTTTATACCCATGAAGAACACACATGCATAAAATTTGTTTGAGAGAGGTGAGACAACTCACAGTGTATGATGAACTACAACGGGGTTTTGCCTTCTTTTTTTTTAATAATTATAAAACAATGTGCAAACTGCAAAAGATTGTACTTTGCTTTTCTGGGATTTTTTTGGAGATTCTGTCTCTCCTCCGCCGTTTGTTGTAATCAACATGTGGACCCGGTTTCCGATCAGAACTTGGGTCTGACTCTTCCGGGCCCCTGAGGTGATTGTTTAAGTTATTGTATTTTTCTCTTTACTTACATCCCCAACCGTTCCACCCATTAATATGTAATTTTAGGAAAATTAGTCACTACTATTTTTATCGACTATGGATACCTAACAAATATGAAAAAATAAAGCTAACATGAAACAACCATTTATCCTTTATTTAATTTTAATTTCATCTTTTTCTCATTAGGGGGAAAAAAGTAACAATAAATTTGTTCCATTCTTTCTTCCCAGAGAAGATTTTTTTTTCATAAATGAATTACGCATGAGCCACCAAAATCCAAAATATTCTTCTTTTTTTCTCGGAAAAATTTAATGGACATATTTATCCTTCTGTTTGCTTTTTAAAATATTACTAATTGGTATGCCAGTATTTCTTATTATAAACTTCCTTTTATATTCCTCACACACTCTTTTTACATTTTTTTTTATAACAAAAAGGAAAAAAAAAAAAAAACCCGCTAAAAAGCCATTACAAAGGGGAACGGAGACTTTCAACCTATGGATGTTGGCTCTGGGCTACCGCGTTAATGGATAAGTTTTCGGCCCAGACTAATGTGTTACTGCAGCAAACTATTTCAGCAAAGACATAACAATACAGAACGTGGAAGGGGAAGATTCGTAGCTCATTTCTTTCACCCCAATAAAAACCCCTCTGGATCTCAAGTACAAAATGGAATTCTACAGAAAACATGGATTGCAGAAAGAATTCTTCAACGAATTCCCCTCATATGCACATTGGATCTTTTAACTAATCACGAAGCAAGTATAAGCTAGCTAGGTAGATACATCATCTATTCCTATAACAGGGTTTTCATGTCAAGCTGTCAACTGAATTTTGATTTACGTAAAACACTCGTATTCCATCAGAGAGAAGATTCATCATGCCAAAAATTTTCTATCCCGACAGTGGCAAAAGGAGACGACCACTGTATAGCGTTCGTTTTCATGCTGGCAACTTAAGCTTGTCATTGTTTTTCCAACTGCAAAAGCAATGCGAAGTGTAAAGTGTTGATAGGATATGTATCAAGACCAAAAGGTATTTGTCCTAAAACAAAATACAGTCTAGTTACCTGAGAAAGTAGTAATAGAAGAAATCTGCATAAAGGGCAGTTTGAACAAGACCAGATACGCAAGCTGCAAATACACAAAAGTTAGGGTGAAAAATAATTGCCATAAGGATGTGAGGGAAGACAATACTCCATTCTATTCTCAACACTCACCTATCCATCGCCCAAAGTGCTGCTCTGAGAAGTAGCGGTAAATCCAGTTCAGGATGTACAATCCACGATAAGCCCTGTCATGAGAAATGACCAAACATTCATTATTTCTCAAGCACTAGATGTATTGTGAAAGTAGCAGGCATTGGACGTCGAACTGAGATTCCAAAACATTGTGCACTAAACCAGCTGAGCAAGGAAATATAAAATTACAATAAGATCTTTAACAGGACATCATTCATTTAGAAATGCTTTTTGGTGCAACGCATGCATAGACACCTTCAGAACAAACTACTAGGCAAAACTTCTATGGAAAGAGTCCTAGGTCAGCAGAAAGGAACAATTATCCACTTAAGGCACATATTTTGAATTGGAGCCATGACTAGTAAGAGCCTTCTTTGGAAAGTAGTCAGTTCGAAGTGAAGTTATACCCAAGAAGAAACACATATTGTCCAGTTAGGTTGTCAACATTTCCACTTCTTTGCAATAGAACCAACTGGGGTAAGATTGCCACTGCCTCCAAATAAATGGAAAATGCCCAGAGTACCTGCAAGTATGTCAATTTAATCACTGAAACCATTCATAATAAGATCAATAGATCTCCAAAAAGTAGCAATCCTGTTAGCAAAATTGTAAAGACCAATTCATAAACATTTTGTAAATTTTACAAGTTAAAATATGTAACAAAACAATCTACAAGCCGGTTTCAATAAGGTTAAGACTTCCAAATCTCTCAAATAGGGGGTGCTGAAGAAAGGAATTTCTGTTATAAAAAAATAAATTGTAAACTAGAATATCAATAATTGGCATAACAGGAACAGTGGTTATGTTTTCTTACAACGAAAAGACACCACTAACTTGGAGCCCAAATCAATCAACAAGTTTACGATAGTAATGGCAGGGAAAAACAGAAATTGTCATCAAATTATTTTCATCCGTTGGGTATATAACATAAGAAAAATAAGTCATAGGATAGTGCAAAAGAAGGGACAACAGAAAATAAGTTACCCTTTTATTATCTTGAAATTTTGTATGTTTTAGCATGTGATGGAGAACATGATGTTTCCCTTTTACTAGCACTCTTAGTCCTTAAAAAATAACTCCAAATGTCCCAGAAACAGATACAAAAATCCAAACAGAAGACGGACAGCAGCATTCCAGAGTGCATTTGAGAGTTAGCATTTTTTAACCCCAAAAAGAAGTTTTACATTTTCTCATTCAACTGGAAAAACGTTCCAGCAATAATAAATCAAACATCACACATCCTGCAGTAGCTACTATGTCTTCTAATACTCATAGCCCGGTGTAAAGTGACAAGCAATGCTCTAGAAGGATGAACTTTGAAGCCAAAAAATATCAGTCACAAGACTTCATTTGCAACTGCAGAAACTATAAAAACATCCAGCTTAAAGCAGATGAGAAATAACAACTGTAAAGAAAAGATTAAAAGAAAAGGAAGAAAACATTAAAAGAATTCTGACCTCCTGTATCGTGAATTTCTCATGAACCACGAGTGCCAAGACAAAACAACCCAGGATAACGAAGTAATGGCGGAATGTATCAAGATCATGATTATATGAGCGCCTTACAGTTCGATGATAGCGCATGCAATACACAATTGCCAGAGAGCTCACAATGAAGACCACTTTCATCACAGTATTGTACAAGGAAATGTAATCCGTAAACAAATCCAAATACCGAGTCAAGAAAACAACAGCATACAGCTCCTGTGTCTTTAATGAAATCCCTGTAAAAATAAAAATAAAAATCAAGGATTTCACATGTCATGCCTTATACAAGAACATCCAATTGCATCACATGAAACTACAGACAAGAGAAAATTTTCCAATTGACAGTCTCTCATTTTTATTGATCCATTGTCATTCATAAACTCCTAAAAGCACCAAAACTGGCCCCTCAATAGTCTACTAGACTTGCAGAAGTTTTAGTTACATTCAAGCTTATGAAAGCATTACATAAAAAAGATGATGTTAAGGAAATTTCCAAACAAAGATACAACAAGTTGGCATTGTGCACCTCATTAAGTTAAATGCCTAGCTCACAACAGACATTGCGGGGAGCCCAATCACCTCATAAAACTAGAAGGAAGCTGAAAGCATTGGGTCATGAGCCACAAACGTATTTGAAAGAACAAAATGCAGCTGGTCTCTGTAAATATGACTGAAGACATAAATGTCTGTCACAGTGTATAAATACATAAATTTGTGTGTCCTTTCTATGTCTTTTAGCATATTATTGTGATTATTCAATATTGTTCACTATACAGTAATTATGAAAAAGGGAGGGACTTACAGAGTTAAATCCATAGAGAAACCTCCCTATAACTGACTCGACCAGATCAATAAGATTTCCCAACTAATGTATCTCGGTCACTGATATGTATTTTGACATATCAGCATTTAGAAAAACAGAAGTATGAGCTCAATCGAGGTCAATTGTGAGGGTCAACAGCCCTTACATTCATTTGCGTGCAGAAATTACAAGGAAGTGCAACAAAAAACAACCCATTTTTAAAGAGTTGCATGCATGATTATAAGTCTTAAGAAACCAGCAAATCCAACACAAATCAATCCTGAACAAGAGAACGAAAGAAATTTTACAAGCGCTAGATTAGCTCCATAAACTTGTGAGGACAAGTAAATAGTTTCAAACATATATCTGAAGCTAACATATATAGGGTCAGCCCATTTTTTTCTACATTCGTAAAGCTGAACCTAGGGAGAGAAATCAGAAAAACTAGTTAATGAAGAAAATATCTCAAACAGCTTGGAGGAAACTGTCTATCACAAACTCAAGCTATGGGATTCTTTATCCAACAAACAAAATCAAGACCTGAGCAGAGTATCATGTGAAATCCTCAACTCAAGACCCAGTAGAAAACAGGTTGTTGTCTAACATGTAGGAAACATGTATCAAATCACAATTTCAAACACATTTTCAAACAAAATAACACCCAAAAAACTAATTGCTCGGAATTTGTTTTGATACTTGTCATTCAAATGATAGTCCAAGACACGATCTGAGAAAATTACAAAATGAACGGAGTCATCATAACAAGAATTTGATTCCAGAGAAGGAGAAATACTGGTACATCATCAGCAATACTCTTTTCTCTTCTTCGATTTCCAACTCCCCTTTATGAAACGAATAATTAACAAATTAATGATTCCAGAACAATACTAATTTAACTGAACCTAAACCCTAAGCTGCTTAATTCAGGCAATAAGTAAGATAGTAATAAGAAATAAAATCTACAAAGAGCAAACAAAACTTCAACTAAAAATCGCCACAGCAACAGTCAAAATCACGATAACTTAAAATTAATCCACAAAGAACAACAAGATGTAATGTACATGAAAATATAAATAATACTCAAAAAGGACAAACAAAACGAACAAAAACGACTAAATACGGAGGGGGAAAAATGCAGAAACCTGCGCATGATTTGGTGGCGTAAATTTTGAGTAGCAGCACCAAAATGCTCAGCAAATGCGTCATATCACCGGCTAATCTGAACATATTCATCTTCGCGGCTGAGATTCTAGAGAGAGAAAAATCGAAATCCAGAGAGCGAAAACACACCAAAAAGAAGGGGGTTTTAAACGTTGGAAGAAGGCACTGGAAGGAAAGTCTGGGGGATTGATTTCCGTTTGTTTGATTTCTATTCTTTATAGGTTCTCGAATTGTGCCTAGGGATGAATTTGTAATTACATCCTTGGTAAGAAGACCAATTGACGTGGCATTATAGGAGGTGGCGTGACTCAACTTGTCCCTTCCATGTATTTCATCATATGAGTTTGCCAAAAAGACAATTTTCTCCTCGTGTTTTTTTGCGGGTACTATTTTTTTCCTGTGATTTTTTTTTATTAAAAAATATGTCTTACTAATAATAGGTGAAGAAGAAAATAAAATTTTTCGGTAAACCACAGACGAAAATTCTCCTTGCGTAATTTCATCCTATAGCAACCTAAAAGTTTTTTTTATTCACATAAAAATAATTTATTCTATTGCATTGTGTATGTTTTTAAAAAATCTATTTTTTATTTTTTTTTTTTAGACGTAAAAGGAATTTCAAACTAAATGTGTTACACATAAAAAAGGATATTTAAACTAAATGTGTTACACATAGAAAAATAATTTACTCTATTGCATTGTTTATGTTTAAAAAAAAATCTTATTTTATTTTGTTTTTTTAGACGTAAGGAATTTTTTTTTAAAACTAAATGTTTCACTTATAAAAAACGGTAATAATATTGTAATAATACCAAATCGTCATATATATTATATTTATACTCTCGTTGTAAGAGGCAAAATTATAATTTTAACCACTGTAATATACTAAAAATACGATAACCATAAAACTAATATGTATCCCTGTTGGCTTGCTGGAATATTTTTCCAAAAAGAGAAGTGGGAAATAAGTAAAGGGAGTTGAAATTCAGTGGACTCTTTTCATCTTCTTATTAGTAGATGGCCACAATAGTTGTATTTTTTCCACACTAAAAAGTTTTTATAAGAGAAAGAAAATAAAAGGAAAAAAAACTGCAAATTAAAAAGGAGGAAATTGGTAGTTACTGTACATTTGTACTGTAGTTGACCAGCTGTCACTCAGCGGAGTAAAATTGTGAGCACCGAAAAGGTAGAGAAAAAAGGAAGAAAAGAATTAGAAAGCACTTTCTTGAAAGTTGAAAAAACACCCAAAAACGCTAACTACTATACTATACTACTCTTTCCACCCCCTTTTTCAATTTTATTTTTTTTTTTGCTTCCATAGATATAGGTGATTTGTAAAGTGATTGGAGAACGATCAGTTTCAATTTCACATCATCATGGGTTGTGCTGGATCGCGTGCTAAGAAAGAAGGTTTCTGTTCTTCCAATTTCTTTTACATTATCAGTAATTATATTTACTTTTTTTTTGTTTTTGTTTTGTTAGGAGGATGTATGTGAAGATTCTTTCGACTGTTTTTCAATTGAGAAGTTGTTACTTGTTTCTGAGGGTTTTTGAGTAGTCGTATTGTTTCTCAGAACTTGTACGGGTATCTTACTTGGGTTCGGTACTGATGGAATGGAGTCTTTGATAAGTTCTTGATTGATTTTATTTTAACGTGGCTATTTGTTTGAATTTTTGTTTTTCATGATTATTCTTGAGAGATTCAGGTCCATCCCTGAACTGGGATTATCTGTGGGCGCCCTTTTTCTTGTTTTAAATTATTGTTCTTCGAATGCGAACCGCTCGTGGATTTTGATTAATGTTGTTAATCGAGAAGCCAAACTCTCAAGTGTGGTGGGTTTTGTTGAAGGCTTTTGGTTCAGGTTTGGTTTAAGCTTCAAGAATCAAGAAGTTGTGTGCTTTCTTTAAACTGGTCGGCAATCTGCTTCATGCTTATACAATTGAAAATCTTCTTCCGCCAAAATTTTATTTCCGCTTGTATGGTTGTAATTTCACTTCATTTGGGTGAAGATGTTATTTTATTTTCTTAAATTTAGATTCTTGGGGGTCCCATAAAGGTTTGCCCGCCGTTCTTACTTTTTGCTTGGGATGTCATCTCTGTGTTGTTACTTTTTTCATGAGCTTGGTTGTCCTCGTTATCATGTATGTTTAAATCGGAACATTGATTGAAAACCAAGAGAAATTTTGATCAAACGCTACCACGGAATTATTTTTCTGGCTGGGTTAGCACAATATATGAATATGTAGATGCAGACCTCAGTTTTTAGTCATTCAATTGATGTGTTGGCTCTTTCTTTGTTTGAAGTTACACCATGTCTAGAGATTGTCTGGACACCTCAGAGTTTTCTAGAAGGATTGATATATGAAATAAAATTCAAATTTTAGAATTGCTGGATAAGATCTCCAACTTTTTGATCATTCGGATTTTTCAAAGGGCTTTAAGAATTCAGGGAAAATCTTGATCCTTCCACTCCTAAGGCTTTCGCATGCCTACTGTTGTAGCATGCCAAATCTTTGCATATCAGTTCTGTTAATAGGTCTCTAATTGCAAAACCAAAGGTGAAGGAATAGTAGTATCTCTTCTGTTCCACGGTAGTGGTCACCAGTTATCACCACCACAGCTCTGCTCTATCACATTATTTCTGTTGAATGAAAAAGTAAGCACAAGCCATTAGCTTGATAAAAGTTCTTCTTGACAATTTCTGAAAGAGTTTCCAATATAAAGAAACAAATTGAATGGCTTGGAGAAGCATTCGTATAGAATTGCATGTGCTCTTGACGGATAGATATGATCTGTTCCAATCACGTCAAAAGTAGTTTTGTTAAAGAACAACGGGCAATGACCTGAATGGGGTTTGGTAATGGAAAAAGCCAACTTAGATTCTGTTTCAGATATCAAACCAGTTGAGCTCTTCTAAGCTTTGGTCTGGTAAAAGGGGAAAAAGTTTTCAACTAGATCTTTTTCCTTCTTAGTGGATGTTATTTAATGTCTCCATTCTCACAATCACTAGACATACATTTTGACAGGAATGTTATAGTCAAGACAGTTTTATCATGAGCAATGTTATTCTTTCAAGTCACTGCATATTGAATTTTTCTCAGAAACTGCTAAGAAGATACGGAAACCAAAGCCTTGGAAGCACACGGAGCCGATAACAAGGGAGCAACTTGTCAGGATGCGTGATGAGTTTTGGGATACTGCTCCTCACTATGGTGGTCGAAAAGGTTGTCTTATAGTCTTGTTGATTTATTTTCTTGATTTCTTAAGAAATTTTTCTTCTTGCCATGGTACATTGCAAAACTTTACTGGCATGGACATGAAACTATCTGTTAATGTGGATTGTCACTTGGTATCTCTTGATGGTTAATCTCCTTTGGCTTGTGGTGTTTGGGGTGATCCTTCATTGATAATACATTTCTAGAGGATTGTACATAAAGTGATTCAGTTATTCTAATAGTTAACTGTCATTGGGACTAAATTTTTTGCTCCAAGTAAATGGAATTGGAGTTTCTAGGACTATATTCACCGAATTTTGGTCTTTCTTTCCCATGATGGGGATTTTCCATCTATTCATTGTAGCAAAAATAATTTAACTGTAATTTGTATATTATTTATGAAAGCCAATTATCCACTGGCATTTAGATGGTAGAGCAGGGGTAGGAATGTAACCATGGTTAGTTTCATGAACTTAGCTAGTGAACTGCATCTCAGCTGCATGTAATCTGTTCCTCTTCTTGTTCTTCATGTTATATTTCATGTTATATCGCTGCTTGCACATGATTTCCTTGTCTACGGGTTTTGAGCTTCTTATAGATACTGTTTAAGAACTGCTTTGTATTTCATTACCCTGCTTTGTCAGAATGGGGAGACTATGACATTGCTTTCTCTGAGATTATAGATTGGTAGAGGAAAGTCTCTGTGAATCCATGTCATTTTTTTATTTTATTCTTTCTCTGAGATTATAGATTGGTTGAGGAAAGTCTCAAATTGCTTTCTCTGAGATTATAGATTGGTAGAGGAAAGTCTCTATGAATCCATGTCATTTATTTATTTTATTCTTATGGCTGATACTGTTCTTTGTAGAATTTCAAATAGAACTATTTCTTACGAAATTGTTTTGGCTTCTTTTTAGAAATCTGGGATGCATTACGAGTTGCAGCTGAGGCAGATCTAGCCCTGGCACAAGCCATCGTTGACAGTGCTGGCATTATTGTTCAAAACCCGGACATGACAGTTTGCTATGATGAGAGAGGTACTGTGAAGTTTTTGAGTCTCGGAAAAAAGTAAATATTTGATATACTTCCTGAGAAAGCTGCTCAACTCTTTAGCCATTGTATTTGCAGGTGCAAAATATGAGCTGCCCAAGTATGTATTGAGTGAGCCAACCAATTTGATCGCGGAGAGCTAACAAGGGAATCTAAAAGTCATTGATATTGTGAGCCTGTGTAAATGGTGTAAATTTACTGCATTCTCATCCCAGGCTGAAATCAGTCTGAAAGTAAATCCTGCTTGCTAAGCTAGAGGCCCTTTTGAACACTGCTTCGATCCTAATGCAAATCAAATTCTTCCCAACACAAATGCCTTGGTGTATATTTGTGGGTTATATTTGAAATGTCTTGAGTGAAAAAAATTTCTTTTTGCAAATGCGCATTCCTCTTGATTTTCCAATATAGGCTAATGGATGAAATTAATCAAAATTTCCTTCATTGTTTTTGTTTCAACTTCCCAAATAAGGGAGGAATTAGGGGCCTTCTGAAAAGCTAACTGCTTGTTTGAGGTGATAACTGCAAGAGCTTGAGGAGTGATTCCTGACATCACCGAGGCAGTGATCAAATTGATAAATCATAACAGTGATCAGAATAGATTCACTAAAATTGCTGGATTGGTTTGTTTTTAATAAGATGTAGAAATGTCTTTACTGCTGTTAACTTAATAATGTGGAATTCGAGTAGTAGTGGTGGTTCAATTTACGTAATCATAATTTTTTTTTTATCTGTTAACAAGGATTTATCTTGGATAAAGAAATATTAGAGTAAAAAGAGAAATCTATAATGATAGTTCTTGATTAACTACTCCCTCCATTCCAAAATATGTCACTGGAAGAGTTTTAAAAAATTTAAGAAAGATGATAAATATTTGATTAAAATTCTAAATTACCCTCATTTATTCTCAATATAATTTTATTCCCAATATCATTTAGTTTTAATACACTTCTATTTTAAATACAATTACAATTTTTCATGTAGGGGCAATGTCAGAAGAAATTGACAAAATATGCCTAGATATGCGAAAACGACAGCTATTTTGAAAAAAATTAATTTTTCTCCAACGACATATATTTTGGAATGGAGGGAGTATTTACATCAAATCCAGAGCAAATGAATAGTATCCAATGTAAGAATTACTCTTTCCGTTATGATTTAAAATATATCTTCAAACATAAAACGAATTATACTACAAAAAATGGAGAAAGTAGTAATTACTAAGTGCCGCGAAATGAAAAAATACCGCCGATGGAGAGTGAGAAGCAAAGGGATGGGATTATGGAAAGTTGGAGACGCCGGCCGCCAAGGCCACATGTGCGGAGTTAGCCACTTTTTGAGTGAAACGTGATGAACAAATTCGTCCCAAATAAGGAAGATTAATGAATGAAAATCTAATTAGGATTATTGAGTGTGAGAGAGGGGAAACTCAAACCCCCAAGATTTTGTCCCTTTGGAACTAGACATTGGTTGTTATCATTATTAGCTGCTTTAGTTTATCCAGAAAAGTGGAACTCAATAATCGTGCAACTCACAATTTGATTAGAAAAAAAAAAGGCCTTAAGAGTTGGGGGAATATTTAACAAAGGTCAATAAAGCTGTTCAATGTAGTCATTGTAATTTGGAGCTAAAGCCCGTAGCTCATGCATGCATATATCTCTAGCATCTTTAGCCAATCATTTAGGGATGAGGACATTGTCTCTACTTCTTCTTCATCCTTTTCTTTTTGGGGGAAAAATAAAAAAACCACTAAAATCTGACATTATTTCTTGTCACCAAAATGTTGATGTTTTTTTCACTTTTCATGATCGTTTTGATGCATCCGCCATTGCTGCTTATGAAAATGGTTTTCGTTTCGTTATACCAAATCAGGGGATTTAAATTTGATCTTTATAGTTTTTTCTTTCTAAGGATTTACCCTTCTTCTTTTTTCTTTTTTTTTTCCTTTTATATTCCATTTGTGCTCAAATCACTTTATTTTACAAACTCATACTTACCTTGCTTTTGTTTTTTCTCCACTCAAATGCCATTTGAAAATTACAATCATAACGAACATATGTAACTTGTGTTTTTAGATAGAGACAATATTAGCCTAGTAAATTACAAAGGAAACAAAACTAATTCCACCAAAATTTAGAAATGTTATTCTCAATCACGAGTTTTGCCCTAGCATTGTAAGTGTTATGGTGTATAATTTATCCTACATCGCTACTGTGAAGAGAAGTGACTCTGTATATAAATGTTAAAAACCACTACACTCATTGTTAATTGGTTTTTGAGATGAGAGTTCAAACTACTTATATTCTTTGACAGTTTGGTAATGCTAGCAATTGTTAGAGTGTTTGTACCATATTACAATACAACGCAAAATGGATAAATATAGGAACAATTGTTACAAAAACCACAATTCCACCAAACTCATGCGGTCCGGATTAGCAGAAAGTCTTTGGATGACAAAATTATTCAGGTACTCATGTTGAATTATGACAAATCTCAGGGGAATAAATGTAAATACGATAAACCTAACGCCTACGTTGTGGCAAAATAAACTATGTTATGGCAACGCCTACGTCAAAAGGGAAGCCCGTACCCCGTAGCCGTTAGGCCCGTTATTAGAAAAAACCTGCAGTTTGCACGTGCTATCACATCATCTCATTTATGTCCCCCTTGCCTATGTTATTTTTCTCCAAATTGATGTCGTTTTTCCAAAAAAGGACAAGAAACAGCCGTATTTATGTTTCCTCCTTAATAATTTACCCTCACAATGCATAGCATGGTTGATAAATGTAGTGAATCATCCTCATTTCACTCAGAAGCAAGTTCAATGTATAATTTAAGTGTTAATATTGTAATAAATAAATTGTTTTGTAATATACATTTTCAAATCAACATCGATATTAAGACCAGAAAGATAATATGGACCATACACACTATGCAACATCTGAATAAAAATCAGCCAACATTCTTCTCCCTTTTGGTAAAACTTCTGGATCATTCAGTGCTCTCATAGTATATCCGCTGTACATCTCTTTCATCAATTATGCTACTCAAATGTTAGTTGTTTTTATTGATTTCAAGAGCTCAATCAGAGTGAATGCTGTACGTTTTTAAGAAAGAAATTTAAGGTAACATTCCAGAAAGTGGTCGGCTAAACCTAACCTCTGTAGAAGTGTAATGAACTATCCCCTTTCATATTTGAGATGTCCTACCTTATTATTAGTCCAATGGTGACACCTAAAAGCAATGTTTGATTGCTTTTATATATATATATATATATATATATATATATATGTACTATTAGCTAAGGTGTTCCACCTTTGTTAACTTTTTTGGACCAAAAAAATTATCCGAATTGGATTATTAAAACGAGATAGATGAAATATTTCTATACACAATATGAAGAATATGAGAGTATGGAATTATACTAAAATACTATCAATGTTGGTGAATTCATATTAAATTGTCTCTGTCCATTCCAGAATTAGAGTATTAATTGTTAATATAAACATTGCGACAAACATAAATTTTATTCTAAAACAGAAAGAATAACGTCCTTGAGATAGCAAAACTGTATTCCATCTAAATTAAAAGAAAACTACAACAAGCTAATGTTCATGAATGCATTGCCAAAAATACTAATAAAAAATGTTGAGTCCGTAATTGACAATACAGTTGGAATGCATAGATAGAAAAATAATTAAATTATGCGGCGGCAGATTATGTGATGGGAAACCACCTCTTATCGAAATATAAAATTATAATTATTTCACGGCTTAAATATGTAACAATATAAATCGTAAAATTTGATTGAAAAAAATCCTAACTTCCTTCACACCCCCGACCCCGATCAGACAGAATACGAGAATATATGTATGTTTAAATGTTTCCAAGTAATTTGGAATTCGAACATTTCCTCCCCATTGTTGTAGTAATGTTTTTATTTTGCTTTGGCCATTTTATTTTTCTTTCTTCAATTTCGTTTCATAAGCCAAAAGAAAGCAAATGTCACTCGCTGGTGAGCACCGCAATTTCTCTCCTTTCCTCCGAATCCTCCTTTCCTTTCCATAAGTCCCATCCCTACTTGTTCCCTAGGCCCCATCTCTCCCTATGATCTCTCGTACATTATTATTCTCTCCTCTATAATTTCCTGAAAAAAAATTACTCTTCTTCTTACTCACTCTGTAATAAACTCGCAAATCACTGTCGCCGTTACACTTAACTCCTACACAATTCAGTTACTTTGCTCTTCAAACCGAACAACTCACAAGAACTGAATTTTTTAAGTTCACAGGCCAGACTACTGAAAGATAACTGCTACTGTTGTCTCCTCTGTTTTTGTGGGATTTCTCTACCTCTTGTATTTTGTTTGGTATGGTTGAATGAATCCCAGGTGGAATTCATGTGAAACTTCGGCAAAAAAGGGGATCCAAAGCTGTGAAAAGAAGAAGGGGACTAGAGGGTTTTAATGGTGCAAACGGGTCACTTGCCTTGTTGCCTCTGAATTCAGGTGAATGTAGTCTTCATTGCGCATCTTTTTCCTTCTAATCGTTCTTGTCCTTTTTAACTTTTGGCCCATACAATTGGGTGTCTCTAGTAATCTTCTCATTCCAAGTTGGTGTAAACTTTTACTCTGCTACTAGTAGTACTATTGAGAAAGACAGGAGTTCTTCATTTTGTTAGTTGTTTCCAATTGAGTTGGGATTCTGTTATTTTAAAGTGACGCATGTACTGTGTGGGCGAAGTTTAATGTTGGGTGCTTTGAGGTTTCAACCAACTTGATTATTGGATGAGTTGGGCCTTTCAAGATTTGGTTTTTATGCATTCATCTTCATTGGAGTTGAATGTTTCATTTTCCCATCTGTGCTTTGTCCTGGTGCATACGGGTGGCGAATTAGGGGTTAGTAGTGGAGAGTTTTCGGTTGGACATGAGGCAGCGCCCATTGCTGCCTTTTGTTGGTTGAAGTTCTTTTAGGAAAGGTTAGATTGAAAGTTGTTGAATGGTGGTGTACGGGAAGGCTTTGTCTTATCGAGGTTGACCAATGGATTGATTCGGTCCAGTTAGTAGTGTGAGGGGATTTTGGTTTTTATGGTGCTATCATTGAAGATACTTTAATAGTAACTCTGAGAGTTAAGAGAATGCAGATTATTTTGATACATCGGGTTCAGTCACGACAACTTTCGTTTCTGGACTTGTTGTTTTTGTACTGATCATGACCAAGGTTGTCCGTGATCGGGTGCTTAAGGATGCTAATGGTAACATTAGTGATCATCTTCGGAATCACATACATTTAACAAACTGTATTCATTTGAAGAACATGCATAAGCATAGCCCCATGCTGGCTGATAAGTCCCTTATGAGGGATCTTGTTGTTCTTCAAAGATCAAGATCTCTTCGAGACCCATCTACTAGTCCACCATCCTGGCATTCTCCTTCCGTTGTTGATTTGCTTCTAAAGAGAAGCGAGAAAGGTCCAACTATAGCTAATGCCAGGAGGAGTCTCGGCTTGGAGCGCCCAAGGGCTGTTGAAGGGTTGACAGGGGACTCACCATCTTTTGCTGGGCTCTCTACAGCCAAAGTGGCTCCTGCCGATGTAAGCAGGCGCACAGGTGGGACAGTTGGAGTTAGTGATCAGAGTGGTAAGAGTGGCTCTCGAGACCGTGGAAGAGTCAAGAGAGAAGAATCTGGTGGGAGGAACTTTGATACTAATCTCATGGCTGAGAAGGATGAGCATGAGCTTCCGAGAAATGGAAGTTCTTTCAGGCTTGACAATGTTTCTGGAAGCTCCGGATTGAGGGATAAGATTGTCAAACAGAAAATGAGGCACAGGCAACCTGTTAATGTTAAAACCCTCTCTGAGCAGCTAAATGAGCTCCCTGTTGATAGTGATGATGCAGCTTCATCTCACATTGATGCGCATGCTAGACTTTCTGAAACTGAGAGACTTTCTGAAGATGCAGAAGCTACCATTCGACATTCAATCCCTTCACATTCACATAGGGGGAAGCGGCGGAAATTTCGGGGAAGGAAAGGTCGGGCTTCTGTAGCTTCAAGGCGTGCTGAAGCTCAAAGTGAAATGTCTGTGGCCTCCAATCAATTTGCTGCAGGCTTAGCACAGCAAAAACTTCATGGAGCAGATGGAAATGAAGAGTACGTTGATCAGAATGTCACAAGGGATCCAAGAAATGGATGTGGAATTCCTTGGAACTGGTCAAGAATCCACCACAGGGGTAAATCATTGCTTGACATGGCTGGAAGGAGCTTGTCTTGTGGTTTATCTGACTCGAGGCTGAAGAAAGGAGGTCCTCTACCACGAGGAAGTGAGGTTTCCGGCATGCATATGTTGTCTGACCATTCATGCTCATCTACCAAATCTGATGCTGAAGCACTGCCACTTCTGCTTGATGCTTCTGGATCTCAAGGAAGTACTGAAAATGGAGCTTGGTTTCATGATTATTCAGGGGAGTTGGGAATCTTTGCTGACAATCTTCTGAGGCACGATCTTGATTCAGACCTAGCTTCAGAAGCTAGATACGGAGAGCAATACAGAATCCGAGAACCTCGTAATGGGAGGCATCAGAATCTGACTCAAAAATACATGCCAAGAACTTTCCGGGATCTGGTGGGACAGAATTTGGTTGCCCAGGCCCTCACTAATGCTGTAATGAAAAAGAAAGTTGGTTTGCTTTATGTATTTTATGGTCCTCCTGGCACAGGGAAGACTTCAACTGCACGCATATTTTCTAGAGCTTTGAATTGCCAATCCACGGAGCATCTTAAACCTTGTGGGTATTGTGATTCTTGTGAAGCACATGATATGGGCAAGAGTAGAAATATAAGAGAGATAGGTCCTGTCACTAATTTTGACTTTGAAAGCATTATTAATCTTCTTGACAACATGGTTGTATCCCAAATGCCATCTCAGTATAGAATATTCATTTTCGATGATTGTGATAATTTATCTGCTGATTGCTGGAGTGCAATAGCAAAGGTCATTGACCGAGCTCCTAGGCGCTTGGTCTTCATCCTCGTCTGTTCAAGTCTTGACGTGCTGCCTCACATAATCATATCTCGGTGCCAAAAGTTCTTTTTTCCAAAGTTGAAAGATGCTGACATCATCTATACATTGCAGTGGATTGCATCCAAAGAAGATTTAGATATTGACAAGGATGCTTTGAAACTTATTGCATCAAAATCAGATGGATCTTTGAGGGATGCTGAGATGACTCTTGAACAGTTAAGTTTGCTTGGGGAAAAAATCTCTGTCCCGCTGGTGCAGGAAATGGTAAGATAGTGTTTATTTTCTAATACGCAATCTCTTTGTATTAAACATTTTACATGCACTGCCTTCTAGATGATTATTTTAACTGGGCTTTAAAATGCTAACCTCCTATTAGCACAAATTCTCATGTAAGCCTGCCTTGTGCAAGTACAAATTCTCATGTTGGCCCACCTTTGTGCTCCATACTAAATAAGTTGTTTTGTGTTCCATACTAATCTGCTGTGTGATATTGCAAAAGTTAAAATTTTTTCATGAAGCTTTCAACCAAATTAGCTTTGTTACCTACTCTTTTCAATTTAATTATTGAGTTCATCAAGTACAATCATTTCTATAATGATCATTCATGCTGCATCTACTTGCCTCCTTCTATGGCATTCTTGTCTCTGCAGATAAGTCACCTGCAGATTCATTGATTTGTATATTATGCTGTATTTCAAATCTCCTAAGTTTTGGGATATGTTTCACAGGTGGGGCTCATCTCTGATGAAAAGTTAGTGGATCTACTTGATTTAGCTTTATCTGCAGACACAGTAAATACTGTGAAGAATCTCAGAGAGATAATGGAATCTGGGGTGGAACCATTGGCTCTGATGTCACAGCTTGCCACAGTCATCACTGATATTCTTGCTTGTGGTTATGACTTCACTAAAGAGGGCCCTCGAAGAAAGTTCTTCAAGAGACAAGCATGTAAGACAGCCATAACTTTGTGTGTTTACCTAATTAGGAAGAACAAGAGATATATTGTGTCGCTATAGCTTCTGTTTTGGATTGTTATCACTGCCGCATCTTATACATATACGACTATTTAATTATATAGTTTACCTAATTAGGAAGAAGAGATATATATTGTGTGATGTTACTTTTGAGGCTTCTGATAAACTACAAACTTTCACATCTTCTGTATCGTTGTCACTGCCACTTCTTATACATTTATGACTTTTTTGTTATATAGTTTGTGGTTTTGAGGGGTGGATAAAGTATATGTCTATTTTCTTACATGTGACAAAATCCATTTATTTACTTCCAGTATCGAAGGAGGACATGGAAAAGCTGCGACAAGCTTTAAAGACATTATCTGAAGCTGAAAAGCAGCTGAGAATGGCAAATGACAGACTAACTTGGCTAACTGCTGCATTGTTGCAACTTGCTCCTGATCGCCAGTATGTTTTGCCTAGTTCATCTGGTGACACTAGCTTCAATCACAGTCCTCTTGTGCCAAACAATGCTAATATCAGAGAGAGACCAAGAAGAAGCAGTGCTGAGCATACTGAAATCCCTAAGACTGACAGAGTATTGTCAGCACAAGTTAGAATGGAGAATGTTCAATCAACGACATCCAGAGATTTTGATGATGGTAGGAGGAAGGGTACTAATTTAGATAGGCGGGTTGTTGCAGGTAACACAAGGGCTCAACATATACATGGCCATAGCAGTGACAAACATAAAGTGAATAGTGGAAAGTCACAAGGTAGTTTTCATAGTGAAATTGAAGAAATCTGGTTGGACGTGCTTGGGAGGATCCAAGTAAATAGCATCAGACAGTTCTTATTCCAAGAAGGAAAGCTAATCTCGGTCAGTCTTGGTGCAGGTACTTCAGCACTCAGAATGGCTTTTCGTTTTCAAAAGATTTGTCCAGTGATATTGTCCATCATTTTAACCGTCTTTACCATCTCAAATATCTTACATGTTCTGACTGGTACTCAAACAAATCAGTTGTTGTGACAAGGTGTTTATATATAACAAAAGGCACGAATGCTACTCACCTTATATGATCAGTTTTTTTGTTGTGTGTTCTTCAGCTATATAGGTTTGGTGTCTGATAAGGAACATATAGTTGTTATTGTCCTTGAAATAAAACGTGAGGTAATTTTGGGGTCGTTGACGCAACTAATAAAATACATTCAAAAATTAAGGATGGAAAAGATCATTTTTGAATATGAAGGACATTGTCTTTTGGCCAAATGTACTGATTAATTCTTGTCAGTTCCCTATATATAAATGTACTGGTAGTTTCTGATATTAGATCTTTTATTGCTTAGTATTGTGGTGAGAAGATTCCGTCTTGTTTATTACAGAGATATTGGGGAAGCGACGTTGATTGACATTTGTAAATTTTTCTGGACCTTTTGACTGTTTTGAATCAGAGTTCAATTCCATTGAGTAAATTAGAGTAATTAACATGAATTGACAATTACATGAATTGCAGGAGTTTGGTACTTGTAACATGTCATGTAAATGTTTATGTGACATGTTATAATACAATGATCCTGGTAAATTTCAATATCCCTGTGTGACTTTAACAAGTTAGCCATGTACTTGCTACCTTTGATGGTCAAATGCCTTCATGAAAAAATGGTGAAGCCATATCAAGTATGGTTGTCCAAATTTCATTCTTCTTTTTCTTTGTCATTTTGAACTTTTGTTTCCTTTATCTCTGCACTAATAATATCCTGAATAGCTCAACTGTAATTAGGCTTAAAATTTGGCTAAGCTGGAGTAAGTTGTGAAAGATTACTGATTTCCTGATCCTGTTTTTGGTTACATCATGAGTTGTTGTTTTGCTGAATTTTGTTGGATAATTACTGAATGGAAGTTGACTTGAATGGTTGAAATAGGTTGAAATGCTTGCTATCACTTTTTTTTTTTTTTTTCTGTATTTTAATTTGTAGAAAATGCTTTTTGCTGGTGGACTGTATAATCATCTGGTTCTTCTTTCTTTTCGTTTAAATTTATGTTGTACAATGATCATTTTCAGTATAAGAGAAACTTTTACTTTAGTTCTGACTATGGTCTTTATGCAGCTCCAACTGTTCAATTGATGTTTAGCTCACACCTGACAAAATCCAAGGCAGAGAAATTTAAAGGACATATATTACAAGCTTTTGAGTCCGTTCTAGCATCCCCTGTGATAATAGATATCAGACATGTTCCAGATAGAGATGTCAGGGCTGGACCCATTGTCTTACCTGCGTCGCAGGATGGTAAATCACTCGTGGAGTTGAATCCGGAATCTAGTGCCCGCAATAGGATCCCAGGAGCTGGTAATGAAACTACTGGCAGAAGATACCGAAGTACTGGTGGAAATGGTAGACCCGAAATTATTGAATTGGATACTTCTCCAAGAGAAGCCAAGCTTAATGAGCGGAGTGAGTATGATGCAACAGATGGTAGGCAAAAGGTTGAAAGTGCTTCCACGGCAGGAGCCACAACTGATGGAAGACAACTTGGAGAGAGAAACCATAGTCTGAGCCTGGTGAGAGGGAAGGTTTCCCTTGCGCATGTAATACAACAGGCAGAAGGATCTCAGTATGGATGGTCGAAACGCAAGGCTGTATCTATTGCTGAGAAGCTTGAACAAGAGAATCTGTAAGCCACTCTTCCCATTTCCTTCTTTCTACAGTAATTTATTAACTTTAACAGGAAATTACAAAATGCTTGGGTTGTTTCTACCTGTGAATCAAAATTTGTTGGACTTAGCTAAGATGATCTTGCCCACAAAGACCGACCTAAAATTATATCTCCTGAAAGTTTTCTCTCTGTTTCTTTTTTTCAGGAGATTGGAACCAAGATCAAGGAGCTTATTATGCTGGAAAGCCTCCCGTGTAACTCGCAGAAAGGTATTTGCATTCATGGAAACAGCTTTACCAATTTAAACTTCACGTCGAATTTGCTTATCCTCTTTTCTTTTAGGCAAAACCTATCCTTTTCTTGCGTAATATGACTAGTGAGCTACTTGTGGTTTTGCAGCTATCACGCGTAAAAGTTAGAGCAAGGAAGTCACATACATTACTTAAATTCGTTTCCTGTGGAAGATGCCTTTCTGGTAGGTAGGTTTTCTACAAAAGGGGATGTTTAGAAGCCATTTCTGGATGATGTAGCTTTGAGGGGCTTCTATGGAGAATACTTTAGCCATATTTAATTTAATTTTTTCTTTTTTCTCCCCTAATTGTAGCTTAGATAATAATTTCATTTATGAAAAGTTCTATTCCCATTGAAATAAATCAGAATACATGATATATCGACTATCCTTTGAACATTCTTATGGACGTTGCATTAATCCTATTAATTTTGACAATTGTAATTGAAGGAGACATACTGGGATTTGTAATCACGAAGTCGGAGTTTTCAGATCTTGTTACCCAATAAATAAAAACTAAAAAACCACAAATGGTTACGTTGTCAAGTAGTTTACTGAAATTTTAATAATAATTATTATGTGATGCCGGAAATACGATTCATCAGCACCACCATGTATTTTCTGAACAGCGAATTGCTTGCATTGTCACCATTGGAAACGCAACTAAAGTATGATTACCATTTATTTGTTGGATGTCGGATCTACACCATGGCAACCATCGAGAATCGAAAAAAAAATCCAGATCAGTTTTTCTTCCTTTTGAGAGACCGACCATCGTCACCATTGCATTCGAACCCAAGAAGATAATTAGATTTCGAAGGGATGGAGAAATGGAGGTGACAGCAGATTAGATTTATATTTAGGGCGGGAAAAAATTTGTGGGAAAGGAAGGGATGGAGAGCGGTCAAAAAGATTGGCCGTAAAAATGAGCACGAAAAAATGAGATTTTAGTTGGTAACATTGAATAGTAAACATCGTCGTTTAGCCTGTCACATTAATTAAGTTATTTCTCTCGGGTAATGACATATTTGGTTGACAAAAAAATAAAAATAACTTTATTAATTGCTCATTGTAGCTTTGTTTTAAATTATTAATGTCATGTTAATATATTAACCAATCAAAGGAATCAATTAAAAATTAATGATGTCATGTGAACTAATGACCAACCAGAATGCTCAAATTTAATTTCTGACCAATAATTTTAAACTTAACAAGAGACATTTATTTATGTATAGAAAAAAAAGATTTATTCGGTCAAATTCGAATTCGTCATAACAATGATTTAAGACATTGGATGTGAAATAAAGTGAAAAACTAGGTTATGAACCCCTGCGGTTGCACCAGTTTGGCCTTGGACAAAGATATTACTATTCATTAGATTGCATTCTAATTAGTGATAATACTTTTCAATGGTAATAATAAGAAATTTTTTTCCGCAAAAAGAGACTTCAATTGATCATATTTATTTACAACATTTTAATTGTGCAACGATGGACTTTATATTATCCATTTTGAACTTGATATTGTCCATTTTGAATCTTAATGGGAAAAAGGTGAGTGATTAAGCAATCATATTTTGAACTCCTTTCCAACCCCGTTACACATCAATCCTAAAACTTCCGCGCATCAAAAGTCATGTTGCTTGATGCTCATACCAATGTAACTTGTATTATTGTTATTAATATTTTTGAGATGCACCATAGTGAAGACCTTAGTGTACAATGTGGCGATTGCAGGTTGTACATCTTGATGTCATAATTAACACGAACTCTAATAATGTTACAATTATTATGAATTACTATTAAGAAGTCATATATGTACGTGAATTAAACATTTAATTTCAGCCCATTGAACTCCTTCTTAACTCCTCCATCTATACGTGTTCTAATGAAACTGGATCTGGATACATGACCAAAACTTCAATAAATACATGTAAGATATTTGTAGTATCGACCCAGCCAAAACAATTTGATAAAGAAGATGAAATTATGAAAACAAATGGCACCATTTAGCATTTGCGCTCCGTCTGATACTCAGTTTGATATCTTGTCTTCCACTGGCTCTGCAAAGATTCAAATATGAGCAAAGAAAATAATAACAAAAACAATATTTGATCTCCATCAAATGTTCAAAAATATTCTTTATTTATTTTGTAAAGAATAGACTTTCTCTCTTGTGTGAAAAATACCAATTTGGAATATGGACTCTTGCTCGATGTTTTTTGGGACGATCTTATTTTGACACATCAGCATTTGTTTCAATAATTGATTGATTGATTTGAACTAAGTTTTTTTTTTTTATATAAAAAAAATAAATGACCCCAACGAGAATCGATCCCTCGACTTCCCGATAATAATAAATGATCCCAACAAGAATCGATCCCTCGACTTCCCGATAATAACCATCCCCATCCTAATTCTCTAATCAACCCACCAAACCCTCCCACCCACATTTCGAAGAAGTTGATTACCGACTAGCGACTGATAATAATACAGTAGGTAATTAAATTAAGTATTCCGATTTGTCCAAATGTGTTTGTCATTCGGCTGCATTGACTTATGGTAAACGAAATAGATTTTCAAATCCCGGTGGCGGTCACCCCGTTGACTGCCGTATTCTGTACGTGGCGTGACCGGAACGGTCTCTGATTTTATTTTGTCGGTATAGCTGGCAGATTCCTATTTTCCACGGCTTTTTTAGTACGAGTATTTTTTTTTTCTCCCTCGAAGTTCTTCCGTTCCACGTGGTTCACTTAATTTTCAAAACTTTATTTATTAATCTCTTTGTCTTGATTCTCTTTCTTTCTTTTTTTTTTTTTTCTTTTTTGACAAATCGATTCTGTTGAATATTCAGCAAAGAAGGGTCATTATTTATTGTGGGATGAAAAATTGGAATCTATATTGATTTATTGATTCCACCAGCTAGCAAACTAAAGTTCCTCCACTAGGCCTGTAAGTTTTTTTTTTTTTTTTTTTTTGACTGAATGATTCTGGAAATGCTGTAGTCCGAGCAATTCCTTATTTAATTTGAACTACATCTAATTTTCAATTATCCAAAAGAGCATATATAATTACGATAAATACTGCTAAGTATTCTCCAAAAGGTGATGTTTAAAAGTACCTCTTGTCCTAAAATTATTGTTCAGTTTGAATTCTCACTTTTAGTTCAATTTGAGCTAATATTTTATTATGTGAAATATTTGTGTCATTTAAATGTTTTTAATCTTTACGTTAGGAAAAATAAAATAAATCAGAAAAATAGTGTCTTTATTGCTATAATATATTATGAAAAAAATTAACATGTTTATAGAAATACAATCATGGGTTACAACAATACAAAGATTAATTTTTACGATAGAGTTTGAAAACAAATAAATATTTTTTTAAAAAAACTCATATAATATATTTTTATGGTCATTAAAAGTAGTTGAGAGAAATGGAACAAAATAGAGAAAATGAAATAAAAAAGTGAAAAGGGACAATTTTGTTATTTTTATATATTTTAGGGATTATTTTTAAAATTTGTACAAACTACTGGGGTGTTTTTGTAATTAAATTTATTATTTTATTAAAAAACTAACGGAGATCTGTTAATTTGGACGGAAAATAGGCCGATTGGACAAAATTGGCGAAAATTTCAAACATTAGGGTAAAGTTGACTGACCGAAAATCTATTGGGTATGATTGACGACGAGAGCAAAGTTTTGGGTAGGAACGACATTTTTTCCTTCAATGGGCTATATTCTTCAAATGTGCCAATTGAGTGAGGATGGATATCTCTCATTAATAATACACAGGAGCATTTTTGTTTTTTGTTTTTTTTTTTTTTTTTTTTTTGAAAAAACCCTATTTGGAACGAAAATGAATATTACCACCACTATTTCTGTGAGCTAAAGTTATTGGGAAAAAAAAAAATATTGTCCCGCATTGCCAATTACAATTTGAACTTTGAACTTTGAAGAGGTCCATAGAAAAACAACACAATCTCACAGTCATAGAAAGAAGAGCTTTAATTTATTACAACAAGAAATCATAAGTCAAAGCCACGTGATGGTGATATACTGATATGTCTTCATCTCACTTCTAAGTTCTTCATCTCAAAAAAAAAAAAAAAAAAAGGTCCACAAAGAAGAAGGAGAAGAAGTTGATCGATCGGATTGTCTTCGGTTGTTGGGAACTTTTAATGGTGCATTTAGGAGAGCTATACTGTCAAGTCAGTCACAAAGCTCAGAACCCTATGCAACTCCCTCTTTGAATTTATGATCCATTTTTGTTATAAATTTGTGTGGAAATTGTGTGTATCTATATGACATTTTGTACAGATATTGGTGGGAGTAGTGTTACCCTAGGATTTTTGGACTTTTCCCTCGAGTTTCGACCGTTTGTTTTTGGGCAATTCCGAGAAACAAAAAGATGCCATTTTGCAATAAAGGGCGTCCTTTAGTTCATCAAATAATCTTTGCTGAATGACCTTTTTTGGTTTTGGTCAACCCTAGAATTGATGTTGAAGATTACTTAACTAATGGCCTTTCCTTCCTTTTTTTTGTACGAATCTATCATGTCCATTAGTCATTGTGTTTAGCTATTGCAGACTTCTAATAACAATCACAAAATGGCTCCTAATTAATTGTTTGAATGAAGTAGTCATACAAACGAGAAGGAACTCCAAAAAGACCGCTACATACATATAGTCTTATACAGGACATCAAGTGTTGCCATTTTGACTTAAACCCTAACATAATTGTAAGATCGCCCCCATTTTATTTTATGACCAATTGCATCTGCTTCAAGGTGCATAACAACAATTATTAGTGCTGGTCTAAATCGGTCATTCATAAACCAACAAAACGAGTTCTATGATGTAATGGAAGATTTCAAGGATTCATTATGCTTCTCTATCTCCAAAGTATTACAAGTAAATGATGAAATCATAGCAACAGATCATCATCCACTACTACCAAAATACCCTACATTGGCAGCTTGCATTCATCATTACTATCACAATATATCACTACAAAACAGTAAAAATATCCTAATCAATTTTTACTTCTTTCCCTAAAAAGAAAATAAAATCCCACTAAGCGGGTACCTTTTTTTTGGGTTGCGCATGGCAACATCCCATATAGATTACGCTGATCTTTCCTTTCATAATGAAAAATGTTTAGGACTCACCTTGCCATTTTGATAGCAAGCAATCATGCAATTCATAAAAAAATAGAAAAAACCAACTTTATGTACCATAAGAATTGGAGGTCTTAAAATTATATACCACGAGAATTGATCTCACTAAATTATGTATCCTACGTTTCAAACTTGTTGTTTTAGGTACTTTTTAAAGGGTAAAATAGGAAACTACTAAAATTTTGTCCTAAACTACTATGTTTTTTTCCCCTAAACTTCTAGAAAAGAGCAAATTGCATTATAAATTTTATTAATTTTACACAAATTTATCTTTCAGTCAGATTTCAGCAAATTATGCATAGATTTTTAGTCAAAAATTTCCCATGACTTTCAGTTTTTATTATTTTGACGTACCTATTTGTTTTATTTTAGCGATTTTTTCTTTATTATAAGTTTAGTTTAAATTTTTGTTTGTCAGTTTGTATGATTAATTTAAAAAATATCTTTTATTCTTTCCTTTTTGTAATTTTTGTTTAAGTTCTTTGCACCTTGATGCATTTCTAGTAATACATAATTTTTTTTTTATTTTACGTGAATTCTTAAAAATAAAATCTAAAAAAATATGTGTTTGTAGAAATGCATCAAAGCGCAAAAAACTTAAACAAAAAGTACAAAAAAGAAAAGAATAAAAGATATTTTTCAAAATAATCATGCAAAATGACAAATAAAAATATAAATTAAAATTATAAGAAAGAAAAACTCGCTAAAATAAAACAAATATGTACATCAAAATAATAAACACTGGAAGTCGTGGGAAATTATTTACCCAAAATTTAAGAATAATTTGTTGAAATCTGAGTTAAAGATAAATTTGTGCAAAATCAATAAAATTTATGGTGCAATTTGCTCTTTTGTAGAAGTTTATGGCAAAAACATAGTAGTCTAGGATAAATTTTTGTTGTTTTTCGATTTTGCCTTTAAAAAAATTACTTAAAACAACAACATTCAAACATATGGTACATGATTCGGTGAGACTAATTCTTAAGGTACATTTTATGGAGACCCCTATTCGTAGGGTACATAAAATAGCTTTTTGCCTAAAAAAAAAGAGAAAGAAGTGAAAAGTAAATAGAATCTCGTTATCTATTTCTATCAGAAAGTAGTGTAAGATCGATATAAAAACAGTGATTGAAATATTTGTTATTATTAGTAGTTGAGATCGTAAATAAATTAGCTAATTTAAATTGGAATGAGTTGAAAAATGACTTTAGCCAACATAGGTGTAAAAAAATACCTAAAAATATCAATCATCGGACAAATAAAAAAAGAAAAAATTTACCATAGCGTAAAAGGTAAGACATATCTAGGATAAATCCAACAAGTTTTCTCTTATTCAGACAAAGTCCAAAAATTCAGTTAAGTAAGATGAACAAAATTGCAAGATACCAAAACGTCAAAATAATGTTCGTAAGAACTAAGAAATGAGTGGACGTAAAGAATCAAATATATTATCCCGTCAAACCTAAGTTAAAACAACTATTTTCAGAATAGTTTTTAATTTTCTTGAACTGTAAAAAAAACACACACACACACACGGACACGCACAAAAAGAAGACAAAACAACTCATAAAAAAAATTAAAAAAAAAGGTTAAACTTTGGTACGTCAGTCAATGTGTGTAATCATCTCTCTCTAACCCACAGACCTTCCCTGTCTCTCCGCCTTTCTGCCCCCCTTTTCTCTTTCACACTTCTTCTTCTTCTTCTTCCTCTTTTGATAGTCTTCATACAAACGCGTATTTCGCAATTACTACTGCCCCAGGTCATCATAAATATTTGTATTATTGAGAAAATTAATACTACACAAAACATACACACAGACAGATACATATAGAAGAAACTGATATCGGAAAAGAACAAAAAAAAAGAAAACCATTGCAAAAACTCTTGTGCTGGTTTTCATCAATTTGAGATCTCAAGATTTGATTTTGATATTGGGTTTAGTCTTAGATTGTGAAGATTCTAAAAGGGTCTGTTTTGTTTTCCTTTTCTTTTTTCTTCTTTTTTAAGGAAAAAAAAAGAATTGTTGTCTTGGTATATATATAGCTGGGTAGGAATTCTGGAGTTTCTAGTTTATGGCTTCGGCGGCGGTTTTCTCATCATTGCGCCGGCGGAGGACGCCTTCACTGGAAGCGTTATTGGCGCCTGTGGACATATCAGACGTCAATCTGTTGGTAACTTTGGCAGGACTTTCATCCCAGCTCATTTCAACTTTCCAGTTAAACATTCGCGCGGTCTCGTTTCAGCTCAAGAATTCTCGGAACCTGGTCAGAAAGATTGAAGTTTTTGCTGTTCTTTTGGAATGTTTGGTGGATGTTTCATCAGGGATGTCACCCCGATTGTCCTCCACGGCTGCTCTGTGCTTTAAGGAGCTCTACCTTGTGCTTTACAGGTCGAAAATTTTACTTGATTACTGTCTACAATCTAGTAAGATGTGGCTCTTGCTCCAAAATCATTCCATCTCAGGTCATTTTCAGGATTTGAATCAAGAAATTTCGACCCTTTTGGATGTTTTTCCTCTGGATGAATTGAATTTGCCTGATGACGTTGTTGAACAATTAGAATTATTGAAGAAACAGAAATCTAACTTGTTCATTGATAGAACAGATGAACAATATAGGATGAAACTTTATTCTTTCTTGAATCAATTTGAGTGTGGATACATCCCCGATCAATTGGAACTTCACACGTTGTTTGTGGAAAATTTGGGGATTAGGGATACTAGGAGTTGTAGGATGGAAATTGACTTCTTAGAAGAGCAGATTGCAAATTATGATGGGGATATGGAGCCCACAGTCTCCGTGCTGTATGGTTTTGTAGCCTTGACGCGGTATTGTAGGTTTTTGTTGTTTGGTTTTGAGGAAGATGAGCTAGAAACGAGGGTTAGGAAGCATAAGAAACTAAAGAGAGGATTGCTTGCTCGAGAGATAGCAGAGACATTCATTACAGTTCCCAAGGATTTCTGCTGTCCTATATCATTGGATTTAATGAGGGATCCAGTGATCATTTCTACAGGGCAGACTTATGACCGAAGCTCAATTGCAAGATGGATGGAAGAAGGGCATTGTACTTGTCCGAAAACTGGACAAATGCTTGTTCACACTAATCTTGTGCCTAATAGAGCTCTAAGAAGTTTGATCATGCATTGGTGCAGTGCTAATGGGTACCCTTATGATCCACCCGAGCATAGTGATTCTTTGTTGGACTGTATTACTGGTTCTTCACCTACCAAGGCGACAGTTGAAGCCAATAGAGCCACTGTTGGAATACTCATTCATCAGCTTGCTAGTGGGACGGAGTATGCAAAAACTATTGCCGCACGTGAGATAAGACTGCTAGCTAAGAATGGGAAGGAGAATAGAGCATATATTGCAGAAGCTGGTGGAATTCCCTACTTGAAAAAACTCCTTTTGTCTCCTAATGCTGTTGCTCAAGAGAATTCTGTCACTGCTATGCTTAACTTATCCATCTATGATAAGAATAAGAGCAGAATAATGGATGAAGAAGGGTGCCTAGAATCAATCGTTGGAGTTCTTAGAGTTGGGTACACCACAGAGGCTAGGGAAAATGCTGCAGCTACTCTATTCAGTCTCTCAGCGGTTCATGACTATAAAAAGAGAATAGCAGTAGAAGATGGTGCAGTTGAAGCCTTGGCAGGGATGTTGAGAGAAGGCACACCTCGGGGTAAAAAGGATGCTGTGACTGCCCTTTTCAATCTATCAACTCATACAGATAATTGTGTGAGGATGATAGAGTCAGGAGCTGTTACAGCTCTGGTTGGTGCCCTGGGATGTGAAGGTGTTGCTGAAGAAGCAGCGGGAGCGTTGGCATTGATTGTCAGGCAGCCAACGGGGGCTGCTGCGGTTGGAAATGAGGAAATGGCAGTGGCAGGATTGATCGGGATGATGAGGTGCGGCACACCAAGGGGGAAAGAAAATGCAGTTGCTGCTTTGCTTGAATTATGTCGTAGTGGAGGTGCAGCCATTGTGGAGCAGGTGTTGAAAGCTCCTGCGCTTGCAGGTTTGCTTCAATCCCTGCTCTTCACGGGAACAAAGCGAGCACGAAGAAAAGCTGCATCACTCGCTAGAGTTTTCCATAGGTGTGAGCAAGCATCTATACATTACGGTGGATTGGGAGTAGGCTATGCATTTGCTGCCGGGAATTCTACTACAAGTAGGGACATGAGTTTCACTAGTGATTATTCGATGCCTGTACCTGTGTCAGTGCCAGTATTATAATGGTAACTTGCACACTCATGCTGTTGTTTTATTCATTATTCCACCATTTTTTCCGCCTCCTATATCCAATTTTTAATAAGTTACATATGTAAAGATGAGAAATGCAGTTATAGAAATACAACAATTGATTAATTTGAGCCATTACTGCGTTCCTGTCCTTTTGCCACCTAATATAATGTATTTAACTGATAATCTCTTGACATTTTTATGTAGACCTGGTTAACAACTGATGTGAGTTAACCTTATGGTGGTAAAAAATTTAATCATTTCCAGAAAGAGATAGGTTAATCGGGGTGGTTTCTCTGTTCCAAATGAAACAGTATCTTTATTCATATGAATGCTCATGTTAGTGTTCTTTCTGGTACAAAGGATCTGTACTTCGTTAATCAGGCCCAGAAGAATTATTTTGAAGGTTTGGAAGTAGAATCGCAAGGAACAACTTGGAAAATCATCCTCAATTCTTCGGAAGACTACCTACATCTCGTTTGTCTGTTTTGAGCTCATGAGGCATGATTTAGGCTTTACTTGATCCTGGAAAATATAAATTAGGTATGGAATAGGATGATATTGTAAACTCTCGTTTGTCTGTTTTGAGCTCATGAGGCATGATTTAGGCTTTACTTGATCCTGGAAAATATAAATTAGGTACGGAATAGGATGATATTGTAAACAGAGTTTACAATATCATCCTGTGTCAAATCCTATGACTGACCAGAAGGCTACCAGTTATTCCTTTACTAATATGATGAGTTCTTCCCTTCTTCATTCACATGATGATCAGTCCACTAATTTGTTAGTTCAAAGATATGTCGACATTGGATTGGAGATGGGATCCAGCTCCAACGACCCCATGTTTCAAATGCATCGCTTTCAGCGTCGTTGTCTTGCTTATGCAATCTCTATCTTCAACCCTTCTTTTTGTGTTTTTCCACCTTTATCATCATCACTTAAGCACAGTGGCTGCTGCATCTGATTCCTTGAATGAGGTTGCTGTTTTTGACCTGTAAGCGAACATGCAGCAGGATATGCATTATTTTATATTTTAGTGCAAATGCATTATGTAAAATGGACTAGTCACTTTGATTTGCTAAAATACTAAAACCTAGTCGAATTCAAAAGTTAGTGTCTGCATCAATTATCCATTGGTCTTGAGTTGCATGTTACATTTTTTGGATATAGTTTTGAGCTTTAGGAGAAGAATTTTCGGATGAGTATTTTTTTCCCCTCTTCACTGTTCAGTAACTTGTGGAATTGGATGGTGACAATTTGAACATGAAATCTAGAATTTATTGACTACTACTAGAATAGAATGAAAAACAAAGTGGCATCTAGCAAATGTTTGGTTGCCATGAATATGATGGCAACTTCTTTTACCAATACTGTTAGGTATGATGGCTTTTGCTATTACCCACAGATTCTTTTTGCCATCTTGACTATGACATTCATTACAGAAGTGCGAGAAAAATCCACGAACCACTTTAGCTCTTTTAGTTCCAACTCTCCATCATCTAGCCATTGCAATATTTTCCAGCAATAGTAAGAACTGAATGATGTTTATAACTAATGATGATTTTCATGGAATTGATAAATGTTACCGGTAGTTCTCCATCCGAACTCCATTGATTCTGAAATGTGAGAACAGAGTTTCGAACTACAGTGACCAAGATCAACTTTCATTCTTTCTTTGGTTAGATACAACTTGCAAGTGTTTTCCCGTTTACCTTTAATTGAAAAAACAAAAGTGGTACATGATTCTTCTTTGCTGTGTTGTTGATTACTTGATTATCCTAGCTTGTCACTTTCGTAGCTTTACAAGAATATCAAAATTAGAAACCGTCCATTCTGCAACTTGATCTGGAGCTTTATATATTTCGGTTCCTAAGTCAATTGATGTCCATTTTCTTTTAGCTGGTGGGGTTCCTGGATCCTGCAAGAACATAGAAAAAAGTTTTTATCACACACCATTAGTACAGAAACACAATCTAGTTCAACAACCCATATCAAAGTTTTGAATTTAAGATTCTAATAAATCTTTCTTGTAATCCAGAGTTATGTTTTCCTTTTTTCCGTTGCATTTTCTCTTTGGCTCTTGACCAGATAAGTTTCTCTCTGAGCTAATGGATGTAATATTATCTTTTTTCAACATATGGGACTTCGAGTTGTTGATTCTGTTTTTATAAAAAAGTCCAGGGCAGGCAATGATATATAACGACTAGAATGGGACAGGAAAGTTGACAAAAATGTTATGTTACCAACAGAAACATACCTAATCAGCTTATCCAAATCCAAGAGGAGGCAAAGATGACTTAAGGGTGCATGGCAACTGATGGCGACACTAAAAATATGATATGAACTTCAACGCTTTGTAACTTGAGGTAAAGGGATTGTGTTCGAATTAATTTGTTATTCGTGTATATCATTTCACAATGGTACCCCAGAGACTAAAAACTTCATGAATCGGCACCAGTGAGAAGGGTTACAAACCTGATAGAAGTAGAGGTTATGTGATAAGCCTCCAACATCCAGCTCCCATGTTCTGGGATCACCAATCCACCCTTCGCCTTTCCTGGTTGGGTAGCCATAATAACCCCAAACAGGATGTGGCAAAAGTTGCATTATCTCTTGAGGCTGAGGATTACTGTAAGGGTCACACAAAATGTTAGGTTCTTCGAGGTGATTGCCATTTCCAGGTGCACAATATAAGTGGTAGGCGTCATAAGGAAAATGAGCCTTGTCACTGCGATGCACTCGAGTTCCATTAGGGAATGTGTGGTACGGAGGACATAATTTGGGATCATCTGGTTTGCACCAAGCCGGTGTTTCTGGATTCAGTATCATTTCACTATACCTCGTAACATCTGAAGTTACATCGCCGTCGCATGGCTTGCCATTGTTTTTCCAACAGCTCCCCATGTCCATTAGGTAAAATTGGCTGCCTGGACCACCTCCTTTGATCACATTCAAGGTGAATCTCACTTTGAAGTTAGGCGATTCAGGAATCTGCAGGGAACTCTTATATTCAGAACTGGAAATTTGTGTTGCTTTGTAAAATGATACAAAGAGAAAGTTAAGAAGGCATTAGATTATGTTCTATAGAGTAGATAACCCTAGGCTTATGACCTTTTAAATTTATGTTGGCATCAAGGAGAGAATTCTCTAATCCGCAGACATTTTTCAGAACAAGAAAAAAAAAGGAACAATTTAGACCATTAAAAGAAAGGGAAAAGAAAAGAAAAAAGAACTTACTATTTTTAACATTCCCCGGGTTGAGTAATGGTATCCACCAGAAAATCCATGAGTGGCATCTGATCTGAAGTAAAGCATCAGCCAAGGATACTTTGATGATGTTCTTAGTACATGGTGAAAGATCCAACTGCCTGTTCCTAGTTCCTTTTCCCAGGTCACAGAGTAGTAAGATATATTCTGCACATTGTCTCCTCCTCTGCTCAAATCTGCATTGAGGTCCCAAGAACCATAAAATCTGCCCTTCAGTGTAGTCCTTTTAGGCCCTTGTAGGGTAGTGTAATTATGATAAATCAGTGGTTGGTTCATACAGCCCTTGCCAAAACATGGGAACTGATTATCTGGACCATATGGCCCTATCTTATGACCATTTTTAGGGCATTTAGCCGCGTAAGTATCCATGTTACCACTCTTCAACATGATCATCCAAAATTGCCATGGTTTCGGCTTGTCCGGAACTTGACATTTGTAACCTAAATAGAGCTCTTTCTGCGCAGCATAAAGGTCTACATTTTGGAGAACCTCTTTTTGCCCTCCCGGAAATGGGGTCCCAACTCCTAACCTATTGTCATCCTCTGTAACTCTATGGACTAAAAGATGTGGAAATTTACTGCAGAAAGAACAATCATTCTCCCCTGCCAATAACATTACATCCCAAAATAAGGCGTGGGAAGGCAAACTAAGGGAAAAAAAAAAAAAAATGTAAAACCTGCCCTCATCAATTCCAGTTCCAGAAAACTTAAAGACTCAATCTTTATAAGTGTGCTTGAAATGAATAGAAAAAAGAAACCAAAATGTAAACTTACCTTCAAGCTGAGAAGTGGATTTATAGACATCAAAACAGTCAGCAGCTCTTGGGCTGCCCATGTTTGGAGCTTCTTCTCCAACCTCATTGCATTGGTTCCAAGCCTCAATTGCCAGTCTCAAACCATCTCTTTTCATCCCTGGATCACCAACTGCAGAAACATACTCATCTCCCATAACACCAAACAAGAAAACATTGGAAAAAGTCACCATAACCAAAAGGGCAAGAACAGGGCAACATGGGATTCCATTTCCATGCGCCATTCTTCTTTTTCCTTTAACTTTGCCAACAAAGTTAACTCATGGAAGCTAGCAAAGCTCCCCTCCCTCCTAAATAAAAAGTATATAAAATAAAATTAAAAAAAAAAAAACTGTTGTAGCAGTTAAAAAGAAAAGAATATTTTGTTATAAACCCAACAAAATCCAATCACAAGTTGACCATTTTTGTTCTTTTTCCCATTGATTGGGTCACTAAAAATTAGAAAGATAAAAATTCAGGTACAAATAGCATGCGAATTAGTTTGCAGGTATCATGCTGTCATACATTAACAGAGAGGTGCAGGTATATTTGTGCCCAGTTGGGTATTTTACAGTGTAGGTTTCACCATAATAATTGGTTTAGGTGCCAACTTGAACTGAATGCACCATCCTTACAAAAGCTTTATTTCACCAAATATTCAATGATGAAATTGAATGTGGTCAATGTGGAAAATCCATAATAATAGCTTCTTCAGTTTCATCAAATTGGAATTAATGTTGTACAGAGGAACAAGTACCAACATAGGATGGGTCTATCTATCATCTATGAAGTGACATCAAAAAGATATTGCCTGCATGGGCTAGTGTATCCAATTTTTTATTTTTTATTTTAATTTTCATATCCTACTTCACGATTTTTATATACTTTTCTTAATATATAATTTGGTAACATTACTCATACCCATCTTCTATAATGTGAAATTTTTTATGTCGATTATAAATACTTAATACTCGATCTTTATTTTTTGGTTTAAAACTTGTGAGTATATGAATTGCGTTAATTATTAATAATTCAATATCGACTCAACCAGAAAATCCCCAAAAATTGTTTCAAATTTACTTCTCTCCCTCCCTTTTCTGTTTTCTTCAAGCTTTCGCTTTCTTTTTACTTTTTAGTATATTGTTTTTTGAAAAAAAAAAAAATTGTGGGTGGAAAAGGTTTCTCTTCCTTGGTATCGCTGTCGGTTACTTTTAATAGAATATCCAGTTGGAATGCAAAGAAAGGTACAAGATGAAAATATACGAGAATAATAATCGAAAAGGCAAGATAAGAATTTTGCTGCAAGGGAAAAAATGGAATTCTTATAGTAAAAGCAATACCTTCATGATTTGTGTGAATTAAGGGAATGCATTTTAGGTCAGCTGTATATATATCCTAGTCTTAAGATGTAAGGTATTCTTTATGCTTCTGTGAACTATTACTTTGAAAGTTAGCAAAATGAGGGTTTTAAAAAAAAAAAAAAAAACTGAAAGAAACCTTGACTATAAAACAGATTAGGTAGTTCATTCCAACAATTTAAGAGATGCATCTAAGAGCCTTTTTTACATTAGGTAAAATATATATATATATTTATTCTTTTCCTCTTATTTATTAGGTTCCTAAAAAAAACTAATCATTAATCAGCCACGTAAATTGTTAGAAGAGCTCGTCTTCCTTGAATATTTACTCCCTCAAGTCTTTTATATAAGTCATTTTAATTTGTGTTAGGTTTTACTTAATATTTTTTTTAATTAAAAAAACCTTTAAAATATTTTGTAATAATTAGGACAACACAATGAATGTTAAAATGTAATTTTGAGATTTTTGTTTAAAAAAAATATTTTAGGTGAAGTTTTAGACAAAATAAAATGTCTTATAGGAACTTGAGGGAGTAAATCTTTGTTGTTACAAGACGTAATTATTTAAGGGCTCATTTGATAAAACTGAAGTATGAAATTTGAAGTCTGAAAACTAAAAACTGAATCAAATAAATGACTGAGTCTGAATTACTAAATGAGGTAATTAGAAATGTCTGAATCTGAATACTGAATTGATTTAAACTGTTTGATAACATTGCAGGACTAAAGTCTGAATGTGAAATAATTTACTGATATATCCCTATATGTCTATTTAAATATATTTTATTTATTATACAACCTAAATTGTTAAAAAATAATAATCAATCTAAATTAAAAGGCATAAATAAATACAGTTATAATAAAATATCACGAGTCAAACAAAAATATAAATTTCTTTTTTTCTCTCAAAAATTAATTTTAAATATTTTACGCAAATTAATCATAAATTCTCAATCAATTTGTCTATTTTCTCATATTGAAAATCCACTTTCCGATTCTTGATTGTTGCCCAATATCATATTTTTATTTTTGAATCTTCGAACCAAGAATTTGTTGCTTGAATTTTGCAAAGATAGTTGTAGATAGTTGCACATAAAATGACAATATTTCTTTGGGTAGAAAATAAATATGGTGACATTAAATTTAGTGTAGGAAAAATGTCTTTTAACACGTCATTTGTTCAATTATATTTCTTATTTTTAGCATGCATTTGATTGAATTTTTCTTCTTTTGATCTTGCACACCCACCATGTTGAAAGTCTGACAACTAATATCCACATTACGATAAGGCGTCTAGAATCCACGAGTAAGAGAATCACAATGATATTGTGTCCAAGCTTCTGTTTGGAAACAAAAAGAACAAGGCTTTTTTGATATTCAGACCACAAAGGCATCTGTATACAAGTTTGGGTTTAGATTCCTTTACCTTAGACTAGTGCTAAAACTCCAACAATGTGGAGCAACCTTTCTTAATTATCAACTCCGAAAATACCCATGTATGGATGTTTTTGGATGCTATAATTAATGAGCTATTTGGAATATATGGTGAAGGACTGATACTCCAAAAGAGAAAAAACTCAATCCACAAAGAACAAGGATAAAAAAACTACCCACTTAATTTAAATTATCGCGATAATCATACTCTCGATAACACTACAAAATTGTGGAGTTAAAGTGACAAATTAAATTTCAAAAGCCGCATCAACCAAGTTATAGCTCTGAAACATGCTCCAAAAGCGATATCACCTATTCGTAGAGGTTCCTCTGTATACGTGATCACTCGCTATGAGCTATAAACTATCACAAAGCACTCAGAATTTTTGAATAAAAGAAAACCCAATCTCAAGACTAGAATCAAGAAAATGTTCAAAACAATAGCAACATACAGATTAATTCTTTTGCATTCAAATAAAAAAAATGTAAACAAAAACAATTGCGAAATCAAAACTTGCTTACTTGAAATTAGGTTTCAAACGGCATAAAATAAAGGGGAAAAAAAAAAAAACCAAAACACACTTGTTGAGAAGAAGTTTCTTTTGGAATTTTCAATTTTTTTTTTTTTGATGAGTAAAAAATCCCTCCTTTCGAATAAGATGACAAAGATATTGCTGCTCACTGCTCTTTTAATTAGGTGCTTCAAGAAAAGATGCTACAAAGGAAGAAGGTTTACAATTCAATCTCTTTTTTTTAATTTTCATCCAATCAACAACGACCCAACAATGTAATCATTTAAAAGACGAAGATGTTATGTTCTTTTACTTGGTTGAAGAACAACGGTAGAGACGAAAACGGGGCAGTGGCTTATATTTAAATTTATTTTTTTGATTTTCATGTAATTAAAAACTCCCAGAAGATCAAGAGATTGAAGCAGAGATTTTATATTTCAATTTTTGAGGTTGCGATAGAGAGGTTTTAGTAGAGAGGATGAGAGAGAATCAATTTTTGAGGTTGCGATAGAGAGGTTTTAGTAGAGAGGATGAGAGAGAATCAAAACTTTACAGGGAAGATGGGAGAGAACGATAATATGCTAAGGTATTAGTGGTATAAGAAAAATAAACTTAAAATTCCAATTACTCACGGTGTTTAGAAATCAGTCTTAAGTAAAACTCAAATCACTTAATTTTAGGAGATCAATTAGATGTGAGAATTAAGTGCCACTTATTTTGAAAAGATGTTCCTTTTCACATTATCAAACAAGTAAAATTAAATAAATTCTGAATGTATTAAGTTTAAGTGCTTAATTAAGTTATCAAACAGGGTCTAAATGTAGCCTACTCACTTCATTTTTCTAAGATTGAAATGTTGATGCACTACATACGCATGGTGTAACACTATGATTCAAAATTCTAACAACAGAATTCAGAGTCCAGAAGACAAGAGAGAAGAACGGTAGAATAGGAGCAAATTTAATTATGGATCGGGACGAAGAAATGGAGAGAAAAGGAAATTGGGGGAGAAATTAGGTTTCAGAATTAATCCTTAATCCATCGATAATGAGTACAAAATGATTTTTCAACTATTTAACCCAAACACTACTCTTATCGAATTTACAACCAGACCCTTTATATTTAAAGTAATTTAAAATAGCCCCTACAAAGCTAAAAAGCATGACGGGCCATGGTGCATATGGTCCCAAGCCCTATATAATTTGGAAATCGGCCCAACCTCTTTTTCAACTTGGTCTTCATGGAAGAAATGATGAAATCGAACAATTATAGCGAGGAAAAAGGCGAGAACTAAGAAGGTTCTTCAATGCCAAAGAAAATAGGTCAAATGGTAAGAGTTTTGATTCCAAATGTAAGCTCACTAAGCAATCGAACTTTAATAGCCAAATTACATACTTGCACTTAAGTTATCTGATGGACAAAAAAAAAAAAGCTGAGCATAAGTGATTTAGTTTTTTTTTTTGAAAATGGTGATTAGTTTAGATAGTCTTAAAAACTTTATGAAAAGTAGATTATTATTATTATTATTATTATTATTATTATTATTATTATTATTATTAAGTTTGAGAAAAGATTTTGGCCCCTCACTTTTTGACTTCGGTCCTCTTTACCTTTGAGAATGGTAAGTTAAATGAAAGTTTTTCGTCTTGTCTTCGATAATAAAACACATGTTAGTCAATCAATAGAAATTTAACAAGAAAAAATTTACGAATTGAATATGGAAAGATTATGAAGTTATTTCGAGAGACTGAAACCACCATATACAATCCCTTTCGAGGGTTAATTACGGGTAGAAATGGGAATTAACCTAAGAATGGGAGGAGCAAAAAGGAAATATAAAGGACAATGGAGAGAAATGGTTTCCCTAAACAAGAACAGCCATCATAAAAAGGGAAAGACATGGGCTAGAAAGTAGCAAAAAAGTGGGCAGAAGAAGAGACGTGGTCACAAGAAATATATGGCGGGACTTTCTTTTGAAGTGAATCGTCAAAGAAAAGCCAAATCCCACAAAATATGAACCCACCTCCTCCCCTCACTAACATATCAACTGCTTTTAACTGCTTCCACTTCTATAACCTTCATTTTGATCTGCATCTCCTCTTCTGCAAACTCAAGTACTCAACCAAACAAAAAACCCCACATCTATTGATCCATAATACGCGAAAGGAGACTAAAAGAAGAGAGAAAGAATGCATCAAGAACAAATGATGATGAGGTGGGGTAAACACAAAGCTTCATCTGATACTCCTACTCCTAAACCCCAACCCTCCTTCATCAGAAATTTTCTCCCCATTTCTTGGCTCTCCACCAAGTCCAAACACAGGAACAACAGTTCCAAACGTGAGTCTGCGAAAACAGAGAAGAAGGGGCGGCTGGAGTTGCCGTCTCTGATCTCTTCACAAGGCATTCACATGAGGGAGGGCCGGTTTTACGGTGGTGATGATAACTCTTACTGGAGACTTTCCTTTGGAGATGAACAAGCCATGATACCTACCATTGGTCAAGAGTCTGTCCTGTACTCCTTCAATGAGACTTTGAAGATGTCTGGTAGTTCAGTATCAAGAAAGTCCCAGGAATTGGTCTATCATCCAGGACAAGCAAGAATTAGGCAACCAAAGATGAGTTTTTCACTCAAAAATTATGCCGTGAGAAGGAACAAACTAAGAGAGGGTGCAGAGCCGAAGATAGCAAGAAGACAACCTGTTAAAGTTGCAAATTTTGGAAAAATAGGTCCAACAACTGTGCGGCAGAAGCATACAGAACAAGAATTTCTTGAAGAAGAGATGTCTACAAATGCAGCTGACAAAGTCATATTTGAAGTTCAACCAGAAAGAATAATTCACAGTGGACAAGATTTCTTCCAGATAAGAGCGTCGAAGTCCAAGGAGCAACATGGTTTTACTTCCCCAAACTCCAAATTGCGGGAGATTCAAAAGGACTGCATGTTGGAAACTGGAAATTTAAAGGGAACTCGTGAACAAGGAGAAGAAAAACTGTGTTTGAAATGTAAAGTATTGGAAGACATGAAAATTACCAAAACTAGCGCAAAAAATGAGTGGCAGAGGAAGTCGGTTTACATCAACAGAAATTGTCAAAGAAAAAGAAGGAAGCTGGCTGGAAGAATCAAGTCCTACTCTCCAAAAACTGCTATGAAGATTGAGTGTAAAATCAAGCCTCTGGAAGACATGAAGAGAGTCAAGATGATAAAAAGGAACAAAAATAAGAGAGGACCAGCAGACTCCACGAAAAAAAGAGCTGTAACAATGAAGGAAAAAGCCCAAGGAGAAGTAAGAACATTTGATAGCTATGCTATGATAAAGAATTCACATAACCCACAACAGGACTTCAGAGAATCAATGATTGAGATGATCATAGAAGAAGGGATTGAGAGACCAGAAGAGCTTGAAGAACTCTTGGCTTGCTATCTGACTTTAAACTATGATGAATATCATGACTTGATTGTCAAGGTCTTCAGGGAGGTATGGTTAGAACTGGATGAAGCGCATCTGGCTTTAACATCACAAAGTGACTGTTTAGAAGAATATGCAGCCATGCCACTGAAAGAAGGTACCAAACTTCACGATCAATTATATTATCATTTGCAAGAATTTCCTCATACTGCTCAAGAAGCTTGAAACACAGCTTATCTCCTTGACTTTTACATGTGCACAATTTATACTTACGTTCATTTGACTAGAAGCACAAGGAACAGGACCAAAAGTAAGTCAAATCGAGGAGATTTTCAATTATGGCTAGAACAGTAGAAAATATCTATCATGATATGATTCCAGATGGACAGACATTTACTTTTGCATTTTGCATTTGGAACAGGACCAAAAGTAAGTCAAATCGAGGAGATTTTCAATTATGGCTAGAACAGTAGAAAATATCCATCATGATATGATTCCAGATGGACAGACATTTATTTTTGCATTTTGCATTTGATGTAAAAGTTGCTATTGGTACTGTTCTAGAACTTAACTAGAAATGTAAAAAGGTGTCTTGAGAATGCCAAAAAAAAAAAGAACTTGAAAATAAAAAATTAATTCGATACAAAATGCTGCCCCAATACAACCATGATATTCTATATTACTCTTGCCGTATGCAGTAGTTAAGAAGGAATGAGAAAACCTGCATCTAGAACACGCACTAGGGAGCATAGTTTGAAGTTATGTCTTAAAGTAGACAACAGGATAATACTTCATATACTTTGTTTACCTAAAACTTTCCAAGTAGATCAATAAGATGGAAGAATCACTTTATTTATAGAACGTAGCTGTCGATCTTCAAGTTCATGCAGACCAAAATCAGCCTGTAAAAAGCCTTAAATTTCCGAACAGCTAATCACCTTAAATATAATATTTACATATCATGTAGCTTTGGTATTCTGTACTGTGGTACACAACAGATTGCTCATTTTAGCGGCTCAAACAAGTTTCTCAACATAACATGAAACCTTTCTGATTGCCTGTTATCACAGAATTTGATTGTAATGATGATGGCTACTTCAAGTGTTGAAATTATAAACAACAAAAACCTACATACTACAGTTAAAATCTGTACCTCATCCCAGGAAGATCCTCGAGAAACAGGGTCCATTATCTGCAACCGCTAGGAAAATCACATGGAACAAAACAGTTGCTCCTCCCAGCTAAGAGATCATTCCTTGACCAGCTAAGAATTCGTGCACAACCCCATCAACTTCAATCATGCTACCACCTGGTTCTTTAATAATTTGCTTTTCCCTCATCTTCTTTCTGACATCTGATACATCATTCCATTGCCCCTCTGAAGCATGAATGTTTGACAGCTGAACATAAGCAGTGTTGTCCTCATGTTTCAATTCTAAAAGTTTCCTCGCGATAGTATCAGCCATCGGTGTATTACCATGATTCCGGCAAGCACTTAAAAGAGATTCCCACATGATATGTGCCTCTTTCTCTGGAACTCCCGCCACAAGTTCAGCCGCCTCACTTAACAACCCAAACCTGCCAAGTAAGTCCACCATACAACCATAATGCTCAATCTGAGGGGTAATTCCATACAGGGAAAACATATTGCTAAAGATCTCCTGAGCCTCCTCTAAGAGACCAGCACGACTGCAGGCTGATAAGAGGCTTACAAAAGTAACCTCATTAGGTTTGAAAGCATTTGAAACCATTTCAGAAAAGACTTTTATCGCGTCCCTTCCATAACCATGGATGCTTAACCCTGCAATCATTGCATTCCAAGTACTCACATCTTTCTTACTTGTACTATAAAAAATTTCTCTAGCCTTCTCAATACACCCACATTTCGCGTACATATCGACTAAAGCAGTAGCTAGAAAACCTTGAACTTCTAACCCATTTCTATCTATGTAGGCATGAAGCCATTTACCTTGCTGCCAAGCCCCAGTACTAGCGCAAGAAGACAGCAAAGTGACAATTGTTCGGTTATCAGGCTTCACCGTTGATCTCTGCATATCTTTAAATAGCAGAAGCACTTCATCGTACTTACCGGCATTAGCATACCCCGTGATCATTATATTCCAAGAAACAACATCTTTAGTCATCATCTCATCAAACATTCTCCTAGCCTCGTCAACCAGTCCACTTGTTACATAACCCGAGAGCATAAAATTCCAAGACTCCACGTCCTTCACGGGCATCTCCCGGAACAAAGAAACAGCCAAGTCTAGCAACCCCTTTTCTACATAAACACTCAATAGAGCATTCCAAGAAACAACTTCCACCCTGGGAAGCCTGTCGAGCAAACACCGCGCAGCAGCAAAGAACCCACATTTAGCATACATATGAATCAAAGTATTGGATATATACATATCAGAAGTGAGCCCATTTTTAATTATGAGCCCATGAACTTGCTCCCCTTGTCTAATGCTACAGAGACTAGCACAAGCTTTGAGAATGAAAGTGAAAGTAAACTTGTCAGGAAACAAATGCTCCTCGTCCTGGAGCAGCTTCAGGAACAAAAACCACGAAAAATTCGGGGAGGGACTAAGGGCATAAGCACGTATGAGGGTGTTGTACATATATGTGTTTGGTTGGGGAAATTCAGCGAACAGGGAGTAGGCATAGGGGAGGGTTTCATGAGAGGTTTTGGATGCAACTGAAATGAGGCGGCTAATCGAAAAGGGATCGTGGGAAATACCAGTTTTGATCATGTAGGCTTGAGCTTGATGGAGTTCTTTAATGGAAGTGGCCTTTTCTGTGAAGGAGATTATTGGTGGTGCAGATAAGCTGGCAAAGATTGCAGCCATTACAGAAGATGATGATGCTGATAACTTGACAAAAATGAATCTGTTGTCACCGTTTAAACCTCAAAAGGCTTAGTTGCGAGACTCCGAATTCTTCATTCCACCCGTTTCTCCATCACTAATCTCTCCCCACGAGTCAGGATTGTCCGTCTGGGTGGAGACATTTTCATAGCAGCTTTTAAGGTTCTCTTTTAGCAAGCCGATTTTTTTTTTTTTTTCCCGAAAGAAAAAAAAAAAACAATAAAATATTTATATTCCAAACTATTCACATTTTTCCCCAAAGAAAACAAAGAAAAGAAGAGGAAAAGATATGATATTGTGATTATGAAAATTACTACAATTAGGAATAGAGAATTGTGAGATAAATATAACCTTTGAACATTTAAGCGTTGTTTCTACTTCATTCACAACTAGTACAGTATAAGGTAGATATGATTAAGATTTACTTATGTTATGGGAGTAGCAATTCCTTCGAAATCATGTTCATGCTTTACAAAATACTCCCCTAGTGTTTAACCAAAAAAAAAAAAAGAAGAGAAAAAAGTACTCCCTGAGCTGAATTATCAATGACTCGCAACAAAACTGCTTTGATGGAAGACTGAATCTAACATTTGCAGAACAAATAGCGTTTTAAGAATGAGAAAATGACATTCATCTAAGCGAGAAGAATAACTTGTGAATCATGATTCTTCAACTTCTGGATCTACTTTTGGCAGCGTACCGAGAATAACTGTTCAAACGGGAATTCTGTCCGGTTGCATCCCAAGGGAGAATCCCTTTTCCAGTAGCTTAATCGAAATTGCTACCCATGACAAATGAACAGTTAAGAAGCAGAATTCAAATAGCATTACGCTGTTCCAGACATAACCCATCACAGATACGCACAATGCAGAAATTCTGGGCGAGTTAAGTGAGCCATTTAAAAATACCGCGATGAACCTAACTTGAGAAGCTAACGCCTGATGTAATGAATACTACACAAATACTAACCTTCTTGAATAATAAATAGTTAAATACCATGCAAACCAACCACAGAGATGATTCTTAAACAGGTGCCAAATTTGTCTCATAGAATCAATATTACAATACCACATTAAGATCGGCACGAAAACACGACACCTGAATTGCAGCCTCAACTGGGTATTACTTCTGGTAGTAAAGTTTTAAGCCAGCATATCAACTATATCAACACAGAAACTAGTTCTTACATAGAAAAAGACTAAGCCAAGCTAACGTGAAAACTCCAGCATCCTAAAAGTCGAACTGAGTGGTATTCTAATGTACATTAACTGTAACAGTAGATTGACAGGAACCACTTTTATTGCTGGGGTCTGTTGGAGAGACTAAGTTGGAAAGAAAATAACAAGATGTACACAAATCAAGCTGTGCATGAGACCCATTCCCACATCAATTGAGTACCAAATTGCAGTTTGAAGTGTAAGGTGCAGCAAAACCTTCAGAATGTAATGAATACTAATAGAACCTTTCACAAACATGATATTCAAGCTGGCCCTCTCATATACTATTATCTCAACATAAGTATCATATTTGAACTGTTTGCACTCCGAAAAAGTTCTCTTTCCGAAACAGAAATCAACCCAGAGAAATGTTTTCTATAAATTACCATGTAATTTCACATCCACTTCAACAAAAAAAAAAAACAATACATCTCCATGGATATGAATGCATATAAAACAAAGCCATCAATGTGTCACAAGATAAGCACAGTAAGCCCATCATCCACATGTTAGCCTCATCCACTCAACCATCCCTACTCCAGTTATTAGAAGGACGACCTCACTCACAAGAGTACAATCTGTCGACTTTTTAGGTCTAATTTAGTGTTCATTCCTGTCTCTGCTTTTTCCTCCCCAACCCCCCATTTGGACATTTAGCAAGGATTAACTGGCTAACAGTGTGCACCATAAAAATAGCTTATACGACCACGGCAAGAACTGCCACAACAACACACCTGATAGTCAAGCTACTCAAATGATTTTAAAACCACAGAAAAGCCAATCATCCAACAGATATGCCAGTGTTCTAATCCTCAATGTTAATGTGTCCATAACTGAGCTAGAGCAGTTTTCAACACATCAAAACTTAAAATATGCGAGGAGGGTAATCTGAATATCTTAAAAAGAGCATCGATTACTAACAGGGCAGACCAGTAAATCACAATTACTTCTCAACAAGAACTGGAAAAAAGAAATAGTAACAATAACAATAGCACCATTCTAGGCAGAACATAAAACTAAGCATTCATGTTGAGAACATTGCCTAGAGAAACTAATAATCAAACGAATAAGTCCTCGGGATTTGTTATTGGGTAATTACATTATTTAATGTGTAGGATGGTTCAAATTTTTGGTTATGTACATTTGTCAACAACAAAAGTTTCTGGAATTAAATAGGCAAGGGGGTAGCAAGACAAAAGACAAAAACTAGTTATCTGGTCACAAACATGCTCACTAGCAATTAATCCTTAAAAATGAAAGAGTAATATGTGTGAGGTAATGACATCTAAAGCCGATAAAAGAACTATCTCTACAGCACCAACAAAAAAGACAGTCACAAAGCATTAGAGATGCTGACCAACCCAAGTCAAGTCCTCTCTGCAGGAGCAAGGTGCCCCAACTGTTCTGGAAGATTATTTACACTCTTCATATTCAACCAATATCTACCTTGATCAAGAGATTTACTTTCATTTTTTCTGCCCAACAAATCTTTCCTGTCTGATTGAACTTCTGATGCATCATTTGGACCAGGATTGTCAGTCAAAAATTGAGACCAAAATCCATCATTGACTCCTGCGGTCACATTTGTGGGTTTCACAGCTACTTGTTCTTCTGAGGCAGACACAACCGCTACCATAGCAGTCTTAGGCTCACAGTTCACGTCAATCTCTGAGGTTTTCGACCCGGTATCTACATCATCAACATTTTGTTGGGTGTAGGACATGGCAGGGCTCTCTGCACAGTTTCTAGATTCATCCATCACTGGGGAAGAACTATGTTTTCCAGAAATCTGACCAATGTCGGTCAATACCTTTTCCCAAAAAGTCAATGAAGAGTCCAACTGCTGCAGCAAGTTGTCATTAAACGCTAAAAGAGAAGTCACACCTGAATCCTCTTTACTTGACACTTGCGAAGTGATTTCCATGCTGATTTCATCCCTGAGAGTGTTCCATGGTAGACTTCTCTTTTTGTTAGGCAAATCATGTTGGGCCATCTGCTTTTTAACAACCACAGGCTTCTCAATATTTCCAGCCAAGAGAGATATCATGTTCTTTTGTTTCTGTCTTAAATGTAGAATATGGTCATTAAAACCCTTCAATTGCGATTCAAGTCCTTCTTCCTCCTTTTTGTACCTACGTAGTTCCATATGAAGCACCTCTTTATCATTTTTCAACCTCTCGATTTCATCTCTGTACTTTTGCCTGTCGGATTCAGTTAACTGAGAATGCACAGCACCTTGGCCAGAATGACTGTGAACAGGTTTTCGTCTATAAATATTCTTCAAAAGATGCGGCTGGCCTCTGACAAAATCCTCATTTGCAAATTCCCACTGTTCCGGATCAGTTTTCCTGAACCCCTGTCAAGAAGAAATTCTATATAATCAAAAAACAGAAAACAAAACACAAATAGTGGCCACAGAGAAAGAAAATAAAACTACTTGAGACAACACAGATGAAAAGGCTAAGACCAGCAATGATCTGACTTACATATGTGTTGAGTTGTCTGATAAAGCTGGAGAAGTTATTGTGCTTGAAATACTTGGGCAGCAAGTCTCTCGCAAACTCTGGAGGACTCCAGACAATGAAGCTTCTATTACTGTGACTCCAAGAGACAATGGAATTGGTTGATGGGTCATCAACCATCTCGTATGTCTTAGTGAGAAAAGGAGGCAGAGCACTTGAAGTGCAAGGCTCATCCATGAAGCCGCAGAAATGTAACCCCAGGAACAGACTTCCTTACTCAAAATATCTCGTTCGATGAATCAGAATTCAGCCAAGTTATATACCCCTTCAAAGAAAACTCATAATCCTGTCACCCCAGCATTTCCTTAAAGTGATATTGCAAAAAGACAAGGAGCCTGAAATTAAACAAAACATATCTTCTTCTTACACTGTATGATATGAGCTTGAGAAGATCATTCAGAATTCAATTTCACAAGCCGCCTAGAAACTATGAGCGATTTAATTCTAGATATTATGAGTCAGTAATTGTATTCACCACTTTACCTTAGAAGAAAACTCAAGCCAACATAGGCACGCAGAAAGTTACATATGTGATCCCTTCGCGAGGAGCTGAAAGTTTCAAGTTCGCGTGTTTTTGAGCCCAAAATCCCTTGAAGATCCAACAAACCCCCCTAAACAGCTGCAATAACTCACAAAATTTCAGCTTGAATTCTTCCCAGAAGCTTGATCAAAATCAACCCTATTGTCGCCCAAACCACCAAATTCTAACCAAACCAAGAAACCCCTTTATCCCCGGCAGCTAGAAAATCAAGCCCATATAGCTAAAAGATAATTCACAAGAGAATAACCCCAAAAAAAAAAAAAAAATTAGAATTACTCACCTAATTTCCTGAAACAAGAGCGTCGTTTTCCCCTAAAAATTGCTCGTCAAAACATACACCTCAGAGTCGTTAGAGCAGTAATCTTTTTGTCCCACTCTTCAAGCAAAGGCATCACATTATTTAATTCAATTCAGCACGTAGCAATCTGCATATGCACATATGTATTGGACCATACACACATACATATGCTAGATAAAGAGAAAAAAGGATGATGATTGGGGGAGATTTGGTAACAGTTTTTAGGTGTTTGAGGTTTTGTCCCACAGAGGAAAAACAGCTCCAATATTAAAAAATGGAAATGAAAAACCGTGGCTTGCAGGATAGGAAACAGGAATTTTCCAGGTCTCTTCAAACGGTAAAAGGCCGTTGGCCGTTTTTTTTTTTTTTTGGCCCCTTTTTTTAGGGTTTTTATTGTAATGATGAATGAAATTTTTTGATGATCTTCGTGGATCACCCAATCCAGGGCTCTGAAATGATCGTATTAGGTTTATTTCCTTACTTTTAAAGACGATATTTTTTAAGCTCTTTTTTCTTTTTCTTATGAAGAAAACAAATGTGAAAAAGTAAATTCCCAATACGTTGACCTTCATCCCATACTCTTGTATAAATGTAAAGTGATTTTTCTTTTTTCCATTTTTCATTTCACTTTTTATCTGTAATGTGCTGTCTATTTTTCCCACTGTGAATAATGCTTGAAAATTTGACGAATTGCTAACATTTTTAGTTTGGTGAAATGTATTAAAGACGAATCAATATTTAATAGAATTCCTCTTTTATATTTATATATACATATATATATATATATTAATGGTAGAAATCCATAAGAATAACTATTTAACACAATTTAGTATTTTTTCTGTTTCAAAATTATTGTCGAGTTTTAGATTTTATTTTTTTTAATATAAATTGTACTAAAAATAAAAATTCAAGCCGGACAATCATTTCAGAATAGAATGGAATGAGTAATTAGATTGTGTAACTTTTTTTTTTCCCCCTCCCGGATGAGGGTGTTGTCTCTTTTCATCTTTTCATGTATGTTCAATGAATTTAGGAAGATCATTTCATGTGATTGGATACTTTTTTCATTCCATGAAGTGATATTTCGTACTATTAAAATACTTAATTATTAGGAATTTCATCCAGGGAGTTGACTCGTCAGATGTTGATTTTCAATATTTTATGAATCATTTATCCTTTTGCTACGTCACTGATTGCGCAAAGGCACTTTTCCCGCAAATGAATTTCGGATTGTTCAGTTTAATGTTGGGCCTATTTTGGGCTTTCCATTTTTTTTTCTTTTAATCGTAGAACACTATGGGCCTACTACCTTCTCACTTTTAATCATGGGACATTGGAAAGCTTTCATTTGTGTGTGTTTTGGAACGTTAACTTTTGAAAAACACACAAAAAAAAAAAGGAAAAGAAAATGAATGCTACATAGAATTGGAACCTGCTAAAAATAAAAGTAAGTAAAAAAACATTTGTCCCACATTATAACGTGTAAGTTTTACGATTGATCAACATGTAAATATTATATACTATTTTTCTCATTATCAATTAGTTTTCAAGTAAAATTATACGTGGATTTATCTGAGTTCTAAAAAGAGCCAAATAACCCCACTCAATTTTACCAATTGTGACTTATAATGTACCGAAAAATAAAATAAAAAGAAAATTTTGTGACTTATAAACATGATGGGAGAAAATACAGATTCATTCCATACTAGCTTAAGTATAGACGGTTGGTGAACGGGTGCAACATTTTGATTCGGAGAATTGTGAGACTTCACAAAACTCAAACTAGTCTGATGATATAGTCATAAACATTGATTTATTTGGTAAACCATATTGTCATTTAGGATCCTTGATATATATATCATCAACCACTCAACACTTCTCTGGTCATCAAGGCCCTTAAGTGTCCCCATTGCATTCCATATGAATGATTAATCACGTAATAAGATATCTCCTTCTTCCCTCCAAATTCTTCCTCCAAACTCCAGTGTGAATTACCCTCGTAATTTAACGCCTTCACTTTATACTAATTAGGAGACTGATAAATAAATAAATAAAAGTATGAATTGCATGCTTTGGACTAAATTGCATTTCTTGCATGCTTTTGAGAGTATAATTATCAATAGAATAATAATTACAGGGACGAAATTGCAAGAGCAATTTGTATATAATTATGTTTTATTGATCTAAAATATTCTTAACATGCATTAACCCTAAATAGAAAGTTTAAAATAAATGACAACGGAAAGTTCACTTCATATCTTCTTAAAAAACATAACAATAAACGGAGAATTTTATTTATTTTTTTTAATAAAATTAAAATACTCACATCCAAAAGTTCAAAATAGTAGTTCAGGAATGAAAATTACCAAACAACGTCATATTCACAGAATCCAAGTTACGAGTTTTAGTGTAGCTCCTAAACTGAAAAATAATCCATGAATATGTAGACTAGGTGCTACAATTAATAGTAATAATAGTGTACTACTTTATTTTTGTTTATGGACGGAAGAGTAAGAACATAGACTTTCCCAGCAACTACAAAAGCAGGGCACTATTGGCCACCCTGGACCCCACAAGCTGGATTTAAAAAGACTAAACACGTGCAGCACCCACGCTTTCAGGTCCTTTAATCACTTTAATTAATCCCAAATTATGATGGCATCCTCCGTAATTTCCCCACCACTCTGGTGGCAAATTTTCCAACCCAGCTCCCCAATCTTATAAACTACTGCGCTCTCTATACTCCATTTTATATCATCAATCAATCAATCAAACCCTCTCAAACCAGCTCTTTGATTTTTTTTTTTCCATTTTGATCCCGGCCCCGCGCTAATCCGGCCATTCATTTATATTCATCCCTGGTTCTTCCGGCTGCACTGTAAATTATTATTATTCCGGCCAGAGCCAGGAATTTAATCGGCGTCGTGCTTCTTCTTTTAAAATGACGTCGGGGACCAGGCTTCCGACTTGGAAGGAAAGAGAGAATAACAAGCGTAGAGAGCGGAGGAGGCGGGCGATCGCGGCCAAGATCTTCGCCGGGCTTCGGATGTACGGCAATTACAAGCTCCCCAAACATTGCGACAATAATGAGGTGTTGAAAGCTCTCTGTAATGAAGCCGGCTGGGTCGTTGAAGAAGACGGCACCACTTACAGAAAGGTACTATTATCAATTCCTTTTTCTTTTTTTTTTTAAAGGAACTTCTAATTAATTTCTTCCTATTTCCTTACCGAGTTTTTGAACGTTGGGGGAGTGATTGAGGTGATCGGCGCCGGTGAGTGGTGTTTTTTTTTACAGTTTTATTAGGCCTCGAATTTATTTGAGATTTGGGGGTGACGACCAAGTCAACCCATTTCTTTTCTGTTTGATTTGTTGACCAGCGAATCAGATTACTACTTGCTAGTAGTAGACTAGTAGCTACTGCCTCGCCGCTTTAACTCCGCCGTTTTCCGGCGAGAGATGTCAGGCCAGCTAGGAAGGTAGCCATATTTGGATTTTAACTGTCCACAGAAAGTGAAAAGACAAAGCTCCCTTCAGATTCCTCTCTGCTCCCTGACAAACTTCATGTGGGTTTCATTTACCAATTACCATGTCTGCTGGTGTTATTTCACAACATTACCCTCTTCGATTCCCGTAATTCCATTCTCCAGTGTCAGCTTGAGTGACTTTGTGTGGGGTAGTTTAGACAATTGACTAACCAAGTCTTCGCAGTTAGATCTACTGTACGACTATTTTAAGATTTTCTTTTTTTTACCTTTGCGTAGTCTCTTTTCCTAGTTTGAAAAGGGCGCTTATTCCGGAGAAAGGGACAACCATTAAAGCAGCAGCGTACAACTCCATGATATCCATTTATCCTCCACGAATGTTATTTCTGAAGTCTGAACTGAGATTGGATCAAAACATGAGATATTCTGCTGAATTGTTTTCTTACTATTTTTTTTTCCCAATCTTCTTCCGAGATTCCCGGGTTTTCACTTTTTGTTTTTCTTACTCAATGAAGCGTGGGCTTTGTTGGGTTTTGCGGTGGAGGTGGAGTGTGCTTGATTGTCAATGGTGGGCCTCTTGTGTTTTTTTTAATAATTTATTTATTATTTTCTCCTTTGGTCTGTGCATTGGTGTTGAAATATACAATTTTGTAGTGGTTGAGGGGAGTCATATGATCTAAAATAGTTTATAAAAGTAGATACCAAATCTTGGGACATTATCATGTTCCATGTGGTGATGATGATGCTTGTTTTCAGACTGTTTATTGAGCGTGTGGATATGCTGTTGTTCTTGGTCACTTGTTCCAATTTTTTTAGACATTATTCTATACTTTTGGATGCATCCCTTCATTGACACTGGTACAACCCATAAATTAACAGGCTGAAGTGAACCTAGGAAAGATACAGGTTCATAATTTGATATTTTATTCTTATTGATGTGTGGCACTAAATACTGGGGTGAAACAATAGTATTCAAGTTTTCCATCTTTTGGTACAGTTGGATTTGATGGGAAAGAGCTGTGTTATGGTTGGTCATTGCGGTGGAGTGAATGTGGTTTGTTGTAATATTTGGTGTTTGGAAATTTCGAATAGTGCAATCAATGCTGTTGACATGCTATGATGCTGATTTATTGTATGTATTATTTTTGCTCTTTTTGCAAAGAGGCTTTTGGTGTGTGGGGTGGGCAACATCATCTTACTTATTTTGGCTGTTCCTCATTTCCATTATGCCATGCTTTGAAATAACCTTTTGTGAATCTGAGGTGCCAGCAATGTCTTGGTCCACACTTGTAAGATAATTTGATGTCCCTTTATTGCTAAACAGCATTGTCAAGATTATCTATGATGACAGCTTGATTTTGATTTTTGTTTTGTCTTGTAATTGTTGATGCTTGTCTTATTTAAAAAGTTGCACATCAGATTTACGGGGCAAACACATATGAAATTAACTTTTAAATCTGGATTAAGAAAACAAGAAAAAGAGTTTACAATCCGGTACTGTTTAAAGTGCAAATACCAAATAATGCTTGGGGCGAGTCAATTACTTTTGTGAAGGGTTCTTGCAATAAAAGAGTATTAGATGCCAGATTGATCTTGCTTCAACTGGCTAGGTTATCTTTGCTTGAATCTGGCGTATCCATTGACCTTGAATATAAAATTCTTAGGGCTCCAACTGCTAATTTTTCTTCTTTTTGTTATTTTTAACTGTAAATACATTTTTAAAACTATATGACCTAATATTCTAACTAGCATTGTTTGTTTCTCTGGGGCACGCTTTATTTTAAATCTTCCTGAAAATCTAATTTCTCTGATAAAACTTGAAAAGACCTTGAGAATCCTGAATTGGAGGCATTTATTTATCATGGGGCTTGTTTCTTAATAGTTGTATGGTGCTCCGGTATTACCTGATGGCCTTATTAATCCTGCTTATGTACTAGCCTTATTTCCTTTGCACTTTATGGAGTACCTTGATTTATGAGCCAGTTGATTGTTAAGGTTTTTCTCTCCAACTTTGTACTGATCATTTCTTCGCCTGGCTAGGGTTGCAAGCCTGCAGAACGCATTGATATTGTTGGTGGTTCAGCGCCAATGAGCCCTTGCTCATCATATCAACCAAGTCCTGGTGCATCTTACAATCCAAGCCCTGCTTCATCGTCTTTTCCGAGCCCTGTATCATCTTGTTACGCTGTCAATGCAAGTCTAAATACTACCACTGATGCAAACTCTCTGATTCCTTGGCTAAAAAATCTGTCATCTGGCTCATCAACTGCCACAGCTAAGTTTCCCCACCATCTCTATATCCCTGGTGGTTCCATAAGTGCTCCTGTCACCCCTCCTTTGAGCTCTCCGACAGCCCGTACTCCACGAATGAAAGATAATTGGAATGACCAAGGTTCGCCCTGGGCAGCGCAGCAATACTCGTTTTTGCCATCTTCTACCCCTATTAGTCCTGGTATTCAGACTCCCCCTGATTCAGGATGGTTATCTGGTGTTCAGACTCCACAAGATGGACCTTCATCTCCAACCTTCAGTCTTGTTGCATCGAACCCATTCGGCATCAAAGAGCCCTTATCAAATGGAGGGTCCCGCATGTGGACTCCTGGGCAAAGTGGGACTTGTTCTCCAGCAATTGCAGCTGGTTTTGACCATACGGCCGATGTTCCCATGTCGGATGCTATGTCTGCTGAGTTTGCATTCGGCAACAATAATATGAAGGCATTAGTGAAGCCCTGGGAAGGGGAGAGGATTCATGAGGAATGTGTACCGGATGATCTTGAGCTTACTCTAGGCAACCCTACTACCAGGTAACCATTTACAAGATTGTTCTTTCTGCTTGGACAGCATTTTTTTTATGTCTACTATTTATATTACCATTAGTTTGTAACTTGTACTCTTTTACTCTCTGCAGATAGGTATGAAGCAATCTACTTGGAATGAATTTCAGTCCATTCTTTATGTTGCAAATACTGCATGAATCAGTCCTTTTTGTAAAGATCATTTGACCTTTTGGCTAAATCCTTCGGTTGGTACCGTGTGGATGAAACCAGAGAAGTTATAATTGTATTGTAGAGTAGGAGCATATTTATTCTTTGATGTATTCAGTTAGGCCTTTGAGATATAAAAGCTAGATGCTCAGTAGAAATAGCTGCACTGGTGGCTTGTGAACCCTTTGTGGTTCTCCTTTTCTTTCTCCTCTTTCCCTTTTTGGCCACATTCTTTTCATTCGTAATGCTCAAAAATTTGGGCAACAGACAGGTGTTACAAATCTAGACAACGGGTCTCTGCTTTTTCCTTTGGTTTTCAGCATAAAAGATTTGTAACAATAGAAAATGGGTTACAAACGGTTTGTGCTTCTTGCTGTTTAATGTTCTTTCCAGTTCCAAACCCCTCTATAAATTTAAACAATGACGCCTCTGCTTAGATATTAAACTATGGATATCACTAAAGTTAGATATCAAACTATGGATATCACTAACGGATCATGAAAATGTAACCAGACAAAAGGAAAATTCTGTACTGAAAAGATAGAGCGCGTCAACCATAAGCAACATTATATACAAGTGGCATTATCAACCAAAGAATTGTGAAGTCCACAGTATCCTATCAATACCAACTTATCAATTTTAGGAAATTCGACTTGTCAGATGATAAGATTGATAATATACAGTCTCCTAATGATTGGAGTTGGCCTTACAGCTTCTGGTATAATTCTCCTAGAGCACGGTAGAGAATGGCTGCAGCAGGAGGTCTTGGCAATGTTCCAAGAAGAATATCAGATGCAGTTAATGATTGGGATCCGTAGAATCTGGAATTTTCTCGCTTGCGAGTTGTCACAACACTTCCCTCCAGGGAACATCCAACAAAAGCACCTGTTTGGTAGAATTCATAGATCATGAAAATTCGAATGAGGAACAAACACCAAGAAAACAGACTTCAAATTTAAAGATTACCCTTGCATGAACAAAGACAAAAATGGATAGAAAGTTGCCAAAAAAAGACGGGAAACATTTATTCGTGAGTGATCCTTGAATAATCAGGGAAGCATCTTTCCTAGTGTTCAAATCCTCAACTCAAAGGCAACCATTATGTTTCTTCAGCATGTATAACCAAAAACGATTTTCAAATACCCAGAACTAATTACAGCGCACATCTCTTATAAAAATGAAGAGTTCCATAAAGGATAATTCAATAACAAAGTAATTAAAACTTAACAAGGCAAAGAATTGTGCTATTGAGAAATTCAAAAGAGAAAATAACCTTTGCTGCAACTATATGTATAACAAGAAGCATAACTGCTGACACCAGCTCGTAGATCAGCTTCGGCAGTTCGTCCAATTACACCAAGAGCGGCACTCACTCCCGCTCCAACTGATAGATGTGTATCACCACTGAAGGTTCTCACAGCATCACTATTTCGTAGCACTATAATGAAATCAGTCAACTCTCCTCCAGCCTGTAGAAATTGTCAGGTTAACCAAGATAAACCTCTGATGACCTTATGAATGTCTTTGTCCAGAAAATTCCAAATTATACAATATCTTAACCCATTTAGACCTCTGGATACCTTATATTATAATAAACGAAATTGACAGGTGCAAGGAAATATATGCACGATTACTACTAGAATAGTGTCCCTCCCTCCCTCCCTCCCTCTTTTCCTTTTTAATTTTCCTTCTACATGTTTTCCCATTCTATCTACATTTACTAATGAGTTGAAGATGTTAACAAGAATCAAAAACACAGTTGGATCAGAGGTGAAGTTTGCAAACAACGGAGAATTGTTACGTTAGCAAAAAACTCAAAAGAAAAACAGCAGTATCATCCATGTTTGACTACGCACCTGAGCACCCCAGCCCACGCCAAAAGTAGAAATGGCAGAAGGGGGTGACCAAGAACCATCTTCCTTACGAGCAACCACCAATCCAGTTCCAATGTTGTATGTGATCATCATTCCCACTTTAACAACCGTAAGTATAGCCAGCCCTTTTGCATCTCGCAGAATTGCTTCAGGAATTTTCTTTTCATGTGTCAGAGAACCAACCTGAGTTATTTAACTAACTATATCAGATAAAACGAACTCTTTAAGGTTCTATGATGCAAAACATTGACAATCAAGTGACAACATAACCCATATCAAGGAGCTACAGTGCACAGTATTCTACACCTGTTCTCATAAGGCAATCAAGTCAATACAAAGAACTCTAATTAAAATAATGCAAAATAGCAAGTGTTAAAAGGTATAACTATATTTAGTAAGCAGTATAATTGGCGTTTAATGAAGTGATTTATTAGCTGACTCAATCAGCTTCATACCTTACTGTAACCCCGAACAGTATTAGTAGCCTTATAAATCTCGTATTCCATTGACTGTCCCCAGGGGAAATTCACCCAAGATCTTAAGGTACTCAGGTCGGTCAGATCATGTGTTGCCAATTGTGCAGCACGGCTCACGTGATCCATTAAGTATGGCTGCACAGACTCAAGGCGAACGCAACAAACATCACACACGCGTTGAGGATCCGACAACCGGAACTTTTCTGGCAACAAGCTCCTCCCTTTACTGCACTCTCCACAAAATAAACCACCACAGAAACGGCAATGATGCCTAGTACACAAAATTGGATGAAACCTTGAGCTGCACAACATGCAGGCAGAAGCTGCACTATCGGGCAGCCATTTTGGTGGCTCTGCATCAAGAATTTCTTGAGTGTTGCCGAAACTAACTCCAGTGAGTGTCTCAGACATCTCTTTCCAGGCTTGCTCGATTAGGTGACCAGATATCCATGACACTGTATCAAAATCACCAGAAGTGAGGGCACTGACTTTGCCTCGTGCTACAAGTAATATCTCCAACACAACATCCCACATTGTCAATTCTTTGTCTTCACAAATCATCTGACTCCAACCCATATCTTCCTCGGGAAGATAACCTGCACTCAAGCCAAAACCTCTGCTCCACTCTTCATGCTCACTTTCTGACATTGGTGGCACAGAAACAGGAATCCAAGACCCCGTTTCCCCAAAAAGTGGAGGGTCATAACAAAAGTATTTTTCTTCTGGTGAGGGGACATCTGAATTTTGATTCTGATCACTTGGCAATCCAACTGCCCAAGTTGAGTCTTCGCTGACATTTTCTACCTCGTCTACTTGCGGGTAGAAAGATTTTTTATGTTTCCCGATCACAGCCTTTTTACAAGGAGAACGAAAATCATCTTTTTTACTTTCATCCATTTTGCCGAAAAAGGGAACTTCATTTTGACAAACACCATCCGGTTCATAGTCTAAAAGTTCAACATGCCTCTCCAGCTTCTTCATTTGTTGCTGGAGAAAATTATTATCATTAACAGCTACAGAGGATGAGGTAACTTTACTGCTGACATCATCAATTCTAGACATTTGTTTTTCTGCTAAACTGGTCCTAGAATTATGTTCAAACATAGACTCCGGAGATTCCAAGGCACATTTTTGCGTTTCGCCCTGTATCCTTGTACGATTAGTGTCCTCCTCACCCTTATGGGCCACTCCTGCATCATGGTCAAGTGAAAGTCCTGCAGTAAATTCTTCAAATGGGAATCTTTTCTCATCAGTCAAATCTTTCTTGTCCCAAACATCATCTCGAGCGTTTGTGGGGGATTCTGACTCATGTTCAGCCATTGGTTGATGAGTGCTAGAAAGCATAGATCTCTCATTGACGAGTTCTCTGCACTCGTCGGGTCTTCCAGAGCTCTATAATCAGCATTTGAGGGGCAAGTTTAGATAAAACACAATGACAAAAGTTAGGCGCCCTTTCAGATATTACCAAAATAACTACTTGCCCAAGATCCAAAAAGGATAAAAGCAACGCAAACAAAGGACAAAATGACGATGCATTACATTGGTAAACACTTAGAGAAGGAAAACCAAAAGGAACAAGAAAAGCAAATGAACATAGCATACTGACCGTTGCTTACTAACCTCGCTTTCAGAGAGGCATATTTACAACTAATTATATTGAAAGCAGAATATATGGTGCCAGGGCCATTGGTATAGAAATGTGGCAGAAGAACCAATATACATTGCCATGTTATAACTTCGATATTTACTTAACTCATCTCAAAGGATTAAAAAAAGGGGGGTAAACAAAACTTAAACCAAAATAATCGCCAAAACTGCAAAACTTTAAAACAATCACTACATTATTGTACTTCAATTGTATCCCATAGGAAACCCCTATTTTCCGTATAATTTACTGAAACTTAACCCCCTTCGATTTTCCCTCGGCTGATCAAGCCCATCAAGTACATCAAAGAATCCACAAAAATCCTTCTTGAACCAACGCCCATGTTTCAAAGTGCTACAAAGTAAAGCCATGGGATTAATCAATCCCACCAGACATGCATTTATACACGAATTATGGTTTCAGCCATGTCCACAACTAACCTCTAAATCTGAAACTTTAAATTGATAATACGCTTGGAAATCACACAAGTCATAAGGAAAACAGTTCAAAGGCGTTAGGATTGAAGAGGAGGGGTTATTACCAGTTCAGGACCACCATGGCTAGGAACCCTAGAAATCGAAGGCTGAATTTCTGTTTCAGCTGAATTATACTCGTCCGCCATGGATCAGTTGATCACAGTTGAACAAGAATAATTTGGCGTATCATCAAGTATTATGATTATTTTTATCAAATTTCCAGAATTTTTATGTCAAATTCTACAGGGAGAAATCGGAAAATTGATGATGATGATGAAACTGAACGGCAATAAGAAAAAGGAGAAACAAAGCGTGGAATTCCGAATTTGTGTTTTAATTAATTAAAAAAGTGACGTGGATGAATGAATTATGAACTGAAACTCATTAATCATTAGGGCGCGTGTGGTTTTGCGTGGGCTTGGAGGAAAAATTTTAGGTCTTTCGCTCAACTTCAGGGAAGCGTTTTAGATTCAATATATTAGCCATATACAACAACAAGGCCTATTAGCTCAGTTGGTTAGAGCGTCGTGCTAATAACGCGAAGGTCGCAGGTTCGAGACCTGCATGGGCCATCTATGGTTTTTTTGTCCTTGTGGACACATATTATTCTTTTCCCATTTTACCCTCTCTCTCTTTTCTTTTTCTTATTTGGTAAGGCGGACGGTCTTATCAATTAGTTACCATTTCTGCCACTCTAATCAATTTCATCTCTTTCCCCCAAAAATAAAGAAAAACCTGCAAAAACCCAGACTGACAAATAACACAAACTCCCACACAAACAAAAACATGCCTGAATCCACCAAGTACCACCACTTGCACAATTCCTTTTTCATTGTTCTCATTCTCCTCCTCCTTCTACTAATAATACTAATCCCGATGCCCGCCGCCGCCGCCGATACGACATCGTCCTCCACCACCACCACCACAAGACCTTCACTTCGCCGGTCCAGAGCCATAGGGAGGAACCACCGGAATCCCACCCTCACAATCACAGCAGCAGCTGGGTGCACCTCTATTGGGTCCAGATCCGAATGCGTTTCCAGCTCCAGATGCAGGTGGTGCAGGAGTGACGCCGTCGATGACTTCTGTTTCTCCAAACTCGAAGCTTGGCGGTTGCCCTCCCAAGTTTTCACTTGCGATTCTATTTAGATTTACTTCTTTTTCTTTTTTTTTTCTTTTTCCGGCAATCAAACGTTTACCTGAGAATTTTGTTGTATTGATTCCGTGCAAAATCTATGTACTCCACTCATCCACGGTGCTTCTTGTACGCGAACAATAATGGCGATGGTATCTTTTTTTTTTAAACCTATTCTGGTAGTTAGTTCCAACTGCAAATTAATTAACCAAATGCTCCATTAAATTAAATGGGAATCAGACTAAGTAACAGTACACGTGTTAATTAATTTGAGTTGAGGAACAATTTTCTTCATCTTGCCTGTTCTGACTTCTGAGTTCTGATTGATAGACTTTTCAAAAAATGAGGATTAGGCCAATGAGCCCAGCATTCAATATTTTATGGTGGAAATGGACACGATTGATACTCCTTCTCCTAATCAAGGTCAATAAACAATTGTTAATCCCCTGAGTATTGAAGGTCTTCATAACTTACCAAACAAAGCATTTGCCTCCGAAACTAACATCTTTTTTATCCATTTCCACTTGACTCAACGTTAAACACTAATTAGCAACTTTCCAATAATGAGTTCAAAATCTTCATATAACAGATCAATTCTAATTGATGCACCAAGCATATCTATTGCCCTAACAGAAGTAGCTACAGTTGTGCAGACAAAAAGAAGACTAGTGGTAGCCTTCCCTATATGCAGCAAGGTCAGCTTGCCAATAACTTTAAGAATGAACAACAGCTAGCCCCAAAATCTACAATAAAATTTCTAAAATGAAAACATTAGCTGCAACTTTGTATCAGCTTCGTGGGGCTTAGATTTGCGCCACCCCAGGCATATTGGTGGATGCACTTAGAGAACTGTTAATGCTCCTTAATCAATCACCGAAACTTGATGCCAGAGTGGGAGTTGAAGAATGAGATTGTTTAGCAAATAGTTATATATCATTTGTACTTGGTGAAAGAATAAGACTTAAAAATCAAAACTTGCAGCAAGGCTCAGCGGCTCCAACGAAAGATTTAAAAAGTATCATATGTATTATGTCATAAAACATATGGACTGTTACACAGACATTGATGACCTAGTCAGCCAGCTCACATCCCATTCCAACTATAAGGTAGCAGCTGTGGAGCTGTATCCATCCATGTGTAACTGCTACAAAACACACTTCTTTAGATGTTTTGTCCAAAATGGGTAATCGAGCATACAGAGCAGTTTCAATATCATCAGCAAAAATGTTACACCGTTTTTCAGAAGATTGGTTAGAGCACAAAACTCAAATGGAATAATACACACCGCACAAGGAAAGCTATGGTTTCTTGAACCAGAGAAGACACAACCTCAAAGTCAAGCTGAATTTATCATTTAAGATGTTGGGCACAATGCAGGTCATCACAAAACTTTGAGAACTACGTGACTACTCAGCGTAGCAAAAGCACATAGGCTAAAGGTTCAAAAATATGAATATAATTTGACTCACAATGATAGCCCTAGCAAGGTGTATCCAGTCAGTTATCTTGTTAGATCGATGATGCTAATGATAACATAGACGAAATGGTTGGGGCTTTCTGCCTTAACAATTTCTATGGTAAAAGGGTGTCACTCTAAACCAGCACTCTTTTCCAAACTATATGCCCAAAGAATAGTAAAATTTATGACACAAACAAACTACTGACTAATTTTAAACTAGTCCCAGTGTCAACTTAGGGTTGAGGAAGAAAATCATTCATTGATAACCAACAACCATGCAATTTCATTAGCTTAATTTGCAAAGCCTTGTGGATAGACCTGCAACTTTTTGCAACAACACTTTAGGACAATACCCTCTGTGGCTTCATACCATTTCTGGCAAACAAGCAATAAATTTAATTCAAAGTAATCTATATTCTATTTCAAAAGCTTGTAGAGCTGACAAAAAAGAGTTAAGACTTGCCTTTATTTTCCAGCCAAACTTACAACAACAAATCCAAATGAAAAAGAAAAGAAAAAAGAAGAAGCTAACAATGCATAACTACGAACGAACAGACAACTCGAATGCTTACAACTGTTCTGCTGCTGATTTTCAGTGTGAGTATCCAACATAATTCTTAGATTGGTTTAGCTCCACTAAATAATACATCGAGTGCAGCCAAATTTTCTGGTGCGCAGGATATATTAGCAGAAGATTCTGATACATCCACCAAATCAATGAAAGGGAACTTACCAACACGAAATCTCTCAAACTTACAGCTTTGATGATCATAAGAATAAATAGCTGTGGCGAACTCCTCTTTAATTTGTGGATTGACCAATAACATACGCCCATCAGGTAAGTTCCCTACAGGAATGATAATCCTACACGAAGCGCATTTATCATCTAATTCCTCTGGCAGTGGAACAGAATGCTTGGTCCATACATGATTTTCAGCATCCTCCAATACATTAAGGGAAAGCTTGTACCCTCCCATACGTGTAGGAGTTGACAAAGCCAACTTTCCCCTGAATGTGACAAAACACTGGGAATGCAAATGTTGTGATGTCGACCCCGGCGGTACCTTGATGTACCGGAAATTCTTTTCGTTCAGATCAAAAGAAACTAAGAAACACCGGGACTTCCAGCGAGATATTCCCTTGACAACTAACCAATACATGACACCATCAAAACAAAAGCTCCGAGCCTCCGGCATCAATTTTGCTCTCAAGAAGGTTCCTTTACGGGGAAAATCAAAGTCATCGACCATTTTCCAAACATAATCACTACCAATGCCTAATGTGAGAACTTGGGCGGAGTGAAGATTGAAACAAAGTAGCTTATACACACCATTAACAGCATCATATCCAAAGAAATATTTGATGGCATTATTACAATAAGGAAGTGGCTTGACTTCTTTAGTGAAAATGTTGCAAACGAATAAACTATCCCGATTATAGAAACAAACCAGGCCATGGATGACTTCCGTAAATCTATCGCAGTTGTAACGAGGCCAAGGCAGCTGAAATCGTAAAACAAATCGTTCCGGTCGGTAATAAACTAGAGTCGAGTAATAGAAGTGGGCTGTGTAGGTTCCGCCTTGATCCGGACCTCCGGGAACGGCAACTAATAAGCCGACGTCGGGATGACGGTGTTTGTATGCCACGACGAACTCCGGACTCTTAATCAAGGACTGCCAACCCTTCGACACGCAATTGCACTGGTGAACTTTTTTGATCGGGAGCCGTAACAGGAGTTCAACCACCAGATCATCAGGTAGAAGTACCGGCAAAGACGCCGGAGATCCTAACCGGAACCCACCGACCTTATCATCCACCTCTACCTCCATCGCCCTCTCTCAATTACCCACCTCTAACCAGTAATCAAAACGCATGCTTCTCAATCAGAAAAGATAAGGTTCACAATAATCAACAGCGTCGAATTTATCAAATACCTACCGCCCTGAATTCTGCTTTTCACCCTGAAGCGTCTCGGGTCAGCCAAAATGAGCATGAATTAGGTTGTTTTGTCGTGCAGTTGCGGGCTTGGGCCTTACTTGGATTTTAGTATAGCTTGGATATAATTATTCAAGCCCATATATTATTTTCCAATTCCAGCATTATTTCGGGATAGGCCCGCTTATTTTGAATAACTCTTTCCCCCTCCTCAAAAAATTTTTTTCACGGAATATAATATTCATTATTAAACCATTAATTATTTCTTCAATCTTTGCTCCTAAATTTTTAAGCCTAACACGAAATACTGCATGTGATGTAATTATCTTAGTAGAAGGTTGAAAATGAAAATTTTCATGCTAAAATGAAATATAATCTTCTCAAAATGGATAATTAGTAGCTAAAGATGCCAAATAATTTGTCGCGACCAATGACTTAATACCATCCCCTAGATTATACGAAGTAAAGACGCAAGAATGGCTACAAATCATAAATGATATTACATTTTAGAAGTGAGTATAAGTTTCAGTTCAACCTCTGAGCTGTATTGTAATGGTGTTTTGACTATGTAATATGTACTGTTCCATATTAACCCATCCCGAGAATTTAGGCCAAATTTTGCCAGAGAAGCAATTTCAAACTGTGTTGTCAATTGGTGAAATAAATTTTACTGGAAATCAGCCATTCATGATTTCAGAACCAAGTTTGAGTGAAGACATTCTGAAGGCTATACAAATTGCTTACATTGTTCTCAGTTTTTATCAAATTGAACAGCAAATGAAAGTAAAAAAGGAGCAAATCCGGCGACTGAAACTAAAGGGAAAAATGTATGTAAATTCCTGATTTTGTAAAGACGGGCTTCTATCTTCCAAATCATCCCATCTCATTACAATCTGTAACAGAAGGGAGAAACAAAAACAAAATGATAAAAAAAAAAAAAATAGTAATGATTTACAATTCCAAATTCTCAGGCCCTTGTGAAAATTGAGATGCATAAGACTTGACAACATCTCTCATATCCTCAATTTCATCAAACTGATCAAAGAATTGAATCAACTTCTTGAGCTCCTCATCACCAAGATCATCAACAAAGGGCGGAATCGGAATCGCATTCTCAGGCTGAAATGAATATGAATTAGGATTGTCATCCACAATGACAACCCTTTTCAAGTCCCTGCCCAAATCAGATAGATCTTTCACAAACCTGCCATCAACTTCTTTACAGGAATCACGGTACAACCTGTGGGAGATCAACCCCTTTTGATCAATTCTGTCGAGCACTTGGGAGGCATAAACTTCTATCCCTGCCGTAAAAACAACGATCTCAAAATTCTTGCTCAGACTCTCCAACAATTCACCAACAAATGGCCTTTTCAGCACGAAAAATTCCACCTTTTGGCCATCAATCACCGGCTTTATAACGAAATCATACTTCTCCGGAGGTATACTCGGTTTAGAATGCACCAGAGTCTCATCCAAATCAAGAAAAACCGTCCCTTTCTTGGACGAAACCAAAGGTGGGAGGGGAACAGAAACTCCATTATCATCAAACAGAGCCTTTACAACTCCACTTCTGGTTTCTTCAGAAGCTTTATGAAGTAATTGATAGCCCTGTTTTCGTGGGGACTTCTTCTTCGGGGTAGCAATCCGGGCTAATTTGGAGAAGATCTTGATGAGGCGGCGGTGGCAAGTGCAGAAGGACTTATTGATGGATGCAGCCACCAAAGACGCTGCGGTGGAGGCATTCTTTACGGGGGTTTTCTTCCGGCGCTGCTGGCGGCGGTTGTTCTTGATGGTTTTTGTTGGGGTTTTCTTGATAATCTTGGACACCATTTTTGTGGGATTTAGATCTAAAGAGGAAAATCTATATCTAAGAATGAGAAATCGGGAATAATGGAGATGAGCGGAGAGGATTGGAAGCGGTTTTGGACGGAAGAGAATACGGGAAAAGAGGAAAATTTGGAAATGGGGATAATGGAGAGAAACAGAAAGGCGAAGTGGGGTTTTTTGAATTTATTTTTTTAGGTTCGGATTGCAACGGTCGGTTTTTTTTTTTTTTTAGCTTCGGAATTGTACTGTGGTGCGTATAAATACTTATTTACTTAGTAAGTGTACTGTATACGATTACTGAAATACAGGGAAATCAAATTTTGTATCCAGCTGCCCGCCTTCCATCTGGATAAAGGCGGGATGAACTTTTAATAATTAATTAATTATGTAGAGGAAATTATAAAAATGGAAATGAAAATATGGATGGAGCCATATGAGATTCAAAGTCATTAATGCTTGGGATTTTTTTTTCCTTTTTTTTTGGGAAAATCTTTTCCCTAAGTATGTTTGTTTCGTTTTTTTAGTGTGTATTTTTTGATATTTTTTGTATTGGGAATGTAAAAAGTTGTATTAGAAATGAAAAAAGGTATATTAGGATGGGACATATATTATTATATTATTCTGAAAAAAACCATGAAAAAAAAGAAACAAACAAAGACTAAATTGTTTAAAACGAATTGTTTTTATTAAACCGGGAATACTTGTTTCCTTCCAGGAAAAAAAAAATATATGATTAAAAAACCATAAAAAGGAAAGTGAATATCCCTAATTAATTTTAATCAAAACTCAAAAATTTTGAAATGTTAGAAAAAGGGCGGTTAATCAGCTTCTGATAATCGCAGTGGTGGGAATTAGGGAATTCATCTTCTCAAAAAACAAGCTCTATAGTACTAAAATCTCAAAAAACTTTAATGGACCAATTTGATGTCCCACATCTTTAGTGTTAGGCCTGGTTCCACATATTTACGTTTTTTTTTTTAAACTACATAAAACGTTCCGAAACATTTCACGGCTAACTAAAAATTGCTAGCTTTGCAATAATAACACAACAATTGACCTATTAATTATATTGCATAAAAATACCATATGTGTCGTCGTATCTCCCATCCTGTTTGTTTTTGTATTTGAATTTTTTACAATTTTATTAAAAAAAATCAAAAAAATTTACTATCCGCACCAAAAGCATCCGTTGGGTATAACCATGTCTTTGTTCAACAGATACAATCCACTCCTCCCCGCAGGATATAGAACTCTTTCTACTCATTTTTTGGAAATAGCTGAAAAGATATGATAAAGTATGGCATAGTCAGAGGACTGATCCAGTAATCTCTTGGCAACTGATTCAACACGGTCTATAGCAGCATCATCGTATTAGAACTGATCTCCCACAAGATTATGCCACAATCATCTTTGATGGCTCTTCTTATCCACGGACAAGGAAAGCAACGGGTGCACGGAAACTCACATCATCAACTGGCCAATTCATGCAAGTTAAATCAGTCTCTCTTAACTCGTTATCTCCATTCTAGATTGGGGCAATGACATGTCTAATGGCATTATAATGAGCAGAAAACTTTGGCATTTCACGTGTTAAGATTTATACTGATTGTGAGCTTCTAGCAACAAATCCAAGTCTGCAATCTCCTTCATCCGAAGCACATAGGATATAGTCTAAATCCTACGTACTCTAATTAAGGCTATTAGAATAGAAGTTAGAGATTTACATAATTTAACTTATGCTAAAACGTGTAATGTAATAATACAGGTATTTCTAATTAATACATGTACCAATTCAAAAAAAAAAAAACATGGCTTTGTAATGTTTCATCTCCCCAGCTAGTTCCTACCTAGACAGTACTAGTAACTTAAGAAAGTTGTCATATAACTTCGAATCAAAATTGAAGGATTGTGTATAACAACGGATTAAACAAGCTTTTTTAACATTTAATTAATTAATGTCAACTTCACTTATGTAAAATAATTGGAGGGGGGGAGGATATCCTAAGTCCTGAACCTGGCTATTATTTAAAGTGATGAGTTGTAGCTTCATTTACTTACTAGTTTCAAAGAACAACAGTTTTATTTTCTTTTCCTTAGTAGCTCGTAAAAGGTTTATAATGAATATATAACTCATCCTAATCCTTTTTAAAATGTTGCTTCTTGTTGAAGTCTGAAGCAACGGCATGCAAGCAGTGGATCAACCACCCACCGTCCCTCTTGAGTTATATAAATTTGATTCTTTTTCTATAGTTTTAGGGGAAGGTAAAAAGTTTACTAATTTCGTACTGGCAATTGTAATTCGTGGGAGGTGGATTATCATATGAATTAAGGTTCGTTCTTGATGGATTACGTTGATGTGATAATTTTTTTTTTCTTTATTGTTCAGTTAGTAGTAATAATATTTTCATTTTGAAAATTTGAATAAAAACTTATATATATCACACCAAAAGCTTTTCATTGGAATCTATAATATGATGAACGCTCATATATAATGTCCAAAATCTGACAGTGATTGAGCCATTAAAATATGCAAAAAAAAAAAAAAAACTCACTCGAGTATGCAGAATTAGTGAACAAAATATGTATAAGCAAATAGTAGTCTGGGGATTCTGGTGGAGTAGGCCAGTTAACTTACCTAGATGATCATAGAAATACTCAATTAGACACTTAGAAATTGTAATTTTTAATTTCATCCTGTTCTTTTGGCGATTTGTGGGTGACGTACGGTTAGTTGATACTCTCTTTTGATGGCAATTGATCAAACGTAACCATCATTAAGATGTCCTAACACTGTCTTCAGAACTACATAATTCTTACCTAAACAACACAAAACTAATACTCCTTCAATAAAATAGTAGTAACTCAAGTTTTATAAACACGGGAAAGGCTTCTGATTGGAAAATCCGTAGCCCAATTAACTTAATTGAAGTGGTAAATAACTAGGAATTAGTAGGTCAACGTCCATGTCTTTGTTGAGAGAGAATCATCATGCATCAGAAAGGGTAAATAACAACAGTAGTACATAGCAGTTGTTACATAGGATTAAGGAGCCGATGCAAATGTCGGAATCCTACTCCATTTCATCACTTACAATCGTAATTCTTTGTTTTTATCTTTTCAAGCTCCAAGAATACGATATCACCATGCATTTTTGGATATACTGCTTAAGGATTGTCATTATTGAACAACATTATGTGGTGAGAGTATATGGACCCGGTTTAAAATATGTCGTTAATATTTTAACAAACAATCATCATAAATCTTCTTTTTTAATTGAATGTATTATGTGCCTGCTTAAAATTATCTCGTAATTCTTGTACTAAAAATATTTTTCGTATTAAACTGCATTTGTCACTTTATAAAATCTAAATGATAAATGCAATTGATCTGTGTGCCACAAAACCCAACTTATTGGACGGGATAAAATTATGTCATCTAATGAGTAAAACACACAAGCTCTTATGAGACCGATCATAAACACCCCCCCCCCCTCCCAACAAGAAAAAAAACACACAAACGGTGGTAATTATTGAGACATTACGACTGTATAATCTCTTCATTACATCTTCAAGTTGTCAATTACGGTGACCATGTATATACAGATCAAATTAATTCAATATGTTTCTGGAATTCCGGTGGGTCGTTGAATGAGCCATAAATTCAAGGAATTAATTAAGGGGGTATCACATTTTCCCATGACGCCTGCAAATATGGATAACTGATGGCCGATAACATCATCATAAATGATGCTAAAGCTCAACAAGTTGTGATTTTTCTCAAAAACAGAGTCCTGAATTCTTCTTCTTCATCAGCAACACCGTCATTACAGTGTCAAACATGTTTTTGTTCACAAGATATAAATAATGTCAAAACCAGCAACTCATTGTTGAGCTAAGCAAGATCTTGTTAACAAGTATGGCAAAGGCAAACCCTTTGTCCGGGAGATTTAATTTGTGGATAAATTTTATCGTAAATTAAGTGAGGAGAATCAGCTTAAACGTAATGTCAAAAACTATAAACAGAGAGATGGAATGTCATAATGTAATTCTGACTACCATAAATAAGTCTATTCATTATGTAATTGGTAGTTTATCATAGCTGAGGACGGAGATTAGGTACCCATTACTGCAGGAAGGACTTGCCAGTCTCCTGCTTCTTAATTAGTTATGATCTGTTCGGAAATAAATTATTCGTACTTGTAAGAGAAAAAACAAACAATTATACTACTATGATTTTCCCACCCCTCAAAAAATCCCCAATAAAGTCAAAACTCACCCGTCAGACGCATCCTTTTTTCTTTTTTTTTTTATTTATTCGCATTCACATTCACATTGCAAAGGCACAATGAATTAGTAGTATTTGTTTATCTGTTTGTGTTAAGATAAAATATGAAAAATCATTCTGAAACTTGATTGACAAAACTTGTAAGACTTTTACCATTGTCTAAATTGGACGAGTTAGTTGACGGGTGAATTCCCTTAGTCAAATGCATTGATTTATCCGAACAAACCAATACTATGTCGTATCTGTCTTTCTTTCTCTCACACAATGAGTTAAGACAAAACACACAAATTTTTGTCTCTCCGGACCAATCCAAACAGCAGTATATATATATAGCAGCAATTTCTTCTACAAACTGGAGCTCTGCCTTTCCATTTCTGTGTCTTTGCTATCCCAAATCAGCAAAACTACTGATTTGTGATCCTCCCATATTCCTTCTCCTCTCTCACTCTTTCTGGGTTCTTCTCTGAATATCTACACAGATACAGAGGAAAACAGAGGCACAGAATCAAGTGGAACCATGGCTGATGCATCAGCAACTAATGGAGTTCCAGGGGTAGCTTTGGACGTCAAAGATGATCATCATGAATTCAATAATCACAAAGATATGGGATCACCTTCCACAACCAATCTCACAAATTCTTCTTCCTCTGGCTGCTTTGTTACCGTCCCGTTTATGCAAAAGGTTTTTTTTTTTTTTTTTTTGTCTTTTCTTCCCTTTCTTGGCTCCTTTTTGGCTTTTCTGATATGAAATCAATTTCTCAGCATCAAAACAAAACATTCCTTACTTTCAATTTGGACTTCCTCAATTGGCAAATTGAAGCAATTATTTGTCATATTAGTCTGACTAATGATGCAAAAAAGTTGGGATTTTTAATTTTATTTTTGGTTGCCAGTTGATTGCAGAGGTAGCCGGAACGTATTTCTTGATATTTGCGGGATGTGGGTCGGTGGTGGTGAATAATGCGAGGGACAACACGATTACATTTCCGGGGATATCAATTGTGTGGGGGCTGGCGGTGATGGTGGTGGTTTACTCCGTCGGCCACATTTCCGGCGCGCACTTGAATCCGGCGGTAACTATTGCTTTTGCCACCTGCAAAAGGTTCCCTTGGAAGCAGGTAATTAACTTGATTAATTAATTGCTACACATTAGGACAAAGATTATGCTGATTTTAGAATTGAATGTGCGATAATGCGATCTGCAATTCATGAAAAATGTTGCTCCTTTTCAACTTGTCTACTTTGTTTGTATTAGTGTTATTTCACACGAGATTTTTAAACATTATTATAAGGTTATTATTTTTTTTCGATAATATGGCAAAAGAAAAAACATAATATCAGCATTACGACTTACATGTGTATTTTTAGACTTCATTAGTTGTTGGAGACTTGGAAGTTGGGAGTGACCTTTTTGACTTCGTCAAAAGAAGCATGCAGTCTTCAATACTTAAGGCCTTTAATTAATGATTGAAAGAAAAATATGGCAAAATGAGCTCCACTCTTTCGCAAAGTGTGGACATGTAACTGGCATACTAACCAATTTATGGAGAAAACATTTTTAAGTTTTATTTAGTGGTAAACTATCAAGTTTAGGATAAAAAGGATATTGACTTTATTGATTGTTAGTTATAGAGAGGTACTATAATTGGAGTCTTGAACCAAATGCTAACTCTTTATTTTTTACTACTAACACGATGTCTGAACACTACATTGATAAACCACATGATCAATTTTATCAAATCCGCAGAGCAACAATGGTTCAAATATCAGCGGAAGCAATGTAGCGTGTGAAACCTCCTTTTTTTTTTCTTTCTGTTTTTTGTTTTATGTGTTAAAACTCCAAAGAGTAGCAATGAATGCCGGCGGTGTGTGAAACCGAATAAATTTTTTTTTTCCTTTTTAAATTGAAGGACAGTTGAGCTAAAGGTTAGTAGTAATTAATTGGAGTAGTATTTATGGACTAGAAATCCCTCATTTTGATTTTGTGAACAAGCAACACGTGATTTGGTAACGTTTGGTTTGATTTTTGTTAAACGTACGTAGGTGCCCGCCTATGTACTAGCTCAAGTCATTGGATCCACTCTAGCAAGTGGAACTCTGAGGCTGATTTTCAATGGACATCAAGACCATTTCTCAGGAACCCTTCCAAATGGAACTGATCTTCAATCGTTGGTTCTGGAATTTATCATCACCTTTTACCTCATGTTCATCATTTCCGGTGTTGCCACTGACAACCGAGCTGTTAGTATTCCCTATCTTTTTTTCTTTTTTTTAAATACGTATTCTCTTAAAATGAGACGGAAAAAATATATTAATATTCAGCACCTTTGAATTTCAACGAGGACTCTAAAGGAATTATATTCCTTGCACACGCAGGGATTTTGACCTGACAACTCACTCTGATTCTTCAAAATATTTATGTTTTGTAACACTTGTACTATATACCGGAGAAGATGATGAAATTTACGCATTAGAAAATTATTAGGAAAACGACCCTTTGGAATCTTAATTTACAATTCTGGTTGCTTGAACAGATTGGAGAACTAGCTGGTCTTGCCGTTGGAGCTACCGTTTTGCTCAATGTGATGTTTGCCGGGTAGGTTTAATCAAATGCATTCCTTGGTTTATTTGTTATATATTTTGTTAGGTGATAATAATTTAATTACTGCCACTGGTTTTGGACCATATAATTAATAGTAGTTTTTTCTTTGATTGTGATTGCCTTCACCATCAGCCTGATTGTGATTTTTATCATGTTTTATTTTTTTCTTTGATTGCATTCATACATTCATATGATCTGATGGAACTTGTGGTTGTTTCGGGAGTATCTTTTGACTTTACCGTCTTGGGCAAGTCCATTTTACGAAAGTTGCAAATTCATGTGTCATTTTATATTAATTCCCTTATCCCATTTTCTCATTTTAATACTAGCACTGTTAGTGAACGGTTAAAGTAAGACGGATAAACTACAATAATTTTTTCTTTCTTGTATTCTTGTACTGCATTGTGTTAAAGTGCTAATTGGCATTCTTTGGTCAAACTATTGTTGCAACTTGCAATAGGCCAATTTCAGGAGCATCTATGAATCCAGCAAGGAGTTTGGGTCCAGCAATAGTGTCAAACAAATACAAGTCATTGTGGGTATATATGGTAGGCCCAACTACAGGGGCCATAGCTGGAGCCTGGGTTTATAATCTCATCAGATTTACTGACAAGCCCTTGCGTGAAATTACAAAGAGTGGATCATTCCTCAGAAACTCAAGAAAATAGTTTCCACCCCCCAACTTTCTTTTATCTCTTTACCTTTTTGGTCCCCATTTCTTTTCTCTGTAAAACAGATTTCCCATGCTGTGGTTGTAAAACAGATTTGTAATTTTGATGTGGTAAAGTAAATTTGATGCGATGGGTAATTGATCTAATATTGCATGGATTCTCTATTAAGTACATTTTCTCTCCCGCCAAAAAAAAAGGGTCCAAAACCGATAGGTTTTTCAAAATTTTCTTATTCAAACTCCAATCTCTCTCTATCTCTCTCTCTTTTTGGTTTGTTGTGGATTTTTGGTTAATGATCGCATAAGATCATAAGGCTTCACTATTCTCCAGTAATAATGTCCGAAGGCAAAATGAAAGTGTTCATATGAGTAATGATGGCCGTTCGATAAGCATTTAAATTGTCTTTAAATTTCATTTGATATGTTTTTCCAATTAAGAAAGTAGCTTTAAAGATACTCCTTTGGTTACAAAATAAGTGTTGTTTTAACAAAATGAAGAAATTTCAAAGTGTCGTTCTCATATCTTAATGCACTTTTTGTCTAAAATTTCTGAAATTACCCTCAAAAGAATTAATATTATTGGTGAGCAATTGTTTTAGTGGGTTCGTTGAGGATATTCAAGCAATTTTACTATTTTATTCAAGTCTTTCTTAAACTGTGTGTAAATTGTAGAATGACACTTATTTTAGAACGAGGTTTATTAAACTGTGTGTAAAAAAATCTATGACAGTTCTCACAAGAGAGTGAGAACTGAGGTTTCCTGAATATTTTTGGTTGCGTCTAATTCATCTTTCACTTTGAGTTCTTGAAACCTCAACATGACAGCTTCACAGCGTGCTTTCTCCATGAGTTCACGCCGTAGAGGGTCTGTGCATTTTCCTCCTCTGTTGCAAAGAAAAAAAATCCGATTCCCTAATTCCCCCTGCTTCGAACTACCAACGATCTGAAATTCGTGTTTAAGGAAGCCCTTTTCGAGTTCTATTTTCTATCCACCCAACGATCTGAAAATCGTGCTCAAGGAATCCCTTTTGCGGTTTTATTTTCTCGGAAGAACCAAAAATAAAAAAAACCCCGAAATTGGTTGTCCAGCAGGAGCAGGAGTTGGGTCCGAGGGCAGAGGATTTTTCCTCCAAGGTTAGATTTTGTCTGATTCTACTTGTTTTCCCTCTGATTAAACTGATGTCCCTCTTCGCGTAAAATTTTATACGTTCAGATTGAGGTCATGTTTTAGTTACATGTCAGGCGCTTGTTTTTTTGTCCTGGGTTTATCATGGCTTCAAATGCTAATGCTTCTTTAAGTGAACAAACAGAATTATAAAAATTTAAGTCCCCCGAAACATTTACTCCTTTTGTCCCAAAATTATTGTCCAGTTTGAGTTTTGATATGCAATCAAAACATGTAACAATCAGTACTATGGTAAAGTTACATAAAACAGTTGAAAATCGAAAACTGAAACTTAAAAAATGCTTCTTTGCCCCTTCTTAGAATATATTCATGTGGTAGTCCAGTACTGTTGGTTTAGTTTTTGCTGCTCCTTTCGTCTAATATCGTTAAACAAGCATTAGTTTTCAATGTGACAGCAAACTGAACTGTTTTGAACACCTTGTGCAGCCCCCTCCCCTAGTTTAACTTTAAAGATGAAAGGTGAAAGAGGGATTGATATCCAGGAGGACTACCGTCCCCGAAAGCAAACAAGATTCGTCGAAAAGCCGGCCAGAACCAAGACTACCGGCGACTGTAATTAGGATGACTACACACCCGGGTGGTTTCTGTCTGAATTGTTATGCAGGCTTGCCTTCGAGGATGTAATTCGGTTTAAGTGCGTCTCAAAGCAATGGCGTCTGCTCATCTCCGAACCTTGCTTCCGCAGTTTGTATCTCTCCCGACGGGCCCCAGATCTACGTTGCCCTTATGTGTTTTTTCCCTCAGAAGTTGATCGACTGGTTGATGAAGATTATCCCAAAACAGATCTTGCCCCGGCCGAAAAACTAATAATTTTTGTCGGTGTTGATAGGTCGACGGTAGAGTCGACGCAACAAATTTTCTTTAAAAACTAATAATTTTTTAAGTTTTATTACAATGTTGACACTCCGATTGGTTAAAGTTTATACTACCATTTATAATTCTTGAAAATTATAATACGTAATGGGATTTAGTTTTTATTGACTTTTCTCGTGATTCGTCCCGTTAAATTTTTTGAATACACAAATAAGTGGACAAAAAAACTTATGAAAATAGTAAAAATTTTATATATTCTAAATTGAATATATAAATTTATTGCATAAAAATCATAAAAGAATAAACAAAATATCAAACAATGAAAAAAAAAACGATATGTTATGGATCTCGTCGACTTTTTCGTCGATATTTATAGGTCGACAGTAAAGTCGACAAGATAACTTTTCTTTGAAAACCAACAATTTTTTGAGTTTTATTAAAATGTCAACACTTTGATTGGTTAAAATTTATACTACCATATATAATTCTTGAAAATCATAATACATAATGGAGTTTAGTTTTCGTTGCCTTTTCTCGTGATTCGTCCGCGTTAAATTTATTGAAAAGACGAATAAGAGAACAAAAAAATTATGGAAATAGTGAAAATTTTATATCTTCTACATTGAATATATAAAATAATGCTTGAAAACCATAAAGAATAAATAAAATATAAAAAATGTGAGCAATCTAAATCTTTGGCAGATTTTTAAACAGCTATGTAACTAGAATTATTTTTTCCACAATGATTTAAAATTTTTACCAAATAAAAAAATATACACATGAAGAAGACGAGCTGTGGCATGTCCTCCTTTGTGCTTGTTATGTTTTTCTTCCAATATGTTCAAGAAATAAAAAAATTTAAATCCCAGACGCCGTCTTATCGTCTAAGCATAATATTGAAGCACAAACTATCACAAATAAGAAACCAATTACAATTTAAAATAATTAGGGAAAAAATAAAGAGTTTAATTAATTTATTAGTTCTCTGGCCCGATTTCAACCTCCAACGTGAAAAGACAAGAAAAAAAGGGAGCAAAATTTGCTTATTTGTCTTGTTTTACCTTACCTTGAATCAGCTCTTATTAGATGGTGTTGCGGGGTGGCGACGCTGGTCATAACCAGGGAAAGAAAGACGAAGAGATATTAAAGTTTAGGTTGAAAATTAGACTCTTTAATTAATTGATGAGGGTATTTTAGTAAAAATAGTTTTGGATGCTAATTTTTGTTTTGGCAGAATCACCAGTCTTTATTAAAATATTTATACTTTAATTGGTTAAAGTTTATACTACTATGTATAATTCTTGAAAATAATAATACATAACGGAATTTAGTTTTCGTTGAATTTTCTCGTGATTCGTCTCTATTAAATTTGTTGAAAAGACGAATAGGAGGACAAAAAAACTTATGCAAATATTAAAAATTTTATATATTCTAAATTGAATTTATAAAATTAATGCTTAAAAACCATAAAAGAATAAATAAAATATCAAAAAATGATTAAAAAAAAAAAACCAAAGTTGCTTAAAAACTAATAGGTCGACTTTGTCGTCGATGTTGATAGGTCGACGGAAAAGTCGACGTGAAAAATTTTCTTTAAAAACTAATATCCTACTATATTAGAAACAAAAACCTCCCTTTCAAACACCTCATATGATTGCCACGTGGCATGTAGAAAATACTAAATTGCCCTTTTGTCTAACCATAACTAAATTACTAAATCTCCCTTTGCACTTTACGTGACACGTTTTTTTTTTTAATTTTTTCTTTATGTTTCATTCAACTAGAATGGTTTTTTAAATTGAATTGATCAATTAGGTTTTTTGTTACAAAGTGTCAATTTTGTTTTAAGCGTATACCCTTCGGATGAAGCTTATTACAAAGCTATTAAAAATCTCAAAAACTAAGTATTGATTTGGCACGACCAATGGAGAACATCAATAAATCATCTTACTAATATTTAAATTTATTAGGATACTTTTATATTTTATCTAACATTTACTTCAACACATATATTCGATTAAGCTATTTATATTTAATAAGTAACACTTATAAAACATTTCTAAAACATACATGGCGAAATACAATTTTTTTTTTTTTGCGAAATACAAATATTTCTATGATCACACTTATAAAACAATTCTAAATCCTTCAAACATTTCTAAAATATATTGCTCCAAATACAAAATTTTATTTTTTTCAAATATAAACATTTCTAAGATCTACAGATAGACTGGGCCAGGGGTCGCGCATTGCGCGACCAGACATCACTAGTAATCAAAAACGAAACAAAAGTAAAGTTGCTTAAAACTCAAAAAAGAAAAACTAATGTTGGTTGGTCGACGGAAAACTTATGAGTAAATTATTATAGTAATTAAATACGGAAATTCATCAATTGCTCTTTCAAAGGCATAGGCGAAAACCTTTTAAAGAAAGAAATATTTTCCCAGAAGATTGACAATTCTCAAAACCAAACAAAAGAGAAGGGAAATAGCAAAACCAAAACAAAAGCCCCTAATCGGCTAGCTAGGGTTCATGCTTAATTAGTTCAAAAAAATTCCCTTTTCCCAGAAATATATACTTAGTTCAATTCAGTTGATCACTTCTGCCTCTGTTGTATTTACAGATGAAAGCTGCAAGAAGGGATGATGTCGATGACGACGATCACCGTCTTCGAAAGAGGATGACGAGATCCATCATAGAGCCGGCCGGAACCGAAACGCACGGCGATGGGAAACAGATCGATTACATACCCGTGTGGTTGCTGTCCGAATTGCTATGCAGGCTTTCCGTCAAGGATGTGTTCCGATTCAATTGTGTTTCAAAGCAATGGAATTTGTGCATCTCCGATCCTTCCTTTCGCAATTTGTTCCTCTCCCGACGGGCCTCGGGTCTACGTTGCCCCTTGGTGTTTTTTCACTCAAAAGTTCAATTGGTCGACGAGGAAGATCCTAAACCGTACCTAACCCGGCCCGAAAGGCTCGAAACAGAGAATATTCCTCAGATTCGGAAGCTTACTTTACCAAGTCTAAGAGAAAGATCAGTTGATGGGACCTTCAGTATCCGAGCAGCAGACAAAGGGTTTCTTTTGCTGGAGAGGGAGGAGCGTTTTTTCGCCAAGTACAATGTAGAATTTTATATCTGCAATGCTGTAACCAAGCAATGGTTCACCCTTCCCTCGCATCGGTTTTTCACCACCGAATTCAATGTGGGTTTCGTTACACAAATTGAATCCGGAGTTTTGACGGGTTATAAAGTCGTCGTAGTTCGTTGTGGATGCTTGGTCGAACTTGATGTGCAGATGTTTTCTTCAGAAACAGGGAGATGGGAGAATTTCAAAGTGCCTTGTGAAGAAGGTTCATTTGGATTCCCCCATTGCCAGAGACCTGTGGTTGTGAACAATACGGTTTGTTGGATGGTTAGGGTGGGTGAGAGGGGTGGCATATTAGCTTATGATCCTTACGCTAGCCCTGATAATCCTAATAGATTTCGTTTGATTGATTGTCCAATTGATATGGATGATATGGGGTTCAGGATATCTTCCGAAACAGATGTTCATCAGGGGCGGCTCAAGTATTTCGCATTGAGTTTTGATATCAATCTGCGGTCTTATGCCTTGAAAATATGGGAACTCACAGATACCTATCAATGGCGGCTCCAACATGCACTCAGGACTGGAGATGTTGATGATTCTTGCCATGCAGTACTTCTCCAAAGTAGAATGTTATTTATATCCTTCCATCCATATGATCCAGATGTTTTGTTTCTGTTTTGTGTGATGCGCAAGCGTCTGGTGTCATACAATATGAAAACCAGGAGGATGGAATCACTCAGTGATTGGTCTTGTGAATTTAATACTGGAGGAGCGACGGGTTTCTTTCAAATGCTTCCAATTTGGCCCATCTCTGTTCCTTCTTCTCTGATGTTTGGGTGCTGATTCGTGATCATTTGTACTCCAGAGTTCCTCTTCATCAATAATTTTTGGGTGACTAGTGTTGATGTATGAGATTCACAATGAATGAAGCATTTATGCTCTTCATATGACTAATTAGTTTTGTTCTATTTTCCTTTTTGAATGTACATATTGTTGAATTCCAGGCAAGTTTTCTTCTTTTTCTGTTGGGGTGAAAGGGAAAAAGAAAACAAAGAAAAATAAGAGAGAAATAGAAAGAACTCTTTAATGTTCTAACAGTTGACCTCGCCATGATGTAGTAATTGTAGTCAAAGGAACTAATGTTGTTATCCCCTCGGATTTTAATTCATTCTATACCTGATAATTGCATGACTTTTAAGTAAATGAAAAGTTTTCTGTTTCTAGTCATCGTGCGCGATTCACCAGAATTTTAACAGTTTTTCGCGGCTGGCTTATGCCAATCTGGTTCTTCGCCTCTGTTGTAGTAGAAGTTAGAACCCTATTTCATGTACGAATGTATCATTTGAACAATTCCTTCAAATGATCATCAGATAAGCCTGAAGTCATTTTTACAACAAACTGAGAAAATCAATCACAGCACACAATCCTAGCCAAAGATCATCCCCTGAATTGCATTCAGGACGTGGAACATTGTTTCACCGGGTGTTACCATTGGCAGAGCGAGCCCCAAGGCTTACTCTCGGGATGATTATAGGTTTGCAGCAGAGAAGGGTAAAAAGCAGCTCTACCACCAACACAGTCATGCTAACCCATATGTACAATGTTCTCCTCCAATACCATAAAATTCTCTTCACTAGAGGTTGTTCTGTTTCCAATGTTAACGATGCAGCATATATTTCAGGAATACCTGCACCGGGAGCAAATTCAGCTCTCTGTTCAAGAACCACCCTCAAGCAGGCAGTTGGTTTCACACCTTCCACAAAACCCCGAAACTTAATGTTCAGGTCTTGAGACTCCGATGTGTAACCAGTAATAAGTGGAGCAACTTTAAGGAAAGTTAGCAGAAGCCGAATCGGCTCACTTCTAAATTGCAGCATGCAGGGACGTCTTGAGCTAGCAAGTGTCTTGCCATCAGGAGCAAGGAAATCTACTCTGACCTTCAGAAAAAGAGAGAAATTATAAGATTTCCAGGACTCGTAACTGTTTATGCATTAATGATATGAATCAACAAGGGAACTGCAGGCACAATTCTAGAACACCTTGACCTTACTACAAGGTCAAGCACATCATTTGTGATGAATGTTCTAACCAGTTTCTAAAAACTAGAACATACACAACCTCATGGAACAAGAAAATAAATAAAAGAAAGTTATGCTACCAGGAGATGGAAGGACAGCGGCCACAACAAAATCAGACAACTAAGCAAGCAGAAAGATGGTTTGAATAGTGATACACTAGGTCCCTCAACAATTGCTTCAAAACAACCCTTCCATTGATATACTAATGGACGCACAAAAATTTAAGATACAACATGAACAGAGACTCTCGCAATGGTATTTTATTTTCTAACAATTGACAAAATTACAGTGTAATCATCACAAGGGCCGGCCATTTTCTCTCCACATCTGATGAGAAGACATCTCACCAACAAAATGTCAATTTAGGATATATCAATGCTAAGGCTTTGACAATAATCAGTTCTAAAAGCTAAAAACATGCCCAAACAAACTCACACGAGTCCAATGTTATATTGTAAGTTGTACCAAGAAACTTAGCAGATTCAGTGACAGTATACATTTGCATCAGAAAAGGTAAAGAAATATACACTGATCAACTAATCGATATTAGGACCTCAAAGAAGGTCAGACAGGATAACATTCCAACTATCGTGTGCAACAAAATAGACACTCGAAATTCACAAAACTATACAGAGAAAGGTCCACGGAAGTATGCCTAAGTTAGTTATCAATAGGAGGAAAAAGTAGTAACTCAGGTGCAGCAGGATGACATTACAACAATAGTATGCAAAATGTGTAGTTGTCCAATATGAGAAAACCATACATTACATTCCTGTGCCCTAACTACATACCTGAAAGATCCCAAGATTCCTGTTGTAATCGGATTCTGGCAGCTTCAATGCAACTGTAACCTGCAACTTATGATTAAGCGGAATGACCCTCATTGCATCACTCTCCATAACATCCACGTTTGCATTACAATCCGCACCAAACTCCTGGTTACGACACCTTATTATTGGTACTAACGCAGTTGGACTCTTTTCTGTATAATCGAAATTCAGATTCTCCCTTATTTTTATAGGCTTCTCCATGACAATATTGATCAAGACACCACCCACTATAAAAGCTGACACCAATAATCCAACCAAAATAACACAAACGTACAGTGACCACAAAAATCCCCAACCAAACTTCAAGCCCAACTTTAACCATGACTGATGCTCTTTGAACCATTCATAAACAACTGCTGACAAATTTCCAGACATTCCCAACACTTTCCCAAACAAATATTCTCTAACTCGTTTTGTGACCCGAAATGGATCCACTAAAAACATGTAGGAACTGTAAATCACCCATATTGGGAATGATACGAAGTTAATGAATAAATTAAACTGAAAACCGATAGCCTTTATGACTAAACCAGCTAATACAAACAAAACACTTGAATCCGTATCCCGGGTTTCTCTAAAATTTTGATTACCTTCTGAAAACTCGTTTCTGTTTTCATTGTCCAAACATGGAACCGCAGAGAACTCTTTATTATCCGCATCAACAGCGTCCTTTTCAACAATTTCCGAGCTCGTATCAAGCTTAGCTCCATCTAGCTTATCTAAAATTCGCGAAGACCTTCTCATTTCCTCGTCGAAAACCTTTCTTTCACTATTTTGATCCTTTCCCAAGCTCAAATCGAGCTTACTTTCATCTAATTTACCGGAACTCAACGTAGAGCTTGCGCTTTCCGACTCGACTCCATTGAATTCGTCAGAATGTCCAACAACATCCTCTCTATGGTTATCATAATTCCTCCCCAAACTCACCGAAGAACTCGAGCTCTGGGAGTCGTTCCGGGAGGCGTACCGGCGGCGTCGAAGATTGGCGGTAGCTAATTTCTCAAGCGAGGGCTTTGGATCCTGAGACGAACGGGTTATAATCGAAGATACCTCAAGATCATCATCAGGTTCAAACTTTTCACTAAAGGATTCGCCGCAATCGTAGAACGGAAATTCATCGGATGCGTCGCGGAACCCTTCATCAACTACGTCGTCGTTTCCTTGCGCGCTCGGTTTTGACTCGCCCATTGCATCATCAAGATACGATTTCCTCAGAAAAATAAATAAAACTGGAAGATTAGGGTTGGGATTTTTCTAGGGCAACTGGAGTCGGAGAAGAAATGATCCGGCGGTGGTGGAGGAGGAAGAAGGGATCGGAAAGGGAATAAATTTGAAAATTTGTGAATAGGGCGCGTTTGGTTGTACGCTGGAATTGGAAAGGGGGGATGAAGCAAAGGTTTTTGGGACACGCGGCAACCCGAAAACGCGGGGGTGAGCAACTGGTGGCACACAGGTAATTTGCACCTCAGTCCTTTGAATTCTTATCTCACTTCACTCACAAATTTTTATGTTATTTTTATTTTTGTTTGAACCAACGAAAATATCCATGAACCCTAAATTTTTATTCACTATTTTTCTCGGAAGTTATTGATTGAATGATCGTTGCATATCATTTTTAAATAATTTGAAAAAGCTGCTACTCTATGTTAAAATTTTATATGTGAAATTATTAATATTTCGTCTCATTTTAAGTGAAAAAGTCGATCAAACATTATTATTGAAGCCTTTTTAAGCATTGTTTTCTTAGGCAAGCAAAAGTTAATACGGAATCTCAAAAGGAATGTACGACAGAAAGTAATAAGTTGCATTCTTCAAGCATAAGATAGGTGTTGTGAAGAATGGAAGATAAATATTTTTAATTTAGTTGCAATCTCAATTTACAAATGCCATTCCCAAGTTGATTTTATTTATACGTTTGCTACTCTGGTTGATTTCATTTAGCATATTTTTAGGAGACTTGAGTACCTTACAGGGAAATAATCTTGTTCAAAATCACTAATTATTCTCTGGTAATCAGAAACTCCTCCTCAAAAAGATTGAGATTTAATAGGGACTAGCTTAGGAATAATTAGTTCGAGCACTTATTGATTTTTTTTTAAAAATAAATTATAGTTTCATTAATTTATTAAAAATCCTCTAGCTGCAATTAACAATACAAAGAATAGTCAAATACATCTCAGCACATGTCAATTTATTGTATTTACCGTGAATAAATTTATATAGATCTTACCTATATAATTGACAGATATACCACATATTAAAAACTGAATCCAAATTAAATCTATAGCGACTAATTTTTCATAGATGTAATGTGGTGAATATCTTTTAGCGTCATTATGAACATTGCAATCAACAAACTGACATCTCAGTTGAGAAATCTATTAAAAAGACTAGAATTCAAACAAAATTGTGGGATAATCTCACTTCTTACTATATTAGAAACAAAAACCACACTTAACAGAAAGCACCACCATTTACCATGTGGCATTTCCACATCATATTTTTAAAATAAATATTTATTTTCACATCTCCTAGACTTAAAAAGTAAATGCAGCCCAAATCCACCTCCACCTCCTATTTTTGCCAAAACAAAAAAAAAGACGGGTTTATAAAAAACCCAAATCCTCATCCCCATCTCCACGACAATCGACTCCCTAATCAATCTCTTCTCAACAATAAAAAAAAAAAAAAAATTCCTCATCAATCATCAATTGAGAATATGTGATAAAATATACTCATTTCCTATTAGCATGTTCAATCTTTTCATTAGTGATGATCAACTACATCCTGATCAGATAAAATTTTCATTTCAAAAATATTCTCTTTACCTTTCTATATAAACACAAAGGAAAAAAAAATTCTCATTGATCTTGCTTCGGCCGTTGTGGTTGTGCAATTACAGGTATTAAAATTTAAATGATTTTATTTCCACAGATCATTTGTTTGGCTTTTATTATTTTTTGTTTTTCCCGTTCAAGAATAGTGTTATTACTATTATTTTTATGCGGCCATCTGTTACAGCTACCGTAGCCGTTGTCAGGTAATATGATGTGATTTCTTATATAGTTAGTTAGCCTATAAGTTTTGTATGATTTTAGTTCTGTTTGGATTGAATTGATTAATTGAGTTTTTGTTACAAAGTGTGGTTTTTTAAATTTCTTTTTAATGTTTCATTCAATTAGAGTGGTTTTCTTTTTTTAATTATGGAGTCTCAGTTTTTTTTTCGTATATGGTCAGTTTCGAAGTGTGTTTTTTCTTTGTTTAATTGTTTTTTATTTTGTTTCATACTCCCAGTTGACCAATTATTATTATTATTATTTTATTTTATTTGCAAATAAAGCGCGTTTTTTTTGTTCGGACTTTCAAGAATATACTTTTTGAATTTTGGTTTTTGGACTTTTTTTAGTTTCTCATCATCTAAATAGTTCAGGTCGCTTCTTCTAACTAATTTCTGGGGAAGCCTTTTATGAATTTGAAGCGGAGAGGGAAAGAATGATGTTTCTACGTTTATTTGTATTTTTATACAACATGTTTACCTATAGAAAAAAATAAATTTCTCAATTTTAAATGGGCTATCTTTTACTTTCTTTTTTTTTTTTTATTTGCCATGGTGAGGTGAGTTCTTTTTTGGTATAACTTGAAACCTATGCAAATTTACATTATTTTCATTCTCATATTTGTGATCAACCAATTTCATCAATTAACCAGTTTCATAATTATATTTTTAATATTTTACTATTTATAAACTTTTGGAAGAAATAGTTTCAACAATTAAGCGTATACTCTTGGGAGGAAGCTTACTACAAAACTATTATAAATCTCCAAAACTAAGTATTAATTTGGCACAACTGGAGAATATCAATAAATTATCTTACTAATATTTAAACTTATTAGGATGCTTTTATATTTTGTCTAGCATTTAATTCAAGACATATATTTGATCAAGTTTATTTATATTTAAGAAGTAACACTTATAAAACATTTCTAAAATCTTCAAACATTTCTAAAACGTACCGGGTCAAATACAATTTCTTTTTATGCCAAATATAAACATTTCTATGATCACACTTATAAAATATTTCTAAATTTTTCAAACATTTCTAAAATATATCGAGCCAAATACAAAATATTTTTTCCAAATACAAATATTTCTAAGATATACATATATATTGGGCCAATGCGCGACCAGACATCACTAGTATATTAAATAATAAAGAATAAAAACTAGAAGGGCTAGACAAGATTACTCCCCATCCTCCCACGACGACGAGAAAATGGGGAAGAATTATTTTTTTGGAGTTGGGTTTTGAGCGTTTGTTGCATTAGACTCTCTCAACTCATTCGGGATTCCGTGAAGGAGCTTGAAGATTAATTTTGTCCCAATTAAACTTTAGCAGAACGAGTTTTAATTGCTTTCAACTTCGGAAATGATGTATGATAGCTTCATTATATTAAATACACTAATAAATTACTTCGTAATTCCCTGAAGAGTTTTGAAATTATTTCATCTATCGCATGAAAATAGTTTATCTTATAAATGGTTAGTTTTTAGTATATAATTTATACAATATAATGTGTAATATTTTTTTTTTTCTGAAAAATAGGGAGGAAGTATACCTTAATACTTTTAGTGGCTAGTAGAAAGTATCCATGTTAAATATTCATGTTACATGTATTACGACAATGTCATACTCCATAATAGAAATCACGAGAATCCCTAAATCAATATAGTATATAACATATTTATAGTTTTGGACCAATAAATAAATATTTATGACAAAGTTTTTGCTGGTATAGAAATGGCGATTGCAAGGAAAAATGATATCACATGGTGTCAAGGTAGTAATTTTTATTGATCCTTAAGTGACGAAAATCATTAAAAAAATGATGGAAACAATTTTTTTACTATGATGGGTTAAGTCAAAATCTAAATGCTATAAAAAGAAAAAAAAAAAGGTCAAAATCTGAACATGATGAGTGAACTGTACTTTTGCTTTTTCACTTATGTGGCTTAAAACACGATTTGACCTAGAGACTTTTGCTTGTTTCATCGTATGAAAATAAAAAAAATAATTTACAGAAATTAAATTATTACGTAAAAAACGATATTGATGGAATTTCTTATTCAATTATGATAAGGACATTATTCTTTTGAATATAAAAAGAATAATAGTGTTTGAATTGTTTGCATGGACTTTTTTTTGCATGGTCTCTTGTACTGTCATTTGTTAATCATAAAAAGCTGACAGACCAAGTGACGTGGCCGCGAGAATAAACATGTAATTATTCAGTTAAATAAGGGATTCCATTTACATAATCTAACTTCATATTGTTTCTACACTTACATTACATTATCACTTTACATTATTGTGTCCTTAGGATTTGACCTCAAAGAAAAACCTTTATTTACACGCCTAATCAAAATAAATAAAATAAAATATAAAAAGTTAAGGAATATAGGGTTCAGAGGTGACATTATTTTCTGCTGCTATTGACTTTTCTATTCTTTTCCCAACTGACAAAAAGATATTTTAATTTTTTTTTTGTCCAGAAGGAAGAGAAAGCAAAAGCCATTCCCCGTTGAATGTTCTTATAAGGCCTAAGATTATTATTAGATTATTTCATGCATTCTCAACTTAATTAGTCACTGCGTCATGGTGAACCCATTAAAAACCGGACATATGGCAACATCATCAAAATATAAAGTTAGATACTTCTTTCGTTCTGAAATTATATTATCCAATTTAGATTTTCATTTTTAGTTCAAATTATATTAAAGAGAAAATCCAAACTTCATTAAATGACAATAATTGAGATAGATGGAATAAATATATGCTCTATAATACTTCATCCGTTCCAAAATAAAAATAAAAATCATATGATTAATCCAAATTTTACTATTTTGTAACTGAAGTACTATACTGGAGTAACCGGAGTACACTATTTTGGAGGTAAAATTAAAAAGCCAGTATAAAAAAGGAAACCACCCATTTGAAAATGTGGCAACCGTCAAAACCGTGAGGTATGATTGTTAAGAACTGTACCAATAATTAATAGCGTCGTAATCTCCCAACGACTTTGCAGTTTTCACATGACTGGTTAATTAAAAAAATCATAAACAATTACACCATGTTTTGCCCATCAATCATACACACACTAATGCCTGTTCCTTTTTTTTGAATTCTTTTTTGGGTATGAAATCGCAGCGTATTTGTCCTTTCTTTCGCCTTATTTTCATGACTTTCTCCGTACCATACTTGAATTATTCCCTCTTTCGGGAGTTGGGTTCCCAAAAGAAACCACCCCATTGAACCAGAATTTTCAAACTTCTTAAAAGATTTGATTTTTATTATTATTCATTCTTGTTTATGGCCAGTGGTTGGAAGATGTTTACCAGAGTTGCTGTTGGTTCATGGATACTTGCATTGTGCATTATCAGTTTCTCGGGGCTCTCTGTATCTAAGGTCCCACAAGAAGAAGGTAGATATTTTGCTATATTCTAAGTTGCTTTTTTTTTTTTTTTTTTTTTTTTTGGGTTTTGCCTGGCATTGGCAGAAAATTTGAATGAGAACTCGACGAGTTAGTTTATAGCAGGGAAATATTTATTTAGGAATCATCAATGAGTGTGGAAGATCTTCTTGTAGTTGTTTAACATGGTATTGGTACTACGTGGAGTTGGTCAAAGCATAGTTCTTTGGTCGAATTTCATTTCTTTATTATGCTGTTTCAGAAATTGGCTTGATTGAGTTTGAGATTGAGCTTGAAATGTAAATGGGTTTGATGGTGGTCAGGGGAGTTGATGTGATTGCAGTATAGCTTCTGGTGTGTATCTTCTGTTGTTTTAAATGAATCTATTGGTTTTTGGTCAATTGACTTGTTTCGGTAGCATTAGTTTGGAGTTTTCACTCTGAGCTTGTTTCCTAAACATCATGCTCCTGTGCTGTCTCAGCAGTGGCGTCTTTGATGTTTAAGGTTACGGATTTTTTCAAAGTTGAAATTAGTGGGAATACGATTTGGTTAATTGAAGTTCAAATCTAAAAATAAGGTAAGGTTTTCTGTATCGTTCCAGGCCAAATCATTCCTTTGTGCTTGACAGTTCGGTTTGTAAGATATCTTTTTTTTTTCTTTTTGGCTTTGCTTGGAAAAATTTTCCTTCGATGCTCACAAATGAGCTTATCATTGTATTAAGCCTCATGTCAACCATGTACGGTCACCTTGTTCTTGGATAAGGCTTGTCCTTATGTTACCTTTTAGGATTATTGTACAATGCTCATTACTGTTCCGGAGGTTTCGAAATATAACTAAGATAGCTAAGGTCACTTAACGTCTTCATGAGGAATTTTTGTAAAACTGGAAATGTGGTTAGTGATGGGATACTTGATGAACAATCAGATTCATTGGAAAATGTGGGTCACTCTGGGAGTACAATGTGAAGACCGAGGATGAACTTTTGAGGGTTGAGTGGTTATGTACTCATAGTTGCAGTGGTGTGGCTTGGTCTTGCAGAAATCACCACATGATCCCCCAAAAACGCCATTTCGTGAAGTGTGCTTAGAACTAGCATTCTCAGTCTGAGTTAATCATGCATCATTCGTGGAATGGAAGGCGAATAACTTTGTCATATTTATGTAGACATACAGGTCTCTGGTGACTTGTTCATTTATACATTTGTATTGATTTAAGGTTAATTCCATTGGAATGAAATTATAACCACAGACAATTTTATAGCCACCATGCTTCATTTCACTTCTTTCACCCAAGTTTGGATGTATGTAATTGCCTCATTACCTGTGGCTTTACTATTTAATTCAATTTTTTTGTTCCTGATCACCATGATTCTCTGCATAAAAATGATGGTACCAATGCATAGCAGAACATCAGATCACACCGAAGTTCTGCGCTGAGATTGGTTGTGAATTCGGTTACCATGAAGTGTGAAATGGTAAAGGAAAGTTTTTGTGGTTGATTTAAACATAATTATTTCTTGATATTTCTTGGACATGGCCTTTATCAGATGATTCGACAAATACATGTAGTCAGACAGACTGAAGATGATAAGACATAGGCAACAACCTTGAAAATTTAATTGAAGTTATAATTCTTCTCTAACTGACAAACAAGCTGGTTGCTCTTAGTAAAACATATGTTGAACTTTGGTGTTAGACCTACTACTTTTACCTGTTCCTTTTCCACAAGAGTTGGTGATATTTACCTTCGCCATTTTTGTTGCAGTGGATACTCTTCAGAAAATTGTCACTACAATGGGTGCCACGTACTGGAAGTTCAATGCGGATACTTGTTCCATTGAAATGGTTGGTTTAACACCAGTGGCACCAAGGGGATCTGAGGGTACTGTTGAATGTAGATGCAATCCTGATAACACCACCTGTAATGTGATAAGAATGTATGCTCTAACCATTCTTTTAGGTTGTTCTCTCTGGGTTAGGCTTCCTTCATGCAATCCATACATGAAATAAAGCTCTGCTATCATGTGTTCTGAGCCTGCTTCTGATAAGTTTTCAACCATGCAGAGCTCTGAAGCGTTATAATCTATCTGGAGTTTTGCCTCCTGAGCTTAGTGACCTTCCTTATATCATGGAAATGTAAGTTTTTGTAGGATTTTTTCACTACTGTGCGCTATTCTATGAATGTTAATAGTTGGAGAATCAACCCCATACCATTGACTAATTATTTTTTCCCCTCCCAGTGATGTAGCTTACAATTACCTTCATGGTACGATACCATCTGAGTGGTTTTCCATGCAGCTAAATAAGATGTAATTATTTTCTTTCCACTCCCATGCTCTCTTCCTTTAACCACCATGGCATTTTGTTTTTTTTCATAATCTTGTCTTTACAATGCAATTATTTTCCAGATCAGTACTTGCAAATCGGTTATCAGGGGAAATTCCAAAGGAATTGGGGAATCTTACCAGTCTCACGTACCTGTATGTCTTCAGTTGCAACTCCCTGGTTATTTTATGTTAACAACTTTGAATTGCTTTGAATAAGGACCGTGAAATGTTAGATTAGGTTAAGCTGAAGTTGAACAATAGGTAGATCGTGACTGCCATTATCTTTTCATTATTGTTATTATTATCATTATTTTGGGTGAGAACTTCTGTAAAACTAGTGTATACAATTACTGCCTTTTGTATTATATGGATACTGCTTTTGTTGTGAATTTAGGTAGTCCATTGTGAACAGGAAACTGAATGTTTTCTTCTAAAGTTAACTTTAGATAGCTATTGTTCCTCTGAAAGATGGTGAATATATCAGGTTAATATAGTTCAGAAAAATTTTGTTGATAAACTAATTGCCGTAAGCCCATGATCCGTGACTCTATATACACAAATAAGCTGCAGTTTGATATGGCGTGCCCATGTTCTAAGTTCTTATTTCATGCATCTGCGTATCATACATGATTCTTAGTTCTTTCTATTGCTTATCATTTAGAAGAATACTTGAGCAGCTAAATGAACCTCCAGTAGTTGTGTTATAGAGTTTCGGTTTATCATCTATTAAGACAGTGCATCATATTTCTTGGCCTGCCTATGGAATGAGTTTTCAGAGGTCTATGGCAGGGATCTTGAGGCAAACCAATTTTCTGGAGCTGTCCCTTCTGAACTTGGGAAATTGACAAAATTGAAAACTTTGTAAGAGTTCTTGTATTTTTCGAAGTGTTTTTGTGAGAATTTTCGAGGACACGTTTTTGACTAATCCAATTTGTTGCATTCTGCCAAAATCTCAGGTTTTTGTCCTCAAATCGTTTGTCTGGGTCATTGCCGGTTTCATTTTCTGGTTTAGTAAATTTAACGGATCTGTAAGAGTTTATATTGTGTTCTTTGTATGGTATGAACTACTTTTTCTGGGTCCCATGCTTAACAACATCGGCGTCATGTTGCAGAAGGATAAATGGCAACAACTTCAGTGGACCAATTCCTGATTATTTTCAGAACTGGAAACAAATGACAAGACTGTAAGTTGTCAACTTGTATGAACATTATTTTACTATCAAGAGTTGCATAATGATTATCTTCTGTAAATTGAAGGGAGATGCAGGCTACTGGTTTAGTAGGGCCAATTCCGCCAACTATATCGCTTCTGAATAATCTAATTGAGTTGTGAGTGCAGAATGTTGTCTGAAATTTCTGCAACTTTCCTTTATATATATATATATATATATATATATATATGTTATTCACCTTGTGATATTTAAGATTTTGGTGGTGGCTTTCCTTATACAGGAGGATCAGTGACATAGCTGGGCCATCTCAAGGATTTCCATCAATTAATATTAAGGGCATAGCCAGGGTGTATGTTGAATAGTGAAACATTATGGTTCGTTGGATTTTCCTTGTGCGTCAAACATGTCTTAATGGAAATGATTCTCCATTTCAGGGTACTCAGAAACTGCTCTTTGTCTGGAGAAATTCCTGGTTATATATGGGGCATGACAGAGCTTGAAATGTTGTGAGTATTGAAAGAGATATAAATATGTTTATCCCAATTTTCTTAGTTCTTTGGGCCACTGACTGTATTGCTTCTAGAATTAATTAAGTTTGATTTTAGTAATGTGGAATTGTAGTTGATCCCCCTAACTGTAGTTGAAGTTCGGAGAGGGTTTAGTCTTGATTGCAAATTGATGAATACATTTCAGAGATTTTAAATTTTCAAAAAGCAACATAGTTACCCTCTCATATCTGGAAGTGTTTTTTTTTTTTTTTTAATTTTTTTTTATGTAAATTTTTTTTATGGTTTTGTGATCCTGCATCTGGAAATTGTTATCGCAATTCTGTAGTTTGGTAATGGTCTTGTTTTTACACCCAGCAAAGCGAAAGGTTAAGCTGTAGCATAACAATCACACTTCCAACTTTGAACAGAAACTTAAATGACATGCTGAGTCTTCAACCTGATTTTCATGGATATTGGTGCTATTAGACTGGCGTTAATATGATGTGGTCATTATGTCAACAAGTACTATGGACCTCTACCATAATGATAGTCCTTAGATTTTTATGGTTAGAACCACATTTATGAAGGTCTACTTTTTGAGTTCTGTGTTGGCTGATCTTCATTTCAGACCAAATAATGTTGCAATAAATATTGCCCATAATCTACTGCTGGTTTTCTTCATCATTGCGCCATGAGGGTTTATAGTTTCCTGTTCTCTAAAAATCAAATGATATTTCTTTTTCATTGTTTCTCTCAAAGCAATTGCAATTAGTATGCCATAAACATGATTTGACTATGTTCGATTGTTTGTTCATAGAGAACTATATTTCACATTCTTCTCTGCTGTCTCTTAATGAAGTAGATATAAGACCGCATCGCACCATTTTTTTTTTCTTTTTTTGGGGGTTCATTACCTTGTTTTCATTTGATTGTAACACCAGGGATGTGAGTTTCAACAATTTGATCGGTGAAATTCCAAATAATATTAGTACAAGAAGTTCTCTAAAATTCTTGTAAGTGCAGTTTACAAAAAAAATTTAGAAATCTCTAAATTAGGGGTCATGCTGATACTTTTTCATCGACACTAATTTGTGAAACAGATTTGCAACAGGTAATAGACTAACTGGAAATGTACCTGACTCAATCTTGATTGGTGGCAGCAATATGTAAGTTTGTGATCTTTTTTGGAACACTATTCTTTTTGACCTGGGAGTATATACTATTGCCGTAACTTCCTGGGTTTCATTGCTCACTGTTTTTGGGATGTACATCTAAGAATTCCTTTGTTTATTTATTATGATTCAACAGACATTCTTTTCTTTATTTAATAAAATTATTGAGGCTACATTGTTTACTTTTTGGGTGCAGTGATCTCTCCTACAACAACTTTACTTGGCAAGAGCCAGGACAACCTGCTTGTCAACCAAACTTGTAAAGACATTACCCTTCTGCTCCTCTTTTATTGTTTTTCGCTTTCAAATAATTTGTGGCTTTTTTAATATTTAATTTCTTAAATGTTATAGGAATTTATATCTGAACTTATTCAGGAGCTCATCAACAGACAACACTCTGTAAGTAGCTTCACTATTTGTTCTTGACTGCGTGCAAGTGCAGGATCCTAGGTTCAACAAAATTGATGAATATAGATTTTGATGCAACAGAAGGAACGTTCTACCATGCATGAAGGATTTCACATGTCCAACATGTAAGTGTGTTCTCTATTACTGAATGGTATATTTTTAGTCTCGGCCCAGTGTCCATATATTTTGGTTGAAGAAAATAGCTATGGATGATTAAGAATACTTCCCTTTTTTCTGTTGTAAAGTTTCTTGAAAAGGAGAAGCGAGACATTTACTTTTTCTCTCAGACATAGTGAACTTTGTAATTTATAATTCTCAGTAGCCTTTTGGAAAATGTAATGTATTTCTTATGTTTCTAGCAGAACATCTTCAACTGATGCACGTAGCAATATGCTGAATTAGAATGTTTGATTACTGACACTTTTGGCTTCTGCCTTTATCTCACTCTTATATTGTAATTAGTCTAAAAAATTGACCCTCTTTTACCTTTCTCGAGCTGTCCTGGGTCTTGCAATAGTTTTGGAATTTCAAGTTTAAAACAAGGAGGAGCTCGCTTCTGCTCTAGCAGTTGAGCCCTCTGACAGTACCTTTTCAGATATTTTCCCTCATATCTATTATGCCCGAGTAGTGTTATCACATTCAAGAATCCAATCTTACCCGTATTTCTTTTACTGAAGATGGACTGCATTCTAGGCATGTACATACATAGACACAAACAAACACACAGACACGCACACACTCTTGTACGCGCAAATCAATTGAATGATGATCTGAATCGTTAAAATCAAATTTATATGGTCCTTTTGGAGACTTCACAAACGATTTGCTCTTAACTAAAATCTGAATCTATCCATGTGGATTTGTTGCTTTAGTCATCTCCGGGAATATTCTTTGACTGTATGCTATAGCAGCACATGCCATTTGCTGTTGTCTGGAACAATGGCTTGCTTCTGGTCATAGATTTATAAAATGTGTTGAAGGAGGATCTTATATGTACTTATTTTAACCTTGCAGATAGGTGCTCTTTCCATGTTAATTGTGGTGGAAATGATTTGCAAGTCAATGAAGGTGGGAGAAGAGTGTTATATGAAGGAGATGGTGGAGTCGATGGTGGTTCTGCACGATATTATAGGAGTGACAGTAGCTATTGGGGATTTAGTAGTAGTGGGGACTTCATGGATGATAATAATGACCAAAATACTAGATTTATTGCTAATTTTCCTACTTCAAACCTATCTGATATGTATAGAACTGCACGCCTTTCTCCTCTTTCACTTACCTATTTCCATTACTGCTTGGAGAACGGAAGCTACACTGTCAGTCTTTATTTTGCTGAATTATTTTTTACAAATGACAACACATATAGCAGTCTTGGGAAGCGGGTATTTGACATTTATATCCAGGTAATTTGCACTTTGAATGCATTTTTCTAAAATTTTCAAGGATGTCATTCTTAATTTAACTTTTTGTCTCAGGATAACATGGTTCAGAAAGACTTCAATATTGAGGATGAGGCCAAGGGAGGGCAGAAACCACTGGTTAAGCAATTTAACACCACTGTTATTGATAATATCTTGGAGATTCGATTCAACTGGGCTGGCAAAGGGACTACTAGGATACCAAACAGAGGAGTTTATGGACCCCTTATATCAGCAATATCTGTCAATCCTAGTAAGTATATCTGGGGCTTCCTGGATACTGAAATTTCGTCTCTCGTTTGTTTTTGTTTGAGTGGGGGCAAGTAAAACCTTCTACATTTATTCCCATATCCAACATGTAAAACCTTCCGGTGAGCATAAAATTGGTCATTTTTGGCAAAAATGAAGCATCTTTCTACAATTGAAAAATATTTTGCATAGGTGGAATTACTACTGTATCTGAAAAGAACATTGGCTGGCATGGTCTGCATGGCCTAAAAGTGAAGGAAAGAAGTGGTAGCACCCAAGTCCTAGCTCTGTAAAAGTTCATTACTAAATTGGGATCACATTCATTTAGTTGCTCATTGCTTCTATTCATCTTCTTGCCTTACTTTTGATCTATGACGCGCCATAGCACTACATACATAAATATAATTGATCCACCAGATCCTCTGATTTTCTTGATTTTCCTCTTGGTCTGCTCCCTGCATGATAAATAGGTTGGTTGTTGCTATGCAGATTTCAGATCTTGTTCAGATGGGAATAAGAAGAATACAACCATTTATGTTATTGTTGGAGTAGTGGCAGTGTGCATTATCATATCAATGCTTGCTGTTCATTGGTGGAAAGGATTTCTGCAAAGAAGAAAGAGATCGAAAGGTAATCATTTCACGAAAGCTTCGTAATAAGATGGTATAGGATTTAAATGTGTGATTAGTCTGATGTTGTCATAATGAGTTATTTTGATCTTAGCACTCAAATGAAAGAACACTAGACTAGACCTGGAATGTGAGATAAACTTGGCATCTCCTATTGGTTTATTTCCCTGTTAACAATGTGGAAATATGCATGCGAAATTTTTCGACCTCACCAGACTGAGAAGCTGAATGCTATCCAAAGTTTTATTTATCCTCTACGCTTCGAAATCTACTTAACAGCATCATATTTGGTGAACAGATGTTGAAGGACTGGACCTGCAAATGGTTACTTTCACTTTGAAACAACTGAGAGTAGCTACTAATAACTTTGATGATGTGAACAAGCTTGGTGAAGGTGGTTTTGGTCCTGTTTACAAGGTATTCATCATCCTCAGAAACTAATAATTTGACTTATGTTTCCTTGTCCTTTAGAAATAAAAAGGGCTCCTCTTCCAGGGTATATTACGTGATGGAACACCAATTGCTGTGAAGCAATTGTCATCGAAGTCAGGACAAGGAAACCGAGAATTCTTGAATGAAATTGGTACAATTTCTTGTTTACAGCATCCTAACCTCGTTAAGCTTCATGGTTGCTGCGTTCATGGAGATCAGTTAATGCTTGTCTATGAATACATGGAAAATAACAGCCTTGCCCGTGCTTTGTTTGGTTAGTGCAAATGTTTGCTATTCAGTCTTCACGTTTTATTTTTATTCTAATTTTATCATTCTTATGGAATATTTTGTCTCTACTAAGAACTTAAATGTGTGTGTTTTAGCAGACTCTAAGGGGAATCAAATGCCACTGGATTGGCCTACAAGATTCAATATTTCTCTTGGGATTGCTAGAGGTTTATCTTTTCTTCACGAAGAGTCAGGATTAAAAATTGTCCACAGGGACATTAAAGCTACAAATATCCTGCTTGATAGAGACTTAACCCCTAAAATATCCGACTTTGGATTGGCTAGGCTCAGTGAAGATGGGAGGACACACATTAGCACAAAAATTGCTGGTACCATGTGAGTCATCTTTCTTCGATTATTTTTTCTGCTTTTTTACCTTGACACATTCAGATCAATCATGTTTTGTTAACACATTTGCAACTGGAATAACCTAGGCATATTCAGATGAGCCATTTGCTGTTAAACTGTCTGAATAGTCTCCTTATGCTTTTGCAGAGGATATATGGCTCCCGAATATGCTCTGTGGGGATACTTGACAAACAAGGCAGATGTCTACAGCTTTGGCGTCGTGGCATTGGAACTTGTCAGTGGCAAGAACAACAACAGTTACATGCCAAGCAGCAATTTCATTTGCCTCCTAGATTGGGTATGGTAACTTCCTGTAGCTGCTTATTCTCACGCTGAAATTTTTCAAATTTCATGATTGGGTTAATAAATGGGGTTTTCAATCTTTATGCTGTAGGCATGTCACTTGCAACATAATAAGAATTTCGACGAGCTTATTGATCGAAGTCTAACTTCCAGTGTTAACAAAGAAGAAGTTGACAGATTAGTGAAAGTTGCACTCTTGTGTACAAATGCATCTCCCTCGATCAGGCCTACAATGTCTGAGGTTGTGAGCATGCTGGAAGGACAAATGATTATTCCAGATGTAATCCCAGAAGCAAGTGGATTTGGTGAAGATCTGAGGTTCAAAGCAATGAGGGACTTGCAGTTAGAAATTCATAATCAGAGTCTTACTGGAAGTCTGACTCAGAATTCAACCGCAGTGCAAACTGATTTGGGTTCATCATCGACATCCAATAATGATTTTGTTGGAAAAAATTCTGACAGATGATATACAGTGGATGCAGTTGGGACTTCTTTTCTTTCTTGGTTGCATGCTGTCTCTATGTGGTAGCATCATTAGTCAAATTGAAGAAACACCTCAAGGTGATTCAGAGTAAGCTTTGCAGCAACATTTGAAGACATTCAATGCCAAAGATCCAGCTGAGCCGAGATACTGTTGATATTCTTCACCCGCCTGCTTCAGACCTTGGGAATTTCCGGTGAATCGGCCTTTGCTCCCCATGAGTTGCTTGGACAGAAGCGTGAAGCTGGGTTACATCCTGGTCTCAAGTACAGTTTTCTTCGGTAGGAAGATTCAAAGCAGCGTGTCATATTATTTGCTGGCAAATTTTTTTTTCTTAATTTTTATTTCTACTCTCCAGATATAATGTAGTGTTGAGTTGTAATGTTGTATACTCTGTAAAAAGAGTAGAAACTATTAGCGAATATATAGATGAAGAGGTAAATTGAATCTTACAACCGGTTTGATAACACCACTTAACATTTAAAATTATTTCATAAAGCACTTTTTCAATTAAACATATTTGACAACAAAAAATAAACATCTTAATGAGTGATACTGAAACTGTAATACAAAATATAATAAATAATAAAAATTAATTTATTTCTTATTCCGTAACTAGTTAATGAATTTAGTATTTTTAATTCAATATTAAGTATTAATTTTTATCAAATAGGCCCTTTGCCTATCATTTGTGGGCAAGCTCAGTCTTTCGAGAACACGGAACTGTGGTCTTTTATATCCAACTATGATTGATCTACTGCTAGGATTCACAAAGATGAATTGATCAAAAGCTTCCGGTCACATTTTACTTAAAATGTAATTCTTTGGTCTTCTAGTATGCGTTGAAATGAACATGCGACAAATTATAATGTATTGATTCAATACATTCCCATTGTGATGTTTCAAACGTAAGAAGACGATCAAGGCAGATAGTGTTCAAAGAAAATAAATACTTTTCTTATCTTAAAAAAATAATTCACATTAAATTTTTAAATTTGTATTACCTTTAATACAAATTTATAAATTCAATATAGACTATTTTTTTGGGATGGAGGCAGTAAGTAATTAGCAAGTAAGGTCAAGGTATTAACTGTTTGGTTAAGGCTAAAAGGGCATGCTTCTCTATCAACTTGTAAACTGAAAATAAAATATACTACCACTGTATATTTGTGTCCTTGTGAAATTCCTACTCCATTTAGACAACTGCAACATGGACATTTACCAACTCTAATAGGCTTTATTTAAAGTTATGACAAATTATAGAATGAACATGATTAATTTGGTTTAGACATTAAGCAATGTAGTACTCCCTCCGGTCCTTAATATAAGACATTTTGATTTATCTTAGGTTTCATCTAGTACTCATTTTTAATTGATGAAAAAATCTTAAAAATATATTTTTATATTCGTTATGTTCTCCATATTACTATGAAATATTTTTAATATTTTTTATAAATTAAAAGTGCGCATTAAGTTAATTTTAAGACAAATCAAAATGTCTTATATTTAAGAACCAGAAGGAATATACAACAACCTCATTAATCATTTTGAGACGAATGATAACACATTTTAGGAGTACACAGTTAACGTTGAACTTCTATTTCACTTATATTGGGGGACTTCTTTTAATAAATTTGTGAAGTTAAAAAAGACGGGTAAATTGGGGTGGGAAGGTTGAGTGGAGTAGTTAGTGATATTAGGATGGGGATGGTTATTATGAGAAGAGGGTATCTAATAAAAAAATAAAGGAGGACGGGTAAATTACTTCAGCACCCAACTTAAAATATCATCAACACCAATCTTCCTTGAGCTTTTAAAAAAAGACCAACTTCGTCATCTCGATGAATTAGTTCGGTGAAGTCAACCGTCAGGCTCAGTGAAAAGACAAATAACATTTGAGAGGGAAAACTGAAAAGAAGATTAAAATTTTTTTTAAAAAAAACACTGTACCAGTTAATACAAACCTAAATATGCCTATGTCATGGTCTTATTTTTCTCATTGTTTTAACTTTTGACATATTCGAGAGGTCTAATGATTCGACTACGTTGTTCTTCGGAAGTGATTATTATATAATTTATTTTCGCAAAGGAAACAAGGAAAATTGGCGTAATTAATTTACTCAAAATAAAATTACCTTTCAAAGCTCTTTCAAAATTTACCCATTGTATTAGAAATTAAACCCGAAAGGGGAAAAAAAAAAGTTCCGTTCCATTTTAATAATTTATTCTATTAGAAAATTACCCATTTGCTAAGAGGGAAAAGGTTTAAGAGGATTATATTTATGTGAAAGGAAGAAGAAAAGAAGATTAAAAGACTCAACTGGCAACTGGTACTAATTTTAAGATCCACACAACAACAAAGACTGTCAAGTTGATGGTCTTGGTCAATTTTAACTAGAAGGATCGATGTCAGTTAGTGCAGATGATATAAAGCTTTCAATTAATAAAGAAACTCGCGAGTTGCCTTAAATTAAAGTGAATGACAAATTGAATGGATGTCACCATAATAACTACTTCCCAGGAAGAAACTACTCGATAGTCGATATGCCCACTGGTCGATCATTTCGTCCTTAATTAAGCTTCCACATTGGTCGTCCTATTCTTTCTTTAACCCCAACTTTGCTTCATCAGCTGCCTTAAAACATTTCTTCCTTGGATTATTGTCCAGTTTTTTGTTTTATTTTTCGGTATAATAACTCGGGCAAAGTAATATATTAGGATGAAAGGAGTAGAAACAAACAACATTTACGTATTTCAAGTAACACCACAATTATTATACTATTACACAATTTAGTTCAACTATAACATTCAAGAGACTAATATATATTGTCGTAACCCCAAGTTAAAACCCAAGAACTGCCAATATCGATCCCCACTTTTGTAGTTTGTTGCATGACAAAGCAAAACCGCCCCGGTCCCAGTTTCCACAATTGACCTTAATTTGTTGCAAGACCAAGAACACCAATAGGAAAGGAAAAAGACTAGGAAGAGATCAATGTACAGTCGCAGGAGTCTGATAATCATTCGATTGTATTTTTATATATAACCAACCCGACATGAACATTTTATTTATATAGCTTTTGTAACAGAACAAATTATAGCTTTCTTGTTAAATCCTTTTGTAGCAACCTTACAATATTTCTGAAAAGTAAATAAAAAACTTGTTATAGGCATGGAATATAGTCTGTATAAAGCAGCATTCAACTCTGACATTGATGCTGTTACTCGGTTACTTCAAGAAGATCCGATGCTTATTCAAAAAACCTACGTGATGTATCGTGTGGATAGAAACCCTATTCACATTTGTGCAATGATGGGCTATGTTGAATGTTTGAATGTGATTCTACTAGCTAATAATTCTTCTTTCTCTTATGCTATGTGTTTGGCTCGGGATCAGCATGGCCACAACCCTATCCATCTCGCTGCAATCCACGGCCAACTGGCATATTGGAGATGGTTAAGTATCATACGGCGCTGATGAAAGCAGCTCAAGAGAAAGTAGATGGTGGGGGAACCATCTTACATTTATGTATCAAGTATAATCAAGGATGCTCTCAAGTTTTTGTTACAAATTTTTATCGATTCAGATTTCTTGTGTGCCAAAAATGAAGAGGGTATGACCATTCTACATCTAGCCATGTATTGCGATCAGTATCAGGTATTCTCTATAATACTCTTTTTTTTTAGTACAAATCTCAAAATTCAGTGTGATTGTTTTTATATAAACAGATGAAATAACTTTCTATAAGTAAAGTCGATCTGTTGTGTATTGTCATTTGATGTGTAACGGGTTTTGTGTGATTATTTATACGCAGAAAATGAGGACATAATAAAGTACTTGATAGAAAATGTATGCGAGATTGTGGATGTAAAGAACGAGAATGGAAAAACTGCATTGGATATTTTCAAGGATCGCGCTAGAAAACAGTCCATGGAAGAGTACCAAGGTGCTATAAGTTGTCTAGAGGGAGTGAGAGGAGCTGCAAAAAAGGACTGCTTCCTTGTAAGTTTCGAGGACAGTAAAGATTCGATAATGATTGTGGCATCACTTATCGCAACCATAGCTTTTCAAGCAATGGTAAGTCCACCGGGTGGTGTATGGCAAGATAACTTGTACGACAAGAAACTTTCAATTCAACACAAAGTTGGGGAAAGCGTGATGGCGTTAACACAGCCGGAATACTACAAAATCCTGATTCGGTCAAATACGATAGCCTTTCTGGCATCGCTGACTACAATTATAATGCTGATGATTCGCGAACGGCCGGCCCGTCCTAAAACACACATCTTTAGGACACTTGCGTTACTTCTCCTAATCATTGGCATGTCGCTGTCGGTAACAGCAATTTCGATTGCTTACGCGACAATGTTCGTGGCAATGGCACCGGAACCGGTTCTGTGGCATTGGGGATCTTCATTTCAGATCACAATGATAGCCATCACGGTTTGGTTCTTTCCTCTGATCGCTTTTGTCACTAGCGCGATTCGATACTACCGCGGGGGGATGAATGTCAAGTTTTGGCATCCGCAAATAGACAAGAAGATTAGATCTGGAATAAAGGGGATATTTCCTCTGAAATCAAAACCAAACGCAGCTTGTTAATTAGGTCAAGTTACTCATATAAGACTCCAACTCAAACATGAGTGATCGAGGTATAACCGTTAATTATCTTCTCTCTTTTTTTTTTCTTTTTTTTTCGGTAATTAGTATCGTTTTTGTATCAAGAGTTGTTTGTTGTCGTGGTCGTCGTCTTGTTTCATACTCCCTCCATTCACAAATAGATGTCGCTGGAGAGATTTTACAAAGTTTAAAGAGGCAATAATTATCTTGTTAAAATACTATAATACCCTCATTTATTCTTAATTCAATTGTAGTCTCAATAGAATTCAGTACTAATACAATTCTACATTAAACATCACTACAATTTTCAATATAACGGTAATATTGGAAAAAATTGACAAAATATGTCTCGATTTGTGAGAACTATATCTATTTTGGAATATCTAGTTTTTCTTCCAACGATATCTATTTGTGAATGGAGGGAGTATTCTACTTGAGCTGGTCAAAGGAGTTGTCAATTTTATTTTTTTTTTAATGGTTTTGTGTTTTCCCGACGTTTGAGAAATTGTTTGATTTCTATATACTACGTAGTACTACATATAGGCCGTTGTTATTGACTTGGCAATGGGAATCCATTAAATATGGTTTCGTTTTGCTGAAGAATCATTCGCTACTTCGTGACTAAACCATGCGATATATTATCCAATCCAGAAGGCTTTTAATTAGCCTCCAAATCAAAAGAGAGAAAATGTCAAATTGAACCGCAAACATTTCTGACTTGCGGTTTGCTACAAATTCAAACAAGGATTCATGGAGATGTATCTTAAAGCTTGTCCATTTTACTATATATTGAGCGTTTCCAACTATCTACACCCAGGTAATTAGGGAAACAACTGATAAGGGATATGGATTTTGATCAAATGGCAACATTAATCTAAGACGGCGAGAAATGCAGATTCTTTAGATCTTCATGTGTCCACTAGAAAGTGCAGGATGAACAAATTTAGCTTTAAAATCAGTTATATTAAGTACTATATTCGTTTCAGAAAAATAGTCCAATTTGAAAAACGAAAATATAAAAAATAGATGACTTAATCTTGCAAATTAAAAAATTAATATGAAAATTGAATAAAATTTTATGATTATTTATCGATTTAATAATCAATTTTAGATTATACCAATCTTGTAAGTCCAATTTTAAGATTTATATTTTTAACTTGGGGGGACACAAAGGTACGCAAGACTATTTACATATATTAATTCATACATTCCTTTAAGGTAGAGAAAGCGTTCATATGAACAGAGGAATCCATCTCTAGTTGTCCAATGAATATCATACATTATTGATCAGTGTTTATACTCCGGTAAAATAAAGTATTTTGATTTGTGTTCAATTTCACTTAGTATGTTTTTTGAATTACAAATAAAATTTTAAAAATAAAATTGTCTTATAATAAGAGTATCTATAGCGATGGACGACATTCCCAGACGGGCTAAGCAGAGAAAGATTCTGAAGTCAGCTTTCACGTTCCTTTTTTTTCAGATTTTTTTTAAAATAGATTATTATTGGCTTTGCCCAAATCTTTCGGATACCGGGATACCCCAGAAAATCCTAATAAATGAGTTTGGACTGAAATGTTTCTTTTTCCCAGTCAGATGGTCAAAATTCAAAGCATATCCTTATAAAGGCATAAATTAACAACATTAAGAAAACAATATTAGACTTTTCCTTCTTTAATTACATAAAAAAAGTACTACTGTTGTTGTTTTTTTTTTTTAAACCCCCCTTCAGTATAAACTATACTTTAAACATAATTTCGTACTTTCGATGCTGAAAAATCCTTCAAGGATGATTAACAAGAAGAAAATACAATTTATAACATATCAATCTGAAAGAAAGAAAAAAAAAAAACCCCGACTTCGATATATCTAGTTTGAAGAGAAGGAAATGGATAAGGAAAGTGAAACTGGCGTAAGGATGTAATGTGAGACATATGAAAATATATTTAAAATCATGTCCTTATAATATTAGTGACGGTAGCAAAATTGATATATCGTAAATTTATAATTTCATGGTTTGATTATCATATTTAATTGGATTTAAATTAAATAAAAAGGAAACGTTACGATCATAATGAGTATGTGAAACAAAGGGTTAATTTTCCTACGAAAGTTAATAAGGATGACATCTTTCTTTTTTCATATATATATATATATATACTAGTGATGTCTGTACATCTTAGAAATGTTTGTATCTGGAAAAAAATATTTTGTATTTGGCCCGATATATTTTAGAAATATTTGAAAAATTTAGAAATGTTTTATAAGTGTGATCATAGAAATGTTTGTATTTGGCATAAAAATAAATTGTATTTGACCCGTTACGTTTTAGAAATGTTTGAAGATTTTAAAAATATTTTATAAGTATTACTTCTTAAATATAATTAAACTTGATCAAATATATGTCTTGAATTAAATGCTAGACAAAATATAAAAGCATCCTAATAATTTTAAATATTAGTAAGATAATTTATTGATGTTCTCCGGTTGTGCCAAATCAATACTTAGTTTTGGAGATTTATAATAGCTTTGTAGTAAGCTTCCTGCTAAGGGTATACGCTTAATTGTTGAAACTATTTCTTCCAAAAGTTTATAAGTAGTAAAATATCAAAAATATGATTTTGAAACTGGTTAATTGATGAAATTGGTTGATCACAAATATGAGAATGAAAATAATGTAAATTTGCATAGGTTTCAAGTTATACCAAAAAAGAACTCACCTCATCATGGCGAATTAAAAAAAAAAAAAGAAAGTAAAAGATACCCCATTTAAAATTGAGAAATTGATTTTTTTCTGTAGGTAAAAATGTTGTATAAAAATACAAATAAACGAAGAAACATCATTCTTTCCCTCTCCGCCTCAAATTCATAAAAAACTTCCTCAGAAATTAGTTAGAAGAAGCGACCTGAACTATTTAGATGATGAGAAACTAAAAAAAGTCCAAAAACCAAAATTCAAAAAGTATATTCTTGAAAGGTCGAACACAAAAGAAAAAAAACGCACTTTATTTGCAAATAAAATAAAATAATAATAATAATAATAATTGGTCAATTGGGAGTATGAAACAAAATAAAAAACTATTAAACAAAGAAAAAACACAGTTCGTAACTGACTATATACGAAAAAAAAAAGTGAGACTCCATAATTAAAAAAAGAAAATCACTCTAATTGAATGAAACATTAAAAAGAAATTTAAAAAACCACACTTTGTAACAAAAATTCAAATAATCAATTCAATCCAAACAGAACTAAAATCATACAAAACTTCTAGGCTAACTAACTATATAAGAAATCACATCATATTACCTGACAACGGCTACGGTAGCTGTAACGGATGGACGCATAAAAATAATAGTAATAACACTATTCTTGAACGAGAAAAACAAAAAATAATAAAAGCCAAACAAATGATCTATGAAAATAAAATCATTTAAATTTTAATACCTGTAATTGCACCACCACAACGGCCGAAGCAAGATCAATGAGAATTTTTTTTTTTCCTTTGTGTTTATATAGAAAGGTAAAGAGAATATTTTTTGAAGTCGAAATTTTGTCTGATCAGGATGTAGTTGATCATCACTAATGAAAAGATTGAACATGCTAATAGAAAATGAGTATATTTATGATTGATGAGGAATTTGTTTTTTTTCTTTTTATTGTGGAGAAGGGATTGATTAGGGAGTCGATTGTCGTGGAGATGGGGATGAGGATTTGAGTTTTTTATGAACCCGTCTTTTTTGTTTTGTTTTGGCAAAAATAGGAGATGGAGGTAGATTTGGACTGCATTTGCTTTTTAAGTCTAGGAGATGTGAAATTAAAGATTTATTTTAAAAATATGATGTGGAAATGCCACATGGCAAATGGTGGTGCTTTATCTTAAGTGTGGTTTTTGTTTCTAATATAGTAAGATATATATATATATATATATATATATATATATAAAATTTTCTTGTGGTTGATTGATGATTGAATCAAAAGATCACATCCTTATGAGCATTCTAATGTTACCATATTTATTTGGATGCAGACCAAAACGTAAGAATTGCCGTAATCCTTCCAAAGTTTTCTCCCCAGAACACCATCAATAATTCTAATACGTACTCTTAACAGTCAAAATCTTGCAAAAGAATAAAACTGTGATAATCCTAATAATATAAAAACGATTATGATGAAACTGCACCAGATGACCTTCCAAGTCCAAACATACAAGACGTCAGATGTTAGTAGAAAATTCTAAAACTGACACCATATATATTTCAAATTATTATATTTCGACGTACGAAAAAACTTTAAAAAAATTTAGGTTGAAAAAAAGTTGGCCGGCCGAGGGTTTCATTTTAATCCAATCCACTGTGGTATCTTTGAAAACCAGCTGGAAGTGATATATCCACCATCAGATGAAGCGTCGAAATCTCATAATCATTAATTTCAGTAGGGTGATTTGCCCAAAAATATCAATGCTTGCCTATATGAAGAAAATGTGTGGACTTTAGCTGGGAGTTGTACCTCCAAATCTAGTTACTTTGTTAGCTCTTTAATGCATTCCAGAAATTGATTGATTAGGTGAAGATTACAATAAATGTTGTAAAAAATCCTTTTTCCGTTAACACTTTTTTCATCTTTAAAGTGAAAAAAGGAACTCCAAAATTGGCAAGTACTGCACATTCAAGTTTCACGAAGCTCCCCCATGCCCTTATAAAGTCATCAATTTTTCTTATTATTACTTCCTCCGTCCCATAATTATTGTCCAGTTTGAGTTTTCATTTTTAGTTCAAATTATACTAAAAGTGAAATCTCAAACTGAACAATAATTTTGGGATAGAGAGAGTATTATTTTTTTTTTTTGTATTTGGTCAGAGTATGCGACTGACATTTGATTAGACCACGTACATTTGAGATTTTCTTGTTACAGTAGAAAACGTTGAAACCAATAGTGAAATACTAGATGGAATATTATTAGTCTATCCAGAAAATGTCGCTGTCCAAATGATCAAGTCATTTACAGGTGGAGATGGTCAAATTTTCACTAATTCGCATATGATAGGAACCTCTGTTTTCATGACCCACAACCACCTTTTTTTTTTTTTTTGAAAAGCAGAACCAAATTCATATTCACAATTGAGGGACAAGAAAGTTAAAATCCCTGTGGAATGAATGATGAAGGCTGTGTCTTCCAAGAACAGCTTAGTAGCTTTCTTGCTGATCATTTGTTGGTGTTCCTCGGTACAATTACTCTGCTTCTTTTCTATTCCCACAGCAGCACAGTCCACCAATGGAACCCTCCCTCAAGCTGAAAGTAAGCCATCTTCTTCCCTACCTCGCTCTGTTTTGTTTTGTATGATCTATTGGTCATTAAACAGCTAAAATGAGGGTTCATATGATTTTTTTTATTTTTTTTGATCAGTATTATTAATCCAACTCTGAGCTGGTCGTAATCCAAGTGGTATCAGAGTTTCGGTTCTGTTGGATATAGACTTGAACTTAACATTGTGTTTCTTCACTTCTTGGGGCTCTGTTTTCAAGTTTAATTTTGTCTAGAGTCATCATTTTGGTGTCAATTTAGTTAGTAAGGTTTGTTGGTGCACTGTGCAAAACACATTTAGTCAATTAGATTATGGTTTGTTTCTGGATGTTCGATTATTTTTGTTGTCCACATGATAATAGAGGTTCTTAGCATTGCATGATTATCAGAATTGTACACTTGGATTGATCCCCAAACACATTCTCCAACACACACACACACACACAGACAGAAGATGAAGTTGCGTATCGAAGATGAAGTTGTCATTAATGTTGACCGACGCGAAGTAGTTCTATTTCATACTATTTGAATTTAGTAAGCATTAACTATGGTCGGCCGCTGATAAGTGATAACTACCCTTTGTCTAACAATCATTTAGTTTAATCTTTGTACTCCATTTTAAACCATCCCATATTTGTAAACAAAAAACCTAGACGAATATTGTATGTGAATATTATTCCTTCCATTCTAAAATAAAAAAATAAAAAAATCTACAGATAGAGAAAGTATAACATACCGTTACAAACGTTAGATGGAATCTAGTTCGACGTTCCAGTTTGTGAACTTAATTAATTGTAGATTGAGAATAGAAAAAAAGTTTGACCATAGTAAAGTGTTTGTGAGAAGAAAAAAGTTTGTGAATATATATTGTATTTGTAGTACTTCCTCAAATAGGCTCTGGACCTGTTCTCCAGAAATTTAAATGAATTCCTTTTATTTCTCAAACGAAAAAAAAAAGAAAAAGAAAAAAAAAACCTTGTGATGACATTATTATTATTAATTAATTATTATTTTTTTTTTGTTTACATTGTGATGAGTGATGACATTATTAATTGGATGAATTTTTGGACTAAAATCCTAATAAGCTTTCCATTTTAGAGATTTTTTTAAAAAAGTTTATCGAAAATGTAAAATAGAAAAGAAGAAAAAGAAAAGAAGAATGGAAATACAAACCCGAAAAGTAAAAGCATGTGGTTATGAAAATTTTTCTTCCAGAATCGAATCGGCACGTCTGCGAATTATAATCCACAGTAGCAATTAATGAACATTTGATTTTTCTTTTGGTAAGTATGAACCCGGAAAGGACCCAGTAAACAGAGATTCGTTGCTAGACTTATAGGTGATCAAAATGATGATGATGTGATGAATTGGAATATCATCCTTCAACAAAATCTGAAAAGGGTTCAAACTTCAAAAGACTAATAAATCCTAATGCAAAATCCTTGAACCATTGATTGCGCTGAACTGAATACGTTCGTTTAATTTATGATTTTGACACAGTTGATGCCCTCAAAGCAATCGCTGATGAATTGGGAAAACATGACTGGGATTTCAATCTAAATCCTTGTGATGGGAACGCCAATTGGTCAAGCCCCAAAAGGGATCAGTACAACAACACTCTCCACTGCAACTGCACTTTTCCTGATGGTGTTTGCCACGTTGAAAAACTGTAAGCTGAATAACTCTGCTTTGTCCTGGTTTTCTTTTCTTATTTAGTCTTCTGGCCTTCTCTGAGTTTAAAGAATCCCTTTTAGTTGTTCTTCTGTTTTTTGTATACTATATGTGATGTAATTATGCTGTTTCCACAGATTTCTTAAAGGTCAGGATTTACAAGGTGTCCTCCCGCCTTCACTCGCCAAGTTACCCTACCTCAAGACAATGTAATGGCAAATATTCCTGGATTTGTTTTGTATGAGGGCTAATCAAACTCTTTGCTTTCAGTTACTTATTAAGGCATTGGTTATTTTATTGTTTGCAGTGATCTCACCAGGAACTACCTTAGCGGCACCATTCCTCCAGAATGGGCATCTATGAATTTGGAATATCTGTGAGAAATGCTTGTCCTTCATTCTTAGTATTTCATGTCACTTTACTACTCAACTGAATCAAATCACTCAATGCAGCTCTGTCATTGTTAATCGCTTATCTGGTCCAATCCCGGCGTACCTAGGAAACATAACAACGCTTGTATATGTGTAAGCTTTCTTCTATTTCTCTCTGAATAACCATGAAAAGCGTCCGCGCACCCACATGCACGCTTACAGTAACGATGGAGCCGGCACATCATCTATGCGCTGTTTTTAGATTACAACTTAGTTTGGACTAAAAGAAGTAACTTACAGGTTTTTTTTTTTACATCCCAAATTTACAGGAGTCTAGAAAGCAACATGTTTAATGGAACAATTCCAGATGAGCTAGGGAAACTGGAGAATTTGGCAAATCTGTGAGTCTGTACTTTCTTCTAGTATTTCCTTGCTGAGAATGACATTTCGAAGTTTTATTGGTCATGGCTGCTTACTTCTGCTTACTTTTGGTTTATGCAGCATTCTCAGTGCTAATAATCTCACCGGTGATTTACCGACAGCACTCAATAATCTTACAAAACTGCAGGAACTGTAAGTCGATTGAAGCACTCAATTTTTATGTTTGCTCAAGAGACTGTGATCAGATACTTAACCTTTCTTGTTCTCAAACTTTACAGTAGGCTGAGCAGTAACAATTTCACTGGAAGTTTGCCTAATTTTCAGAACTGGACTAACCTACAATATCTGTGAGTTTGTATACTAAGAATTTCCATTTTCTGCAATTTTCCATCGCATGCGACATTGATTGCTTTTATTATTAACAGTGAGCTCGAAGCTACTGGTTTCCAAGGACCCATACCTTCCAGCATTTCTGCCTTGCAAAGTTTAACAGAATTGTGAGTTATCTCCTCTCGACATATGAACCTGGATCCATCCCGTTTAATACACAAATACTTGTGCTTATCTATATTGGACCTATCTACAGAAGGATCAGTGACCTGAATGGAAGTGCTGCTGAGTTTCCACAATTACGAGGGATGACAAACATGAGTAGTTTGTAAGTTACACTCACATCTGAAGTGGCTATCTGAACTTTGGATTCTTCTTTTTCTATAAAGATTGTGCTGTGGGTCTTTGTCATTACAGGGTGCTGAGGAACTGCAATATATCTGGAAACATTCCTGGTGACCTTGCTAATATGCCAAATCTAAAGAACCTGTAACATTCTTTTGTCATTATTTTAGTTGGTTTGTGTTTGTGATTGTTAAGAAAGACCTGATCTAGTTAATTATGGTTACCTGCAAAAAAAAAAATTACTCTTATGGATGTGATAGTGTTCGTTTGAAGTTAACTACTGAAGGTTAGGAAAAGATGATTTAGAGCACAAATTCATGCTATAAATTGAATCTGTACATTTGCTTTTGTTATAACTTTGAAATTATGTAGCTTGGAAACAATATTCATGCTAGCTTGATGAATTTATCACCATCTGCACCTCTACATTGTTTCTTGCTGATTGAACCTACCTTTCACTGACCACCTCTATAACATGCTTTATTTTGTACTAGGGATCTAAGTTTCAACAAGCTCGAGGGTGGGATTCCTGATTTATCTGGCGTACCAAATTTGGAGACCATGTAAGTATCAATGTTTATGCTATCTTCAGATGTGACGCAAGATTCTAATTAAGACTAACGGATAAAAATCTCCACTTGTAATAAAAGGATTGTCTTGAATTTGGTTGGTTTGCAGAATTTCTTTATTTTAAGGGAGAACTATTAAACTATCTTAACTTGTGCCAAGCCATTGATTAGTTGATGAATCCACGAAGTGCGATAATATTCAAGGTTTTGCTCAGTCAATCCCAAATTTTGTTGAGAAATGATACACATACGTGAACCATAGGAACTTCATCATACCACATACATCAACCACAATCTTTTCTTTTAATATTATGCTTCTTCTAAATTTGAGTTGAGGAATTGAGAAAGTATATGTGACGTTTTTATAATGCTTGTTAATTAGGTATTTGACGGGCAATGCTCTTACTGGACCTATTCCAGACTGGATCAAGAGTTCGGATGCTAAACAGTATGTTCATTTTTTGCACTTTATTTAAATTTTGTACTGGGAATATACTGCGTATGTTGTTGTTGTTGTATTTTAAATTTTGTACTCCCTTCGTCCCATAATTATTGTCCAGTTTGGATTTTTATTTTTAGTTCAAATTATACTAAAAGTGAAATCTCAAAGTAGACAATAATTTTGGGACAGAGGGAGTACTTAGGATCATGCATCTCAGGATTACTGCTGTTCATCATGATTCCTGATCAACTTCTACCTGACCATCATATAAGCGTCTGTCTTGTCTGCTCATATAGCTCAGGCATTCATCTGTCCTTGGGAACATATGGTTTAATAACTTGATAGTATTTTATTGCTATCAGGTGGTGTAATTTGCTGATAGTCACCTAAAAATCATTCAAGTTGATCCATTTAAAAGGGAACCCTACATATTTTCTGCAATTATGCTTTTCCATGGACTTTAAATCTGGTGTAGTTTGTATGTTTTTAGTTATGTAATGCATCACATTTTAGCTTTTTGTCACATTGACGGATTGAATGGAAATGCTGACCCCAAAGCTTCTTTTCAGTCAGATTGATCTTTCATACAACAACTTCTCACCGGACTCGGAGCCTTCAACTTGTCGTGAAACCCTGTATGGTCATGAACCTTTTCTTCTTATCTTTGCTATCTTCATGTATTGTCTAGATAACTTATATGTTTCATGCTGATGTTTCACCAGAAATTTGTATAGAAGCTGTGATGATGGAAAACCGTTGTAAGTTTCTACTCTCCTACACAAACATGGATGATGGTTTCAGCAATGAAGTTTTAATATTCAAGATTCATTTGTAACTATGATCTAACTCCACTGTTTACAGCGCGCAGGCCAAATGTCTGCAACCTTGTTCCAAAGGTAGTTGAATACTACATTATATCTTATAGGTTTATAGTCTTTTCTTTGAATAGTTGAACTAAGTTACCTTATTTCTTTCATCTCTTTTATATATATATATATATACATATATATACATACATATATATATACATATATATATATATACATATATATATATACAGAGTAGGGTCTCTTCCCTTGATCAAAACAAAGATTTAGTTACTAACAAACGGGCAGTCTGATTGTCTTTTTGAATCCTTTTCAGGTTTGAAATGGCTGACTCGAATTTTTATTTTCTCTATTTTGGCCTTATCGCAGACTACTATTCTTTACATATCAACTGTGGGGGAGACAAAACTACAGCTGGGAACAGGATTTTTGATGCAGATCTAGATCCAGGTGGTCCTGCAAAATTTGTCCCAAACTACATTGAGAGCTGGGGAACCAGTAATACTGGTGATTTTTGGGGCGTGAATAGTAGTGTTTACACAGCACAGAATGTCTCTGTTATTACAGCAAACGACTCGGGATTGTACGCATCAGCTCGACGGTCTCCTTTATCTCTAACTTACTACGGTCGCTGTCTGGCGAATGGAAATTACACTGTGACACTTCACTTTGCTGAGATAATTCTTAGGGACACTCGATCTTATCAAAGCCTTGGAAGACGGATATTTGATGTCTACATCCAGGTGAAAGTTCACCCCTACACTCTTTTATTTCAAGGCTGATGCTGTGGCATATAAATTTTGTTTTTTCCATTCGTTACAGGGTGAACGGATATTAAAGGATTTTGACATTGAAGAAGAAGCACAAGGAGTTGACAAGCCTGTACAGAAAGAATATAGAGGAGTACTGGTGGACAATGGAATTTTAGAAATACGCCTTGCTTATGCAGGAAAAGGATCAACTGCTGTGCCAAGGAGGGGAACATATGGACCTTTGATTTCTGCTATATCAGTACAATCCGGTAATGTGCATGTGTAAATGCTTCATTTTCTCAAATTAAATGATCATTTTCCTTTATCTGATCATCACAGTAACACTTCTATTTGGTTCAACCTTGGTGTCTTTTCTGTTCATTAGTTTTTTTGTTTATCGTTGCAAAAAGATTTTCAAAGTGATGCCATGGTAGCTGCTGTCTGACTCAAGCAGTGCTTCTATTTTTATCTGTTTCTCAGAATTTCCTCCTCCTTCCAAAGGAAAGAAGAAGATCTTCATTGCAGTGGGAACCTCGGTTGCTGCGTTAGTCACCATTCTCGCAGTCCTAGGTATCATGTGGAGGAGACAGTATGCAAGAAACCATATATCAAGAGAGGAAGGTTCTTACACAAATCCCCTTGCCAACTTTTTGTGCATGAAATTACTTCACTAGTTTTGAACATTCCATCAGCTTAATTCTAAGTTTTGAACTTCGTGTACCAATTTTAACACTACTAATGACACAATAGAAGTTAGGTATGTCTAATTCTCACATTTTGAGAACACCTAGTAACCAGCTGGAAGCAGATTTCAAAGAGTTTGAATCTGTTCCAAGTAGAAAGATAAGCTGATGCCTTTTCAACGAAGGCCGTGGTAGGTTCACAGATACAAACACAAAGACGGAGAAAGCAGACGACATTAACATGGATCTAACATTTAACTCTTGTTCCTGTCCAGAACTGAAAGGATTAGACTTGCGGACTGGTATATTCACGTACAGACAGATTCAAGCTGCAACTGAGAATTTCAGTGCTGAGAATAAGATTGGAGAAGGTGGTTTTGGAGCTGTTTATAAGGTATAATATGAGGCCTTATCTTAGGAGTTTGTAGTGTTTGTACAGCTTATTCAGTGTAAATGCTACATTGTCAATAGGAAACTAATCCCGAGTTGTTTGTCAATGCAGGGTACATTGTTGGACGGAACAATCATTGCTGTTAAGCAGCTATCTCAAAAATCAAAACAAGGGAATCGTGAATTCGTGAATGAAGTAGGAATTATTTCGGGTCTGCTGCACCCAAATGTAGTGAGATTGTACGGATGTTGTATCGAAGGAAATCAGCTTTTCCTGGTCTATGAGTACATGGAGAACAACAACCTAGCACGCGCGCTCTTCGGTTAGTTGGTTTCCTCTATAGCATTCGTTAAACAAGCAAGTCACAGTTACAAATGTTTCAGGAACCAATATCCAAATGCTTTATTCTTGCCATTCTGAATAGGAAAGTAAACAAAAGGTGCACTCGAGTTGTAACAATTGCTACTTTCCTACATTTTATAGGTCCAGAGGAGTTGCAACTGGAAATGGACTGGCCAACAAGGCAAAGGATTTGTGTTGGAATTTCAAAAGGCTTAGCTTTCCTTCATGATGAGTCAACTTTAAAAATTGTTCATCGAGACATCAAAACCAACAACATCCTTCTCGATAAAGAGCTGAATCCAAAAATTTCCGACTTCGGTTTAGCCAAACTTGATGAGGAGGAGAACACACATATTAGCACTAGAGTTGCAGGAACAATGTGAGGTTTTTTCTAGTGCGCATTTCATTTCGGTTCTCTTTGATTGCATATGAACATTTCCACCAATTTTAACTTGTATTCAACTTCTGTTAACATTACTCTTGGCATTTTTGATGATGTAGCGGGTACATGGCACCTGAATATGCTTTATGGGGCTACTTAACATTTAAAGCGGATGTGTACAGCTTTGGAATTGTTGCCTTAGAAATTGTAGCTGGAAAGAGCAATATGGCTTACCGGCCGAGTGAAGATTATGTTTGTCTTCTTGATTGGGTAAGAAATCTTATTCTTTTTTATGCAGACACCCTAGTAAACATGCCTTTCTGAAGCTCTCCCGACAAATCTAGTTGGTTGTGGTGCTTTATGTCTTAGGTCGATTTTCAAAGTACCTTTTTACAATTTCAACACTCACTTTTTTTGCATCTCCGAAGCAACTTTTACACTTCGGAATGAAAATCCAAAGTATTGCCCACACAAACTCTTTTTGTTTTCTGGTTTTCTACATCAGATTGGATAAATTATTGTGATTCCTACTGTTTAATCTCACTATTATGATTGTCAGGCCCTCGTTCTACAAACCAAAGGAAGCTTGTTGGAGCTGGTGGATCCGAGATTGGGTTCTAATTTCAATGAGGAAAAGGCACTGAGAATGATCAAAGTAGCACTTATGTGCACCAATCCATCCCCTGCACTCAGGCCTACCATGTCATCTGTAGTTAGTCTGCTTGAAGGTCGTTCACGCGACGATGATCTGACATCAGACCCAAGTATTTACCATGACGGGCTAAAACTTCAAGGTCTGAGAGACAAATATTCTGAGTTGCAGCAATCCACCAGCTCCCATTCAGTTTCTAATCCATCCGAGAAAGATACCACTTCTTTGTCATCTACCAGAAGCTAATCACAAACTCTAGCCATTCTTTTTCTCCTTTATTTTTTGACTTTGTTATATATGTAGACGGGAATAGATTGACTAGAGTGATGCAGCCAAAGTCCTTTATATGATGAACAAATTAAGCTAGGGAAAAAAGCAGCAATTAGTTGACTTCTTATCTCATAAGTACACAATGAGGTCGAAAAAGAAAGGTAATGAAAGTATCACATAAATTAGTTGTAGCATACTTCTATTATTTGTGCTCAGTTTAGACAATGTACTTCTCCTATTTGTACGATGCCACATATTTTGAAATTTTTATACTATCCTAAGACTAAGGTTTACTTCATCTCACAAAAAAATAATCTATATCGAATTTCAAGATTTGTATTAGTTTTATTACAAATTTCAAAGCTCAACGTGAACTATTCTTCTGAAACAGATGGGATATTTTTGAAACGGAGAGAGTTTTATATGTTGCTGGGAATTTAATGACAGCTTAGTGGTTAGGTTACTGTTTTTTATCCACATCTAAGTGTGGATTTGAAAAGAAAAAAAAATGTTGCTAGCGTTCAATGCAAAATTAATTAATGAAAGAAGAAACGATCAAGTCATCCACAAGGCACAAACAGGAAAACGAAATTAACGGTGGAAGGAAGAAATTATGGGCCAAATGAAGATTAATACAACTGGTGCGTACAATAGGATAGATATTTGGGAATTGGGATGCAGATACGTCCTTAAAATGACAAATCGAGCCATACCCTTGACTAAATCAACTTGTATTCACTTGGAAGTATATTAGTTTAAAGATAGAATCACGTGTTTTTACATGCAGTATTATAGTCAATCAGAAACGAAATTTCAAAAAAGGGGAAAGAAATGTAATACATCTTAAGGCAGCTGAATGTAATAGGCTTACAAAATCAATTCTTTTTTTTTGGAAAAATAATTTACTTTGTTAAACTGAAATAATGAAAGAAAATATTATTTTTCTGAATAATGTACGAGAGTCTAAAATTAGTAGGTCAGGGACATGGTGGTGTTATCAGAAATAAAAAATAAAAAAAAATCAGTTGAATTTGAGGAGAGTGTTAAAGAATCTACGTTCATAACTTGTGATATCCTTGATTAGTAATTTAGTATATAAGACTTAACTCTTGAGTTAATATACTCATTATCAATCGGTTATAGGATGAGAAAACCATGTAGTATTTGGATAGGCAAGAGTAGTTTTTCATTACTCCCTCCGTCCTAAAATTATTGTCCAGTTTAAAATTTCACTTTTAACACAATTTGAATTAAAAATCAAAACTCAAACTGAACAATAATTATAGGACGGAGGAAGTAATTAATTATTTTGCTACGATATAGCTCAAATGGCTAGTACGATCATCTGTTGTGTGTGAGGTTAAATTAAAAAGGCAGATGTCACAACTCATGCGACATTGATCATATTGGAAAATATTGGGAAAGCTCGGAAATTGCTTTTACAGGAGTAATTCTTATTTTTTAAAAATAAAAATAAAAAATAAAAAATCTATGTAAGTTAATTATACTACGAATTTATGTCACCAGATATAATTCTGCACAAATAAATGTTTCTTATGTTCTCAAAATAAGAAAGAAAACATGGTTCACGCACACAGGTCTTCAATAGATGCATCATTACCGTCTTCATCCATCAACTCTACTGGATACTCAAATCGAAGGAAGCAAGCAAGGAAACTCAGATCCCAAACAAGACAACATACAACTAGCCATATATTCCAAACCAACATTGTCTTTCCATCCTTTACCCACTGATTCTGAGAGAGAACCAGAATTTAAAACTCGTACTAGTTACTAGTACTAGTACTAGCTACTACCTTCAAGGGCTGCTACTTTTAAAAGTGGTTAATATTGCTGGCAAGGCGCATTGAGCATTTAGAGGCAAGTGAAGTTTAATCTCAAAAATAAAAATTAATTAGCTAAGGGGCAGAGTTATAATCACCTAGTATTTACACAGTGATAGCATTACTATGTCCAGAAAAGAAAATATATATTGTCTCTCTCTCTCTCTCTCCTCTAAAATGAGTGTCTTCTTGATTGTGTAAAAATAAAAAGAAATGTAAGAACGGGTGAACTATTCTTGGTGGAGAGAGTGAAATAATTTAGTTATGATTAGCAAGCAAACGTTAACTGAAATGGAATTATGAAAGGGGACCAAACTGAGATGCAGATTGCCGCAAATGGTATTACTCAGACGGCCAGAGTTGTGTGTATGCCCATATCGCATGCCAATTAGTCAATTTTAGAATGTTAGAGTAGACTCCCTAAGAGCCGCCTTGGTAAAATAAAATGAAGTCTTAGTCCCAAGCATTCGAGTCTTGGTCGTCTTGGACTGAAGCGGATTTGATTTCGAGCCAAAGGAAACCGGGGACCTCTTTCCATAATTGACTTGTTTTTCTATCGACTCTGGTCATTCGGGTATATAGAAGTCCAGTCCCCTCTGTCCTAAAAAAAAAAATAAAAAATTCTATAACTCCACATCTTTCAAAACTCAATTTTGGTTATTTTTCTGTGACGGAAAGAGTAAATATATATATAGAGAGAAGTATAGAACAAACCAGTCCTTGTTCCTTTGTTCGCATATATACATATTCCTCATAAGTTAAAGAAATGGAACAAAGTTTGCATGATGCTGCATTCACAGGCGACATTAATGCTCTTAAAAAGTTACTTCAAGCAGATCAAACACTTATTCAAAAAATCTGTGTGCATAGAAGTATAGATAAGAATCCTATTCACATTGGTGCGATGCTAGGCCATGTCGACTTTGTAAATGAGATTCTTCAGGGTTATCCCCACAACTCTGCTCTCTCTTATGCTATGTGTTTAGCTCGAGATCAAGATGGCCGAAACCCGGTCCATCTTGCCGCAATCTATGGCCAGATGAACATATTGGAGCTGGTTATAAATCATGACGGGCTGATGCAAGCCGCTCTGGAGAAGGCAGATTGCGGTGGAACCATCCTGCATTTGTGTGTCAAGTATAATCAAGTCAAAGCTCTGTCGTATCTGTTACAAATTTTTACCGATCCACACTTTGTAGGCGTAAAAAATGATGAAGGAATGACCATTCTACATCTGGCTTCTTACTATAACCACAATCAGGTACTCCTATATATGTGCACATAACTACAAAATTCCTTTTATTTGTTTATTTATTAAAATTTGATGAGCCAGCGAGAATCGAATTCCACCATCCTAATTTCCTAATGACCAACCCCAGCTTCTACCTTTAATTTCGTACATTGGATCACTAACATCGTATGTTGTTGTTGTTTTACTGAATTTGTAGAGAAGGGAGGATGTGATAAGGATTATTAAAGAAAAGGCTCCAGGAATTGTCAATATAAAGTGTGCAACTGAATTGACCAGAGTTAAAGAAGTTATACAAAAATCATCTCCTACAAAGGACAAAAGGGGATGGATAAACTCAATTTTTTTAACCAGTGACGCTGGAAGGAGGACAAAAGGGGATCATTTCCTAGTGAATTTCGAAGAGAGTAAAAACACAGTAATAATTGTGGCATCCCTCATCGCAACCATGGCATTTGAGGCTATGATCAATCCGCCGGGAGGATTCTGGCCGGACAGCTCACCGGGCAAAGTAGGAATTAGTGTGATGGCACTGACTCAGGCCAGCAACTATAAAAATCTGGCTCGGTCCAACTCTGTAGCTTTTGTGGCATCATTGACAACAATTGTAATGTTACTAGTCCGTGAACGGCCCACTAACAATACAAAAGCCCAAATCTTCAACACAATGATGCTCCTTCTCTCGGTGGGTGCTATTATTATGTCGGTGGTATCCATTTCTGTGTCTTATGCCACAGCATATGTATCAATATCTCCCAAGTCATTGAGGCATTATACATCTCATGGCCAGACTGCTATGATCGTACTCACGGTTTGGTGTCTTCCGGTGGCTTCCGTCGTCGCCAGCGTGTTACGATTCTATTTCTTTAGGACGACCAAGATTCGGTTCTCGTGTGGGAGGATTGTTGTTGGGTCAACTAAGAGCATTGCAAGCAGTACTGAAGCACCTAATGAGTTGAATTTGATGTGTTAATAAAGCATATAAAATCATATACTCCCTCCGTCTCATAATTATTGTCCAGTTTGAGTTTTCATTTCAAGTTCAAATTATACTAAAAGTGAAATCTCAAATTGGGTAATAATTTTGGGACAGGGAGAGTATGTTTCTTCCTGTCCAATTTCCTTTTTAGTGTTTTTTTGTTATAAATGGGATATTAATTTTACAAGTTTGTCTTTTCAACTTTAGTCTGGTCAAGTATTCTGATGAGTTGCAGCTACATATCCAGCTTAACGGAGAAAGATAGTACTCCAATGTCATCTTCCAGAAGCTTATGATCAAAAAAATCCGCCATTTTTTTTTTCACTTTGCAAGTAAATAAAGCTGATGTTGCCCCTAAGACCTCAGTTAGTTCACAATACACATTATTATGTTAGGCGATCAACAAATTTGGGGCTGTATCTATATCTAATAGTAGCTAATGTGTTTCATTAGTCCTTTTAAATTTTGCTATAATGTTAACAAGTAAGATTAAATGTTTATAAGTACACAAATCGTAGCCTCACCTTAAAATGAAAAAATAATGTTTACGGTACACTAAAAGTGAGTAGTAAGCAAAGCTTATGAAATACAATAAAACGATTCGAGTATAGGCATCATACTGACAGGACTACTTCAGATCTCATAGGATTGGTGCTCGCAATATCACCCATGTTTGATTTACTTGATTATGTTGCATCTTACTAACTCCATTTCAAAATGGACCTAGACTCTACACGTAAATTAAGAAAACAATCATTTAATAATTAATTTTTGTATTAAATATTTATTTTACCCATCATTAATCGTTTTAGAATTATAACCAAAACTAGATGAAAAATAGTTAGTATCATTTATTTAGGAACAAAGTTGGGAAGTTAATTTTTAATTTGCTTTGAAATTAAAAAAAAACCTACATTTTAAAATATTTCTTCAAACCTAAAAATACATACATTTTGAAATTGACGGAGTAATAGTTTGACTTTGATCAATATCTGTCTCTGTCATGCCCAGGCGACAATTTTTATACAATATTTTTTCAGAGCGTTTTTTGAAAAGGAATTTACTTGACTTTAATAAAAATATTTGACTTTGATTGCCAAGGTAATATTTAAACGTAATAATATACTTAAGGCTCTTTCTATCATTCCACTGTAGCTCACAAAAGGAGGGAAAAAAAATAAAAAAAAAAAACGATTTACATCTTTCTCATATAAAGAGCGATATCAATTGTTTTCTCCCGAGTATCTATGTTGAACATCAGTCGATCACACAGTGAGATCCAAAGATTAATGGATATTTTACAAAAAAAAAAAAAGATGAATGGATATAGCCACATACATTTTGTAGCTTACTTTATACTTTTTTTTTTGTAGTATTACACTATTTGATTTCTTGTAAAGCAAAATGGAACTCAAGTCTTAAATCTAAAGACAACGTTTTCAATTTTCATCGGATCAAAGATAGTTTTATGCATATTTAAAATGCACTTTAAAGTCAATAACTCAATATCACCAAAACTATCTTTCTGCCTTTATTGCATGTTAAAGTCAACCAATCCAAATCCGAATGCAATACTCGACCTAATTTGTGAATGGTGCTTTATTACTCTCTTCCTACCAAAATTATTATCTACTTTAAATTTTCATGTTTTGTTCAATTTATACAAAAAATAAAATTATAAATTGAACAATAATTTCAAGACAGGAGTATTAAAAAAAAACAGTTCAAAAACCTAATAATAAATGCTTCCCCCATCCAAAAATTATTATTCAGTTTGAATTTTCATTTATAATATAAAATAAATTATTAATGAAAATCCAAACTGCACTAAAATTTTAATTTTGGGAGAGCGGGCGTTATTTGTTGAACCTAATACTCTTTTTCTCGTCTCATCCTAAACGTGAGAGTAGACTGATACATAGCACTGTAACTAAGGGGACCCATTTTAATAGGGTTTTTCTTCTTTTCCCTAAAAATCTGACCAAAAAACAACTTCAGAGTGATTTTGATATGTCTCCGGCCAAACAAATGTGGAGGAGCGATTGAGCGAAGAGAGGACTGGTCAACTGCGGGAATCATCCAAAAACAGGAACAAAGCGCGTTTTTAACAAATTGCGGTCAAAAGGCTTTCCTTGAGCGAGCAACCAACCGACAGACAAGTCCTAAGTCCAACCTCTGACCAACTCCCCCCACAACATTTTGCCTTGAAAAAACTCTCTCAATTTCATCGAACTTGAAATTTGTGAAAAAAAAAAAAATCATACTGTTCTTCATTCTCATCGAAAACCCATTTAAGAAGATAGTTAAAGTTTCGATCTTTGTCATCAGTCTATTACTTGGGGGGTTCTGAGAATGGGATGGGCGAAGGCATTGACTTGACTGGATTGATTGATTGGTTTATTCTGTTTGTTTAACACTACTATTGAAGGGAAGACCCACCCCAGTGTCGAAAATGAACGATTTCTATTCCATGGATGGCTTTAACTCTAACAGCAATTCGGGTTCTTCTGACGCATTGATTACTACTCTTTGCAATTCTGTTCAAGCTCTTGGCAGAGGTTTTGATGTTACTTCGGATATTAGGCTTCTTTACTGCAAAGGGACGCCTGGGTCCAGATTGATTCACGTTGACGAAGAACATACCAAGGATCTTGTGCTCGCTGATGGAATTGTTGTCCCGAATGTATCTGTTGATATTGGGTGCTCTAAAGGGAAGAAAACTACTGAAACTACCCCTGTTCTGAGCTTTCATGAGGTCAGCTTTTGTTTTCCTTTATTTTGTTTTTCTTTTATATCCTTTATTGTATTCTTGAGCTTTTTACGATTTCCTTTGTGGATTTAAGTTTCTGGGCATTAATTGTTGGCGATACGTTGAGATTAGATTGATTAGTTTCTTGATTCTTTGATTGTTTTCTGGTAAGTTGATGCCGTTGGCTTTGGTATAACTATTGGTTTCGACTTCTATGATGATGTTGTTAGGAAATTCCGATTCTCCTAAGTCTTACCGTGATCCCTAAACAGCTTGGTGGGGGGAAGGGAGTGATACTTTCTCGGAACTGGCTAGTTGGTAGTGTGTTGGTGTCTTATGGACGAACATATTTTCCCTGACCTAATTATAACATTTTCAGAATGTTACATTTTGACATAAAGTTTGCTGCGAACCACTGGGTTGGATGTTCTCCCGATTTTGCTGATTGCCTCGTGTACAATTGCACTGTATCATGTGGTAGTCTCCAGAAGAATCAAGTGGAGCCTTTTAGATGCGTCCAAATATCTATGGCCACTAAGTTGGATGAGTAACTACTGATTTTGTGATGCCTGATAACGGAGTCTTGAGTAAGATGAGTTTCATTAATTTTTCGATGAGTTGCGGGAGATTGAAATGTTGGTTGGATTCGTTGCTCTTCTTGCTTGTCAGAGAGAAGCAGAATATGAAAAGAGTGCATAAGAGCGAGAGAATAATTCTTGTGGAGCAACCCATAACAGTATTGAAATTCATTAGCTAATCTATTGAGATTTATTCTTGAACCTGTACCACTTAGGGTCTGTGGAATAAGTGTCTGCTTGATATTGCAATAAGATATTTTTCGCCCACAACAAACAAAGCTTTTGGTTTCCTTAGTTGAATCCGGGCAGGAACCTTTAAAGTTGAATGGCGCTATCTTTCTCGTGTAGGGCTTTTATAATTTATCCAAGAAACTAGACTGATGCCGATAATGGCAGTATGTCTATATCCGCTAGTTTTGAAGTAGTTTGAGCATCATCCACTGCGAGGTTGAGTAAAACTGTAGCGAAGTTGTTTACCTGGTTTCTCATGTGTGATTTGTGAGGTCTTTCCTTTGAGAGAATTAAGCTTCTTTGGCCTTTTGATTATTGTTTACACTTCATGGTCGGACAATAGACTGCAGTTGATGGCCTAAAACCTAGTGTTCGATTACTTGATCAATTCCTGCAAGAGGATTTCTGCGGCAGCGAGTTAACTGGGGAAGAAGTTAAAAAAGGAACTTTGATTGTTTCCACTGCATTAATTTTCTTTCTATTCAGAATTTTTCCATCATTGAAGTGAAAATTGTACAACTTACCAGAGCCATTTAATTCCGCTTAATTCAGATCGGAATTGCTTCTTTGTCCTTAAACGAACTGCCACTCGTTAGGAGCCTTCATAACATTTATATTACATTGTATAGTTATGTGCATCCTATGTAGAAAGAAAGAATCTGCAAGAATCCGCAAACTTCTGCAAGCCACATGAAATGCAGAGAACATAGGAATAATTCTGCAGTTCACTCTATATCTGTAATATGGTTATATGGGGCAGGTCAAAGCTTGTAAAAGATGAAATTAGTTGATCTCTAGAAACAGGAATGAACATTAGAAATCATCTTACTTTCTACATCTCAAATTGTTTCGTTCCGTGCTCTGAAACTGTGTCCCAGAGAGAAAGGACTTTTAAAACATAATTTGATGCTTTGTTTGTTATATCCTCGTAAAGTGATGCTTTGATGCATACAACCGCTCTTATTAATATCACTTGCTCTTTTTAATTGTTAAAATGACAATTTCATCCTGTATTATTTTACTTTTCGATAAATGAGCACTTAGTAGAAGATGTGTGGTTATTTTGAGATGAGGTGGTTGGAGATGCAAGTACTGTTTTTTTTTTCCAGACACTTTTGGTCCGAAGTATGCCGGATTTTTAAAAAGGTCAAAGAGCTTTCTAATGCCTTTTGGTTTGGCCATCTTTAATTGGTGTGGGCAATTTTTATTATTTCCTATCATGCACTTATTAACTTTACATGATTAAAGATATTCTTCTTATTATTACATGACTACCAATCTGGAGTCATTAAGACTGAGTAAGTTGTAAGTTTGGAAATGGTATTGTATATTTTTTTGTGCGGTAAAGCTCTCACAGCTGGTGTTGTTTTCTTCTATATACTGCTAGATTCTATGCTTAAATCACAACATCACGATAGTGTGTTTTCCATTGATTTGCTCCATCTGCCTAATTTTTATACTTCCATTGAGGAATATAGTAAGCCTGCAAAAAATTTAAAACCAAAAGATTTCTCTGTGCTAATGTAAATGGTTGTTGTTGTGAGCATTGGTTAATGTAGTACCTTACATTTGAGTGAGCAGATGGCGAAGTGCTTCAATGAGAAGGCCAACATTGCAGGAACAATCCCACTTGGGAGCTTTAATGCTATGTTCAATTTTACTGGATCTTGGCAACTTGATGCAGCAGCTACTAAATCCCTTGCAATGACTGGATATGTTCTCCCATTATTTACTGTCAAATTGACAAATTTTAATTTAGTTTTGCGTGATGAAATCAAGCGAGCTGTTCCATACTCTTGGGATCCTGCATCTTTAGCAAGGTGAACTAATGACTACTTCACTCCTTTCTTAGTTGATTGCGAAGCATAATTGTCTTTACTTTAAAAAATGATTATCAGGTGTCAACTTGTCAATTTGAATATGGCAACACGTTTTTTTTGTTTGGTTGGCAATTATGCTATTGAGTGTTTTGTCATCATAGCGAGAAGAAAGCGTGCTGCTCTCGTAGATTCCAGTGTGCTTATATGTGAATAGTTCACAATTTAAATCCTTGATATAGTTACAGTTGTGCTTCTTTTGTACTAAATAACTAGTGACCTTTGAAACTGTAATTGGCATGTTTAATTTACTGCAGGACCAGTAAGTCCCGAAAAGAAATCTAATACCAGAATTAAGAAATTATGTGTTGAATGTCATTATTTTCTTTCCTAAGGTCAATAGGTTTGATTGTTCATAGTGGAACTTGATGCTGAAGTTCTAAATATCCACACGTTCCTTCTGACGTCAAATCCCTCTTTCAGCTTTATCGAGAATTACGGCACCCACATAGTTACCTCTGCAACTGTTGGTGGAAGGGATGTTGTATATATTAGACAGCACCAATCATCTTCTTTATCAGCAGCAGATATTGAATCCTATGTGAAAGACATTGGAGAGCAGAGATTTTCCAACTCAAAAGGCCAGGCCAGTGCAGGTCCATTGAAATATAAGGACAAGGTTTGTGTCAGAGTACTTAAAATATGCAGAAGACATGATCAATTGGTTACTTGTTTTTTTGTTTACCAGTTTCAGTGACTGGGGAGTTATATGCTTGTTGCAGGATGTCACGGTTATCTTTAGAAGAAGAGGAGGGGATGACCTTGAGCAGAGTCATGCCAAGTGGGCAAAAACTGTAGAAACAGCCCCAGATGTGATCAACATGACGTTCACTCCCATTGTTTCTTTGCTTGAAGGAGTACCTGGAATAAAGCACTTGGCTCGTGCAATTGAGTTGTATTTAGAATGTAAGATCGTCATTTCATCTATTTTCCTACTTTTTCTAGTTTCGAAACTTATACATGGATTCGCAAGGTTGATCATGCTATGTATAGGGAAATTAGTTTGGTTAGCATATATTAGGCACTATTTTTTTTTTTTAAAAAAAAAAATCCACGCCAGTGGACCCCACTTAAATGGGTAAAAGCCTCTTATAACCCCTGGTGGGAATCGAACCCTGGTCTATTACCAGGAAGGACAGTAACCTAACCACTAGGCTGTCATTCAATTCTCATGCACTATTTTATTTCACTGATATAGATTTTCTACCAATTTGTCGAATGAGATTGCAGAACTTTTTAATTTTTAAAATGATATGCTAAAGTTTCAGTATCTCATCTCAGTTGTAGAGTTGGTTCAGTTTCTGTACCTTTTCGGGGATGATGTGCATTTTACCTTTTCTCTGTTTGAAGATTATCTGCTTTGTCTGACTATTTTATTGGTGTTGCATACAGACAAACCGCCCATAGAGGATCTCCAATATTTCTTAGATTTCCAAATTGCTCGAGTTTGGGCTCCAGAGCAGAATAATCTCCAGAGAAAGGAGCCTGTTTGTTCATCCCTGCAATTCAGTTTGATGGGGCCTAAGCTGTATATTAGTCCGGATCAGGTACAGCTCTTGAATTTTCAACATTCGGTTGTTGACGCTATTAAATCTTTGTGATGGAATTATATTGTCATATTATTCCAGGTGGTCTTGATTTGTAAATGATCTCTTTGTTACTTGCCTTCTATTTGACTCTTTATTGGCCTCCTGCTAAAAGTAAGAAAACGAAAAATCAGGGATAGGTGAATGATGACCTGGTGCTATTGCTGATTATGCACATGATCATAGTTTTAGAATGGTTATCTTTTCCACCCTGTTTAGCATTAATGACCAAAGTAATCCTCTAGCATTTGCAAATTGCTTGTTTCATTATGTCCGGGTGGAGCTTTTTATTCCTTTTTCTTTCCTCTTCTTAGATAATTGATTTGCAGATCTGTAAGAAACTTTTTCCTTGATTGGAGTTTGGTATCAGTTTTTGGGTTTGGAGAGGGACATCAGTCACATAATGGAAACCTCCTTAATTTGTACTCCTTCCGGTGCACTTTGTAAAGGCACAAGTTAAAACTCAATGTAGTTCAAACATAGGACCGAAAGGAGTAATTTAAGCTGGTCTGATCTTGAGTTCTGGCCATGGTGCTGGTGGTTGATATCCTTTTATATTGGCTCAATCGGCATTTGTGAAAATTAATTAAACAAGGTCAAATCATACTTCGGTTCAAAAGCATTATAATGAAGCCTCGCATAAAATTTCATTTACTTAATGCGCTGATTCTTCGTTGTTTTTTGTTAAGAATAATTCACGACAATGCAGGTGACTGTTGGACGGAAACCTGTCACTGGACTTAGACTCAGCCTGGAAGGTAGTAAGCAAAATCGTCTTGCCATCCATTTGCAACATCTAGTTTCACTACCCAAAATCCTTCAACCACACTGGGATGCACACATGGCAATAGGAGCTCCCAAATGGCAAGGTCCCGAGGAACAGGATAGCAGATGGTTTGAACCAATCAAGTGGAAAAGTTTTTCTCATGTAAGTACTGCACCTATTGAGCACACCGAAACTTCAATAGGAGATCTCTCGGGAGTTCACATTGTCACCGGTGCTCAGCTCGGGGTGTGGGATTTTGGTGCCAAGACTGTGTTGCACCTTAAGCTTCTCTTCTCAAAAGTACCCGGATGTACAATAAGGAGATCTGTGTGGGACCATAGCCCTTCGAACTTGTCCACCACGCAAAGACCCGATGGTTCTTCATCATCGGTAACGAATGACAGAACGGACGATGGGAAGAAGGGAGATGGCTCATCAAGCCTAAGTGGGAAATTGGCAAAGATAGTAGACAAAACAGAATTGTCAAAGGGTCCTCAAGATATACCGGGACATTGGTTGGTTACAGGTGCTAAATTTGGTGTGGAGAAGGGGAAAATCGTGCTACGGGCGAAATACTCCTTACTGAACTATTGATGGGTGGAGTTATCTCTGTACTTAAACCCTCGAAACTTACTGCTTCTTTACTCCAGTTGAAGAAGGAAACAGTTGAGCATTCTTTACCATATGTGTTATTCTTCTACTGTACATTAATGTCGATTATAGCTATTCATTTTTGTAGTGTTCCAATTGAGTTGTAGTAGGTTTTTTTTTTTAGCTGTTTTCTTTGGCTTTGCATAAACGCTGTGTTTTCAGGAGAGTATTAAATAAGAGTTGCTCCTTCCCTATTGATTCTTACATATGATATTGGCCAATGGGGATTTCTAATTCCAAATGAATACTGGGTATTGGAATGGGGTCTTTGTTCTTTCTTTATTTATTCATTAAACGCAGCAGGTGGTATCTGTCTTATATTTTTATCGCCGCCAATTCATGTCTTTTGCGCAGAAGATCGTAAATACTTTCTCTGTCTCGAAATTATTGTCTAATTTGAGTTTTCAATTTTTGTTGAAATTGTATTAAAAGTGAAGTTTGAAACTGAACAATAATTTTGACACAGAAAATATTAAAGTTGCTTGTAAAAGCATAGTCCTTCGAAAAAGACAATTGTCTTGAGACGGAACGGTATCTCAATTAATTTATTTGTCATTTCATTTGAATATGGCATTTTGAAGTTATGAAAAAACGCTAAACACAAAAACACCAAGGTGTCACTTTAGCCAAGGTTATAATTATACAGAGTAATACGTGGAATGTGTTGTTTCTTGAACCTAGGATGTGCATATTAGTCAAAATATGGCTGTATAATTAAGGATCTAATTCTATCGCTTTCTATTTATCATATATATATATAGTATTTCTAGCCGCCCTCTGAAAAATGATGTCTGAAAGTTTGAATTCTTCTGGCTGCGGAAAGTTCTAAGGATTCTGTTTTCTCCTTGTAGTTGTAGTATAAAGGGGAAAAAAAAAAATTGTACCCAAAAAGTCTGTTCTTGGTCAAGTTGAATCGTATTTTTTAAGATGAACTGTGTGGGTTGTTTTGGTTATAGAAGAGGGTGGATCCTCACCAGTGACAAAGCAGATTTTTTTTGGTTTGTTTATGTTTTTATTCGTAGAACAAACCAATGTTTGATTTCCTCCATAATTATGTTGGGAAAAGAACTCATTTATATCCTTAACGTTACCGGTTATTTAATTTAAAATTGTCCGAAAGCCAATTTCATTCCAAACTAGACACGATTCCAGGGGATATTTCCCCGCATGAATGGCCAACAAAAGGACATACATTAGGGCATCAGTAGCTGGATATTTCACCGGAGAATAATTTTGCGGTAGACTTTCTGACATCATTAAGTATCAAAAGGGTCTTTTAATATAGAGATTTTAGTTTACTTGATAGAGTAAAACGGTAGATAGGCCGTGATATATTATTATTAGAGTATCTTACCCTAGTATTCTAATACTGTATAGTTGTGTCTTGAGACTTTTGTCCCTTCTTCTTTCACCTCAATTAAAAAGAAGAAAAAAAAAAGACAGTATTTATGGATCCTTGCCTTTTTTAGTTCATTATTCCCTAACCTTAGTTCAGCTGTATTTATAGGCTTTTAGCAGAGCGCCCCTCATCCAAAAATCACTTGACAAAGTTGGTACTCATTTTTATCTGTCGCATTAAGATTAGCAGTATTGAAGTAACTAGCCATGGTATTCATTATCTTCTGATTTCCTTTTCATTTATTTTTCTCTAACTTCAAATATCAGTGGAAATGCATACTCAGAAGCTGAAGTATACGTACTTAATGTTCATTTTGTCCTTAAAATCTTCTAGGAAAGACAACAACAACTTCTGGTAGGAAAGGTGGACTGGAGAGGAAGGCCAGCCAACAAAATTAGGCATGGAGGAACCAGAGCTGCTTGGTTTGTTCTTGGTATAAAAAAAACCCTCAATAAGTTAAAATCACTTCTTTTTCGTTTATCGCACTGTAATCATTTCCTATTGACTGTTTTTTTTCCTCTTTTTTTTTTTTTTTTTTGGCTGATGTGCAATTTGTTTCAACAGGTGCATTTATGTTTGAAAACATAGCAGACTTGTCCTTAGCAGTAAATGGAATAACATACTTCAATCAGATTATGCATTTTGACATTGCTGATGCAGCTAACCAACTTACTAACTACATGGGTACTACTTACCTTATCACCATCCTTGCGGCCGCCTTAGCTGATACTTATCTTGGCCGATTCAGAGCTGTTCTTATATCAGCATGCATTGAGTTCTTTGTAAGTTAATTCCTCTGTATCTTTGTTGAATGATTTTCTAGTTGATGCTGATCGTGATAATAGTCGTGTTTCTTGAACTAAAATAGTTCAGTAAACGTGACTATTTTCATGAGATGGAAAGTCAGGAGTTCATAACAAGAATTTTTTTTGTTGATTCTGTTCAGGGTTTAGGACTGTTAGCCATACAAGCTTATTATGCCAAACTGAGACCGCCTTCCTGCAACATCTTCGATCCAACTGCTGATTGTGTTCATCTTCATGGTGGAAATGCTGTCTTGTTCTTTGTAGCTCTGTACATGATTGCAGTTGGAGGTGGAGGAATGAAATCTGCACTGCCATCGCATGGCGCGGATCAATTCGAGGATGATGACCCTAAGGAATCATTGCAAAGGTCAACATTTTTCAATTGGTTCTTACTGTATATCTGCATAGGCGGTGCCATTAGTCTAACTCTCATCGTATGGATACAAGACCATAAAGGTTGGGGCTTGGGATTCGGTCTATGCACAATGACAATGCTTGTTGGTATATTAGTCCTTGTTGGAGGGTTGCCACTTTATCGTATACACGAGGTAAAAGGAAGCAGTGCCATCACCGAAATCATTCAGGTATATTTATGTGTAGTATGTGTTAATGTGTTCAATTGCCTTCATTGTTTGACCTATTTCTAGTGACAGAACCAGCTCTCTGTTTTTTTTCAAACTAGGCTGAATTCTGAAGCCTATGATGCCCTTTTGTTCGAATTGGCAGGTTTATGTGGCAGCTTTTAGGAATAGGAATTTGCCATTACCTGAAGATTCTGCTAATTTGTATGAGATTAGTCTAGACAATGAAGGTATCATTAATGAGGAAGAATTCCTACCACACAGTGGCAGTTTAAGGTATTGGTTGCTGCTTTGTTTTTCTCGATTTCTCCTATGTATGACGACAATTGATGAGAGTTTCGATTTGATTTAGGTTCCTAGACAAGGCAGCCATCCAAATTTCATCAGCAGATTTCGAAAAACCGAATCCCTGGAGGCTATGCAGAGTTACGCAAGTTGAAAATGCAAAGATTATGCTCAGAATACTTCCAATCTTCTGTTGCACCATCATGATGACTGTTTGCTTGGCTCAGCTCCAAACATTCTTTGTGGAACAAGGCACAACCATGGACACAAGCATCACAAAAAACTTCCAAATCCCACCTGCTTCTCTCCCAATCATACCAATCATCTGCTTGATCATTGCAATACCAGTGTATGATCAAATAGTTGTTCCATTTATCCGAAAATTCACCGGCATTCCCACTGGAATAACTTACCTGCAACGCATAGGAGTTGGATTAGTTCTTGCTTCATTATCATTTGCTGTGGCTGCAATCATTGAAGTCAAGAGAAAATCCGTCGCGCGATCGCATAACATGCTGGATGCAATTCCAGTAGTTCAACCATTGCCTATAAGTGTCTTCTGGTTGGGATTTCAGTACTTCATATTTGGCATTGCTGATATGTTCACATATGTGGGAGGTCTAGAGTTTTTCTATGCACAAGCACCCCAGAAGCTTAAATCTGTTTCTTCTTGTTTCCAATGGACATCTATGGCATTGGGGTATTTCTTGAGCACCATTGTTGTCAAGATAGTGAATAGGGCAACAAAGAACCTGACAGCAAGTAAAGGATGGTTGGCTGGGAACAACATCAACAAGAATCACTTGAACCTTTTCTACTGGTTGCTTTCAGCATTAAGCATACTTAATTTTGGTGTATATCTCTTCTTTGCAAGAAGATACAAATATAGGCCAGATTCAGGCATGATGAAGAAGACCAAGGTTGACAAGTTTGAGAAAGTAGAGCCACAGAGTCAAGAAGAACTCAGTGTCAGTGCAATGGATATACAGTTATTGCCAAAGAGTACTCAAACATTAGGTTGAGGATTAATGTTGAACTCAATTTAAGATGCTGCAATTTAATTAGATGGCACAAAAGCTTAACAAGGTTGAGTCTAGTTTTTTAACTAGGCTAAAATCTCTTATGCATGTAGAATTGATGCAAATGGACAAGCGGTTTTACTGGTTAATTATCTCACTCAATCGTTTATTAGTTGACACGATAAAAATTATTTTTTGTTGGTATATTACGTACTTGGTGTTTGAAATTATTGTTTCGACTAATCTGAATTCGGGTAAGTCTATTTTAGAAAATAAAATTCTTCCAACAACTATTTTAATCATTGATGCATGCACCTGTCACAATAAAGATTAATTTGCAAACTGTCAAATGCGATCTTTTAAATTTTGATTTCCTAGCCACAACATTATCATCATTTACTTCTATGAACAATATCAACGAACAAATAAGAGTTCTTTTTCTCCAAAGAAAAAGAAAAAAAGTTAAGAATTCTACGATTTGTTATCTCAGCATCATCACAAAAGCGGAAAGCCACCTCAAAATCCTCGGATGAAAACGTGGGAGTTTCAACAACTGGCCACGTCTTTCTTCCACCGCTAAACACCCAACTAATTCATCAAACACCTTCATTTCTCTCATCATCATCATATTATGATCTACACAAAACTGATAAAAAGGAACACCGATAAAAAGAAGGGATAAGTATAATTCTTTTCATTAACTTCTGGTAGATCTCTGAAAATTAACAAACAAAAATATGCTGGCGTCGAGTGTGGAGGATCCAGGGGCAATGCCTCCCGGAGATGGGTCGGTGCCGCCGGGAAAGCCCATGAGTCTGGGACAGAAAGTGGTGGACAAAGGAGCTCAGATGATGCAGACGTTGAAGCCCATAAAACAGATGAGCCAACACGTTTGCACATTTGCTCTGTACAGCCATGACATGAGTCGCCAAATCGAGACGCATCACTATGTAACCCGGCTCAATCAGGACTTTCTCCAGTGTGCTGTTTACGATTCCGATGATCCTACCGCCCGCCTCATCGGTAATTCATTAATTATTTACCTTAATTTAGACTACCTGAATATCTATTTATTCCCCCCCCTAAAATCTAGTTTCCACTGTTTTTTTTTTTTTTTTTTGGGTATTTCATATAGGTATTGAGTATATTGTGTCGGATACTATCTTCCAAACTCTTGAACCAGAGGAACAGAAGCTCTGGCACTCTCATGCTTACGAGGTTTCTGATTTTCCTTCAATTGACGTCCCAAAATTAATTGAGTATAAGAGGTAATAATTGAACCCGAATATATATATATGTCTTAATGTTATTACAGGTGACGGCAGGGCTTTGGGTGAATCCAGGCGTCCCGGAGGCAATTCAGAGGCCTGAATTGCGAAATTTTGCCCAAACTTATGGCAAATTTTGGTGTACCTGGCAAGTCGATAGGGGTAAGTACACTCCCGGTCGATCATATTCACATCAATTTATCGTTATTAGATGGATAGATTTCATTGTATCAAAATCAATGCTTAATAGATAGATACTCCTGTCGACCAAGAAAAATAGTCTACTCTGTTGGAGTAAAACAAACAGTATAATAAGGTGAATGACAAGTATTTTTCTGAGTGGAATGTAGCATTTATTCATACAATGGGGATAAAAAAAAGAAACACAATCCTGGTGTGTGTGATATGCAGGAGACAGATTGCCATTGGGTCCGCCGGCGCTGATGATGTCTCCGCAGGTGGTGAACATGGGAAAGGTGATGCCGGAGCTGGTTACCAAAAGAGACGAAAAGTACAAGATTTCGAGTGAGGAGCTGATATTGTCGAGGGCGGATCTTGCCGATGGAACTGCCCCAGAAACGGTGGTGGTGTCCAATGCGGATTACTGGATGCAGTCTGGCAAGGGTTTCGCTATTGATGTGGATTTTACTGATATGTGAAGACTGAAATATTCGTGTTGCCTTTTTCTTCAGTTCCCGCATATCGATTTTCTCTGTTTTCGTACCATAACAGAGATGTAAATTCCCTCTTCATCATTAATAAAAGTAGTGGCCGGCCGCCACAGTTGTAGCTTGTAACTGATTTCTTTTTCTTCCTTGTATCTGGATAGGTTTCTCTCACCTCCCCCACAAAAAGTTTGAATATGATACTTCCCCACATGGAAGTTTGCTTCGTGAAATGTAGTTTTATATTGATGATTAAACAGAGAGTAATACACATTCAACAGTAACTCTTGAGCGATCTGTGTAACATCCTGGAAGCGTCTTCTACAGAAACTGGCGTGCATTAGCTCGTACAATAGATGTTGAATTTTTTTTCCAATAACACATGCAAAGGAGATTACGTATGCGACATGTAGTAATTATGAGTCTTGTTAGAAATGAAGAGTTAGGAAATACTATGAAGATTTCAACAAATACAACCGGTTTTCGATCGGATTGGAATACCTCTCCAAGCAAATATATCATTCATTTGTTATATAGTTTTAGTTGATGGACAAAATTTTATAACAGAAGATAGAATATTTAATCATATATAAGAAATGTGATACTAGTACTATATACGAGTGAAATTTCTAATCATTATTTCCTGTGTAAACTAAGCCATTAAACACAAAAAAGGATAGAAAGAAAAGAAGCACCTAGTAGCATTAACCCCCATTTGCCTCTATCATCATTCAAGACGTGGCCTAAAGAGGTGAAAACAAGTAGTCATTTGAAGATAACATGCATGAATCCACCTCGACCGTCTCTGTTCCCTTATGTGGCGGATCCATACCCTTCCACTTAAAGTTACATCCCCTAAACATCCATCCATATCCAAAAACCTCTACGTCCTTGTCTATAATATTTTTTTTTCTATATTTATATGTATGTCATTTATTAATTCACTTGCATTCTTTTCCACTGCAATTTCAAAACTTCTAACAAAATATCAGAAAATTAATCAATCAAAAGAAGTAAAGTAGAGTTCTTGCAATGGCTGCAAGTGAAGCAGAAATTCCTCCGGGGAAATCAATGACGGTGGAACAAACGATGCTGGATAAAGGAGCTCAAATGTTACAAACGTTGGAACCCATAAAGCAAATGAGCCAGCATGTTTGCACTTTTGCCCTGTACAGCAACGATATGCATCGTCACATCGAAACTCATCATTATGTGACTCGGATTAATCAGGATTTCCTTCAGTGTGCTGTCTATGACTCTGATGACTCCCATGGCCGTCTCATTGGTTAAATTCATTACTTACTTATCATCATCATTTTCTTGCTTCCTTCATTTTCAATTCAATCATAACTTTGCAGATTTTAATGTAATTGGTTTGTTTTCTTATTGGGAACTTTGGTTATATTTGTAGGAGTGGAGTACATCATATCTGATCGACTTTTTGAAGGGTTGAATCCTGAGGAACAGAAGCTTTGGCATTCTCACGCTTACGAAGTATGAATGAATGAGAATATTCCAGCTTAATTTCTTTATTTCTTTTTTGCAATCGACTTATTTCAGAGCTTCCCTTTAATTATTAATTTCTTGTTTGTAAACATCGACGATTGATGATTCATCCGAAAAAATCACAGATTAAATCCGGGCTTTGGGTAAATCCTCGGGTTCCAGAGATGGTAGTGAAGCCTGAACTTGAAAATCTTGCTAGAACCTACGGCAAGTTTTGGTGCACCTGGCAGACCGATAGAGGTAAATTAATTTTCTCTCCCCCCCCCCCGGCGGAACAAAGTGAACTTTTAAAGTGTAACAGACGGAGAGAAATGTAATAGTAATATTGCAGGTGACAAGTTACCAATGGGTCCTCCGGCGCTGATGATGTCGCCTCAGGCAGTGAATTTGGGAATGGTGAGGCCGGACCTGATTAAAAAGAGGGACGACAAATACAACATCTCAACCGACACTCTGAAAGTTTCCCGGGTCGAGATCGGTGAGCCGGAGTGGATAAACCCACAAGCTGACTACTGGAAACAACATCAGAAATGTTTCGTCGTCGACGCTGAGCCGGTGGAAATGAAGAAAATTGTTGATCCCTTTCCCTAGCTAGCTTCCCCCATGATTCAACTCTTTTATCAGTATCACAATGTTAATTAATTATCCTGTCGTAAATATGTGTACTAATTAAATAATAAGTAGTCTTATTTTGAAAAGTAACTTTAAAACTTTGATCTTAATAATTCGGAATTATGTAACCGGATCTTGTGTTTAATTTGCTGTATAGCTTATTTGTGTTGCCTTTTGAATCCGAACTCTAAACTTCCTGCATATTTATATTCCCTCCCTTCATCCCGAACAGACTCTTATCGATCATGCTCTAAAAAGGGGCGCTGCTGATTAAATGGTGTCATTTTGTTTGGGAAAACACCCTTAATGAGTACAGGATATGATATAGTTAGTTTGCAAAAGAGGTTTAAAATGTGTGTTATATGTGAAGTAGGTCGAGAGGAGAGGTAGAACAAGTAGACCAGGTGGCAAAACGGGTTGTACGTAGTAGTTTGTTAAATGAAATGAAGTTAGTTTGTATTTGTTTCAAAACAAAACAAACAAAAAAGAAAGTTCCGAGGTATAGGTTAAAGGGGATCAAATAGAATACTTACAAACAGTTGGAACCCCAACTTTTGTAAAGAAATAATGGAGTCTCATCAAAGTATTGTATAAGCCATAAAATGTTTTCTTCTTTTCTTGCTGTTATTATTTGTGTCACAAAACTGATAATAAAAGTCAACAAATCTGATAGAAAACTCGACAGAAGTTATAAAAAAGAAAAAAGAATTCATCTTTTTGACACACTTTTATCATTTTCTTTGAATTTTTAGGTAAATTAATACGGGTTCGCATAACCCGTTATGTTTATTAAACAGGTTATTATAATTTAACTCATTTATTTCGTGTCGGATGCATGTCTGGTTCGGTTATAGTCTTTCATTAATCTGGACTGTCGAGATTATCGGCTCAGTTATGCCGGGTCGCTTCTATTGATTATGTTTGGCCAAAAAGAATTTTGGATGGCCCTTTTATTTTTTTTTTTATTTTTCATTATAATTATAATCTGTTCTTTATTTAATTAGTTATTTAACATAATTACATTGATTTGAAATAATTTAATATTATTTTGTTCATTTTATTTTAAGTTTATTGAGTTAGTTGGAATAATAAGAGATTAGTTTAATTACTTATTTGACATAAATTGTTACCCACTATAAATGTTTGTTATTTGCAGGATTTGTCTGAAAATGCAGATTTCAGTCAATATTTTATTAGTTCTGATATATTTCAAAGCGAATAAGAGGCTATTGAACGTTTGGAGGAGATTGCAGTATTGTATAATTTTGAATTAACCACATCTTCTCACAAGGCTAATGATATATTACTGAAATGCAACAAAAGTGAACAGTATAGACCAAAGAGGTACAGAGATATGCGGAAAAATACATAGCCAGGTTACCAGGTGTAAGTTTGAGATATTCATAAGAAAATATCAGTAGAGGTTGCCTTCTGGGATTCAGTGTACATGCTGAGGTTAAGACAGTCTGATTATGGAAATCTATCCCAACTATTAGCTGCAGTCACTGAAGAAAGGCCGACCTTATACCCTTCACCGCTCCACGGCCTGAACACAATGGGCGGTTTAACAATCGACCTAGGGACTGTCTGTACATAACCGAGCTTACGTAGCACGCTCCCTGACACGTATGGCTCAACAATGTCCCTGAAAGCGATCCATCCGGTGTAAATTGTCTTAGGCACAGACTGATGTACTGCCTTACCGAATGGCTGCCACGTCACCTACAAATGTATACAGTTGTTATACATTACCCTTAACAATTACTTCATGTAAAGTATGACTAATTCAAATTACAATTTACCTCATCCGCGCTGAGATTATCAAGCTGCCGGCGTAACCATGAGAGTCGCACTTCTGCCTCTGAACCAGTAGATGATGGTGGTGTCCATGCTGTTGCTCTAGGCCCGCTCTCAACATTGTACGGGGAATGAGGTTGGAAGATCGGAAAATACTCATATATCCAAGCTTGCAATAGGGTCATACAACCCTCCATCTGCTTAACACCCCTTCTCCTAGCAATCCCCAGCTGACGGTAAAGATATGCTAGTGTGGCCGATGCCCAAGATTTCTCTCTAACACCTTCAATGCGGTTATAAACCTCGTGTAAAAGTTGTGCATGAACCCTGCCACCCCCACTCTTGTCAACAAACAACATGGCACCTAACATATTCCACATCCACGCAGTGGCCTGAGTATCTGTGTCAAACTTGCCCTTGCAACGCTCTGGGATAAAGGACTCAACAACAGCTCCACTCTTCCAATATGAAGCTAACTCTTCTTCAGTCACACCCAAAACACCCAAACACTCTTTCTTCACGATATCCCACTTGGGAATAGTCGACACCGTATTTCCATCCACTTTGATACCCAGAATACGCTGGACATCATGAAGCATGATAGTAATTTCCCTGAATGGCATGTGAAAAGTGTTCGTGTTTGGTTGCCACCTCTCCACGAATGCACAAATGAGACCAGTCTCCAAGTGCGGATACATGATATCTGGAAGGTGAGACAACCCAGTGGCTATAATCTTCTCTTTCGCCACATGTGGCAACTCATTCTTCCAAGTGATCAAACTTTGACGAGAAGCAGCTCTGTTTTGTAGCTTGATGCAACCTCTACTCTGATTTAACCATGTCATTAATGCAACATGTCCATTAAAACTAGAAATCATGGAACCATCATCTGGGCCACCGGGTACTGGCTCCGTAACTAACCAAGTTCGATCATTACAGACCTTTGATCGACTGCTACTACCTGAAATCAAATTAGCATTGCGTAATTTTCCTCTATTTACATTATTACATAACTATAATTGTCAAATAAGATAATAAATTAAATTTTCGAACAGATATTTATACCTAATGATGTAGTAGGAGGTTTACGACTACCTCCACCAGTGTCGCAGCGACCTCTGTCATGGGGAATTGGACCTCGAAGAAGGGGAACGGGACCTTTGATAGAGGGAAGGGGAGGGAGTCCAACATTGTGTGCATGAGAACTACTGCAGACTTCTCACATGCTCAGTCTCCTCATTATCAAATTCACCCATCTCGACATCCTGCGCCTCGATAGTGGATATCTTATACTGTCTTGGTGCGACTTCCCGGGCACAAGCAGATGCGGTGATCTCTCGCTTACGAACCCTGCGTTTGCCCGTGGATGGGACAACAATTTCCTCTGACTCCTTTAAATCCTTAAATTTTCTTCTCGTATTATTACATTATTATAGTCAAATCAAATCAAGTTGGATAATTATTCATACTAATTATTATACAACACCACCTATTTCATGTTTACAATAGCAATCCATTACTATCCAATTACCGCATTCAAACTACAATATATTATAGTAAATAATTGAATTATTTAATTGCTATTATCTTAGTTATTAAATAAGATTATTACTTACTAACTAACTAAACCAAAAATACTAATTACTAACTAATAGTGTGAGTTTGGTTGTAAATATGCACTCAAAGCCAAGTTTCTGCAATATATTTACAGTTTAACCGAAAAAAAAAAAAACTAATTTTGATAGTTCACTTGTTCATTATTAACTAAGTAAATTAAATTTATTAAATAATCTAACTAATAATCTAAATAAATTTTATTTAAAATTCACTATAATTACTAACTTGTTGCTAACCTTTAAACTATTTTAAAACAAAATTATATAAATTTAAATAATTTAACTGAAAATTTGAATAAACATTATTCAAATTCACTACAATTACTAATTAGTTGCTAACCTGTGAACTACCATAACCAAATTCACTAATTGAAATTTATTAACCAAATTAACTAATAATTTAGATAATTTTTATTTAAATTCACCAAAAGTACTATAGCTTGTAAACTATTTTAACTAAATTCACTAATTAAAATTTATCAACTAACTTAACTAATAATTTAAATAAATTTGATTACTTAATTACTTTAACTAAATTCACCACTTGTTAACCAAATTCACTACTATTATCCACTTTATTTAAATTAATTATATTAGTTAAATTGTTGCCTACTTTAATTGAATTTAATAAATTAAGTAATGGCAAAAATAAATAAAGAATATAAGTAAAGTAATCAAATAATGACAAAAAAAGGCCGGGCCAACCGGCGGCTGGTTCTCATCGTCCGAACGGAAATACCGGCGACTGTAATTACGCCGGCGAAATAGGATTTCCAACCGGCGTCAATTGCGGCCGAGAAACAAGCGGCCGGCGACATTCCAGACGGAGCAGCTGGCGGCCAACCGCAATCCTGGACGGGAAACAAGATGGCCGGCTTGGGAACTTGGCCGTACAAACCCCGGCCGACATACTTGGCGGCTGAAAAATTTATGGTCGGCAAACCTGGCGGCCGGCGGCGGCAGTGTTTTTTTCTTTCAACTTTTTGCTTTAAAAAAAAAATCTTACCCGTGACATCGCCGGCGCTTTCCCGCTTCCGTGCTGTCGTCCCGCCATTGATTTACCCTTCAATGTGCACTAGATATGAGATTGAATTTGAGAGAATTTTCCATAATGAATAAAGGTTTGAAATTTGAAAAATGAAGAATGGGGGGGACGAAATTGTCCATTTAAAATATTTCATTGGGTGCTGTAACAAAAACTTTGTCGGCCTTTCACACCGACATTCTCTTTCTGTTCTTTCCAATTTCTGGGTACTGTTCTGAGCATTTGTTCCTAATTCGATCCTAATGGAAACGGGTAGCGGAAAAAAGTTTGTTCATTCAGTTTGGGAACTCCCACAAGAAGATTTAGTCATGAAATGAACATATTTTGGGGCAAGCGGACTGTATTGATGTGCAGCTCTATCTTTTTGGGACTAAATTGACGAGAGTTGAAACTTCGAATCTGAAGTCTGAATTGATTCTACACAGTCTAGACTCAAGTGTAACAAAAAATAAATGGATTGTTTTTGGGGGGAAAGTCGAAAGCAGTCAAAAATTTAGGATTTACTTTGCTAATAGAGTTTAATATAGTGGTGTTAGCAGAAATAGATTTCTGAAATTACACGTGTCCTTCTTGAGTCAAATCCACTTCATACTCACAAACTCACAAGTCACCATCTCCCAGATTACTCATCAGTAGGCAAAACCACTTGGCGTATTCTGATATTCTCTTTTCCTGTTCTTCTTTCCAATTTCTGGGTACATTTCTGATCATCTGTTTCTACTTTGATCTCTCATGGAAACGGGTAGCGAAGAAAAGTTTGTTTATTCAGTATGGGGACTCCCACAAGAAGATTTGAGGCCCCGGCTGAAGAAGTTGATGGAGAGATTGAGATCAGAATTTAATGCGCCGGAGTTCGAGCCTCATGTGACCGTTGTCGGAGCTATACGCCTGACCGAGAGCGAAGCGCGAGACAAGTTCCAGAAGGCTTGTGAAGGGTTGAAGGCGGCTTATAAAGCTAAAGCTTTGAAAGTGGAAACTGGGACTTTCTTTTATCAGTGCGTTTTCCTGTTACTTGATCCCACCCCGGAGGTAATTAAATTCTTCAGCTTCTTTTTTTTTCCCCTTCTTTTAGCGCGATTGTTTTGGTATTTGATTTGAAATTTCTGGGAATTTCCAGTTTGAGATCGGTGACTAGTGAGTGATTAACTCCACATTAGTTCGGGGAGTTTGAATTGATTTGGGGGAAGTCAATTGGAACTTTTATTTGTGGATTTCTTGAAATGATTTGGGAATTTGATGTTGTTATCGGACAGGTTGTGCAAACTAGTGATCATTGCTGTAGTCATTTCGGATATTTGCGCTCAACAGGTGAGTGTTTGATTTTCTGTAAAGGGTTTCCCTTTTTGACTTTTTTGAAAGTTTCCTTTATCTTTTGAAGGGAACTTTATTTGTGTTATATTGTTCATATCAAGCTAGATTCGGGAAAGTAATGCATCTTTCACTGGGAAATTATTAGGTCAGCTGCAGATTTTAAGAATAATAATGTAATTAATGTTTGCAGAAATTTTATCTGAAATCAAGTTCTTCTACCTTCCTTGTCGGCATCATGTTATTCTTGAGAGAACTTGAATTTGGACTCGAGGACCGGATATGATTGACAAATTTGGGAAAAAAAAATTTGGTGAAAGAGAACCAAACAGATTTGTAGCACTAAAAGAAAACGCCTTGGCATCTTATTTCTAAGTAAATTGTTGTTTTTAGGCGCTAAAAATCAAATGCTTATAAAGACATAGTACGCAGGTTTCCTCTATGCCCATCTGGATCAGGAGTGACTTGTCCTTACCTATTGAATTAAGCAGAACAGCGGAGCTGATTTAATTGAGTATAGAAACAAGATCATGTTAAGACATCCCTGACTGAGTCAGCCAAGTGATTTGATGATTATAGAAAATGGAAAAGATCTGGTTTATGTTTCTTTCATTATCCTCTAGCTGATATTGCCCGCAGCTGGGACTTTACGGAATTCCTAGTGTGTTATCTCTGCTTTCCCTGCTTCATGTTGCTATTCCAACCTCTACTACCAGAGAGCTGTCTCTGTCAAAATGTTTGATTACTACATAATTTACAGGCATCCGGCCTTCTGTATAGTATCTAAAACTTGCAAATACCTAGTGGTTTTGAGGACATAGGTTGGAATGTCTCTGATTTCTCAATCAGATAGATAGTTCAGTAAGGCATCTAATTGAGGAAATGAGGAATTGTCACAGTTCGAGCTGTCCATGTAACAGCGGAGCGTAACCTCAACATATTGTAGATTTTGGGACGGTAGCCATCGACGAGTTAACTTATATTGTAGTATCGATGACTCTTTTTCTATAATTGATACATATTGCATTCGGAGAACAAGAAGATCTATTGAGCAGGGTTTTTGTAATTAAACTGACTATGATTCACAAAGATGGATACCAAACCCCTTTAGACTCCATCACACACACAACCTACTGTAGTAGTTGTGGACGCAGCTTGCTGGTTAGGCAGTTTCAGAATAGAAATAGTTGTGGATCTGTATGAGTTTTCCTTGTAGCATACGAAACATTTTGCATTCGAGTAATGGTTTTGGAGTCCAATTTGATAGGGTGCTGAGGTTTACATACTGGTTATCATTTCTGGTCCAAGGACTATATCAAAATAAACATGAACTTAGGCTCCGTTTGATAATCACTAAAGTCCGAATCTGAACACTTAACACTTAACACTGAAGTCTGAAGTATGAAGACTGAATTTACAGAAACGTCTGAATTTGATGTTTGAAGACTGAATCTGAATACTTAGGTCTGAAAGTTATTTAAATTTTTAATAGCATTAAATTGAATTATAAACAAAATCTTTTAAATAGAAAAATAACTAATATTCTGTTCTAAATAATAAAATAATAATTTTAAAATAAGTTTCTGGTATATATAATGAAAGTAGATAGTACACTTGTTAAATAGTCAATATATAATTAAATTTATATTATTTACATATATCGATATATATGTATTCTTTGTTATTTAACAAATTTTATGTATTAAAATTAGTTTAATTTGAGTTTGAAAGTTTGAGTTTTTTTATAGTCATAATATAAATTCAAATTTAATCACTCTTAACTAATTTATCTTAAGAAAATAAATATTTTAAAACAATGTAAAAAAAGCGTCGAGCTAAAACGAGGGAAAACAAGGGAAAAAAAAAGAAAAAATAGGGTAATTACAGAAATTAAGTATTAACTGATAAGTGGTAAGCCTATCACTTATTTTCTGACTTACAATTGAATTATTCATTCAGATATACTTAATTAATTTAGACAGTGAAATTTTAGTTATGAAATGCACTTAATTTATAAGTATTTCATTAGTTTAAAAACTTAATTCATTAAGATTTTTTAGTAGGGATTATCAAACACATTTAATTTTTTTAAGTACTTAAATAAATTAAGTCACTATATTAAGTGATTATCAAACGAGCCTTAGTATCTTTCCATTTTTTGCACCTCCTTTGTAAATTCTTCTTCACTTGGGGGGGGGGGGTAGAATTTTTGGTGGTCTTTGTACTGATATATGCCCTGTACTCTATCATCTCTCACAGATTACATGCCACATTTGAGCCTCCTTTATGCGGATTTGTCAGAGGAGGAGAAGAAGGCTGCACAAGCAAGAGCTTACACCCTTGATGAAACCATTGGGAGCTTGGAATTCGAGATTTCCCGCCTTGCATTGTACAAAACAGACACAGAAGACAAGAGCCTTAAGTCATGGGAGAAAGTGCTCGAGTGTCAGCTAAATCCCAGCTGAAACTCACCCTAAAACTACTCCCATGTCTCCAAAACTAGTTTCAGCTTTACAATCTTCTGATCCATGACTCAAAGATACTAGCTTTTCAACTTTTTCTCCGTGATGTTTGTCGACTTTTGCTGTTATCTTATGATTCTTATCATCTTTTGCCATTTTTGTTCGAACTTTTACAACTTTCTATCCGTGACGGTTGTTATCATCTTTTTGCTATTATCGTCACCAGATTTACAACTCAGTTCCATGGGATTCAAACTCGACCTTCCACTGAGATCCTGAACGCCGTGACCACTGGTTTGATAGTTCCTTCCCAATTTAATGGTATCAAAATTATTTTCAAAAAAAAAGAAAATGGTATCAAAATTCGAAGGTTGAAGAGTTTAATGTTTTTATATTTCTCCTTTTGAGTGAAATTCAACCATAGTACAACAAGATATGGACAGTTGATTATTTCAGGGAATAATTTGGTTTGATTGAACAATTCCATGAAATCTAGTTGTGTTGATCTACTCAATTTATTAGTACGACTAAGATAAGAAGACTTAATTGGGTTGAAAATGACTGGTACGTTGGACTTTGCCAAGGTCAACTTGCGAGGACTTTAATTAATATCATTGGAAAGCGTTGTGAAAACATTACGTTGTTTTCACGCTTTACTAAGCAAAAACGTTGGAAAAGTGTCATTTAAACACGCATTCTCCGATGTAAGTATGATTGTCGCCGCCGTCATCAGCAGCCAACAACCCGAACAACCCAGGAAACCGCCACCACCGCGTCCACCAATTCGGATGTAAAGTTCACCTTTGATGACTCACGCGCCGCTTTCTGCCTGAATGTCACGCTTCTCGCTCCTTTCCTCTCTGATTCAAAGTTGTGTCTTTCTCGTCAACGGTCACCTAGTCCTTCCCAACAACTTGCTTTCTTCAAGCTTCACACTTTAAAACCCCCAACAAAGTCTCTGCCGCCTTTATAAATTTGCCAGCAAAATCCAGTTTGTTTTACTCTGTCACGATCCAGATTATATTCACGCTTCCTTTGTATTCTTGAATTTGATAGAATTATTCTTCTATTTTTAAATTTTAAGCACCAGCAGATAGCAAGGAGAAAAACCCATTTCTTACTGGATTCAGAGGATCTTTGGCCACTTAGGTTTTTGTGGAACAAGATTGTTTCTTTTTGGGTTTTAGCTTTGCTGGGTTGTTGATTGTTTCTTTTGATGGACACGGAAGAGAAAACGCCGGTGAGATTTACATTGGGGAAGCAATCATCCCTTGCGCCGGAGCGGTGGACTGATTTGTTGGCGAGGGAAGATGATGATGATACGTCTAATGAGGAAGAAGATTGGAATGCAGAGGATATTAATCCGGGTGTACGGCTTATGTATGCTGCCAATGAGGGTGATATAGATGGTATCAAGGAGCTTTTGGACTCTGGCATTGATGTTAATTTCCGGGATATTGATGACCGGACGGCGTTGCATATTGCTGCTTGCCAGGGGTTCAGTGATGTCGTCAAGTTGTTGCTTGAAAACAAAGCTGAAGTTGACCCCAAAGATCGTTGGGGCAGCACGGTATGGAACAAATTGCTTGACAGATAATTTATTCACTTGATTCTGGAAAAAATGTGCAAGTTAGTTTTAATTTTTTTTATTTGTTTGCGTCCGTTGCTTGCTTCCTTGAAAACACTGATAAGAGTGCTTGAAGATTTGGTTATGGAAAATGATCTTTGACAGTTTGAAATGACTGTTTTAATTTCCTGGACCCAAATTTCATTTTTGATTGGATTATCATGTTACAAACAATGGAACTTCAAGTGGCGGAACTAAACTTGATGCAGCTGTTTTTCTGGAACTGGTTTTGTAATTTTCTCCAGTTCGTCTTGTGGAGTGGAACATGATGGAATGGATCTTGAAAATTAAAAATATTTCCATTTTATGTTAGCTACATGTATTAGTAATCATTTTCCTGGAAGCCTATAATAAGATTTGTGTGAAATGACTATGCCTTTATGCTGTACACTGGTATTATGCGTTCATTGGTGCAGTTTGTTGAATCTTCTTCCTCCATATTTGGATGAATGAGCGGACAAGTTGACCTGTACTGAATATTAGAGGAAGCTGTTTATTTTAGTGTTCTTAATCAATGTATCCCTCTATCATCTAGAATTCTAATGATTCCATAACTTTCTAGACTGCAGATTTAGAGAATATGTTTATGTGCAGTACAAATAGCTTAGTTCAGGATTACAATAGCTCGAATTACATTGGTGATCATTCTGATTGTTGCATGCTTTGAGATTGAATGAACCAATGTTATATATGTTCTTTATTCCTCAACATCCTGTGATCTAGGACTTTCTGTGCTCTGCTTACCAAATATCTGAGATTTTTGTGTAATCTTTGTTGAACAGCCTCTTGCTGATGCAATCCACTACAAGAACCATAACGTTATCAAATTATTGGAGAAGCATGGTGCAAAACCTTTGGTATGTTATTTATTTTCATTTGTAAGCTGTCTTAAAGAATAAATTAAAAGGAATAATATTGATCTTTTCACCCCTTTTTCGTTAGAATTTCTGGCAAGTACTTTGTTGAATTCTAGGTCTAAATTTTGCTTATTGGATGTATTATCTAGATGGCTCCCATGCAAGTAAAAAACTTCCGTGAAGTTCCTGAATACGAGATTGATCCTGAAGAACTTGATTTCACAAACTGCATTGAGATTAAGGAGGTACTGTAGAACTATTTCCCTTCCATCTAATTAATGCTAAAATCTATACATATTTTTAACTCATCTTTGAAACTACTGTTTTCTTCTTGACATACTGTATGTTGCAATTCAATATTCTCGGTTTGGTGATCTGAAACTTACTTTAGTGGATCTCATTTTTCATTTTAGAGTACCAGACTGCAATGAATTTTAATCAGGGATTTTGTTCTGAGATCATATTGCTCTGTTTCTAATATCAGATCACAAGTTATGGCAGCAGGGCTACACATAGATATAGCAGCAATCTTGTTTCTTAGAGAATTTAACTGTTACCTATGGACCTACATTTTTCCGCAAAGTATTGATTTACAGCATATGCATCTACGCTTAATTACATTTTTTCCTTTTTTTTCTGCCATCTTTAACAGATGGGCCTAACATAAATATGGCAGGTCTTAAAATTGTAATGTTGCTCTCAACTTACAGCCCTGAATTTTTGCAATATATTCTAGGGAACTTTCCAAGTAGCCTTGTGGCGTGGTACCAAAGTTGCAGTTAAAATGTTTGGGGATGAAGTTATTTCCGACGAGGATAAAGTGTGAGTTTCTTTAAGGATGTTGATGTTTCATTTGTTTCATTCTTTTTTATTTAGCTAAGTTCAACATCTGGATACTTCGTGTCGATGCAGAAGGGCATTCAGAGACGAGCTTGCTCTGCTTCAGAAGTTAAGACATCCAAATGTTGTTCAGTTTCTTGGTGCTGTGACCCAAAGTAGCCCTATGATGATAGTGACTGAATATCTACCCAAGGTTTTTCCATATCCTGATCCTGTCAGTAACTAAGGGTTTCTTAAAGTATTCTTCGATAATTAGCTAGGATCTTGTTCTTTGTCACTACTTTGTCTGCTCTAATAGATTTTAAGATTTTTTTGATAGCTTTTCCCGCTCTTGTCTGCAACTACAGTTTTCAGCGGGGAAAAAAAATAATAAATCATTCTTGTTGGTAACCCAACACAATTTCCATTCACTTTTTATTCTTTCGACTTGTCTTTTTTTTTCTTCTTTTTTTTTTTCTTTCCCTTCTGTTCTGGGGTTAGTTGTGAAACTTTTGTTTTTTGAGTTTAGCGGATGACATCAGTTTTTGATTAGTAGGTTCTGACATAATTACGGTTTGGTGGCACACTCTTTGTGCATGCTAGTTTGGTTAAATTAAAATTTCTCTATGGCATTTGAGCAAAGTCGTAGGATCCTGGTAATTTCTATCAACTTTTTTGTATTGCGATATGGAAACTTCTGGTTATCTAGGTTATGATGAAATTGCTCTTGCTTGTTTCCAGAATGTTGGGCTCTTTTATTTTAGCTGAATCTGGTATGAAATTATTGTGCAAACTCTGATCCACTGTATGTCATTCTCTGCGACTTGTTGATGGTGTAACAGAGTTTTCATGTGGAATGAAGTCTGTCATACTAGTGATATGAAGAATGTAGTCACGTGCTCATACATAGGCTAACACAAAAAATATTTCTTCTACGTGTGGCTTCTCATTGTCTACTGAATTGGATCTGGACGGAGTTATAGAGCTACACATTAACGCTTGCAATATACTTTTGAAAATTTATTTTTGTCTTGTTGTGTTTTGGATCAGAGTAACTTAGAAATGATGGATTTGTTACTTATATGGGTAGGATGCTAGTTGGTTTAAGGACTGAATCCTGCAATGCTGTATTATTCAAAATTTAGTTCCTGTCTTTAAATAAGCCATGTGGACATCCAACTTAAATTAAAAGGATGTGATATTCTCATATTGAAGGTTTTGATTTCTAAAAAGAATATTCAATGTTGGTTTCAGTGAGTTTTATATTAAAATATGCTTTCTTATTTCTATAATCAATTTCCAGGGTGATTTATGCTCATATTTGAAGCAAAGAGGTGCACTAAAGCCAACAAGAGCGCTCAGATATGCATTGGACATCGCCAGGTGCGTAATGTTTTCTTTTTGAATGTTACATCTGTATATCATTAGGAGATTATTCTTCAGACAATGATAAATGTTGTAAAGACATTTGTTGAACTTTCAATCTCGTGGCATTCATAATCTTAAATATACCTTTACAAATAAACCGACGAAGATTATTCCCACGCTAAATATTTTACGAGTATAAAAATGGGTCTTATTGCTTCTAGCCACCACGAGGGAAAGCTTAGACTGATACAGTTAGATTCTCTGATTAACTTTCAGATCTCACATAGGCAATGCTAAAATATTTTTGAAGTTACAACCTGTGTTTCAAATATTTGGATGTATTTTTCTTTGTTGTCAGCAGTGCAAGAAATGCTATTGTACTCAGTACTACTGATTATTATTCCCCGTTTTTTATTTGCTGATGCAAAATTTGTGTTTTAACAGAACACTAGGTATTATCTATTTAGCAATCCCACATTTTGGGATACAGCTTTACTTTTTTCTGTTGCGATGCTAAATTCTTTGAAAGGGAGTTATATCAGGTCTGTGTGATTTAATTGTTCTGGACGTAAGCTCTCAAATGCTGAGGAGCAACTATTTTTATTCATGTTCTGCACGCCTCAGATTAACAAAGTTGGTTTTAATATCTTTTTAGGATTTTTCTATCTGTGAGAAATGAATCATATGGTTCATTTTAGATTCATTTCCTCTATTGGTCATCTATTTTGAATACCTGTTCTTTTGAATCTCTAATTTATTGCTTTGAGCATTCTCTCGGTCTCTAAGGGTTAAACTTTCTATTGTTCAGTTATGTATGGAATTAAAATTTCAGCAATATTAAAGCCACATATGAATATTTTTTGACGCTTTTGCCTTGCAGAGGGATGAACTATCTGCATGAACGTAAGCCAGCAATTATTCACTGTGATCTAGAGCCTTCGTAAGATCTATCTGCTCTCACATTCCCAGTTTAATCTGCCATGCAAGCACTTGACTTGGACACATCAAAGCTTGTGTCAAGTATTTTCTATTGTTTCTGACTACAAGTGGAATTCTTTATTGCTATTGTTATAGAAATATTTTGCGGGATGATTCTGGACACCTGAAAGTTGCAGACTTTGGAGTTAGCAAACTAGTAGAAGTTGCCAAAAGTGTTAAAGATGACAGGCCTCTATCTTATCATGATATTTCTTGTGAGTATGATGCTCTTTGGATGGAGTGTCTTGTTTTTAATTTCGAATGCTTTTTAAATGATACATACATTCGGCTTTTCTGTTATGTTTTGCTCTGTTGTTACCGGCTCAGCCCACAAAAAACACATCTAGTGCATGTATTCCCTCCTTCAGATGGCATTATCTGTTGTTTATTAGCATATCTTTTAGTTGTTGTTGCTGAGCTGACCATTATTTGGCCATACAGGTCGATATGTGGCTCCTGAGGTTTTTAATAAGGAGGAGTATGATACAAAAGTGGATGTTTTTTCATTTGCTCTAATTTTACAAGAGGTAAGGCGACATTCTTTCTACATGAAGTAAATTGGTTTGTATAAGGCCTAGTTAACCAACAACCTCGACCGGAATTCTCCCTAAAAAATTACCTACCAATCTCTCTAATATGAATGAAAAGAGTCTATTGATTTCTCTAACAACGTGTCTTCCTTCTTTTTTGGTTTATAGTAAAGCTTTTTGTGTGAGATTTTTATCTGAAAACACCATTACTTGCAAGTTTAGAACTCTTTTATTCATCCATTCTTTTTTTCTTGTTATGCTCCGCTACAGATGATTGAAGGCTGCCCCCCATTTGACTCAAAGGAAGCAAATGAAGTTCCAAAGTTGTATGCTGCGAATAAACGCCCTCCTTTTAAAGCTCCTGGAAAGTCATATGCCCATGGAATCAAAGAGTATGTTATTTAAGTCGTGTGAAATACTCATCTTGCCCGACAGAAACTTGTCTTAAATGGCTGATCCAATCAGTCCACTTATATCTTATCCATAAGCATCTATTATTTTTAGTTGACTTTCTGAATGCTGATGCATCCTAACTCATAATTAGCAACCATTTATCGACATTTCTCTATCCTATTTCGCATCTGAATAATGAAACTCAAGACTGTTATGCTAAGTTTCGACGCACCACATAATGTTAGGAGATTCCTGAAAAGTAGCTGTCTTTTGTAATACCCTTGACATATTAAAAATCGTTAAAAGCAGCAAATCAAGTACTCATTGTCAAGCTATTCAATGTGTTTTTTCTTCTTAACAAAATTTGGCCACAATTGGGCATCCTTGATTACAGATATTGTTGGGCCTTTTCTTGTCTGCATCAATGAGGAGACCACAACGGTTTTAATCTCCATATGGAAACAAATACGTTGTACTATTGAACATTCCTTCACATTGACTGTAATTATCTCCAGTATTATACTTATTGTACATGTTCTCCAATCTCCAGTATTAACGCTTGTATTTTTTGTTTGCTTTAGAAATGCGCCCTTTAGTAATGTTTGTTCTGTTTGTTTCAGTGAGGCAAATTTTATGAGTTGTCACAATGGGTTTTGTTTGAAGTATCTTGCTGGGGCTAAGTTTCCATCTCTCAAAATCTTTTTGCAGGTTGATCCAGGAGTGTTGGAGCGAGAGGCCCGAAGATAGACCAACATTTAAGCAAATCATTCCGAGGCTGGAGTCGATCTTCAATAAATTTGGGCATGGGCACAGGCATTTTTGGAAGGTTGGTCTAACTATGTAGTTGTCTTTTCTTTTGTGCATGTACTAATTATGTGTGTTCTTTTCGTTGCGTTTAACTTTCTGGTTTGACCATCTAATTCTTATAAATTGGAGCTCTCTAAAAAGTGTGAAAAGAAGTCATTCATGAAATTTTTTGAGTGCTAGAGAATTCAGCAGCAATGGACCAAAAATTAATTGGCCGATAATGTAATTAGACTAGATGTTACTCTCATGCTGCTGAGTATGTGAAAAACTGGATTCTTTTATTCCACTTCGTGTTACCTTTTCTTCATAATCTTCCACTTGTGCTATAGTTATAGAACAATTTAGGGCTGTGGTTGTGGTTTTAATTTGCATCACGCTTCAGTCAATTCGTTATTGGTTTATATAGACAGTAAGCTGTGTGAAGTCAAGGGTCAATTGGGAATTGAATAATAGCCTAATGGTTAAGATGCTATCTTTCCTGGTTCAATTCCCACCAAAGGGGTTTGTAAGGTTTTTTTACCCACATTTAAGTGAGTCCACTGGGATGAAATTTTTAAGGGCAAAAAAAAAAAAAAGTCAAGGGTTAATGGTGAGTGCCATGGTTGCAGGTTAGACCACTGAAATGTTTCCAAAGAGTGGAGGCTATGTGGAAGAAAGACGGTCATGTCGATGCAAATTGGGCGGATTCCAACCGATCTGACAGCAGCATTTAGGCATCCTCCCTAAACCAAAGTTCTCCTGGATCAACTGTGCAGTTATGGTTTTTTCTTTTTTTTTTTTTTTTGTTTTTTCATTCTAGCCCAGATGATGATCAATGTAGAAGTGCTTAACAATAGCTTGGATTTGTGTGTATAACTTTGTCCTCTAATTTAAGTCAAGATCACCCCCAAGTATGTGGAGCGTGTTGCTCCCCTTTCCCACCATTATTGTGTATAACCGATCAGATATACGAGGTTGTATTCTCTCAAATCTCAGTATTGTTGAAGTAACTGTGCGTAATTTGTTGTCAGTTTTCCCCCACAAGGAAATTCATGTTGGTTTTGTACAAAGTGGTAACACGAGCATAACAATAATAATAAAAGCAGAGATGAAGATGCAAATTATTTTTTGTGCATGTGAACTGTGAAGTACTACAGTATGATCCGAAAGCCAAAAAAAGTTTTAAAAAATGGAAAAAAAAAAATCTCTGCCAAAGAAATATTAGAAGATCATCCTGAAAGCGAAATGTCCCGGAATCGAACTAATCCAATTTATTGCGGAAAAAAAAAAAAAAAAAGCAGCTTCAATTTACTCCCACGGTTTTGGTATTTTCTATTTTGTAGCAGCACCAACCTCAACTTTCCTTCCCACATTTCTAGTTATCCATTTTCGGAATAAGAATATAAGCTTGATAAAGTGAAAAATTATTGGGCACAACTGCTGTATCCTGGTTTTTAGTGCAGCAAGTACTAGCACTCCCTATTTTAGTGATATATCTTCCGTAGAAATTCTTTCTTCCCCCAAAAATTACTATTTTACTCATATTATTATGTTTGGCTGCACAATCCTACCTATTACAACAATTACACTGAATAATTTCTCTGATAAAGTAGTAACTAGCAACTAATAAAGTAGTAACTAGCAAAGACGGTTTCTCATTGGAGCTGGACTACTTCAATGTGACTCGAATGGAAATCAGTCCAAGTATAAAAAATTAAGTTTAAAATTTAGACCTTAGCACCAAATGATATCACTTAATTACCACTAATTCTCCCAAGTCTAGCAAACTAGGATAGGATCTAGTTGACGATCTCGATAATTAAACGGTGACCAAATATATTCTCTCCGATCCTTATTATAAGGCATTTTAACTTTTTCTAGATTTTACCTAGTACATATTTTTAATTGATAAAAAAAATTTAAAAATATATTTATACATTCGTTGTATTCTCTTGATTGTTATGAAATATTTTTAAGATTTTTTCGTCGATTAAAAATGTGTATTAGGTTAAACTTAAAAGAAATCAAAATTAATGCTTTATATTAAGGACGTGGAGGAGTATATTGTGAAGAGTTAAATCATAGCATGGCTACTGAGAAAAAGTAGTAATACAGATGTACGCTGTCTGATCGACATCATCAAGCACAAGTGGTCCTTGCAAGAGTTTGATTCGCAGAAGATTTTTTGTAGGCTTTTTCATATGTCAGGTTCAGCTCCCACTTACTATAGAAAGAAAGCTTACATCCAAATAATGTCGTATTTGGAAACTGAGGTGTAATGCCCTAGGAAAGCAGATTAATACCAAGCCTGAAATGCATATATAAATCAATTAAGGGACTACTGTCCAGAAATTTTAATCACTTGGCTTACATTCATTTCGATGGATTCAGAGTGTGAAATGAGAAACATAGAAAGATGTGAATTTGGCTGGGGAAGAATTGACCCAGAGATTTCAAAATTAAAGCTGCCTCCCAATAAGTTGTGATAATTATATACTATATTGGAGCACACCCTGAACGAAATTCGATTGTGGTTTGGACTTTGAATTTTGATACGTGAACTAGATCAATTTAAATTAAACATAAGAATCTAAACTGGACAATCATTTCACGACGAAGGGAGTATATGGCTAGTTAGAAGTGTAAATTGTAATTATTTTAAAGATAAACATAGAGAACATGTTAAAATATAAGATTGAGAATGGCCTTAAAAAAAAAAAGAAAAAAAAAACCATATAGAAGCCCATTATGTAGTTTATTAAGTTTCACACATCGAATTATATTTTGATTTTAGAATTTAATCCTTTATTACTATTTAATTTCATTACAAAATTTCACGGTTCCGATACCATTTCCGCGGAGGCTAGTTGAGACTTGAGACTACTGCCTTAATGTTGGACATAACACATGAAGGCTCCCATAAAACAAAAAATTGGTTCCTCAATGCATCTTGGCACAACTTGCCTCAAATTGGAAAGTGGGGTTGCCTTAGGAAGAACAAAATACATGTCATCGGTCTTAAGAATATAGTTAATTACTTTGTTCATAATGAATTAGGACGTTGTAATGATCGATTTTAGTTTATTTCGGTGTTTGTTTCAGAACACTAGTCTAATTTTTAATGTGTAACGAATGTCGTTTTTTTTTTTTTTTGGGAAATTGGTCGTTTTTATTGTCAGATTATTATATGTATGTATGTGCTATATTATATTATAGATAATTGCAAAAATTGAGCATTTGCTCTTGTTAAAATTGAATAAACTTCCGTTAAAAAATCAAACCAACGTAAAACTGAAAACAAACTAGACCATATATACCGAAATGAGTTTGTATTAGTTAATGTTTATTATACAGTGAAGACCATGATTTTAGGTCACAGCCATTGCTGAACAGAAGTGAGGAGAAATAATACCAAAAACAAAGTTTAAAAAAAAAAAACAAAAAATGGAGTATTTATTTAATAATAATACTCCCACCGTCTCATAATTATTGTCCAGTTTAAATTTTTATTTTTAGTTCAATTTGTATTAGAAGTGAAAACCCAAACTTTGGGACGGAGGGAATAGAAGAAAAAGAATTCAGGTGGAATTAATAGAAAGGGGGGCCATCGATTTTTTGTTCTGACTGTAATTATTCCCTTCGGTCCGTAATATAAGGTATTTCGATTTTAGACTTAGGTTTTATCTAGTACGAATTTCTAATTGACGAAAAAACCTTAAAAATATATTTCCACATTTGTTGTATTCTCTTTATTGTTATGAAATGTTTTTAAAGTTTTTTTATCACTTAAAAATACTTACTAGATTAAATTTAGAATAAATTAAAATGTCTTATATTAGGAACCGAGAACCGGATTCCCATTTTTCAGCTCCATCCCATTTTCTGCATCAACCCCCCATCCATCATCAGCAGCAAATTCTAACCTGTACGGAACTGAACAAAACCCAACCACAAAAACCCACAAACAAAACTTTGTACCTTTCTTTTTAAAATATAGCAGTAGTCATCATCCCCATCTCCGACCTAGGTTAGTCCATTCAGCCGGAAAACTTTTATCCTTTTTTTTTTGTTTTTGTTGTTGCATGAAACACATCACAGATATATGCGTTATTGATTTCTTTTTTCTTTTTTTTTTTTTGGGGTACGGTATTGATTGTAATTACACAGCAGAGAGAAAGAGAGAAAGAGAGATGGCGTATGGAAGAGATGAAAATAGCAGCAGAGAGATGATGTCAGGAGAAGAAGAGATGAGAAAGATGAATGGAAGAGGGAAGATTGAGATCAAGCGGATCGAGAACACCACAAATCGTCAGGTCACTTTCTGTAAGCGCCGCACCGGTTTGCTGAAGAAGGCCTACGAGTTGTCGGTTCTCTGTGATGCTGAGGTTGCCTTGATCGTCTTCTCCAACCGCGGCCGCCTCTACGAGTACTCCAATCAAAGGTATCAACCAAAAAAAAAAAAAAACCTCATGAAAGAGTTACTTCTTTGTTTCTGTGTGTGTGTGTGTGTGTTTTTTTTTGTTTTGCCTGTTCTTCTCAGTTTGCTTCTTTTCTTATAAGTGGGAAATGTTTTTCATTATTCTAGTTTGTAACCTCGGTTGGTTGTTGATTTTTTTGAGCCTAAAAGGAGCTTGCAGAAATTATTATATATACTACGTACCCTCCTTGTAGATTTTGAGTTGGGTCCTTTTTTATTTTTGGTGTTTTAATTTCTTCAGAATTACAAGCGTTTTTTTTTTTTTGTTTTCTTCTGAAGTTTCTGTACTCTTTTTCAAGATCTAAAACCCAGTTTCCAGATCTGCTGTAAAATATAGGAAAAGGGGTCATGACGGCCATATAGTTGTAGTTTCAGAGCTCTGAGATCAGCTTTCGTCCATTGTTGTCTTGGGTTTTATTTATTTATTTATTAATTTTTTTGGTTGGTTGTGCTCTACTACCTTTACCTTTTTTTGAGTTCTCTTTCCTCGTGTCATAAGATTCTTGATGGGGTAGTATAAGTTGAAGAAATGAAGATGGATAATCTGGTTCTCCTCCAAGTACACTTCTCCAAACGTGTGTGTAAATTAGCCTAACCCTAAAGAAGTGTTAACTGATTCATGTGGGTCATCCACTTAGTTTCGTTTTTTCCTTCTGAAAGAAAATCAAGAATTAGGTCATGATTTATTTGTACTTATAATTGATGGACTAGTAAGTAGTATTAGGTAATAGGAGATTCCAGTCACCACTACTATTATGTTGGCTTTTCATTTAGTTCAGTTAGATTTCAACACCAGGTTTGGTTGATCTCAGTTCTCTTTCGGCTACAAAAATCTTTGGTCGTCTACACATAAAAACACTACTCTCTTTGCCCAGATGTGATAATAATTGTTTCTTCTTTTTTCTTCTTTCCTGGGTCAAGATATATGTATTGCATCTTTAGAGTTTAGAGTTTAGACATTGAAAGAACACGGTTTCAGAAAAAAAAAAAACCCTCTGGAACATAGTAAAAAACAGATAAAATTTCTTGGGATGCTTTCATATCTTTGGATTCATTTCAATCAAGTCATTTCTTACAACAAGAACCTGCCCACCAATAGGGGAGTTCTTGGCGTTGCTTTTCTGTTCCCTACATTTGCATAAGCAACCGAAACATGGAGGGTTTCCACGCAGAAGCAGTAAATTAGGAGTGGTCCAAACTTACCATTTTTGTTGTTCTGAATTGGACTCGATGTCACCTAAAATTACACATGTCAGTGCATATTTTGGGAGTGACCTAGAAGGGTCTGACTCTTTAGGGGTTATTTGTCCAAGGGGTAATGGGCTCTTGAACACGTGGCTTAATCTTGGCCGTTTAAAATTGGACCAATCGAAGTAGTGGGAACTTGTGCCAGGCTGGCAGGCGCAGCCAATCAAATATTTGGCTCGAGGAAATTAAGGTTAAAAATCTGACTGGGATTGGGTTTCTCTGCCTTTTTAGCTTTTAGGCTTAGGGGCATGTTTTCTTCGTACGATAATGTTTTTCTTATATAGGCCATTTCGACATTTGGTCATTTCAAACTTGCCAGTTGAGTTGACTCTGACTAAGACTGCTCAAAGATTTTCTGGTCATGCATCCCTATCCTTATATTAAAAGCTTTTGTTGTGGGACTTGAATAAGCTGTAATTAATTGAAAGAAATACTTGAATGTGATGATGTATTTTTCACTTCCTCTGTTCCAAAATAAGAAGACTATATATGTAACAAGTGATGAGACATTCTCAAATAATAGATTAAAAACGATAAACGAGAAGAATTTCAAACAAGAATTTGATCAATGTCATCTTTTTGGCCACTAATTGTACACTCATAATCTCCCATTAATTACAAGATGGATATAAATTATCTATATCCAACTGTATGATGCAATGTCATTAGTGATAATTGTGATGCTTTTTGTTTCAGTGTTAAAGCAACAATTGAGAGGTACAAGAAAGCAACTTCAGAGCCTGACAACAAGGGTTCTGTTTCCGAAGCCAATGCTCAGGTATAGTCTCCAAAGACTATAATATGGTAAATCGATGCAAAAGTTTAAAAGTAATCCCTTCGTCCTAAAATTAGAGTATGGTAAATTTTGGGACGGAAAAGTAGTAAAATACCGAAATCTAGAAACCCATACACAGATTATTGGTCAGCATGGAGAACAGTTTTGATCACTTCTCAAAATTTTGGCTGTTGTCATCTCATCACAGTTCTACCAGCAAGAAGCATCCAAATTGCGAGCTCAGATTGGTAATTTGCAGAACTCAATCAGGTAATTTAAATTTGATGTAGTCGATCAAACTTCCTTCATTTTTTAAAGTCATTTTTTGGCCTTAAGGCTATATTTTCCTCTAATTTTCAATTTCCCTTTTTTGTGTGTGGGGTTTATCAGGAACTTGCTGGGTGAATCTTCAGGGTCGTCTTGCCTCAGAGAACTCAGGAATATAGAGGCTAAGGTAGAGAAAGGCCTTAGCCAAGTTCGATCCAGAAAGGTCTTTTCCTCTTCTTTTTCTTTTGAATTTTCATATCTTTCTCTGAAGTATTGTTTGGCAAAATTATTACAGTATTTTTACTTTCTCTTTGAAAATCACAGAACGAACTTATGCGCGCCGAAATTGACTTCATGCAAAAGAGGGTAATTCTTACAACTTTACTACATTCATCGTATATACTTTCCCGATTAAAAGAAAAACAATTTTAATTAGTTAATTAGTATCGTATAAATTATACCGAAATCTAGGAAACCCAAATTGTAATACTCTTAATTGTTATCAATTTACTTTGACAAAAAATATTGGATTAATTCCAGGAGGTCGATTTACACAACGTCAATCAATATCTTCGGGCTAAGTTCGGTTCACCAGCAGATAATTTACGTGTGAGTGTGACCACAATTATTAACCCATTCTTACTCCCTCTCTTTTCGAAAAGGTTTTAATTATTGTGATGATTTTGTGCAAGCCATTGTGAATTTTCAAAGAAGATTTTATTGTTTTTTTTTTTTTAATTTTTTTTTCAAAATCTAATCCTCATTCAACTAATACTTCAGATACATAATTTATTAAGTGGTGAATGAAACAGCTCTGATAATTAACCAAACTATTTCCTCAGATGATAGGTGAAGCTGAGAGAGCAGATGAGCAACAAACGAGTTTGATGGCAGCTGTTGGGAAGTCTGACTATGAAATTGCATCGTCGGAACCGCCGTATGATGCTCGGAATTTCATCCAAGCCACCAATGGCCTGCAAAGGAACAACCGTCATCATGCATGAATTTACCGCGCTCTTGAGCTAGTGTATGGTTCCTCCTCATACTTTTTAGTAACCATTCTCTCTTAATTAGTACGTCGCTTAATAATCGTCATGAACTAAATTAAGTCAAGAAACATGACAACTATATATCAGGACACACAGAAGTATATAATTATAATAATTATCCTTTTATAATTAAAAAAAAAACATGTTGTGATATAAGAACACCCATGGAAGATACTAATCATGATAAACTTTCAAACCTGTTTGATTTAAACACAATTATCTTACTCAACTTAATTATGTGTGTCCAATTTCAAACAAGCATGTTTCGAGCCCTGAAAAGATTTCCCCTTTTTGCATCTATATTACCTAATGAATTTTTATCTTAACACCGCTTTGCTAATTGTAATTCTATATAGGTTAGGATTAAGATGCAAAGATTTTCTTTAGTATTTACTGAGCAGTGATTTTGTTTTTCTTTTCCACAGTGCACACAGCTAAGATGCTAAAAGTTGGGCTGCAAGGTTTTGAATTGGCATCTCATGTCTACAAGTTTCTACTTATGTACCCTGCTAAACAAGGTTAAATTAAACCACTAATTGGCTGTGTGGTCGAGTTAATTGTACTCTTCAAGAGTTTTTACTTCCTTTTCTCCCGATCTTGAACCATGTTTTCTATTTCACTCTTGTTTAATTAGTATTACATGAAAAAGATCGAAGCATATTTATGCCACTTAGTTTATTTTCCTCTACAAATATATGCTAATTCTACTCAAAATGTTAATCACGTTTATTGCAAATGATTTGGGATGAAATGAGTATTTAGTGCTCAATAAAATACACTATTTTCTTGTCGGAGTGTTGTACAATAGAAATAAAGTAATATATCCTTCATCATTGTACCAACTACCAAAAAAAGAGTAGTAATACAACATAATATATAGTTTCGCTAAATTAGTGAAATACGGTAAATATCTATGATGCTATATTAATAATTCAACGAGTAAGATATAACTTAAAGGCTTTATTGGGCCCATTTCGTAGATGGAATGGAATTTTCGAAGATAAGCCCAAATACTTCTGTAGTGGATTGTAGTAAGGACGATGGGATGAGTTACTGTTTTTTTTTTTTTTTATTTTATTTTAATACTCCTTCATATGTTAGGCCTAATATTTAACTGATTATCTAAAATATCTTTATGGTTTAAGAAAATATTAAAAATATCCTTTAATTGGCCAGTCGATTGTGTCAAAAAAAAATTTTCGGTGAACAAAAATTAATGAATGCACACATCTCAGTAAAAAAAAGTGTTGAAAAGACATTTGTAACCTGTAAAAACTTTTTTTTTTAAATTTTTTTCAAAACTCTAATAAAATCAAATATATATTTCTAAAAGAAATTGAATTTTGGATATAAAAGATGATATCAGATTTTATTAGAGTTTTAAAAAATTGCAGAAGAGTTTTTACAGGGCACAAATGTCTTTTTAGGCTGAGTTTTGCACATAAATCAATTTTTTTAGTCACCGGAAGATTGATAATTAGCTTACCGACTGAAGGATGTTTTCAATATGTTTTAAACAGTAAGGGTACTTTAGATACTTATATAAACCTTAGGGGTGTTTTTGATATTAACCCTATTCTTTTACCCTTTAATGTCGGTGATCACATAGGGCACTCGTCTATAAATAGAACCCAAGGTCTCAAGTCTGCACACCCCAATTCTGTTTGACAATTGGTAAGTCGCCTAAACCCTAGAGATAAAACTCTCTCTGATCGGAAATTCCTGCAAGTCAAACCGCCGGAGAGACAATTCCAATAACTCCAAAAGCTCGCTCTCTGTTCGTTTTGTATATTTTGTTTGCTTCGAAAGGGTATATATAAAAAGAAAAAAAGAGCAGAGAAGAGCAATGGAGGATGAGTATTGTACGGACTGCAAGATGCAAACCAAGATGGCTTTCGATCACGCCGCCGGAGACACGATCTGCCGGGAGTGCGGCGCGGTGATGGAATCCTGGTATATTGACGAGACCGCCGAGTATAGAACCTTCCAGAACGATTGGGGTAACGACCACGACCCTGTTCGGGTCGGCGGTCCAACCAACCCGCTTCTTGCCCAAGCCGGCGGCCTATTCACCAGGGTTTCAAAAGCTCCGGCGAACAAGAATTCCGATATCGGAGACAATCTTTCCCGATTGCCGAGCCGCAGCGTCCGCGACCACGATTACGACCGACTCCAAGCCAGTCTTTCCGCCATTGGTGAGATGGCGGAGAGGATGGAGCTTGTTAAGACAATTCAGGATCGGGCCAGTGAGATGTTTGTGAAATTGGAAGATCAGAAATCCGCCACAAAGAAAAACAAAGACGCGTTAATGGCTGCCTGCATTTACATTGCTTGCAGGCAAGCTCACGCGCCTCGCTCACCGAATGAGATTTCCACCATTACCAATGGAGTCACTAAGAAGGAAATTGGCAGGGCAATAAACTTTGTTATTAAGCAATTGCAGATTGAAATGGGGGAAACTATGGAGATGGAATCGGTTCAGGCAGGGGATTACTTGAAACGGTTCTGCTCCCAGCTCCTTATGAGCAAGGAGCAGATTAAAGCTGTCCAGGAAACAGTTAAGAGGTCGGAAGATTTTGATATAAGGAGGAACCCGAAATCCATAGCTGCATCTATCATATACATGATTTCTCAGCTTTCTGCTGATGATTCGAAGAGACGGTCGTTGCGAGAAATTTCGCTTGTTACCACAGTTGCTGAAGGCACCATAAGAGATGGGTATAAGGATCTTTTTGCCTATTCATCGAGGATTATACCAGAATGGTTTGCCAAGGGAAAGGATCTCAACCCTCCTCCCGTTTCTAATTCAAGGTATAATAATAATAATAAAAGCACAAAAAAGGACTCCAAACTTGACTTTTCAATGGGGATGAACATGTAATGAAAACATTTTCAATCATGATCTCTATGAAATTTGTGTTATTTTGGACTAAAAAGACGAAAAACCATTATAACACACATTTGAATGGGTATAAAAGTTTGATTTATGATGCTGTATATTACATGTACCTATATAGCCCATTGATCATTTTGATCTTCCCATAACAATCAGGAAGAGGAAAAACAGCGCCCAGGATTGCTTGGGAGTGGGGACCAAAAAATGAAGGTTATTTCTTCTTGATGCTTTTGCTCCCCAGTTTTCGAGCATGTCCAAGTCAATAGTGCAGGCACCCTGCGGGGAGTTTAGCTGTGAAGCAATAGAGCTAAGGGAAGCTCTACACTGGCTAAACCAGATGACATTCCTGGGCAAATCCTCCGTCCTGCACTAAATGGCTAACGTTCAAAGTGAATATTCCCGTTGAAATCAATGTTATTATCTCTTTATAAACCTTTTAGGTTAAAAACTTTCTGGATTATGCCAGTATTTAGCATTCCTTCCCATTACCCGAAGATAACCGTAACCTTTGTTTTTGTTGGTATCTTATCTCCATGAAAATTTCAATCTCCTCTGTGTGCTTTGTGCTTTGTGTCCGAACTAGCAGGGGAATTAGGAGATGTAGCCTAAGAGTTTCTTTTATATATATATATATATATATATATATATATATATATATATATATATATATTATAGGAAAATCTAGAGTTCCATTGGCCGTTTTTACGGAACCGTCCTGTTTTGTCTTCAACTAATCAAAATTGATAGTATAAGATGTAATCATGTGGTGAATAACATTCTATAATATCATAAACTAATTGAGAAAATGATCACTTTTGCCCAAAACATCAAGTTACTGGTCAATTTGACCCAAAATATTTTTGGCAAACCAAATTCATCATATAAATTTTAACTTTTTGTCAATTTAATCCAAATTGATGAGAAATCTATTAGATTTAATATTTCCAATGACATTTCGTTACTTTGTACAATTTTTTATTGGTAAAAAAACTTTGTTGACCTAAAATTTTAACATTTTATCCCTAATGTTTTGTTATTCAGTAATATACGCTTATCTTACCATTTAATTTTTATAACGTCCCCACCACATAATTTATCTCCTAATCTAATTCATTGCTTTCACTCTAAACTTCTTCCTTTTTTTCTTCTTTTACTTGTTTTCTGCCGCCGCACCACCACTGTCCCTTTCCTTTTCTCTCTTAAAATTACCATCACCACTTCCTAAATCTGTGAGAATTTCAAACCATTACCACAAACATAAAAATTTGCCTTAAAGATTGCTCACAAAATATTTTTGAGTTATCCGGAACCTGAACGTCGTTTTCATCCTTTTTCTTGCTTAAAAAAATGTAAAAATAACAAAATATCCCCTTTTATTTCTATTTACTATTTTTCATAACAGTCACAATATACAATATGATCTTTAAAAAATAATTATTTATTTTCAATAATATTTTTCATGTGCAACATACTTGAGTTGGGTTTAGAGGTAATTTTGTCTTTTTATATTTTTTAAAAATTTTTAATTTGTTTTATTTTATTTTTTTAACAATTTCCTTCTTGTACTCTCTGACTTGTATATGTTGGCACTAGTATAATTACTATATTTCAAGAAAAAAAATTTACCTTTTGTATTTCAATTTCGAGGTTTTAAAAAATATTACAAAATATGTTGTTGAAAAATATACGTATTTATCTTTGTCATGAAATTCTATTATTGCTTATACAGTTTAGCTATCGGCAAAGTAACACTAAAAATTACTAAAAAAGAATAAAAATTGTGTTAACAAAATTTAAAACAATTCATCGTGGTGGACTAAATAAATTAGCACTTTCTCCTATTTCAATTGATTATCTAATTTTTTCTATTTCAATTTTGATTGGTTGCAGACAAAACGGGACGATTTTGTAAAAATGGTCAATGAGACTCTAGATTTTCCATATATACATACATATATATATATATATATATATATATATATACTTGGGAAGCCAAAAGCTTAGTTACAAAACATCTCGCCTTCGTGCGGATGAGTTCAAAACGATTCTAGAAATATCCTTCCCATAAGGGATGCTGCCAAACAATCTAACTCTTTTACATAAAGAGGTGTTGCTACTGAATGCCTTTATTTTTTTTTTAAGCGTCTTAAAAATTTAAAAAGATAATTTTATCCTTAATTTTTATTTTTATTTTTTTTTAAAGGAGGGGAGGGAGGAAGAATTGCGCCAACCTTTCACGACTGGCGCAGGAGAAACACGCCACTCCTTTGCAGGGTGGCGTGGAATAATGTCGCCTCCCTTTACAGGGAGGCGAGAAAACCTTCGCCAGAGGTGAAGGTGTGGCGCCCATTTTGGGCGCCACCTTTGTTCGGGTTGGTGAGCATTTTCCTCAACAACCATTCAATGGGTGGCGCCGTTTTGTGCGCCACCCTTTTTATTTTTAATTTAATTATTTAATTATTTTTTAATGTATTTAATTATTTTTATTTATTTATTAAATTATTAGTTTAATTAATTAATTTAATTTATTTAATTCATGTATTTAATTTAATTAATTTATTTATTTTATTTGAGTATTTATTTGGTAGTTTAATATTTTTTTAGAAAATATATGTTAATTGGTAGTTAAATGGATAATTTATCTTAATATTTAGGGTTTATGATATTGGTAAATAAATAATGTTTAACTTAAATATTTAGAGAATATTTTTTAACTATGTATTATGTTCATAAGTTATTGTTGTTATATTAAATAGGTAAATTTTTGGTTAAATATGAAATTTCAACGTATTTTATATTTATTTTATGATAAATATGAAATATAAAAATATAAATTTTAACGTATTTTATATTTTATATTTTAAATTTTTTCAAAAAAAAATTCTCAGGATCGCTAGATGCACCAATGATAAATAAATATTTTTAAATTTAAATATTTAGAGAATGATAATTTTTTAGTTAGTAGTAAATGATAATTTCTCATTAATATATAACTAATTAGTGTATTTTTACTAGTTATTTATAAATAATGTTTTTGGTAGTAAATTCATAGTTTTAGTTGTTATTAAATGTTAATTTTTTTATTTAAGTTTTAAAAATTCTAAATAATTAAATAATAAATTTACTATATAAAATTAAGTAACATTCTCTAAATATTTAAGTTAAAAAATTATTTATTTAAATTAAAATTATTTATTTAACCACCAAACAAATAAATAAATATACTTAAATAAATAAATAAAATAAATTAAAGAAATAAATTAATTAATTAATTAAAAAAATAAATTAAAAAAAGGGTAATGACCGGTTGGACCGCCACCCAATCGGTTTGGCGAGCGATTTGCTCGCCAAACCCGGGGTGGCACATTGTGCACCACCCTCTTTTCAAGGGCACAAAAATTGCTCGCCACCCCAATAAGGGTGGCGAGAAAAGTGCACGCCACCCGTGACAGGGTGGCGTATTTCTCCTGCGCCAGCCAATGCGTCGTCCCTTTCCCTTTTTTTTTTAAAAAAAATAAATATGGGAGGGCAAAATAATCTTTTTAAGTTTTTTTAAGGGGCTCAAATGAAAAAATTAAGGCGTTCAGTATCTTCTCAGGAAAGAAAAGCCCTCCCAAAACCCCTTTTTGGAATCAAGAAATAAGGGATTGGAAGCATTAGTCTGATGAACCCCGTTTACACGTTCCCGACGATGATGATGTCACTACGGTGCTTAGGCCGGCCGACGAGGCGGCTTATTTGGCCGTCATTGTTATTTGCTCTTGTTCTCTGTCTTGCGCTTGATGCTGCGACGTCGTCGTCGTTGCTTACTCACAGGCCACACTTAGCTGACGTCAATGTCTTGTTGCCGCCGAAGATGACGTACCCGGTTGAGTACAGACTTCAGGGAACCGATGGATGCTTTGACTGGTTTATTTTTGTTCATTCTTGTGCTCTCTTTTTTTTTTTTTTTCAATTTTATTTTGTGCGCCTGAAGTAATGAGAGCAGAAAAAAACCAAAAAGATTTAACTTTGTTTTGTTGTTGGCATATCCGAAATAGTGAATTGAACTCACGCTGGTGACACATATGGGAGAAATTTTAGGAGATCCAGTTGAAGAACAGTCAAATTTGTTGGAACTTTTAGCTGACGAGTTTGGCATTGAAAGAAGAGATGAAAAATGAAAATGGATTCCTTGGCTGAACAGTCTAGGTCAGATGTTCTGTTGCATTATATGTGACTTTTCCCCTCTATTGTAAGGTTTAGAAGGGCACTAAAAAGAAGGGTCAAGTAGAACTCAGAATGTTGGGGTGGAATTGCACTGGATTAGATGGGATTAGCTCGATGATTAGAAAGTGTGGGAAGTGTCAATACAGAAGAAAATGGGAGAAACTTACTTAAGATGGTCTTGGCATGTGTGCAAAAATTACCAGATTCCTAGTAAACAGATTAAGTAAAATCATACACTCAAATTTGAACTGTTGTTGAAGAAGATATTGGCTACAAAAACATAAATAAGCATTTGAGAAGAATATAAATATAACTTTTGAGGGGAAATTTTAGCATTAATGTTATTAGTTTAAGCCTTTAAGCATCTTCAGAGATGTAACTGAAACGCATTCAGGAAAATACTGTAAAATTTCTTTTTTTGCAAAAGCTTCAGTGTGAAAGTCATTAGGTCCTTCTGTTGGTGATGGAAACAAATTGCTGTGTTTTTGGCCAGGTCATGGGATCATCATGATATTTTGACGGTTTTGCCCGAATACAATTCTAGCAGCCGGTGTTGCACAAGTGCCCGTTTAAAATCCATTGCTCCCTACACTGGGCGAAAGGAAACAGCGGTTTATGCGACTGATCAGAATACCGGAATGGTGATTCGTTGCAAGGTTTACATTGATGTATTCTCCAGAATTCAAATTTTTCATAGTTCTGTAAAGCTTGACCTTGATGGACTTGCTAGTCTTCGAGTCCGTGCCTTTGACAGTGAAGGTACTATCTAGATACTCTTGGAACTGGTCAAATTGTGATTGTGTTTATTTTCTTACAAGAAAATTAATCCATATTATGATGCAGTTAACACTAGTTGAGCCTAAACGATTGTTTGGTGTGTTTTCCAGTGTGTCTGCTGACAATCCTTTTTTTGATAAATTTTCAAATTGCAGAAAATGTTTTCTCCTCATTGGTGGGGTTACAGTTTTTGTGGCAACTGATGACTGAAACTGAAGGGTTACCCCATTACCTCGTTCATGTTCCTCTCAAGGACTCTCCTCAAAGTGATTGTGGAGGATTATGCGGTGATCTAGGTATTCAAGTTAAACTAGAAGAAAGTGGTGTCTTTTCAGACCTATACGTTGTGAAGGGCATTGAAACTGGGCATGAAATTGTTTCTGTTCATCTGAACGAGCCATCACTTGAAGAGATGCAAGATAAGGTCGTGTTGACTGTTGCAGAAGCCATGTCTCTTGAACCTCCATCTCCTGTTTTTGTTCTTGTTGGAGCTGTTGTTGATTATAATCTCAAGGTCCTCCGTGGTGCTGTTC